AGCGGATAGCTAAGGCGGTCTATCGGTGGCGGCCCAGGAACAAAGCCTCGTGTCGACGAAGAAGTTTTTCAGGCACGTGGTTGCTGCGCCGTAATACCATGGTTGTTGTAGCAATAATGGAGCACACATTTCTCGTCAGGGGTAAACCGAAGAACTCCTATTCCAGAAAAAGAACTGGAATCACGAAGACGTCTGGCCGCGTTCCGGGCTGCAGTGTCGCCTGCGCCCACCGGGCAGAAAAATAGGGAGTCAATATTTCAGGAGTCGGCAGAAACGCGACCTTGAACGGCCATGTGCCCTTCTAGATTTTCCTCGTTTGACGTCAGCCCATCGTTCCCCAACTCTTTTTCCCCCGGGAGAAGTTTTCAATGGTCCAACTCTGTTTTCTTCTCCACGCGGAGTCTCCGTATTCCCTCCGTAGGCTCCCGCAAGAGCGCGAGAATGGTTCGGACTGTCACCGAACATCGGGATCCAGAACGCGGTGACGGCCCTCACGGTAGAATTTTCGGTCAAACCACCCCCTTCGGGCGGGTCTCGCACAAACGCTATCCTCGCCCGTTGTGGAGTCGCGAGTCAGATGGAAATAACGTCGCGGCCTGATCTCCGGTACCAGAACCTGCAGTCGTCGCCCCATCCATCCCACCACCCACCGCGTTCTGGCGTTGCAGTCCCGAACCTGGAGCGCAGGCTGGAGCCCCAAGGGCAATAGAGCTCATGCGCCCGCAGCACCCGCAACCCGCAACAACACCCCCAGGTCGGTCTCCGGGCACGCGTCCCTGAGTCCTGGGGTCCTCCACTGGAGAAGAAGGCCTGGAAATGCGGACGAAATCGCTCTTACTTCGGCCGTTTTTCTCCAGCTTCTCCACCCTAACACCAGACTGAAATTTTGGATGACGATGTTGGTGTCGAGGTTAGACAAACAGGTAACGAACATCGGCGAAGAACCCACAATGGATCAATGCGCTCGCCGGGTTGGTTGTTGTTCCAGTTTTGGTCCGTCGCGTGGTGTCCGTAGGCAGTTTGTAAGCGGTATTGACTGATCTGCAAAGTTGTTTAAAAGCCTGGCGCCTCCCGTCGTTCAATATCCTTTAGGTTTGCTTGGCAGCTGTCTCTCTATTCCGGACGACCTTATCAGAGCCGCAATCTGCTTGGCATCTGCTCCTAGTCAGATCCGTAGTATTTCCTCTCGCACGGACAAGCGGAAGACAACCAACAAGATGCACGGCGTAACACTAGCCCCGAAGATTTCGGGCAAACACAACCCAGACGGCCAAAATGAGGCTCACGTCGAGAACCTCCAGACAGCCCTCCCTGGATTGAACGAAAAGGATGCCCTCGCCGTCGCCCAGGCCGGAGGGTGGGAGGTTGATGCTCTCATTGACAGCTTGGAGCGTGAGCTGGAGGCTGCCGGCGGAGTGAAGAAGGGTATCTTCGATCTCGAATTCAGCAACACCAAGTACTTCACCTGGCTTATCGTCGCCTTCGCCTCCATGGGTGGTCTTCTCTCCGGTCTCGACCAGTCCCTGATTTCTGGTGCCAACCTTTTCCTGCCCGGCGACCTTGGTCTTACGGACCGTCAGAACAGTTTGGTCAACTCTGCTATGCCCCTCGGTGCCGTCGGTGGTGCCCTTATCCTCAGTCCCTGCAACGAATACCTCGGAAGAAGAATGTCGATCATCGTTTCTTGCGTTCTCTACACCATTGGTGCTGCTCTCTGCGCTGGCGCCATGAACTTTGGTAAGCACCCTTATTTCCGGCAGTAGTGTACGCCGACTGACTCCTGCCCAGGCATGATCGTCTCCGCTCGCGTCATCCTTGGCATGGGTGTTGGTCTTGAGGGTGGTACTGTTCCCGTCTACGTTGCCGAGACTGCCGAGCGTCGCATTCGTGGAAACGTTGTGTCCCTCTACCAGCTCAACATCGCCCTGGGTGAGGTTCTTGGTTATGCTGTCGCTGCCATGTTCCTTCACGTCAAGGGTAACTGGCGCTTCATTCTCGGCTCTTCTCTTCTCTTCTCCTCCATCATGTGGGCTGGTAAGTTGTTCTATGATAACCTCTGGTTAATCTTTAAGCTAACAACCGCGTTGGCATGTTGTTTTTACCCGAAAGTCCAAGGTATCTTATGCACAAGGGTAAGACTCTTGAGGCATACAAGGTCTGGAAGCGCATTCGCGGTACCTCCACACCTGAGGCTAGGGAGGAGTTCTTTATCATGAAGGTCTCTGTCCTCGACGAGCAGCAGGTTGTTTCGGAAGGCGCTAAGAACAAGCGCTTCCCCTGGATGGACTTCTTCACCGTCCCTCGCGCTCGTCGTGCTCTCATCTACGCCAACATCATGATTCTCCTTGGTCAGCTGACCGGTGTCAACGCCATCATGTACTACATGTCCATTCTCATGCAGCAGATTGGCTTCAACGACGAGAAGGCTACTTACATGTCTCTTGTCGGTGGTGGTTCTCTCCTCATTGGTACCATTCCCGCCGTCATGTACATGGAGAAGTTTGGTCGTCGCTTCTGGGCCAACACCATGCTTCCCGGTTTTTTCGTTGGCCTTGTCATTATCGGTGCCAGCTACCAGATTCCGACTACGACGAACACTACTGGTGCTGTCGCTTGCTACTTGGTCGGTCTGGCCTTGTACATGATGTTTTTTGTATGTCACCACCCTGGATGAAACCCCTCACTTCTGGGAACGCGCAGCTAATCAAAATGAACGAAAGGGTTGTTACGCATGTCTCACTTGGGTCGTGCCTTCTGAGGTTTATCCAACTTATCTGCGTTCTTACGGCATGACCACATCTTCTGGTCTTCTCTTCCTGTCGTCTTTTATCGTCACCTACAACTTCACAGCCATGCAGGAGGCCATGACGCGCACGGGCCTTACGCTAGGCTTTTACGGAGGCATCGCTATCATTGGATGGTTCTACCAGTATGTACCCACCCTTTTCCTTCCAAACATTTTTCACGCTTGTGTCACCACTGTTCATGAAAAGCCTCACTTTTGGGAACTTATAACTAACGAAGCTGCGCGTATCGATTAATCTTCATGCCCGAGACAAAGAACAAGAGTCTTGAAGAGATTGATCTCTTGTTTGAGAAGCCCACGAGTGAGATTGTCGCGATGAACATGAAGGACATCGCCCGCGGCCTCAGCAGCATTTGCGGAGGCGGCAAGAAGGACAGCAACGCGCCCGGCCGTGAAATGGAAGTGGATGAGAAGAACGAGAAGGAGATCAGTGCTTGAAACATGAAGTAACGTAGTAATGTGGTGGTGGTGGCCCAAAGGCCATCGATGAATGATACCAAGATATCGCATATGAATCGCGAGTAATGCCCCCCAAACATGGGAGTTTTATGCAGTCAAAGTACCGAATTACTTTTGAATGAGTTCCCTTGCCATTTCTTTCCCATTTGAGTTGTGTTACTTGTGGTTGTGGCTGCCGCAATCATCCTTGCCGCGACGTTACCCCAATCGCCAACCCCAGCGCCATCCAAATGCGATGAAATGCAATGAGTGTGGCAAGCAAAAAGAAACCCTGAATTGACCCATCATGCAAACCCGCTTCAATCGTCAAGAAGGCCTCGGCACGTCGATTGAGCGATGATGCCGCGCATTCAATACCAGACACTGGACGCTGACCGTCAGCGAAGCTCCCGGACCGAAAGCGGGGCCGGAGGGGGGCCGGAGCCGGGGCTCACGCCGCCGCTGCTGACCACGCCTGCCTCGTCCCCGCGCATTCCTCCTGCCTTCTCGCATCACGTCAGCCAACAGCTGAAGGATATTTGAGCGCAAAAGCATGCACGAATTTGGGCTGGGGGTTCTTTTGTTGTGAAGTAAACGGATCTCGCTCCTCCAGCTACGGCGCAAGTGCCTGCGCATCCGGAGCTTCAGTCCGGACCACATTATGATTTCCAAGGTGTTAAAGTGTGAGAATACAAGCTCGCGGAAACCCAAACTCTCAAGTCATAGCAGCCGGGGGTTTCAAATCAAGGAAGATCTATCCCGATCATAAAAAGGATACTTGTTGTTTCGGTCTCACGTTTTCAGGAGTACTTAGAGAATTGCTGTCCCGCCTTCACCATCGCGGAATATGTTTGTTTGTCCGTGGCTTGCCTCTACTTGAGGAAACTGCTCGTATGGTCATGACCCTTTGCTCTACATTTGATATGCGTAATTCCAGTGCGCTTGCGGTCCTCGACGAGCTCTTCAAAAGCACCTAGCTGAAACTTGCCAAGGTTTTCTCGTAGCTATTCGCATCACGATGTCGCTGTTGTAAATCGAAGGAGAACGTGGCTTTAAGAACAACGTCGCCTTGAGATTTCCCGACAGCGGTCTTTGTGGCTGGAGTCGCGACATTTCTAATCCCGCATACCTCAGTCCGAGCATCGAAATATGCCATCTTAGAGTTTGCGGTCAGCCTCGCTCGTCGCCAGCGGAGAAGCCTTTTAAGTAGCTAATTAAGAGTTATCTTTTTGTTTAAAGTGATTCATTGTCTATGTGATTCATTCGCACGTCAGCTCATTGCGTCTGATTCGGCAATCATTTTTGAATGGGTTCGTCATGAATCCTCCCACGATAGAGAAGGGGCTGAATAGCCTGAGCATCCCCGAGTCGGAAGGATGAAATGAGTCTACTGCAACATGAAAGATAACAGAGTCCCATGAAAAATGTAAGAAACCGCCAGGGAAGTTTCATATTTCAATATCATGATCAACGCTGTCAGAACCTTGATTTCTCCCGACGCCCGCCAATTTTGAGCCTCCCAATGTAGCCAGCAATTGCGGAATCAAAGATTAAGGACGAAAGTCTCAAGAGAAACATTGTTGAGATTAACAGAAGACACATAGGTGCAAAAGCACCATGAAAACTGGTTGCGCAACTATCTGCTTAGCTAGCCTCTGAGCCCCTGCCTACAACCTTGCCGCTCAGACGGCTGAACACACGAGCGACACCAGAAACGTGCCTGAGTAGGCAAAAGCGACGCCATGGTTTTGTCCTATCAGTCATAGGTCGGCAATTCCTCGTCCATTTCCATCGGCAGCTTCCGGTCAGCGGACTGGGAGCCGCCCACACCAGAGCTCCGCGCGGCGCCAGCGTCATCGGGGACGCTCTGGCTGGAAGGTGGGACCTGGGATCCCAAGGCGACTTCTTCCTTGCTCATCTCGACCCTGGCGAGCTCCATCTCGCGCTCTTGCAGCTCCTTCATTTGCTCATCGTGGAGGTCATCGATTGTCTTGCCGCTGGGACTGGAAAGAGAATAAGTCAGCTTCGAATACACTCGATTATGTAGTTCAAATAGCTTACAGGTACTCGCGAACATTGCGTTCAATGTCGCTCTGATCTCTGAGCGCTTTCTCCAAGGCTTGGTTGGACCTATTGATAAGGTTCTGGATGCCGCTCTGCTCCTTGGGAGAAAAGTTGGAACCGTGCTCCTCGAGAATTTTGCCGTAAAGGCGAACTGCTTGCTTCGCATTGTTGACGTAGTCATGAGGGGAACCAGCAAGCAGCAAGTGCATTCCGGCTCGATGAAAATCCCCAAGTCGTGGCTCCATCAACATCTTCATAGCCTCGGCCTCGGCCTCTTCGTACTTCTTCTGTCCGTAGAGCTTCCAGATATGGTTGTATCTCCACTTGAACATAGCTGCGGTGAAGCTCCAAGGTCAGCACAAGATCGAAGGTGCAAACGGGATGGATCAGTTACCTCCGAGGTTGCCTAGGGGGCTCTCCTCAGGAGCCGAAGCTGGTGCCGCTCCCTCTGAAGCGTCCGCCATGATGTTGTTGAGCTTGTGATGTGAAAAAGAAAGTGAAAGTGGCTTGGGTGGGCGGTAGATTGGTAGAAGGAAGGAAGAAATTTTCAGGGTGAGCTCCGATCGGCTTCAGATTGCAGGTACGACCGAGCCACTACCTGCCATAAAGGATCGAGACGTGCAGGAACTTGCCAATACCAGAATGCTTGTTTTTAATTGGCCACCTTGAGGTCCTCCGCGGCTTAGCTGAACTATTCGAAGTGAATGTGAGCCCGATTATTCTACCAGACCTTTATCACTGAATCTCCCTCAACGCAACAACCGGAGCTTAAATTCACGGGCAGGCACTGCCTCCATAGAAGTTCCACAGGTCTTGAAGAGTACCAAACTGGAGTCTACTAAGGTTTCGTCACCTCCGGTAAGATTATCGTTCAGCATTTTCTGGACTTCCTGCTGAGTCTGACTCTTCTCCGAAAATTATTAGACGAGTCCAGGCATGGATAACTGGCCTACATGCAAGTGGCACGGTGAACACGGGGAAAAGGACGAAGGATCAGCTCTCGATGAATGATCAACAAGCCAGTTGCCGAAAGACCTTTGAAGAGGTATTATTGAGAGTCACGGAGGCTACTTGCAGGAGTCCTACCTATGATAGCTACGCTCTCGTCTTTCAGTACAAGCTGTTGTTTAAGGCCCATCAGCATCGGCAAAGTTCAACCACAGTCCACCGCCATCAATACAGGTCACCTTGTTTCAAAGATGATGAGAAAGATAGATCTCCCCTACAAACTTCCTTTATTTAGCATCCGGATGACCAGTCGAGCTTGGTCAATCGTGTAGGCCTGTCAATCGTATAAGCCCGTCGAGCGGTCATTCATGAAGGTGGGACTCTCTAGGGAGATCTAAATAAAGCATCTATTCGCGACACGGACGTGGTCGATGAGGTTGACCGCGCCACCAAGGATTGCGTCAGACCTCCCGATTTTTGTGACCGTATTCCAACGATGGATGTCCATTGTGGTCTTCCATGACTGTGCGGGATGTGGACTTCGTCTTATTTATCGCAGTTGTCTGTGAGCAAGCAAGTACGACAGATGTGTTACAGCTCGGCGACAGTCGTCGCACCAGGCGTAGGGCCGGCAGCCACATCAGTCAGCTTTTGAACCAAAAGGCCAATGCCCTTATTGACAGCCGTGAAGCGGGAAGATCCCGAGGGGTCTCGCCACAGGATGTCTCAACAGCAGCCTGGAAGACATCTGAGATCCCGGGATAATGGCTGAGGAGGGCCAGCACATATGATCTACACCTCATCTGCTGCTTACTTCCCTGTGAGCGATGCAAACAAACCGCTGCATCGAGTGTCTCTTGGTGTAATGGAATAAGTAGGAAGCAAAAGGAATTCTTTAACAAAAGCAAAAGAGTATGCGGCCAGTGTGGATTGAACACACGACCTTCAGATTGATTGAATGAAGTTGCCCGGATGTGAACCCGCTTCAGTCTGACGCTCTCCCAACTGAGCTATGTCCGCCGCACTTTTTAATGAGAGGTTACAGCCCTACGTGGAGCCAAGACGGCGATACCGGAAGTTCGCCGGTCGTCACCAACCCGACTACCACTTTAGTCCTAGATAACCATCAACATTTATGGATCTGCTCCTTTAAAGATGTGGGGTTTTAATCAGCAAGGGCATGGCATCATGAGAGTTTAACAGGGATAGAGTTAAGGTGCAGTCTAAAGTTCTCAAACCATGGGAATGGTATTTCGCAACAAACATGATGAAGAGTATATCTGCTTCTAACAAAGATACATGACCGTGGAAAATCCCTCCAGGATTTATCATCCACACAGAACAATCACCCAACGGTACTTCGGCTTCAGTACACTATCTTTGCATCAGCGGTCGTTGAAGACTAGAAATCACAAGTGAAGACCGTCTGCTGACGACAGCATTGGCTGAATCCAAAGCGTCCTACTTCCAGCAAACACTCGTCCTAACAATCACACAGGCTTAGCCCCTGGCCAGAGTTTTCGGTGTATTCTCAACCAACTTACACCTTGGAGTTGACCCCCAGAGCTCTGGCAGCAGACAGCGGTCTCATCTGTCTCGTACACAATTTGGTCATTCTCGTTGGAGCTGCAGCAATAGATCGTCTGAGCTGCAGCGCTGTAAGACAGTGCTTGTGGTTAGCGCTATACAGACTGGATTGGACGGGGTTGTGCATCAGCGAACCTTGCAGCGAGGAAGTATGTGGCGATGAAGGCGGCGGCACGCATTTTGAGGGTGGATGAGTAAAACGAGTGTTTGGTGTAAGTTTTGAAGTGAAAGTGGAGTTGAAGAGACAAAGCTGGTGGCTGGTGAATGAGTGTTCTGGTTTATTCAACAAAGTGCGAGACAGGATGCCTATTAGTATTGCAGGATACGAGTACTTTCGGGTCAGGTATGCCTATCTGGGTGAGAGAAGGCACATCTGACCGAGACATCTCGTTTTCGGATCAGATGTGCCCTGCTAGGACTGAGAGATATCGTCGGAAAGACCGAAATAGACAGAGCAAGCCAGCTGACTCAAGAAGTAGACTCTAGCACACCTCTGATACCAATGAACATCTTGAAAAGACGTTGATTCAGGGTTGAGATGTCTCCAGAGCTGCGTGTATTGTAGATGGTTCGGTCGAAGGCCGGACTTGGCAAGTACGGGGCTCGAACTCAGGATAATTGAACTTACTGCCCAAATCAATGGCGATTCATAGAATAGCCTGACACTGCTGGAAAACTGGCGCATTGCGCCTCCGCCAAGAAAAATATGCCGTCCGTCTTTTTCATCCCTTCCTTCGGCCCCTTCGGATGGCGGGTGTGGGGACGAACCGCACTGGAGTCTGGACTGCCGGCGACAACCCGCGGACCGGGACGGAGAATATCTGCACGTCCAAATCCACATGATGCATCTTGGCGCTGCAGCCCTGCTAAGGGTTACTCCGTCTTTAAATTGTGATGGACGATGCCTTAAACGGTCGTTCTGAACATGGTTGACAAGATCTGGGCAACGTCAGACCAGTCAAACCTAGTTGAAAGGCCAAGATCGACTAGCTTACGTCTGCACAGACTAAGAAAGGCTATTCCATTGACTGCTGGTGGACTCCACAACACGATTGTAGAAGACGGAAGGTTCATCTAATCTGGAAATATTGATACTTTCCTTTTGGAGAACTGCGAGTCTTATGGAAGAGCAAAGTTGGGAAAGACTTCGCCAGTCATCATCTCAAGTACTGCAGTCCAGCAGCACGCACTGAGTGGGAAAACATGCACGATAGTTACGACACTTTCAACAGCTCTGATGACACGGGAGAAATAATCATCCTATTTCTTTGACGAAAACAATAAGCGACCTCGGTCTCGGTATATTTTGACTATGAATGCCCTCTGCATCTGGTCTGGAAGCGAACACACTGCCTCATCCAGCGTAGCTCACAAGTCACACCCCAGCACGTTCCGTAACAGGGCAGTTGCTAGTTCCTTAGCCTCCGCCTCGGTAGAAAGAAAACCGCCGTCCCCCCTGTCCCACGTGATGTCGGTTATCGAAGCGTGAGGTTCGTCAGTGTTTGCTGGTGGGGCACCTCCACCCGGAGCCGCCAAGACCACGTTTATGCGCAGAAGCTCGTCCCCAGTCCAGCTTCTGTGCACATGCACCACGAAGTCTCCGCGGACGTCTGGCTCGTCTGCGCGGAACATCCAGCGGTCCTCCATCGCCGCCGGCCGGAAGCCCCGGAGGAGCTTTTCAACGTCGTTGCGAGAGGCGCTGAGGCTCCAGGGCGTAGTGATTGGGTTCTTCATGATGATGATGTTCTGACGGGATGGAGTTTGATAGCGGGCGGCGCGGCAGGTCTGCGGAAAGAGGCCTTGTAGTCCAGTAATGGTCGCGCGAATGATGCAGGAGTGGGTAGCGTCTGAGAGATTGAATGTGTGAGATGACGAGATAAGGTGCAGTGGTTGCCTTTACAACTTGGGACCATGAAAGAGAGTGGATGTGTGCTCCGGAGATCTCGGGGAAATCTGTCTCAAAGAGCTTTTTAACATAGCCTTACGAGGACATCATTCTCCGCTTTTGCGTACGATTTGACCGGCTAGCACCTAGTTCAATAACGAGCATTGTTCCGTCTGCCCAGCAGTCGAGGAAGGTTGTTTGATGACAGATGGAGTGGGGTACAGCGTTTGAGCTATTCTACACTAGGTCGGATTGCGATGCCAAGCGTTCGAGAGCGTTCGACTCAATCAAGTTGAAATATTTTCGGAATAAAGCCGGCACCGCAGCTTGTGTCTAATAATCTAAATATGCTCGTACGAGCCAAGCTTGAGGTTGAACTTAGTTATGGTGCGTGCTTTTGATATCGCACTCGCAACAGTTGTCTCTTGGGTTGTCACAATACCCAGCCACCAGGACATGGAAGCTCGTGTCCAAGATTTCGGGAACGGCGTCATGTTGAGAGCGAAGTACTGAACACCAAGAGCGGAGCCAAGATTGGGCTTGAACCTAGTCATAGTGCCGGCATTCGACCTCGAAATCCAAAGAACGCTGTCTCTTGAGTCGACGACACTCAGCCACCATGAAGCTCACTGCCAAAATTACGAGCATGACATCGTGCTGAGAGAGAAGTACTGCCCACGTCAAAGTCGTCAGAGTTGAGCAGTGAGAAGATGCTGAGCATCATGAGCGTCTGGAGAAGTATAAATCAGGACGCCTTCTCTCCTTTTGATTCCTTCTGTCATTATCATCATCACTTCATTCGCTACTCAACACTAGCCACTCTCTCAAGCCTTGTCTTACACCGTCCCTCATTTGTCACTACTTGTCTTGTCGCTTGCACGACAGACCGCCAACATGGGGTTCCAGAAGAACATTCTCATCCTCTTTGTCCTCAACCTGTGGACTGCTCTGTGCAATGCCCAGTTCAGAGTGTGGCGCGCCGATACCAGAACTCCGACTGAGATGCGCGCCGCTGGCAACTTTGCTCCCAGGGGAGCCAGCCGCTTCCTTGAGGTTACCCCGAATGTCAGCATGTACAACCATGCCGTCGGCGCCGAAAGCGGTGCTAGCCGTGATAATGACGGCTATGTCTCGACCACCGCCAGCGAAGACACCGCTGTCAGGTTCCTCACGCAGATGTTCGGCGGCAACGGCTATGTCTACGAGATCGCCGCTGCGGGCAACTTCATCCAGGTCTCCGGCACTCTCGGCCAGTTCAGCCCGTACCCCAACGAGCAAGAGTACGCCGCGCTCGGCGGCTTCAGCTGGGACCAGGTCATCCGCTGGAGACACTACACCAACGGCGTCGCCGATGCTGCCGGCATGGAAGACAACAATGTATACGAGGGCAGGATCTACAACAGCTTGAGGCCCAACAACGGCCAGCCCAGCCTTGCTGGATTCCCTGCTGGCCACCGTGCCTGGACTCTCTCCCCTTGGAATGCGTTCGCCCAGGGCGGCGAGGGCTGCGGTGGTAACGGCGAGCTCTCTGTCGGTGCTCGCCGCCTCAAGGCTCGCCAGTGCGCTCCTGTTGACAACGCCTTTACCGCTGCTAGCAGATTCCTCGACGACGCCTGCTACACTAAGGCCCTCTGCGGTTAATCGCCGAGGATCAAATCACGCCGCTTGGGCTTGCGGCATGGTCGGGGTGCTTTGCATCGGATTAGACCTTTTTGAACAGCAATAAGAGGTCACGAACGCCACGTACATGACCTATGCTCACGCGAGGTCGTCGATGCATTGGATAGGGGATGCAAGATGATGGATTGAGAGATGGCTGAGGATGGGCCACACTGTCTTTACCATTGCTGATTTCCATCGTGTGTTGTTCTTTTTGTTTTTCTTTGAGTTTAGTAGAAGAAATATATTGGTGATGGGTTGCTTTCATACTTTGAGACACCGGGTCCGATATCAAGTTCGGTGTATTGTGAATGGCTGGTTGAGGCACTGCTAATACCCTGCGGCTTGCGCAGTGCTTTAAGCACAGAAGCCAGCAAGGGCTCTTTAATCCTACTCAGAACGCACCGAAGACCGATAGTGCACCAGAGTTAGCATCGAGAGAGAAAGAGACCCCTCGAACCGTTTATCTCCCTCCAGACCCCTGCCGTTTTTGACCCCCGCATCTTGATGATGACACCTGTGCCGGATCCCGATAATCACCAGGATTCAGCAAGCTAGCGCATGGAAGATAATCTAACGACCTTGGCCAGACAACATGCAGGTGGCTTTTCCCTAACAGCTTACGACTCAGTGCATGCGCCTTCCAGAATAAATCTAACTGGCTTACTTGACCTGGATTGTTGTCATTTTGTATAGTACCGTAACTCAACTCCACCCTTTCATAGCCCCTGTGCCGGATGACTCCCTCTGGATCCCACGATACCACCTGCTACCTCGAGTCTTTGGCAACCCACTGAAGCCACATGATGCAGAAGTCTTTGCCGCCTCTGGACGCCGCATGGGACCCGACCCTGCAGACCGACGACGGAGAGGAATATTGCTGGACGCCGTTGCAGCTTGCCGCCAGAGGCGGAGAACTGGGTAACATGCGGGAAATTATTGCCGCCGACCCGAAGGCCGTTAAAGACCCCCCGAGCGGCTACTACGGACAGACAGCCATCCAGCCTGCATGCATGCATGGCCACGAACAGGCGGTGCAGATGCTGGTCGACGCCGGGGCCGATATCCGCTTCTGCGGAGGCAACAACTTCCAAAGGAATGCTTTGCAGATAGCCTGCGGGCATGGAAACAAGAAGGTCGTCAACATTCTACTCAGTGCGGGGGCCAAGGTCAACGAGGTGTTGTCAGAGCCTGCGCATCCGGCACACGGGTCACCAGCGTCATCAGTTGTCGTGACCCGGTACAACGGAAGAACAGCACTTCAGGCAGCAGCGGAGCGAGGACATGAGCATCTGGTCAGGCGACTACTGAGATTGAGAGCCGACGTGAATGCTCCGCCGTCACCAACGGCAGGTTACACGGCATTACAGGCTGCAGCAGGCGGCGGCTACATGACGATATTGAAGCTTCTTCTCCAACACGGGGCTGACATCAATGGTGCCTCAGCAAAGTACAAGGGCTACACGGCTCTTCAAGGGGCATGTCTACGAGGTGATCGCGAAATAGTCGATCTTCTTATCAAGGAAGGCGCTAATGTTCACGCCCTGGGAGGCATTTACGGAGATGGGATGGCTTTACATGCCGCAGCCGAGAAAGGCCATGTGGAAATAATCAAACGCTTGTTGGCAGCCGGTGCTGATGTGAATGCTTGTAGCTTCAAGGGACGAAAAGGCCAGACTGCACTTCAAAGCGCCGCGGTTGGAGGCCACGATGAAACGATACAGGTCCTTAGAGATAACGGTGCTGTAGGCAGGACTGGGGGAGGCAGGTTCTTATTTCCTTAAGCGTCATGGATCGAGGAGTGACTATGTTTATTTGCATAAAGCTTGTGATCAGTTTGAAGTTGAACAGGAAGCCATCGGCATCATTATTTCTAGGCATACCTTCACATACACTGCTGAGTGCAACTGTCTAATCTTTGAGCGAGACAATGTCCTTCTCTCTGTCCAAAACGATGTCAGCCTCGATGGCGCCGGCTCTGGGAGCAGAAAAAGCGAAATATTCCTCCGTGACTGGCACGACTCCAGCCTTAGCCCCGCAGTCTCCCAGTTGATAGCACCGGATAGTAGCAAAAGGGTGCTACATTTTCATAAAACCTTCGACAACAGATCGATGCAAGTGCTGCATGAATATAATTTTGGGAGACGAAAAGACAGCATATTCAAAGATCAAGACATGCAATTAAATAATTACAAATAGTTGGCCACAAGGCCTTCCCCCTTTCTTTCCTCGCTGCAGAGTGTACACGACCGAGCTAATCCTTGCACCACCATGACTCATGAGCTAGCCAGTGAAGGCTCATATGATCTCGTCCTGCTTTCGCTCTTCAATGTCTCTCACGAACCTCTCCACTTCAGGGTCAAGTGACAGATTCTCCCTGAATTTATTTCTGCTTCCTTTCACGTAGAGACCCTGGAGCGAACGAGCCCTGCTGAGCGCAACATATATCAATCTCCCATCCCAGGCACTTTCGAGGTCGACGGTGACGTGATCAAGTGAAAGACTTTGGCTCTTATGGATGGTCATAGCCCAACCTGGGACGAGTGGTATTTGAGTTCTTACCGAGAATGACTTCAAAGCCAACCGAACTTCACCATCAATCTCTTTCCAACAAGTAACAACATTGTGAAAGCTGCAATCAGGGCCGATAACGCGGCGTTCGCCATTGGAAAACCGAACTTCGGGGTCTGGAAAGCATGTAAGCATCCATGAATTTATCGCATTCTGCCACACCAGGATACTTACACAGTTTCGTGTCCAGATTCGCTTTGAAGACTCCGATTTGCTTGCAACGGGCTTTCGCTAAATCGCAGCCAACCTGATCGCCCTTGTAATGTTTGGGATTTGGATCCTTGAGGTCGTCCTCCAGACGCGGTACGAAACCAATGACCGTGCCTTGGCTGCCGTTACAAAGACCTTTCTCCACATCGATCTGCAAGAATCGTCAATTCTAGAGTCCATGAGCGTCAAAGTAACTAGGATGATCTCACATTAGAAAGTAAGATGACAGGCATATTGACTTTCATCTCCAAGCATTTCTGATATCGATGTTTGTCGTCATCATCGCCGAGCGATTGAGATCGAGATTTGTCCTCATCGTCGCGTTTGTTCTTTCTGTCGCCGATGGGTTGTGTATGATCGAGGCACTGATATTGTACTTCTTTACCATCGAGGGATTTGAGCTTCGCGTCATTGTGATTCTTGACATCATTTTTGTGGCTGAACAAAAATGTCCCATTACCATCAACCCTGCGCTTCTCCAAAAGAAGGTCAAGTTCATCATCATGGACGTGGCCTCTACGAATGTTCTGAAGCATTCGTATGAAGCCCTCGTCTTTTTGCCGATGTATCGTGGTCAAGTGTATGTTTCTGGTTGTTGATAGAATTAGCATGTCGACCCATCCCAACGATCAGAGGAGGATATACTTGAATGTGCAATGATGCCAGGCGTCAGACTTGAAAGCCCACTTTTCGCAATCTTTGAACTGACCGTGGCTCTTGTCCCAAGGGAAATAATGCAGCAGATCGTCCGACGTTTCCATTAACCCGCACGAATAAGGGATCTTGGTTTTTTCATCGAACATCTCGAAGGAGCAATATTTGAATGGTTTCACGGGGGGCAATTGGCAGAAGTCACCAACAGTAATGATCTGAACGCCCCCGAAGGCACCGTGTGCCGATGGTTCGTATCGACCTCGTCGAATCACGCTTAGAACGTAGCTGAGCCTCTCGAACACTTGTCTTTCGACCATGCTGATCTCATCAATAATGAGAACCTCGGTGGACTTGATCCGGGAGAAAATGTGTTTCCTTCGTGCCTACGCGACAAGTGTGCTGTTGGCCAGGCCGAGGTCGTCAGGCCGCCATCCAATGTATGAAAAGATCGTCCTTCCTCCAATATTGATCGCTGCTTGGCCTGTGGGTGCAAGTAAGTGAACGTTCTTTCCATAGGCTGTGAGAGTGTCGTAGAGAGCCTTTACTAGACGGGATTTGCCGCAACCACCCGATCTACGGAATCAGCTGTGAGTTGATGTGCTAATCAATAGATTATCTTTCAATCACGTACATACCCAGTGATGAACAGATTTTCTCCCTTAATTGCCAGCTCTAGCGCGCGTTGTTGTTCTGGACAGAGGGGTGGTAGCTCAGGCGGCGGTGGCGGTGCGACCTCATCCTCCTCATCAAAGCTCTTTTCACCTCGTAATTCGTTGTTTGCCGATGCGACAAACGCGTCGTGAGAACTTTCAGGGTACTTAGAAGGATTATTCAGACGCGGGCGCTTGCTTGACGAGGCTTCGCTCGGGAAGCCATTTCCAGCCTTGACTGAAGACCCAGCAGCAGTGCGTTGAGGTTTTGTTGGCGAACGCGGCAAATGTCCCGCCATGGATTCCCTAGCGAAACCTTCACGAAGAAGTTGCATCTGCTGTTCGTTCGTCGTAGTCGTAAGGGCAGAAGATTGGGCTCACGGCTATCTTCCAGGTTGATGCTGAAATGCCTATCGTGATTAGCATTCGTTAGCTAAACGATTAAATACGAGTGTATGTTCTTAGTGAGAATACTTTTACTTCGCACTCCTCCTCCCGTCTGCTCTTCAGCACCACCAGGGCCTGCCCAGTTCTTAAATATGCCGCATGTTTTCCCGGCGTAGATAACATAGTACATGCGAATGTCCCTTCGTTGTTCGATTGCAAGCTGGTCGCGATTCCGTTCGATATAATTGTCTGCCTCCTTCCAATTCCATTCGGAGGGCTCGTTTTCACCCTTGATCTTATCAAGACCGCGCTTTTCCCCCATATTGCCAGTGCTGAAATATTTGTTGATGATCAAGACGCGTCGCGCAGGGCACATCGTGACATAGGTATTTCCCGTCCTGATGAGTCAGCAATTGAGGGGCCCTAGCAGAGTTCAATCTCGGCGCCCAAAATCTCCAGCTTTCTTTTGTGGTTTCAGATTCCTTCCTTTCTACCTACCTTATTCGCTCACTACCTAGACAGGAGTGAAACCGCTGGGTGGGTCTTTGGACAGGCATTAATCCTAAGCTTTGGCTTGCCCGGTCAAATTAGCTCTTCTGTTAGTGAAAGGGCGCGGTTATGAGCAGCCCTGCACGTAGGAACTGGAAAACCAGCGTAAAGAAACGACATTACCAGGCGCACAGGCTGGAGGCTAAAAGTTGGCCGGGAATCAGATCTCACGTGATATTTGCTAGACGCAAGCTACGAATCACTAAATCAGTTACAAGCCCGATATTGGAACACCATTGCATCCTCCTTTCCTAGTGCTGTTTTCCTCCCTAACAACCCATGATTGGGATGCAGCAAGCCTCGCAAAGACTGGCGTATACCTGAGTGAGAAACCGCGTCCAGCCGCTTCTTGGCCGTTTTGGTGATGTGGGGGTATCTGAGTAGTAAATGTCAGCCACGGAACACTCTGCAAGTATGGGCCACACTCAGGCCGTGGCGGAAGTGGCTTGCCTTTTACATGAAAGCTTAGTCAAATCCATGAGAACAACGAGACTTAATTTTGGTTCGTGTTCCCGGTGAGATGCCGCACGCATTGACGACGGCGGGATCCGCCGCGGCAGCGTAACACGCATCTTCAAATTCGTTGCCTCCGAGGAAAGGGTGCGGGATGATGGGCCACGCGCGCGTGCCATAGCACTCTTGCTTCTTGAAGTTCATCTTGGAAATTGTTGGCGCATTCGGGTCGCCGTAGTGCACGCCGAAGAACTTGTCTTGCGGATAATAATTGCAAGCGGCTTGCGTTAAGCAGAGGTCGTGGTCCGGTACTTGCTCGCTGTTGCACCAGCAGAAGTGATGTCTATCGGCGAGTGTGCCAAGTGCGAGCGCACAAAACAGGACAAAGAGTCTAACAAACATGGTCGATATTACGAACGCCAAATGAGTGTGGTTGAAGCTGGGAATGAGAGACTTGTTTGCGAACAATTGACTATTAAGGTCCTCCGCCCGTTGTTATCAATAATTCCAGAGTCACGATGCATGATCATTTACACCAATGTGTTGATAAACCACTCTCCGCGGGTTGACACGAGATAACCCGCGAGGATGGCGTAAGATCGGTGTGGCCGAAAGACGTGGAGATGTCACGGACGATCCGTTCCAGGCTGGGAAACTTTCGCTGGGAAAGACCCAGAGCCCTCATATTTTATACTTCAACACACTGACTCAATTACTATAATTCCTCTGCACCACAAACGACCTCAACGTAACGCTGCAATCGCGTGCTCGAGCTTCAGATTCCGTCAACGTCAAATCCTTCCCGTGTCCATTCCTTCTGGGAACTTTTTGCCTGTTTGGGGACGTCAGCTGAGCCCTCATTCGCTGCTCAACCAACAACTGGAGTTGCGGCTTCCATCGCCGCCGACCCCTAGCTTTCTATAATTAGGGTACCCCGGCAAATCATGCGGCCTCTGCCGCGAAGCGACCTTATCACGCCCTAAATCAATATAGCGAAAATATTGAGATCACCTATTCTCTCTGCTTGGGTCTCATCGGCAACAGCGAAGGACCTGACATCGCAACATTAGGGCTGACACTCATCTGAGATAAGCTTCATTCTTACGACTCAGATCCTTCACCTGCCAAGCTGATAACTCCGTTTGGGACAAATGCCAACTCCCCTATCTCAATGGTTTCCCGCAAACAAGCGCTCTCCCATTGGCCAAAGTGGTCCATTGGCAAGCTATCACGCGAGAGCGGACATCCGGTTCGGCGTGGGATATCTCTCCACACATCCGTCCCTTACCAATTACTCTTAATATGTTCCCAGAGTCATTAGAGATATGGTTGAATGGACCTTGCCGATTGCGCAATCCCCCCTTATCTGGCTAGACCGCACCTCGGATGGTGGTCACGATAGCCGCTGTATTTGCCGCCATAAGCCGGGTGTCTGCCAGGCAACCCAGAGAAATATATCATCGTCGAGGGAAACCTTGGTGATTCTTCCAAACTCAGCGTTCATCTGCAGTCGGTCGTTCACAGTTCCATATACCCAGCCGCGGTTTGGTTTTGATCGTTGTGCTAGCGCCTCTTTTGTTTTGTTTCGCTGCTCATCATGCGTTACCAACATATAATCGCGACTTGTGTCGCGTTGTTAATGTCACAGACCGTTGCTACACCAGTCCTGGTCAGCAACAACGACATCAGCCTCCCCAGACCTACAATCTTAGATACCCGGCAAACAACTTGCGAAACAAAGGCACTTTCCAACCAAACATGGATAGAGGAAGATGTCGACGGCTTTTTGGCGAACGCCTCGCAACATTACATCCAGTACCCCAGCAACAACATTCAAGCATTGGGAGCCTACCTCGGCGCGCCCAACTTCTTTTGCGGCGTTAACGAATGGTGCAATGCTGGACAGCCATGCTCCCCTGTCCAACTTCCTGGCTGGTACGTCATATCTTGGTGAGCCTCATTGTCTTGAACTCTCGCTAACAATACCTAGGTATGCGCTCATGGGCATCCAGGGGTGGAACAACTATGTCAACAACCTCAACCTCGCTGTGACATACACAGCAGCTATCTTGGGCATGCGACTTTCCAAGATGGTTACTGAATTGTGGCCGAAGCCAAAGGACAACGTCACGGGATGGAAGATGGCAATTGCGTGGATGAACGGTATCCTCAACGCTTTCCCTACCACTGCAGTGTTCGGGGCTGTTCAAGGTGGTATCGCCTCAGCAGTACAGGGAAACAACATCATCGTCAGCGGTATGTTGCTGGCGCCGAGCGCGGATAAGGAATTCGTCAGGTGGACTGCCATTGGGGATCAGATGGGCCAGAAGTTGGATGAATACAAGAAAGCCATCGGCCAATACGCGCAAAACATCATCGACGCACCCATCAACGACACCAAGTGGGGCATCAACACGGTCCTCCACGGCGGCAACTACCTCGTCCGCAACAAGAACTTCACCCAAGACGACGTCGAAAACTGGATGTACAAGACCGTCAGCATCAACGCCATGGGTCTGATCCTGCAGGCCCAGAACGTCTTCATCTTCCGGGTCTACAACATGACGGAATGCGATCCCAACGATTACTACAAGGACTACAGGAGCGCCTTCTACTGCCAGCAGCAGCCCAACGGCCTGTGGACCAAGTACCGCCTGCAGAAGATGGGCAGTGACGACTTCGTGCCCGAACATCGCCTCGCATCCAAGCTGCAAGACGTGTACGGCCTGACTAAGGAGGACATCTTCCTTGGGCCCACCACCTGCTTCGACACCCACGACTACGAGCAGCTGACCAACCCCTGGGAGGAGGTGTCACCGAACGGCGTTTTGTTCGACGCAATGCAGCCGTGCAACTTCAACCTGAATGTTTGCACAGTGGACAACGCAGAAAAGGACCTTTATGGGAAGTCTGAGTTTGATTACTACGAGAACGAGGGCGATTGGTGGTGCGAATTGCAGGGTATTACATGGGTGTAGCGGTTGTTTAGTGCTTTATAGTCTGTAGCACATGAGAACATGATGAAATTACTTGGATGGTCAATTTTCTGAACGCGGTGCCTGAACCATGTTGGGCATCAAAACCGATTTCTGCATCAATCTCAAGCGTAGCACAACCATCTGGTCGCCCCCGACCCCTATTTTTTCCGCCGTCTTGAGCGTTACATTGAAGATGCCTAGCTTTCTCGAATGTACTGTCACTTTTTCCTCTTATTTCCAAACAATTTTTTCTTCATGATGTAGCTTAAGCGTCAATGTTCACTCAATTACTGAGTTTCAATCCGTCGAAAAGAATCTTTCTACCGTTCTGCGCTTGAGGTCCCATACTTTTTCTGATCTCTTCGTGGCGACTTACTGTCCTAACTGTCTCTGACCAGGCCGAAAGAATAACGTTTAAGCCCTGCAATTCGCGAAAGGATACCTGACGTCGGTTTGCTTTTACTCTGCGTCTCTTGACGGTAGTCAACTCTCGAAGATCTGGTTCAGAATAATGCATCGCAGCCTGAGATACCCGAGTTCAAGCTGACTCTTATTGCAAGTTGCATGAAGACATCTACATACGGTACTTGGCGCAGCTGCACTCTTGTTTCACAACATCTTCCCCCGCTTCTGATCTGACACCGTGCTTCTATATATTGAATGCGTAGCCAGTAGCATCATTGCACGTCTCAGCTATTGCATATGCAGCATCTCAGCTCGTTTTAGGATGCCTTCGGGATGGTACAACATGCCGCGACTAGCCAATGATATGCCTACCAGCTTTCTCCATAGTCGTAAACGTCCTTGCCCTCAAACGATTCCGAGTGAGAAAGACTAGGAAAAAGGAGCTATTAGTTGTGGAACTGGAAAGTTTCCAACATGACCTCTGGTATATGAAAACCACTCAATTTCTTATATATAGTAGACGCATTTGCGAGCCACGATGACTCTAGTTCCAGGGTAAGTCACATCATCTAGTCGCTTCCCGTGTATCCGCTTCGGTTTCCAATTTCCTCCATCATCACGGTGATAACGGCACTATGAATTCCCTGCATTGCAAAAAGGAAGCATTCACTGTAACGGAAACGGCAATCAATTCATCAGAGACACAGCGTTTCAAGGGAGTCGTGGAAATACCTGAGACCACTGAGGGAAAAGATCCGTTCCTCATTTGCTATGAGCGACGTCACAGTTATGGTGGGCTATCACGACGTTCCTCTTTGTGCCCGTGCTCACCACTGATTAGGTGGGGTTGAAGTGCGTTCGAGGGGATTGGAAAATGAGAACGACATTATAAGTTATTCGAATGTGAACAGACTACCATGGGCTGTAAGATTTTCAGCTTCGAGAGAGCTAATGAATTCATACCAGAAATTGAGAATACATAGGACTTCAGAGTTGGATGCGGGGGGCGATGACCGTTCATCATCATTCAACATCATGTGAGTACGCACATTTACTTGATAGCTCAATGCTGACTGCAGAAGCGGCGGGTATGGGAATGGAAGTGTGAAGCCTCTAAGCATCAGCCAACAGCTCTTTCAAAAGATCATGGACGAAATGCAGCTTCCGAAGTCAGTCCCCAAGCTTTTGCGCTCTATTTGCGGCATTTTTACGATGTTCTTAGAAGAGAACGACGACGTCACAAAATCCATCCGTATGGAGAATTGTTTCAACGTCGAAGATCATTGCTAATATTCTAGTAGTAATCATCTATTCCACGCCTAATACCCTCGTGAGGGAGGTGTTTCTCGCGATGCGAGTACGCTTTACCTATCAACATTGCTCCGTAACATGCCTCTTCTTTGACGGTCTGCATGATGACCTCGTCAAGGTTATCAAATCAATTGAGGATCCAGCCGCGGATATCGACTGGTCCAACCCACTGGCATTTCTCATCCTTGTGATGCAAGATGTCGGGCGCTCTTCAGAATTCATAAGAAGAACAATGGACGACAAGATTGTCACGATCGAGTCTAACACCAACTCAGCTTCTTGGATGAAGGTTTTCGCGACTAGCCATCATCTACCGACGACACAGATACAACAGACAGAAGCACCCCTTAAGACCATGACCACCTTGCATTTGTGCGAGAATGTGATGACTTTCCTTGGCCGTGCCACCGAGGCGGAGCATAACGCATGGCTTCAGGTGCGAAGGTTGGTCAGCAAGGAGCAGTGCGATTGGTTGTTCTCAGACGCAAGGGCTGGCAGCAGACTCAAAGCTCACATGGCAGCTATTGCTGAGTTTGAAGTGGCGTACAACCAGAGCAAGAAGCTTCAAATCCGCGATTTGGAGCAGCGTGCCAAAGTACAGATCAATCTGGTGAGTGGTTATTTTTTGGCGCGAGTGATCTATCGATAAATACGGCCTATTTCTCACTAATTATGATCGTGACATTTTAGGTGAACAATATGATGACACATCAAGAAGCGTCGCAGACCAACTTAATCGCTATCGTAGCGTTGGTTTTCGCCCCTGCTAGTTTGACAGCTGTAAGTAATCTTCCAATATTGAAGTCTTCTCGTCGTATTGCCTGCGAGCTAATCAATGCATGCACGCGTGTGCATGTAGGGCATTTTCAGCGCCGGTCTCTTCGAGATTGGCACTAGTTCATGGGTTGTTTATGTTGCCTCCACTCTATCCATCACCTTGGCAGCACTTGGGGCTGGCATGGTGTTTCTTCCACAGTAAGCGCGAATCCAGCGAGCATCAAAAGCAGTGTTTGCAAAGTTGAAACTTGTAGGCAGGCGTGGCCGCCTCAAGGACATGACAAGTAGTGATAACGTGTGAGATCAAAAGCTGGACGAGTTCTGATTCGACCAGGACGACTCGGACATTTGTATTTGGGATCACCTTTTTATGGAGCAAATGTGCCCTCAAAGAATGCGTTCTTTTCCGCGAAACATCATATTTTTACACAGCAGAATGGTCACACCTTTTTGCAGACCAAAATTGCTAGAGTGACGTCAAAATTCAAACGATCGACCCTTGGTTACGAATACAGTGACGAGACTTTAGTCAGCGGGTTCAAAGCTAGAAATGCTATGTAGAGACACTTGGCCGCAATTCAGATGTAAACCCAATGATTGAAAATCATCTGGGATTTGCGTGATTTGTTTGGATCATGGCTATGCTGTTCGGATATTTGTAGCCTTCCGGACAGTCGGTGTCGTAACCCCGAACCCGGGGTAAAGGCCGATTCCTTCGGGAAACCGATCATTTTTAAGGTTGTTGTTCCGCCCAGCTTGACGGGCCTCGATCTACGATCGCGTCTGAAAAAAGGGTAAATATAGTTCGGTTATTGAATTAGGAAACCGAAAGTGCTGTCTTGGCGTTTTGGTTGGCTGAGTCGCATCAGATGACTAGCCATCTCGCGGGGAAATTTAACCCTCGGCCCAGGAGCGACTAACTCTCAAACTCACTGACAGACACATGTGCGAACTGTCCCCGACGGAATTTACCCACCTGTCGAGTGTTAGGACTGGTTGTAGCGATAAGCGTAAGTGCCAAATGTGAAGATCCTGTAAAGATCCTATTATGCCCTCGAAGCCATCAGCGAGACTAACATGAGACCTATTAGGCTTTTCACGCAGCAAAGCGATTCTGCCAAACACGTACGAGGTAGATAGTTAAAGATCTTTAATTCATATTGGAAACTGCCTCTCGCACGCTCTGTCATTCGCTCATGTTACGTGACAATCTCTTTTGGCGAGAAATTTCCGCGGCCAAATCCAAATACAATTGCTACCCGAAGCTTGAAAATACCCTATGCTGTGGGTATAGGTCGGGGTAACTCACACTCCAAAGGCCATCGGGCAGCCTCTAGCCTTTGAAATTCGTTCTTTGGTCATATCCATGTACTCCTTTCCCTTGCCCCTTTGGGAATCAGGCCCTACTTCGGGAATCAGATAACCGTCAGGATGGTATTTGGTACCCTCATCTCCAGGAAGGCGGCCACCGATGAGACGGCTGTAAATAGCGGCAGGCCCCCATCGTGAGTAGAAGGTAGGCTTGACGTAGTATGGATGGGCCAAATAAGTCGGCAAGTAGTATCGGCAAGTCTTCTTGTCGATGTCCTTGAGCATTGGGTTGGTCCACCATTTGGGCCTCGGAAGACAAAGATTCCTCAGAACCCAGCGGCGCGTGTTCATGATAGCGTTAAAGACGGAAAATTGAAAGTCGCTAGGGTCCTCGTAACTAGAATGAAGGTCAGTAACCAAGAGTTACAACCAAGACCAGTTTACCACTACTCACCCCATTGCATGCCTCAACTGGGTCTCCATCAAACACCGTAGTTGGGCAAAAACGAAGCTGTGCGACCACTTTGGAAGATCGAGGAGTAGTAGGTGCACGTTGGCATGTGCAAGCTTCTCGTTCGGGACGGCGTAAACCATATACTTCTCCTGGTAGTTGATGCTCCAGACTTGCAGAGCATCCAGCCATGCGACGGCGTCGTTTTTCTCGGCCATGTGCGGGATCAAACAATCGTACGAAATCTCCATCTCCTTGCCCAAGTCTCTCCAAAACATTGCCATGGCGTTCTTCTCGAGCATGGTCAGATCTCGCCACTCGTACCTGGCGGTCCAGCGCACTGGCTCGAGGGCGAAGAGGCTCAGTGTATAGAGCAAGTCGTCGTTGGAGATCTTCCCAGCTTTACGCCAGCGGTCATGGAGGAAGTTGACGCGGGCGATAGCTTCGATGCTACGAGGACACTCGGGTTTGTTCATCATGATTTCTGTCATCAAGACGCCTGTGTCGGTGCGCCGCTTCGAGGCTGTGGCGTCGCCGGAAAGCTGACTCGTCGCGACAAGAAGCTTGGAAATAGTCGGAATTCCGTATGTCTGTTTCAGGGTTTAGTCTTCAAAATGAGCGTAAATAGTAGCAGGAAAGCAAACCTTGAATAGTGCAAAAGATACTGATGTGTAGAAGATTGTGGGGAACTCTTGCTCTGAGAGCTCCCGAATTATTGCGGCAGCATCCGAGAGCGACATGGACGACATCTCTTCCCTCGTCTTGTAAGGGAATCTTTTCTGGAGGTCATCTCGGCGCCGGTATCTGAGAGCCCGTACAAGAAGAAGATAGGAGACGATTGCAGCAATAACAGGTAAGTAAAACATCGTGAAAACTGATCGTCAAGAGAGTCAAAGTTGCATTCAATACATTTCTAGTTGCTGGGTTAATTCTGCCCTCGATCGAGGTGGCATGACCTTCTGTTTTATTCTCCCACGACACTTCCGATGGTCTAGCGAGCAGACAAGGATACTTTCCTTTTAACCCCATATGTTTCCGCGCTCTTTTAGCCCATCTTTCCGCCCCATGCACCCCTGGCCCCGAAGGCACAGGCTCGTTTTGACGTCAACCGTGCGATTCAGAGTCCACGTGGAGTGCGGGGGGAGTGGAGGCCGATGAGGCGTCTCTAATCACAAATATGGGCAAATTTAATGCATTAGCGCAGCCGGGGATGTTGGCTGGGCCATCCCACGCGATGGGATGTCGGCCGACGTCCAATGAATGGGGGAATAATTGGAAAGTGACACGGATTCCGTCGGGCAGCCGAGTGTGACTATCAGACGAAGTGCTGGACCAACAAAGCTAGCTCCTCGCCGGAGTCAGACAAGGCGATTCAGATTTAGACATGGTCTTTGCTCGGAATCTAGACTTGTCGCATTGGGTAAGTCGGACCCGACGTCCCTTACACCATTTCCTGTGGCGCGCCACGTCCGGATGGCAGGTCTGAATTTGCCCAAATTTTCTGACTTGTAAGATCCGACGTCGTGGGTGGCTACAATGTTGCAGGACGACGGAGCTCGTTAGAGCCAGGGGCAGCGTGTGGCGGACATCGTCCGGCTCGGCGACTTGTTATCTCATCTCGCCTCTAGCCGCCTAACACGCATTCATAATTGACCGTCATTTGCGATACGGCCTATGCAACACCTCGGTGCCCGCCATCGCGATGGGTGGGTCAGACTAAGCTCACAGAATTGTCTCGGAGCCTACGGTGCACCACTCTCGGGAGATCTTCAAAACCGGGAGGCGGTGATCCACAGTACCCGAAGTAGACAAAGAGCTCAGAGTACGCGTAGACCATTTAGCCCAGTAGGGCTGCGTCACTCTGTACCCCGGATTGCCGGATGATCCTTCATAGTCCCCTGTTCAGACCCATCGTGGACCTTTTGTCTTGAGTGTCGTGAATTAACCTCAGAGGTATGTTGGCCCAGAAGGCAGGCACTCAGTCTTAGTTGCTAAACCCACAACCTCCGCCGGAGTACCCGGTTCCACTACGAAAATGACGCTTTCCGGGGCCGGGACCGGTATAAGACGGCAAAGCCGCCTTTGCCGCAACATTTGACTTCATTCATACCAGCATCGCACAGTAAAGACTGTTTATGTCACTGAACATTACATTATCCCTTGATAGGGGTGAACCTAGGGGATAACGTAGTAATTATTCCTTTCGACTATCCATAAGCCTTTGATATGCCTGAGTTAGGGCCATCACATCTGAGTCATCGACAATATCTTGCGCTTCTCGTCCGCCACTTGTATCCGAGGATACACTATCATATGCCCATTTTACAGACCACTCAGGGAGTTCGACGCCAGCACCAGGAAGCACGTCTGGGACGAGACGGACAGAGTCGTCTGCCGCACGCATGAAGAAAACCACCTTCGTCCCCCGGACCTCGCGGCCGAAGACGTCCCTGCCGGTCATATCCAGCGTCTCGGTGACAAATTGCTCCACTCGCATGGTCTTGGCAGGCAACCCCGGACGCAAAGGCTCAACTCCAGGCGGTATCTGTCCATATTTATCCAGAACCACGCCGTGTTCCATCTCCACCATACGCCGTGCCACCGCATACATTCCATCCCTCTCCCAGAGTGCTTCTCTTGGCGCCGGGAGAACGGCCAGGCACCGAAGTGCCTTCAATCGAAGACTGAGATATCGACACTTCATGACGAGAAACAGGACTGGCGCGATGAAGCCCATCTCGAACTCAAATTTGCTTTGGCGGCCTGGAGCTCGGTTTTCGACTGTCTTTAGCATTTCTTCCACTGTGGTCTGGTAGTCGTCGAAGTGCTCGTCGAATGCCATTTCTGACGAGGCAAAGGCTATGTTGGACCAGATTCGACAGATATGGTACCGAACTAAGGAGAATGTTCGAAGAAAGCCCTTCTTGGTTTTTGTTATAGTAGACTGTTTGGTTGTCGAAATTAATCTGGTCTCAAGGTTTTCGAATAGTGCATGCCATTCGTTCAGTAACTGTACGATTCTTTGTTGCTGGCTCAGTAACTCCGGAGACGGGTCTTGGCCTCTCATGGACCCGCCTCGGTAGATGTAGCCTTGGCACAGAATCTGGAATGCCTGGTTGAAGATATCATCGACCATGTCTCCCGCCTCATCATAATTAGAAAACTGAGCAGGGGTCAAACATCTGAAGACCTTGAGATCTGGTAAATCAGGTCCTTCCCCGAACCAGAAATTTAGGGTGTTGAGGCGGCGGAACAGTGGCAGCACCCACTGCTTGACCCAGCGATAGGAGAGAGCATCGGAGGTCCCCAGAATGATCGTCCCGTGCGTGCTATGTTGAAGAGCAGCTTCGCGGTTCGACTGTAAGATCTCGATACAGATGAACAAGAGGCAGACAAGTACCACCAGCCCCTTGTTCTCCATGACCAGCAGATGCTTTATCGCAATGTTATAATGAGCTAGTGCGAGGTTGTTATCACGCAGACATCGAGTCTGGGAGCTCCTTTTCGCATCCGCACTCGTCATGGTGACATCTTCATATAATGCGCTGATGGCAAGCACGGAGTGTTTTACCGCCGGCTCGAACCTGGTGAACTGCATGACGAGGTCCGTCCAGAAATACGGGTCGGTAGCGCCGGGCAGGTTTGGGCCTACCATCTCAGAGAAGAACTGCATGGCCCTGTAGTCCGCTCCGTTTAGAGAACCCGGAAACTCGTCCGGGGACTTCGCCAGGCAAAGCTGCGGTCTGGCCGGGCGTGCCGGGGTCAGCGCCTTGTAGCCGTCGCATTTCCGACCGGTCGCGGAACATTTCACGCAGACCGGCTTTGTCTCGTCGCATTTTATCTTCCGAGCCCTGAACGTAGCCGTGTTAGGTGCAAGTTCACTAGATGACACGCGATTTGAGGCAATGGAGTGATGTTACTCACTTGCAAGTTAAGCAGCCCGTTCTCACTTTGCGGCTTCCTTTCCGGGGCATTGTTTCGATAACGGCAGGATGGTGCTCAGTGACGAGGTCAAAAGTGCCCCCTTTTCTAGTTTCCAGGTCCTGCTGTGGGTCTCCGTGGCTTTATTGGCCTCTGATAATGGAGAGCGGGTGGGAATTGGGGCTATGCGAGAAGACTGGCAGGGGTCAGACAACAGGGGTTGAGGAGTCTTGGCGGTTAGCGACTGGGTTGCGACCGGCTGTCAAGCTGACGTTGGCAACAATGATGATGGTGGCAAGACCGCTTCAAGGAGACGAATTCCAGAAAGCCAGCCGTAACTAAGTAACTCAGTCTTATAACATACGTTGGATTCTATGTCTCAGCTGTGACCCACGGCAAGTCAAGACTTTACGACTACCCAAACAGTCGCATTTCCTATCTTCTTAGACAAAATAGAGACTGCAGCAAGAACGTGTTGCTTACTAGGTACGTTGCTTATTAGAAAATACTAATGTCGTAAGCGGAGGCAGACATGAGAAGCATCTCAGGGTCAGCCCGCATAAGCTGGGCTGACGACATTATATTTTCGGGATTATTGGGTAAGGTATTCTAAGATGCTTTGATCAGGACTGTGTATGATCAGTAAGCAGTGCCAGCCCTACGGAGTTCGGACACGTTATGCGTATAATTTTCTTCTTCCCCCCAGTTTGATTAGACTCGGGGCAAATATTATTCTAATTGGGTAGGCCTTCTGATCACACGGCCATCGGGGTGTACCCTGGGACATCCACAGTCAAGTGGAGGGGTTAAGACGACAGATCAAATGGCAAATATCATCAGCAACAAGTCAAACGCGGTATCGAATTGTCCCTAGGTCACTAATTGTATCCAGGTATCGCAATACTAAAGGATATGTACCGAAAGCGTGCAGGACTGATGATAATGACGTACGCTTAAACGACTCAATAGTTCCTTCCTATTAGAAGCACGCTGAGATCCTTGGTAGTGCTGCCGCACAATTACGTTATACATTTCGTCCTTTTAAACGCAACCTCGCATCCGCAATCATAAAAGTGCGCATAACTGAAAGCTACAACAATACGCCCGTCGTCAGTCCGTACATAGTGGCCCGCAGCTGTTTCAGTTCCTTTTCTCCTCCATAGGATAGCTTCTGCAAGACCATTTCTCGAAATTCCACATCCCACTGCCCGACTGCCTGCCTCGCCAAAGCCGCTTGTTCGAACCCTATCGGATATATGCCTCCGAATCCAAAGTCGACGAGGCACAAGTCCTGTTTTCCTTCATGTAGGATGAGATTTCGAGGTGCAATATCTTGATGAGTCAGGACAACATCCGTGAAGGAGAATCTTTGGGGCTCATTGCTCGTTCTCTTGAGTCGTATGCAAACTTCCAGTTTATGGTTATACCAGTCTTCCATATCTTGAAGGGTCGGGAAAGGCCCCGTGCCGTATTCGGTGAAATAGGGACCTCGCCAGGGCTCATCGCCTCCGTGGTCCACAGGGCCAGGAGGCATGTCGCTTAATTTGAGAGACTGCATCCGATCGATCATCTCGGCGACCTTGACTGCCACGGTGTTGCGAGTGTCAGTGTTGAGGTCTGGCCATGCCTTCTCAAGAGAAACTCCCGGCACAAAATCCATCACTATGAACCAGCTTTGTTCCTCTTTGTTCCTCTTTGTTCCTCTGGCCAGTCGGGGTACAGCCCGAACAGGGAGAAGACCCGATGGACCGTGGGAACTGGGAATCCATGGACTGCAGCGAAGCGCTGAGTTTCACCCTCGCCTTTGGAGACTGTGCCATCGCCTTTCAAAACGAGACTCTGAGAGATTCGCACAATCTTGTTACTGCCAGCTTGGTATAAGACGGGTGCCGTTTAGAAAAGACGACCAAGTTGCTCGTCAGAGACCGAGTCAAACTCCACGTCGTCCAGCGGATATGATATGTCTTCCATTTTATTCGACTTATCGGCCTCAGTCTGAGATTCTCCAGGTCTGGCGTCCGACGTCATCGGACGATCTTGGTTCGGGGTGGCAGCGACGAAAATGCGCATGTGGACTTCGGTCAAAAGGAAATAGAGATGCGACCAGCGAAGATCATATAAAACCGAGTGAGAAGCAGAGATTCGATGTGGTTTGCATGATCTCTTGCTGCGATTGGCTAAATAATGAATGTCGATGGGGTTGTGTTGGTTAGGTCTTGGTAGCGCGCGGCAACATAGCCGATGTCACGTCGTGTTGGCCGGTTCTTATGGTCAAAGGAAAGATTTCCCAGCCTGATGCCTAGCCATACCCACTTAAACCTGTCCGGATGTCGTTGCATCTCAACGAGCGGTTACTTAAGTAAGTGGTGCGGCGAGCCAGTACCCTTTCATATTCTTAAGTGCTGCCTGTTAACGAGCTTCGTGGCCGTTCTACCCTCCTTCATGCAAAACCAGCTTGTTAGTATCAACGAGTCCTCACGATCTGAAAATCTTTCTCTTCGAAGTCTCCGTACAACAAGCAAGGTTCTAGCTTCACAGAATGACTTCGATGACCCAGAGCGCCCGTGTCGAGCCAAGTTCGACTAATGATTCCTCTGCGATGCCTTCAGTAACCTCTGAACCTGCTTCAACCCAGCAGTTTTGGGCTTTCCAACCACCGAAATTCGAGGCAGTGCAGTGTATTCCAAAGAAGGATCGAGAACACATCTTCTCCCTCTCAGTCTTGAAGGCAAGCGCGGTCGCCCACGAGCCCCTCGCTAACGGCGGCAATCACTGGACATTCTACTTGACCGTTACACCGAATCATCTCGACCCTGATGCCTGGCGTCTGATACAGCTCGACTGCACGCCCAGCGGAACCCCAGCCGGCGGTGGGGGCGATGGCTCTAAAGCCAACATCGTGATCAGCCTTTTGGAAGATCGACAATTCAGCCGGGCCCAATGCATTTGCCGGCTCACTACTCGACAGCCGCTAAAGGTCAGCAATTTTGTCGACACAATTGTTGAACATGGGAGGGAAAAGTATGACTTCGACAACAAGGGACAGGGGTGCAAGAAATGGGTTGCCGAGCAGATGGACTTGTACTTCAAGGTCGGGATTATCACTGATCGGGACGAAGTTCAAAGCCCGAAGAGCGAGATGATGTTCCAGTGGGAAAAGTTCAAGCACATAGGCGATCATTCTATGTGGGCTATGGGCAGTTACTATCAGTGAGTCGGTGGAGGAAAAAACAGGTCTTCAACTTGGTTACACACAACAACCTTGTTAATATAATTGATTTCACCCGAAGTTATGCTTATTATTCTACTTGATAATCCCACATGAAGCTCTGTAGATTGTGTCTCGGCTGTCCGCTGACCATGTAATCAAGGAGTAAAGATTTCTTGTGAGTTTTCGCTATGGTATGCCACGCTATATAATCTCAACCGTACGCCAATCCCTATCTATAAAGTTGAATGTGAGCCCACTCGCAGTGGCCACAAGTAAAAGACAACATATTTACGCAACGCTGTCATTCTAGCTGAGCAGGCCGTTGAAGTCAGTGTCGAATCGAACAGGAAACCTCTTCCTCCCCTTAGCGTCCTTGTTGACGAAGCATGCCATGCTGTTTCGTTGGCAGGGGAAGAGTCCCAGGCCATTCTCATCAATCATGACGTTGGCAGTCTCCAGACCCATAACGTCTGTCCATACTTCCCCAGCATGCTCGCGTCCAACCTGCATGCAAATCTGGGACTCGGCCTCGGGAGATTGGGTCCAGCTCATGACGACAGCAAGACCATCGGGTCGCTCCTCAGTTCCCTGTCTCACCCATCCGATGCAGTCGTGCTTGTCAAAGTAGTCTTTCTGCTTGCCGTAGGCGTAGAGCTTCCTGGCCAAGAGCAGATTCGGGAGGTCTGGTACAGAAGGCTCAAGGTGGGGAAGGCCGGTGCCGTAGAGATCGCCAAAGAAGACGCAGGGGTGTCCGTCTCGTCGCAGGAGAATGAGAGAATAGGCGAGGGGCATGAATGCTGCTGAAATAGGCGTGTCCATAGCTTGGCCACGCTGGGTATCATGATTGCGAATAAAAGTCTGGAAGTATGTTAGCTGGGTGTAATCGGCTGACACTCCCGTATGAGATACATACCACTGCGTTATTGGGACGTTGCTCAACCAAAGTGTTCTTGAAGACCTCCATCAAGTCGTGATCCTCATGCCATGACAGTCTCGCGATGTGGTACATCAGCGGGACGTCATACAGGCTGAAGAACGAATGCATATTGTCCATCCAGTTCGTCAACACCCGAACGTCGCCGTGCCAGAACTCGCCGACAAACATCAGATCTTGCCTACTGGTCTTCTTCAGGTACCTCGTCCACTCATTGATGAAGTTCCATGAGATGTGTTGCACCGCATCCACGCGGAAGCCTCTCAGACCAAGCTCGTCTACGATCCATCGGCCCCACTCTGTCGACTCCTTGACAACTTCGGGGTTGGTGTAGTCGAGGTTCTCCAACATGAGGTAATCTGCGTTGCCCTGGCTGGTGCCGACGTCTTGGTGCCAGTTCTTTCCATCCTCAACATACCGGTAGATTGATCTCTTGCTGTTCTGCTGGTTCCAGTCGGTGCCGTTGAAATGCGTCTTGTTGTATGTGAATGTGCTGTACTTGCCACCTCTGGCCTTGTAGTTGAATTTCGTCCATGCCTCAATCTCATACGTGTCTGTGATGTCTATCCGTCTATCTAGAAACAAAGTTTAGCATGGTATCCTGGTGTACATGAGTCGCGCGTGCGCCTTACCTCTGGGGTCAACTTCGACGACCTTGACCATCTCAGTCTCATCCGCATAAGCGCGATGGTTGTGAATCGCGTCCCACACCAGTCCGATGCCGTTCTTGTTGCTTTCGGCAGCCAGCGCCATCAGGTCCTCCTTCGTGCCCCATTTCGTGGGTACTGAGCCCTTCTGGTCAAACTCTCCCAGGTCCCACGCATCGTAGATGTCGTAGCCGTTACTCTCCGGATCCTTGGCCTTGCTTCCTGGAGGAAGCCACAGGCTGTTGACACCAACAGCCCTTAGACTTGGGAGTGCTAACCTCAAACGCTTCCAATGGGAATGGTCAGCGGGGAGGTTCCATTCAAATGCCTGGAGTTGCACCGGGTTTTGTGTGCGATCACCGCGACGACGAAGCTGTGACTTGGTCCTCTGGATGACTGTCGGACGAACGGGAAGATCAACTTGTTTCGTCATCGTGGCGCGGAAAAGAAGAAGGCTAAAGAAATCAGAGGTCTAGTGGTTTGCATGACATCTCATGATGAGTTTTGGCGGACGGACTCGGCCCCCTATATATCCAAGCGCAAGATTCATGAGGCATGGACCAGATAGGCAATTTCATGGATCGCGTTTACGAGTACGGCGCCGCCACGGTGGCTTGCGCTCCCACACAATAAGGTATGCACAGCACCGTCTCAACAAGCGCACTCGAACCCGAGATTGAGGCAGGGGCCAATCACAGCTGAGCACTGCCCAGAAGGGGTCCAAGAAGGCATTGGGACGTTGTCAGCGCCATCACGTGTCTCATACATCAGCCGTTCCAGAAGTCTAATGCGTGTGCGTCTGGTGCGAATCGTCATGGCCTCTGCGTCTTCCCCCCTCGGGTTCGCATTTGGAGACTTCGGTCCCGCAATTCAATACGAGCGGGGCTCCCCCAGGTCCCCTTATTTTTTCTTTATTCAAGCTCCGGGACCCCAAGGCAAACTGACACCCGGAACGAGTCGGGTCACCGGGTGGCATGTTGACGGAGAGCAGCACGGGCACCGCAATGGCGCGCATTGGCGCCAAGCTCTAGTTCGAATGGCTATGTTTAAGGGGGAAACTTGGGTGTTCATGGAGTTAAGGCCGGAGTGTCGGGACTCTAGAACATTGCAGCACGGGACGGGGCGAAGATCAAATTACCGATAGCGAAATTGTGTCCAAAGCTTCTCCTTATCAGCGATCAGCGATTCTGCCCAGCGGAAAAAGAACAACAGAGACAACGCGAAAGCGAAGAGAGCACAGCCTCTGCTCCAGAGCAGTGCACGGCGCGCAAATGCTTCATTCAGGCGTCAAGTAGATGACCACATCATGTTCAGGCAATTTGAAATAATGCCACATCACAAAAAAGCATGTAAACGTTGGCGGCAGTTGCCCGGGCCGCGTTGATCGGTGTGGGTTGCGCGCCAGTTTGTCAGTGTTTGATACTCCCACAGCACACCTTCTCTACCCCACGTGGCGTTCGCGCAGAGAGTCTGGGTGGACCATGTGGGAGATCCTTCGAACGCATCGCAACCTTTACTCTTATGCGGCAGCCGGCACAATCACGGTTTGGTCTGCTGATTGAATCAAGCTTATTGACTCGAACGGCCTTTGAATCTTCAGATGCATCGGCGAACGATCGCGCAACATAGCATTGCTGGCCTGATGGGTTGGTTTTGACAAGAAACCGACCACACGCTAGAACGGTTTGACATGACTTGAGATTGAATCAAGCTCAAAGCTAGACGTCACGGTGCTTTTTTCGTCGTCTTCAGACCAAGAAAGACTAACATTGTCTGTAAGGTATCTATCTAGATTGTCCCTTTTCGGAACGTTGCATAAACTCAATGGGTGTCCTCATCATCAACTTCTCGCATTATCCGAGATCCCGATCGGGTTTCCAGCACGGCAACCTCCAGATTCCAGCCGGCAGCCGACAATCTCCTCGCGTATCCTTCGTATTTCTCGTCGGATAGAGCCATAGTCGCCTGAATGTGTCCCAGCATGATGTGCTGGCCTAGCTGAGCTCGCCTCAGCTCGGGTGCCTTCAGACCGTGCAGCCGCTCAGCGAGCAAAAGACCGTGGAACCAAGCTTTCAGTTGCGACTTGGCGGAAACGCCATTCTTCAACACGATCAACACCTTGATCCTGGATGCCGCGTCGTAATTTGTCGCCTCGGATATTTGGCACCATATGATATACTGCTGATTCTCGAAAAGCTCCATGAGGTTGGATAGGTCCACCGTCGGAAGTTGAAAAGACCTCATGTTCTGTTGGCCATTTGCCAAAGCCTGGAGCATAGACTCCAATGGCACCCCGAATTTGCAATGGCCCAAAATTGTATCTGCGTTCCATCGGAAAACCTCGCCACCGCGTCTCTCGAAGATCAGCTCCTTTTCGGAAATCTTTCCGGGCGTAAGAACCTGGTCTTTGGATAGCAGTGCAGAAAACGCAATGTTCGCCCTCTGTCGATTCAGTGAGCGAGATTTGACGGCTCTGACGCCCTTCCAGTTGAGAAATAGGTAGATGGCGATCAGAATGAAGAGTGTTGTCCAGGTAGTAGTTGGTGTTGTTAGGCAAGAAACCACCAGAGTGCCGGTCTGGTATGAAGTTAGCAAATGCTGGTGCTATTCTGAATATCTGCAACTCACGAGCATGCCCATTAGTGAAATTGCCGTTTCTTGACTTGCGTCTTTCTGTATGGTGTTAGTCATGGACAAAACGTCGGAAGCAGATCGCTTACAGCATTGAGTTCCCCAAGATTGTTCCACTTCGCAAAGTGCCCGCTCAGACTGCTCTTTGATGCATTTCCAGCAACACCACTCGCCGCAAACAAGATACTTGAGCAGCACAGAATCAGAAATCTGATACTTCTCGGGAACAGCGGCGAGAGACAATCCAAGATGAAGGCAATGCTGCACAGCACATCGGAAGCCATGCGATAGGCCTTGCACTCAGCCTCTATTGATGTCCCCATCAAATGAGCAAAGGCAATGGTTCCGAGTCTGCCCATTGACTCGCGAATCACCTGTATCATCATAGCGCCAATGGGCGAAGCCCTGGAGTCACCAACTCCCATACCTGTCCGATGGGTTAGCGTCTATCTCACTAGCAAGTGGATCACTTGGACTGGTCTTCATCCAAAGATCAAGGGGCAGGTTTAGCCGTCGATGACGTTCACAGCTGCTTACCTTCCCATACGGCACGTGAAGATATCATGCCGGCTATCGTCCCGGCGAACGCCTGGAACGAGTCCTGAATGCTAGTGAGCAGCTGCCATCTAAAACCGGAAGGAATATCAACATACGTAGATCTGATAGGCGGCATAGTCATCCGTCACGCTGTGAGGATAGCCATCCGGCAGGAAGATGTCAAGCACCTTTCTCCAAGGCTTCTTTCGTATTGTAGGAAGCTGCACAGAAGAACCGTTAATCACATGCATCGCGCAACTCTGTTGGTGAGGTAAGGATCAGGGGTGTGGTGATGGAAGCTTTTTTTTTTTCTTTCTAAGCTTACCAGGATATCGACTCGAGCAGGTCCGGCGCGCGGAGCCGACTCGATAAACTTGGCTTTCAGGTTCCCAGCCCTGTCATATTCCGCAATCGCCAGACTGGCCGGTTTCCGAGCCTTCTTGGGGGGCTCAAGCATAACTTGAGCCGAAAGCGAAGGCATATTGAAAGAAATGCGATGTTCAAGCGTCGAGCGCAACAAGTCAAAGAATCAATCGGTGCGGGAAAGTCGAACGGATGCGATTAGGGAGGATGAAGGAAAGAAAAGATGGCATGTGAAAGGATGAGATTAGGGAGATTAGATCAGTACAAGAGGACTAGCCAGATGGGTTTGGCGTGTAATGACACAACGAAGAGAAAATTTTTGTTTAGGAGATTTTCCGCGAAAAAAAGACGGATACGAGAAAAACAAAAAAAAGGGTGAAGCAAGACAAGCTGTTACAGCTGTACGCGTACGGCGTGGTTATTTTGACAGGCAACGAGACTGACTCTCGAAACTTTCCGGGCTGTGCATTCCGCTCCGCGTACCCGCGCCCGCGCGCATCATTGTTATTGTTTTTTTTCGCCTCAGCCTGGGATCAAACGTGTTCGATGATCTGTCATTGTTCCCATTTGACATATGTCATGGAGTGGAGGATGTGGGTTGGATGTGGCGCTTGGTGGTGGTGTGCTGCGGGCTGTAGGTGCATGGGCCGCTGGAGGGGGGGAGAGGAAACAGGAAAAGCTCTCAAAACTGCATCAGAAAAACCAAAGACCACCATCCACAAACTTGTTTCACAAGTTGGGATGCAATCGCCCGTCAGGATTCCGTGGGAGACGCGGGAGAAGGACGTACGTCAGCAACAAGGCGTGCATCCCTCCCTACGCTGTCTCCGCTCGGGCCTAATGCGAATAATACGACTGTCATTCGTGAACTGATGTATGGAGCTTATGCCTACATGGGATCATCAGTTCGCGTTTGCTTTTCCGAACGATCGGCAGGATGAGCTTCCGGAAGAACTTGCGTAGTTCAGCCGACACAGCTATCGCCTCGTAGGGTTTTATCACACTGCGTTGGGATTCGGGACGGACGCAAGAGTCTGTGGTCTGACTTGGATACATGATGTTGGCATTGCCTGGCCCCCGTCGCGGCGAGATCCGTTTGGGTAAAACACTCGTAGCTAACGGCCACGCCGCCGATGGAAACCCGTGTGGCTGTGAATGGTAAGGTCGCCATGCATGTTGGGTTGATCGTTGATCTGTCGATCATACGGCTTGAATTATGGGACAGTCACTAGTTCGAATGATAACGTGCAGCTGGTAACGTTGAATCGGTGCTGTGCCTTTAGGAGAATCTAAATATCAATATTGCAATCGGTTATTGAACTCCTGACAGAGTTCAAGGTGACCTTTCCAACCTTAGTGCCCCCGTAGGTTGCTGTTGGCTCGCACGGGGGCATCATTTTCGGCCACGCAGACGCAATCAACCCCACACTGATGCCTCAAAGTTGTCACAACGGTTTCCGCCCATGAGGTGAACAGGTTCTTTTTTCGTATTTACATAGTTCCGGTTCGTATCGTGTGGAGGGTGCAGCCTGTCATGAACCGCTTGAGAGAGTTCAATCAAGGGCGATAGAGTTCTACAAGACAAAAGGCCTGGGACCAATGCCCTTCCTGAGACTGTCTTCTCCAGAAACAGAAGTAAAAGGAAGTTACCGCCGTCAGAAATGACCATGGGATACTTGAGAACAGTCTTCGACCGGCGTGGCGGTGGGAGAAATAAGACCTACCGGTTCCGAAATCCGACAGACCCAATCCCCACACGATAGCCTCAGGACTGCCAGCGTAACGCGAAACGACGACGATCCTAGACGAGGTTGCATTTTGGCCATCCAATCGAAAACGTGTGTATCCGTCTACCCAATCCAACGAATAGATGCATGAGCAATCCGAGGAAACACCGTATTCAGGCCGTGCTCTGCAGTGCCGTTTTGCTTTGAGTAATGTCGTTCGCTTTCTTTTCCCAGTCACAACTGCCCGTACAAGGCGGTGTAAACCCCAGTGTCGATCGGACCGAGCTGATCGTATGACTGCCATAGATAACGGTGTTGAGTATTGCCGAGGTGACACACAACGAATCGCCTTTCGGGTTCCCAATGATGTCAAGACTGCAAGACATGAAGGCTTTCTGCCATAAATGACGCTGGGAACGAACACAATCTTTCAGAGACGTCTTGTTTCTAGTCACTGTGTCAAGTTGCGACGGTGATCTCCTTTCGGAAACCTCAGCATCCGAGAGCGCCTCTTGGTATGGCCGTGGGATACCGGACGCATCTGCAGACTATTGCCACCATCAAAGGCAAGTTAGGCTGAACGTGGTTGTCTCTGGGCTTTCTCAGGAGAGAAGAGGCTTCTCGGCTTTGAATACCAACTGTCCCAAGGCAGCATCAATAGGCAAGTATGTAGCCGGAACATTTCCTTTCGCCCTCGGAGCTCCCCCCTATCTGACATCCCGCAGCAAACTGTTTGAAAGCGCCGCCGACGATCCGAGGCTTGCCCTACACGACACATGTCCAAGCAAGCTATGCGAGCCTGGCTCTGACGTCGAGAACTAGAATGACAACAAGCACAACGACGACTCCAAAACGAAGCTTCCACCACCTACAATCACCGGCAAGTATACTGTCACGGCAGGAGGAACCTCTAGTATTGATGTGCAACTCTAAAAGACAAAGGAATCGCCAAGCCCTGTCCCGGGCGGTTCAAGAATCCAAAGTCAAAAATTATATGGCGATACAACAATATTCTGAAAGAGTCGCCTCTTGAGAAGGCACAACATAAGAAACGCTTGAACGGCCGAGGACTCTTCTCGTCGATTCCTCACAACACACTGCGTTAGGGGGCATTGTTGAGGAAGTTTCGAGCCCACCCAGTAGGGGGTTCCAGCGTCGGGGTGTTATCGTAATATACCTCGATTGGCGTCGGTGTAGAGGAACTTCCAAGCCGGCTACGGCTCGATTCGTAGCGTCTGCATGTTTGGTGGGTTGCTGTCTCGTTGACGGCATGTCAGGTAACGTGGCGAACTGCTTCCCTGGAACTTTTTCGTCTTCTTATCTGCCTAGTATGGCAAGAATCCTGAACATGGTCGTTGTCTACAGTGTAGAGCTGTGACCTAGTGACGCTTCAACAACTCAGCTGGGTTCTGTCCGTCTCTCTTTACTTGTTACGTTTGCACTTCTCCCAGGCCTGGTGTATCATTGACCGGAGCTCATGATATTGGGACGTTGTGAGTATTTAACAGCTTTCTGCATATGTATGGGTCTACCTCGAAAGTCTCTGCATCCACTCGTACGCCTAGTGGTCTATGATGATTCCAATCAGTGGGCCGCGGTACGTGAGTTCAATTAGACGGATGACACAACAGACTTCAAGGTAGACAAAAGTTATAATGAATCTTATAGATTTAGTCTGAACTACATATCCCGATGTAGCCCGCACAGCACTAGTACTTTTATACACAATTGTGACAGTCGTAGATGGTATAACCCTTCCGATCCCGAGGACGGAGAAAAAAGTAAAAAATAGACACAAGAAAATATGGACAAAGGCCAGCAGCAATTTTCGCTCAAGAAAGCCAGCCCCCAACCGCAATCCTTCAACACACATAAATACCATAACCCCAAAGAAAATCCCCAACCCAAAGACGTTTAAGAATCCCAAATGGGCCCAAACGCAGGAATACCTCTGCTCTCCATCTGGTACACAAACTTATTCGTCGTCGGCCCGTTCGATATGATGGCAACGCACTCGGCGCCGCTCTCCTTGTACACATTGTACGCGAGCTGCACGAGGTTCGGGCGGCCGAGCTGGTCCGTGTCCCAGATGAGCGCGTCCGGGTCCGCCTTGAGGATGGTGTCCATGATGCCCTGGCCGTACGTCTTGAGCGGGTTCTTGGTGGACCACACCACGCGCGCGGGGACGCGGCGCTCCATGAGGACGGGCAGGCAGGGCCCGATGCCGGAGCCGGTGGCGACGAGGACCATCTTCTTGAAGAGGGGCGCGACGGCAAGGACGCCCGAGGCCGGGGTGCCGCGGGTCCAGATGGAGGTGGGCGGGTTCTCGATGATGCGCTTGGTCCAGTCGCCGGCCTTGGAGACGACGATGGAGAAGCCGGGGCCGTCGGGCTCGGGGATCGCGGCGAAGGCGTGCCACTCGACCATGGGGCGGTCGGTGATGCGCACGCCGCGCGAGGTGCAGGGCCCGGGGGTGGTGAAGTCGAAGTGCAGGCGGACGGCGTGCTTGGAGAGGGGCTCCGGGACGACCTTGACGCGGCGGAGGCGCATCCAGGGGAGGGCGATGCTGAGGGTGGTGAGGGCGACGAGGTAGAGGGCGGGCGTCTTTGCGAGGGTGGCGCCGAGGGGGGCGGTGGGCGAGGCGGAGGAGGCGGCGGTGGCGACGACGTGGGCCCAGACGAGGGCGAGGGCGGACCAGCCTGCGAAGCGGTGCGTCCACTCGAACTGGTCGTGCATCTTGCCGCGGATGGAGGGGTACGCCATGACGAGGATGGCGAGGAGGAGGAGGAGGATGAGGTAGGTGAGGACGAGGGTGATGAGGGAGACGGAGTGGAGCGGGTTCGAGGCGAGGAAGTTGCCGGTGGCGGCGCCGGTGAAGATGACCCACCAGACGGTGGCGGAGACGGCGCAGCCGGAGTGGACGCCGCCGTTGTGGTAGACGCGGGCGAAGTGGCGGCGGATGGCGAGCGGCACAGAGGTCGGGACGCGGGAGCAAAGCCAGAAGATGAAGTTGACGACGTAGTCCTGGCGGAGGAGGACGGCGCCGAGGAGGTTGGCGGCGACGGCGGTGGCGAGGTGGTTCAGGGGCAGGGAGAAGTTGTTCTCGCGGGCATCCCACAGGAGGAAGACAAAGGTGGCCAGGTTGGCGAGGAAGATGACGCCGAACAGCTTGCGGTAGGCGTTCAGGCCGCGATGGCGGATCCAGCGCCAGCCGTGGAAGCCGTTCTTGGAGGGGAGCTCGTAGTCTTCCTGCTTCTCTGCCTCTTCTTCCACGAAGGCGGCAGTCTTCTCGAGGTCTGGGTCGCTGCCATGCGAAGGGATGACGGTGAAGTTGCGAGAGTCGACGAGCGTGCAGCCAGATTCGCTCTTCGTGGGGGATGCCACCTCTGTCCTGATGGAGGAGGCGGAGGAGCCGGTCTGGGGCGTGGACATGGAGGTGGAGATGGGCGGGAGGGGAGGAGAAGGAGTGGCGCCGCCAGCGATATCCCGGAGCACGCGCTTATCAACCTTGCCGTTGGGTGTGAGCTCAATGACCGGGAGATACTTCCAGACCGTGGGAACAGCGTAGAAGGGCTGGCCCTCGCCGACGATGGTCTTGAGCTCGGCCTCGTCGATGGGAGCGGCAGCGGAGTAGAAGCCCCAGAGGCGGTCCTCGATCTTGAGCGCGCAGCCCTTGGTGACGGCAGAGTGCTTCTCAATGGCGCGGGAGACGCCGTCGAGCTCGACGCGGAAACCAGAGATCTTGACCTGGTCGTCCTTGCGGCCGAGGGGCTCGAGACTGCCGTCCTCCAGCCAGCGGGCCAGGTCGCCGGTGTTGAACATCATACGACTGTGAGTTTTAATGTCAGTGGCGTTTTCTCTCGGCCGGGTTAACGGGACGGTGGGAGGAGGGAGGGAACTGGACTAACCCGTCTTGAGTGAACTTGTCCAGCTTATATCTCTGAGAGGTTAGCTCGGGCAGGTTGAGGTAGCCTCTGGACACGCCTGGACCGCCGGCCCACATGACACCCGGCTGGCCGATGGGGACGGGGTTCTCGTTCTCGTCGAGGACATAGACGTTGGTGTTGGGGTTGGGCTTGCCGATAGACAGCGTCTTGCCGGGCTTGTGGAGGTGCGCCGTATTGAGAATGCTGATCTCGGTCGGGCCGCAGACGTTCCAGAACTTGATGTAGGGCGCCCACTGTTCGGCGAGCGCCAACGGGCAGGGCTCGCCGCCGACGGCGATGGTCCTGATGTTGGGGAAGTCCTCACGTTTGGGCATGTGCTTGAGGACGACTGACGGTGTCGCGATGACGGTGTCGACGCGCTGCAAGCAGTCCGTCCAGAGGTCGTTGCCGCTGCCCCTGATGTGCAGGGTTCCGCCGTTCATCATTGTTCCCAGAATCTCCCATGCGCCTATCCGTGTGCCGCGTCAGCCAAACAATGAAAGCTGAAAATGGGAATTTAGAGTTTGAGACATTTGACTTACACATATCGAAACCGACGTTCAACTGTTGCGCCACATTCTTTCCCACACGGATGCCCAGCTTCGACGGCTCCGCTAGAAGGGTGTTGGTAACGCCCTCGTGTCTCACATCCACGCCCTTGGGGCGGCCGGTGGTGCCCGAGGTGTAGATCACGTAGGCGCCGTCCTCGGGCTTGACGATCACGCCGGGGTGGCCCGCGTTGCCGTGCTTCCACAGCCAGCTGTTCGCGTCGAGGTCGACGACTCTCACCACATCTCGCCTGTCGTCGGGTATGCTGCGCAGGACCTTCTCCCTGAACTTAGGCAGGCACAGCACGACGGGGGCGCCGGAGTCGGCAATGTCGTAGCCGAGGGTGTCTTCCGGGATGATGCCGCCGTCGAGGGGGACGTACTGGCCACCGGCCTTGAGGACGGCGAGGATGAAGACGACCATCTCGATGCAGCGCGAGTAGACGAGCACGACGCGGTCCCCCTTCCTGAGGCCGTGGGTGCCCCGCAGCTCGTTGGCGAGGATGTTGGCGCGGCGGTTGAGCTCGCGGTATGTGATCGTCGTGCCATCGTAGTGGCGGACGGCGGTGACGTCGGGATGCGCCGCGGCGATGGACTCGAAGGCGTGGTGGACGACGTGGTAGGGGATCACATCACTCGGGCCCCTGCTGAACTGGTTGAAAAGCACTCGATCCGCCAGGGAGAGGCTTTCCAGCGAGTGGAAGGAACGCGAGGAGACCATGATTAGTAGAGCTAGAAGTTGATGCTCTTGAGTGATTGTGCCCACCAGTGACGCGAGGGATAACCATAGCTCGAACGAGGAGAGGTGGGAACCGCGAGGCAGATATATCCCTATCCGCCTGCTGCGTCTAGACCATCAACATGCCCACGCCCCCGTTGTCTCCATGTCAACTTCCTTGCCATGTCTCGCCTTGCTCGTCTGTGTGTACCGGTAGGCGCGTGGCCATCTCGCGAGATGCCAAGACGAAAGGCCGTGCAGAAGCCCTGTCATCCGAACCACAGCTCCATCCCGTTTGGCAAATTCGCCAAAAACCTGCGTCGAGCTCCGTGAACGAACAAGGTTACAGCTTCTAGAACACCCTGGCCAGACGCCGAGGGATGGATATCAGGGCTGGGCCTCGTTGCTTCTTTCAGCTCCTGCCTACTACGCAGTGTGCAGAACAAATGTTTTAGATGCGGTGGAGAACCGGGCTGCCTGTTCTGATGAGCTAGGTAGGTAGCAAGCAGGACGGAGGAGCTTTCTCACAACACCATGGGGGGGCCTTGTAATCGGACGTCTTCTGGGAACCGTCAAACCGTAAACGAAAGCAGCAACGGACGAGCGGATACTTGGCCGCACTCCGCAAAAGCCAGGGATCATGACGGGATGATGTGCTGGATGATGGGCGCAAGCAGCAGGTGTCCTGGAAGCATTTTGCATCCATCACCAAGAAAAAGCCCCGAGCGCCAAGGGGCACACCGGGGCACGGTCGAGAATACGCCTCCCTTACGAGCGCGTGTAGTACGAGTACAGGCCTAGTAGTGCTGGAGATTTGCCGTTAGTCTGCAGGTATCCATAACCATAACACGGTATCCGTAGAGAGCAAGTAGTAGGCCAAACCGACTAGGTTGAATTTAGGGCCCCAAAACGGGCAGAAATTTGGTTGTAACGCGCCTGCGGCCCTGTCTCCATCCCGCGGTAACAGTTGTTGTGCGGAACAGCTGTGCGGAACGGCGGGGCTGGCCCGGACGAGACCTCCAAATGCGGGAAAAACGGAGGTCGATCCGGACCAGATCCGCCCAATGCGGCAGCTGTTTCCTCAGGACTTGCTGTTGCTGGCGGACCTGGACCTTGGAGGACGTGAAGTTGGACTGTAGCAAGGGACTTTGTGGACGGGACGTCAGGATTTAGGGGCTCCCTTGAACATCCCCCGGTGCAGGGGAGTAGGGGTAAGGGGACGGGGGGAGAAGGGTTCGTCAGGGGGGGCTTACAAAGTTGTTGTCAATCAGTCCCATTACTTGACGGATTGCTCCCTTCAGTACGTACCATCGATCGTGGAGGATTTGTCAGGCGCTTGCGGATTCACAGCCGATGCGTGAACTTTGACGACCCCTCGTCATCTCTGTGCTGTGCTCCGTCTCGAACAACTTTCTCTCAACCCACGTCCCGTCCCTGATGCGTTGATGAAATGATGTTGGTGGTGTCGCCTCCTCCCCGGTTGGGCGACGGTCGCCGGCCGCCCGGGGTAAACCCTGATCTTCGCGGCTCCTCACGCCTGTTTTGACCGTTCACAGTGTTCGGCCGCCCTCCCTCCCCCTCATCAACTGCACTCAACTCGCCCTCTGATTATCCGCACTGCTGCTCCTGTGCATTTTTGGAGGCTCCAGTCGGATGCGACCCTGAAAAGGGCCCTGCGACGCACTGTTTCCCCTCACCCTCGTCGGTCGGCCGAATTCGGTCATAACAGGGCGGCCCTCCTGGACTGCGCGCTCGGTGTTAGTGAAGAAGCAAAACCTCGTGAGGGGAAAGAAGCAACGACGGAAAAAATAAAAAAAGTATCAAGAAGAAAACGTCCAACTTCTTTGTCTCTCTTGCCATGTGCTCACCACGCTTTTGACTCTCATTCCAAGTCAATTCCAACCGGTCCCCCGTCCGTTGTCTCCATTTCTCCAATTTCGCCCATCACGTTTTTGCTTGTTTTTTTCTCCCGCTTTATCGCCATTCCGAGGTTTTTTTCAATATGGACAGCCTGCAAACGCTCGAGTTGACCGTGGAAGCCGACAAGGGCGTCGCTCTCGTTCGATTCAACCGCCCGGCCAAGAGAAACGCCTTCTCTCAGGTCATGATCGGCGAAATTATCGCGACACTGGTGCATCTCGATGCCTTGGAAGCCGTCCGCGCCGTGGTCATCACCGGCGGCCCTGATGGGCCCTTTTGCGGTACGTTTCGTCTTCCGTCCAGTTTTCCAGCTTCCAGCTTCAGCACTCGAGACATGTCCATGTTTCTTTCCCCAAAATTTCCTGCATCCCACAAGCTCTACTGTTGGCCGTTTGGGATCTTGAAGTCTTGGTGCGACAGACAAACACCCCCTCATGCGTTCGAAATCTCGACCCCCTCCCCTCCCCTTCGCTTTTCCCCTCGGCATCTGCGGTTTCTTGCAGTTGCTTGTCAATCAACGCGCGCAGGTTGGCCTGGCCCCCCTTACCACGTGCATCCAGGCGCATCACCAACAGGCGCGGCGCCGCACACGGCAGTCAAGCCTGAAAGGCACCGACAACTGCCATCCCATCTCCATCTGATTCCCCACGGACGTGATACACAAGGGCGGTGGTGGGCCCTGCCTCCGTCCGTCGTTGGAACGTCGACGTTTCTGAATCTCTGAAACGTCATGAAAATCCTCGACGGGGGCCCCAGCAGGCGGACCTTTCATCTAATCTAATGGACACCATAACGTTAGCTAATCCGTTTTATGGTGCAGCCGGAATGGATCTGAACGAGCTGGTGCAGATCTCCACGGCAGAGGCCCACAACAGGGCCTTCCTCAAGGACCTAACAGACGCCTTTGCCAGGTTCTCCAAGCCCATCATCGCGGCTGTCGTCGGATTTGCCGTAAGTTGTTTTCCGCGTCGTCGTCGTCGTGCGTTTGGCGTCTTGGCTGGGCTATAGGCCGCTTTGGCGCCCTAAGGCGACTCCCCCCGGTCCAATTGCTTTCTTTTCCTCCCTCCAGAACTTGGAAAAACCTGGCTAATGCGCGAGCCTCAAGTTGGGCGGTGGCTGCGAGATTGCCCTGGCGGTAAGTGACATGAGCCCCCCCCCCACGGTCCTGCTGCTAGGCGAGAAAAGTCGCTTTGGGCGTGTACTTCGTACGTGCTGTGCTCATCACATTCGATAGTGCGACATGATCTATGCCGCTGAGGACGCCTCCTTCGGCCTCCCTGAGATCAAGATCGGAACCATCCCGGGTGCTGGCGGAACTCAACGGCTGGCGCGCGCCCTTGGAAAGCACAAGGTAAGTCAAGCCGAGAACGAAGATCAACTTAAAGTTTGACCCGTTCATCTTTATCGACTCACTCTCCAATGAGCTAGCGCACTGCGCCCTAGAGATAGATTGAACTAACGGTTGTTAGGCTATGGAGTTCGTCCTGACGGGCGATTCAGCAAGCGGAGCCGAGTTTGAGCGACTGGGCGTGGTCAACAAGGTGTTCCCGCGCGCAGAGGTCGTCCCAGCGGCCCTCAAGCTCGCTGAGCGCATTGCCGTCATGTCGGGCCCCGTCGTCAAGACGGCTAAGCAGGCTGTCCTCACCGGTGGGTTCCCTCACACTCTCTCCCTTTTCTCCGTTTGGGGGATGGCTTCCGGATTCCACTTAGGGATCGAGGGGGCGTGTCCCTGTAATTATGACTCGCTGACCCCATCACAGTTGAAAATAGCCACTTGGACGCCGGGATGACCATGGAGAAATCTCTTTACTACTCGACTTTTAGCCTTGGCGATTTCAATGAAGGGATGTCGGCCTTCCTCCAAAAGAGACGTCCCGAATTCAAGCATCAGTAAGTTTCGGGATGGCCCCGCAGCAATCGGTCGCTGTGCGACGCCAATAACGGGGTGGCGCACTGCAAGGGGCGTTGTAACGGTATTTCGACGTCGGGAGCATAGTGCTTGATGACTCGAGCCAACACTGGCATGTGCTCATGGCATCACGGAGTCCTTCTTGCTGGGCCCGCGCATTCCACGGTTTCCGGCGCTTGATACGCGCCTGTGGCTGTAGACGTCGGTTGATTAAACTCATGTAACCCGAGTAAATAGGGAAGCTGTTGTACTGAGCCCCTCTAGACGTAAACTTGTTCAAGGCAAAGATCCGTTTAAGCTCTAGTGAATTGACCTTGGCACAGATCGTGTCACTATGCTCCTGCTCGATTGAGGTGTCAAGCGAACACAACGGCGGCAGCGACCTGTGCATTGCAGGCTGACAAGTTGTCTCGATAGTAGGCTGGGACAACAATTGCACCGGCGGCTGGTGGCTTTCGGGAAGCTGCACAGCTAGCACACAGACTGCTTGCTGGCAGCGTAGCATGCAGCGCATCTGCCGGAAGCATCCGCCACTTCGCGCCATAAGCACATGCTTTTTGATGATTTAACGACTTGCCATTTCTGTAAAAGGTCCTGTTTCCCCTGTTATCGCCTCTAGGAATACATCACAAAACATGCTGCTTTTGACTCCATACCGTTGCCCTCCGTGCCGTGTCTTGTCCCTAGTGTTTTTCGTACAAACTGCAGTCTTCCGTCGGTTGACTGCGACTGCGCCATTTACCCGCCAGCAGCACTGCAACGTCAGACCGTTGTAGTGCCAATGTCAAAGATTGCATTGCGCCACCCGTCTCTCTGATATTCGTGCACTCGGTCGCCTGCCAGGGCCGCCTCCTCGTTCCACATTTTGACGAGACTGCCGGGGGCATAGACCCCCTTGAAGACACCCCGGCCGGGTTGCGCAACGCCCACTCGGGTGTAGAGATCTGGATCCTCCGGAGGCACCAATCTCGCTGCCACGGCCTTGAGGAATGTCCACAAGTCCTGCGGGTCGGCGATGCGGGTGGCCCTGAGCCGCTCACGAGCAAAAAGAAGTTCTCTGTTAGCGAAATGAAGCAACTCGCCGATGCTGGCAGCAATCTGGGCTTCCAATGCGGCCTTGACAATTGGTCGTATAATCGGCTTCAGCACCCAAGCGAGGCAGGCGAATTTACTCTTGCGGAGCGTATAATCGAGATGGTGGATGCGAACTCGGACATTGTGAAGAGTCAATATGTCCTCAAGTCGCTCCTTTCCGACCTCCACATCAATGGCAACATCGATCCCCCGCTCATCAAGGTGGAATCCAGCGATGCCAGCATCGGCTAGCCTCAATATTCCCGAATGAAGGCGGAGCCAAAAGCCCAGATCCTCTGCGGCAATTGACAGGCCCGATATGGTAATTCGCATCAGCGTTTTCACTGTGGAAGTCGTCCGGAAGCGGGCCTTGCGAATTTCGACATCATTCTGGGTCGATATATTGATCTTGTAGGGGAGGAAAGAGCTGTTGTTGACGGTGCGTCCTGGTTCCAAAATTAGGTTCTCCAAAAGGAGGTCGATTGCCGGTGCTGAAACCTCCAAGCGAGGAATTGGCACGTATTGAACAGCCTGCACGAGCAAGGGGATGAAGACGTTGACAGAGTCGGCCACCAACTCCCCGTTCGTGTATTGGTGGGCAGGCGACAGGATTTTAAGAATTCTTTGGGTGGTGTTGAGCACCTTTTTGATGTCGGCATCTTCAAGCACTGAGTGCAAGGCCAGTTGGACTTTGTCGAGCAACGCGTCAAGATCATCCCTGACGGATGACTCGGATGTAAGCTCTTTTGACTTGGCCCTCAACTCCTTGAAACGGTCTTCGGCATGTTCGAAAAAGTCAGGATCTGTCAACATGTCTTGCAGCAAGTTGCCGATTTGCCTGACGAGCTCGTCAAACTCAGGATCACTCCGGCCATGCTCCATAACAACCTTGAACATGCGTTCGACTTCGTTCCAATGGTTGCGGTCACCGAGAGAGGTCAAAAAGAGCCAGAAGTTGTTAAGGGCCCGGTCCGCCTCAGGGTTGGTGTTGATGTCATCCTGCGCAACTTCGATGGTGTCGGAGATGGCGTGCGAGTAAACCAAAAGATATCGTCTGATCAGAAGAGACAGCGTGGACACCGAGTCAGAGTAGTCTTTGCGGTCGCGCAAGTTCAGAATCGTCTTTTTCAATCGGTGCACGATGGTCTCTTGTTCGTCGCCGGTGACATGATCCACTAAGCTCTGGCTGGCTTCATCTGCGACTTTGGCGACGCCATCAGCAACGACCTGGGAAACCTCGACGACCTCATCCTGGAAGTCGTCCTTGGAAGGGGGAGGCTTCGAGTCCCCGTTCGGATGTCGGAGAGCTTCCTCTTCCTCTTTGGAGGGCTCTATTTTCTTGGCAGCCTGCTTGGACACGTCGGATAGGGTGAAGGCTGTGTCGCGGAACACCTCTCGACCAATGGTGCCGAGGTCCGATAGCAAAAGGCGAAAGTCAGAATTGGTTAACACGAGAGAGCCGACGGTTTGTAAGCTTTTGTATGCTTGGCAATTGTCAGTTTTAAGTCCAGTCAGGCTTTCATCTATTTGACTTTGATGGAACGTGGGGTCCTCCCAGTACACGGCATCTACGGTGTTAAGGTGTCAGTAGGGATCGACCCACCAGCAACTGTATCGGCTCTGGCCCTGGCTTTTGACGCTCGAGCACCAATGTCGTAGGCGTCGATGGACAAGCGAGCTTTCGTCAGATACCAGATAAAATCTTGAATCTGGTCCTGGTCGTTCTTGTGCAGCAGGAGCTCAATCAGCTGCTTGATCAGGAGCTTGACGTTGAGGATGAGTTTGCGCCCAGAGTCGCTGAGGTCTGGCGTGTCGGGGTTAAGGATGTCGCAAGACAGCAGGGTGCGCAGGTTGATGATGAGCTGCTCGTTGGACGGCATGTATCCCTTGCCGAGAGCTCTCAGCATCTGATACGTGTGCAGCTTCTCGTGCAGCCGCTGCTGGAGCGCCGTGTCGTCATTGTAGCGCGGCAGCAGAGGCTCTCGCTCGCGATCCTCGCGTGACTTGCCGAACCCGAAGCAGGACAGCATCGTGCGCCACCTGATATTGAAGCCGTAGGACGATGTGTTGGATATGCGCGTCAACTCATTCATGCCCGAGTCGAATGTGGTGTATCTCGTCGATAAGAGCTTGGAGGTTGTTGACGTGAAGTCGCGACGAGCAGGCGTGTTGCGTGGTGGAATTCGAAGGGTGACCAGCCCATGACGTAGGTGAGTTCGTCCACAGCGCTGAGCGGAGCTTCCCATCCGGCAGGAGGCACGTGCCACCCCAGACGCAGCAGAAGCTTGGGCCCAAAACCGCAGTTGCAGAACCCAAAGCTCAGGCAGCCAACCAGCGCGCCTGCGAATGAGAGACAGGCGATCGTCCCAAATCACAAAGACCCGAAGGCTGCACCTGTGGTTTCACTGCTTCTGAGGTGCGAGCTGTCGGGTCGTGTGCTACAAGTACCGGGATGAGTGGCTTTCCGATGACTGACGCCTCAGAAATGGGGCCGTGAGCTCCGGTTCCCTAGCCCCACTCTCTTCCGCGGTACGTCCGCAGGTCCTCCGCTCCATGTCCGCAAATCTTAAGTATGCTTTTCGGAGGACGAAGATTGCTGCAATCGTACTTATTATAGCATTGTATTTTGATATGTTTGAAGAAGTTATTTGATTGCTAGGTAAATACAGTTACAGTGTAGATATATGCCAGTCTCCAGCTCGCTATTCAGCATAAATAAAAAGACTTCAAAAACGCAATAGAAAATCTCTACTTGTCTATTCTATCACCGTAAACATGACGACCGAATGCAATCCAGAGAAGAATATCCCTTCACTGCATGGGAAAATTGCTGTCATCACCGGCGCAAAGTAAGTCGACTCACCCACATTCAACAAGCCTCAGCTTACACGATTCTTCCCACAGCAGTGACATTGGACGCGAGACAGCCAGATATCTTGCGCTGAATGGCGCAAAGGTGTATCTGGCGGTGCGATCTGAGGCCAAAGGTGTGCAGACACGAAGGCTCATTCTAGACAAAACCCCCGAGATCGAGCCGCAAAATCTCCAATGGGTCAAGATAGACCTCACGGATATGCGTAGCATCACGGCCGCAGTGAATTGGTTGAAGACACAGGAGCAAAGGCTTGACCTCCTGAGTATGTTACTTGCCCATACCCAACCCGGAATAAGAGTCATCCATGCTGACATTTTGGAAGTCCACAACGCAGCAGCAGCAACCTGGTCAAACGAACCAGTTGGCGCGGGATGGGAGCCTCACATGGCTGTGAAGTAAGTTCTATGAGTCAAATACAAGATGTCCTCTCCTGACCAGTGACTGCAGCTTCATCGGCCCCTTTGCGCTCACGAACCGCCTTCTCCCATTACTCCAAAGTGCCGCCGCGGAGAAAGGTGCCGACGTCCGCATTATCACTCTAACCTCCACCGCACAAGTCGCGATGCTACCCATTGGCTTCAAGTTCCCCTTCACCTCGCTCGACTGCCTCCGCAACCCGGTCCCGTCACACCCCTGGCAATGGCGCTATTTCGGCAAGTTCGCCTTTGGCTTCGACATGATTCGCTACGCGGTCTCCAAAGCCGCCAACCTCATTTTTGCGCAAGAGTTGCAGAGAAGGCTGGACAAGCAGGGTTTGCCCATCATATCTGTTGCGGTGCACCCGGGAGAGGTCGCCACAGAGGGCGTGTTCTCGATTAACAACGCCATGGTCAGGACCTTTGCGCGCTTGACGTTTCTCTCGCCGGAGCAAGGTGCTGCAACCTCCCTGTTTGCGGCAGCTTCGAGAGATGTGAAGGAGAATCCGGCTGCATACAAAGGGCGATTTCTGTTGCCGGTGGGGAAGATCGGTGTTCCTGCTTCGGTGGCGTTAGATGAAGAGCAGGTGAGGGGGCTCTGGAATTCCGCCATGGAAGAAGTCAACAGAAGACTAGCGGATGAGAGTCTGCCACCTTTGCAAGCTTGGTAAAAAGTGAAAAAGAGTGAAACGCGGCGAGGTACTGGACCATATACGAGGCAACTTTGATTTTCAATTCACCGTCGAACAGTACCCCGAGCTGTTTATGAAAAGACTTGTCATTTGTGGCTTGTTCCAAGTTCTGTAATTTTGCTTGCAACCAAATCCGAGGTTCACCATGACAGATATATGGAAATCCTCAATACATGACAGATACACTATCGCCAGTACTCACAACCCAACGTTCGACCTTCTCAAGCCCCCACATTATCGTGAACAACAGCCTCGCAAACTCATCAACCTCCGCAGCAGGTATCCCGCGCTCAACCAAGCTCTGCCCGTGCAAGCTATGCAAAAACAACGGATCCGCCTTGCGAGCGCTAGACTCCCACCGCGCGGACGAAGGCGCGTCCCACAGCTCCGCACGCGCGGTGATGCATATATCCCCGCCGCACGTCTCAGATCATGTTGACTTGAGCGCGCCGTACACGCCAGTAGCGATGCTCGTCAGCAGGTACGTCCGGCGGATCGACTCTGACAGGACAAACGCCCGATACAGATTCTGCACCATGTCCGTCGTGTCGGCGCCAGCGTCTGCAGGCAACGACAGGGTATTTGAGCAGATGGACGAGGAGGTTGCGTCGAGCGCGGCAGACTCCCAGAGCTGCTGGGCCCACAGGCGGAGCATGTCGATCAGACTCTCCGCCTTGGCGCGGCGGGAGATGGAGGGAGAGAAAAGGGACAGCAAGAGGTGGATTAGGAGGGCCTGCGTGCGAGCGAGGTGGTCCCTCGTGGTGAGCAGAGAGAACGCCGGCTCCGTCGCCGAGTGGCTGGCGATCAGGTCCAGGATGTAGGTCGCGGAGGTGGCGTCGACCACGTGTTCGTTGTCCGGCGTGACGTTCTGCGCGATGGCGATGGCGGCGTACGCATCTTGGAGGCAGCGGGGCATGCTCGATTCGGTGTAGAGGTTGCGGTGGATGAAGGGGTTGTGGCCTTTGCGGAGGAAGCGGACGAGCCAGTCCTGCAGGCCGCGGACGAAGTTGGTGAACACAGCGGCCGGAGGGATGGATCCCGGTGGGTGGTAGTGGTAGGCGATGGCCCAGGACGGGGAGTTCAGGAACCAGCTTAGACGCTCCACGGTGGGGCTAAGCTGGTTGGGGCTCGATTCGCTGTTCGACTGATTCGGGTTTGTGTTTGAGGATGATGACGATGCCTCGAGGTTGTGGTCGATCCCGAGGGATAGAGTACTCGGCACATCAGCTGCCTGGTCGGAAGCGAAGAAGGTGTCTGCTAAGGCGTCGATACCCTCCACCTGCAGAGCAATGTCGTTCATGTCATCCTGTATTGCGGGCCAGGCTGATTCCAAGTCCCAATTGGAAACGGACTGCGTCCCCGGGTCGAGGTCTGGCGGCGGACGGAGCCGTGACCGGCGGACCGGTGGGTATGCGCAGTCAACGTCCCGATCTAGACATCGGGAACAGGCGGGGAGTGTCCGATCGCAACGCCTCTTGGCCTCAACACATGGAAAGCAAGATGTCTGTTTTGATCTTCGGCCCATTGCGGTGTAACTTGTGATGTTGAGAAAAAAAATTGGCACGTTGTCCGCGTCGCACTAAACACGGAGTTCACGATGCAGGGGCCGCGAAATAGAGTTTCGCTGCGGAGATATTGCGGAGCGGGGGCACCGTTAGATCGACGGCGAATATTTTATGGCTCCGTCTCTAAACACCATTGACTCAATCCTCGAATATCTTCAATTTTATGGCTGATTTCCCAATCGTCGGGAATCATTGCTTTTGTGTGTTTATGGTAGCCGGTGCATTGATAACCAGATCCATAAGAACATGGTTTAGGTGACCGTTCAAGGAAACAAGAATCGGTACATCCGCATTTTCGGCACTACGTCTACTTGGCTAGACACATATAAGCTGCTAAAGAACAATACTGGGCACGTAGCGTCTTGGCTGGAAAAACGGTTCCATCCTAAGGTTCAGGGTCTCAAGTTAAGCCAAGGCCATGAATTAGGTTTCGGGCAGATCCAGCAACGTGGATGCAGGGACTGAGAAACACTAGGTGTGGGATGGAACCTGATCGTCTTCGCAATATATTTGAGTTTGCGCTGAGCATCCATCATCCCAAACTTCAAACATCAAGATCTGATGCCACATTCCATCTCTCGGCAGGGCGGGCCGGCGGTGGAGGTGTTTAGCTGGGCTATTCAGGACTGGTATCGGCATCCCACTCCCATCTCAGAACGAACCGGTGGGATAGGAACTCTAAGAGATTTATAACAACTTTTTAGTAGACATCCGGCGAGGAGTTCTACTCATCCCCTAAGAGAGTGCTAACCAGTTATGATGCCATTCAGCGCAGGCACTGGTCATGAATAGCATGATATGGGCCTGCTACATAGCACTTGAGAGGGCTAGCCTCTAGGCTTTATTTGGCCATCTTTTAGTAGTATTCATGATTCTCTGATATTGGATGGGTTGAACTTGGAGGGAAGACTTCTCTGAGTGGCCAGAACCCCTGGAAGAATCCCTTCAGGAGTGCCAAGAATTGGAAGGATTCACATTGCTGAACGGCGATTCGCTACCAACCATAGGCAGCCACTCCCAAATCTAAGGCAATTAATTGATTGAATTCTGGTCACCTAACCTTGTTCAACGTCATGTTCTTCTAGTTCTTCTCGTACTTCCATTTTCTCCCTCCAAAAAGTTGCTCTTCCGTTACGTAACCAATCGTTATCAGGTTCCAACTGCACGATATTTCAAAGCCAGCACTTTAAGCGCCTTAGACACTCATATTCAGTTCTATCTTGTCGTGGGAGGTAGTGTTCTGGACCAGAAGACCACCATGTCTTCTAGTCACAGTGACAGCGACGCTGTCGTGATTGGCCACGACGACATTAGCAACTACAACCCCGATCAAATTCTGCCAGAGCTCCCCGAGGTGATCGAGAACCTAAGAGCATGGCTACGACCAGCTTAATATGACCTAGACAGCGGCGAATATCGGAAACACCTCTCATCTCACGCCCCAGGCACCGGAGAATGCATCGCATCAAACAGCACATACAATGACTAGCTCAAAGGTAGAGAGCAAGGACTCGTATGGGTCAAGGGCAGACCGAGCTTTGGAAAGTCAGTCCTGGCGTCCAAATCGTTCGATACCTGTCCAAAAACCAGCCAGGAACCCCGGTGCTGTACTTCTTTCGAGAGAACATTGACGCCAACCACGAACCGGCTGCGCTGTTGAGAGACTGGCTGGATCAACTTCTGCTATACAGCCCACCTCCTGCAGAAGCAGATCAAGGGGTACGTCGAAAGCAAGCGATCTCTCAACAGCATGTCGCTTGAGAGCTTCTGTAAAGACCTTCAGATGGCACTTTCTGGTTTACATGAGAAAGCGTTTTGCATCATTGACGCTTTGGATGAGATGGATCGGCACCATTGGAAGTTCATCCGCGCTCTGGGTGAGCTCGGGACTTGGAAGCCTCACAAAGTCAAAGTGATCTTGACCAGCCAAATCATGCCTGATATGAGCCACTCATGAGAGATCTCAATCATTCTCAAATACAACTTGAGTTTGGCATAGTTAACGTCGACATTGCCACCTATGTTCGAGCGATTTTGGGGTGTTCAAATGTACCTCTAGAGTACCAAAAGGTCTTCAGGGAGGCTATCCCAGGTCAAGCGCATGGCCTCTTCTTGTATGCCAAACTCGCCATGGATATCTTCCTCAAGCCAGGAGCCAGTGCCCAGGAGGTTCTGCAAGCTCTCCTTAAGGATATGTCGGTCATATACTCCAATCTGCTCCGTGAGCACTCACGGAGGTCTGGCGTTCCCGAAGATGTTCAGATCTTCACTCTCTAATGGACTACGCACGCTATCCGTCCACCTAGCCTAATGGAGATGGAGATGGCCGATGTCATCAAAGTCACTCATGCTAGTCTCGCCAACCAAGACCTCACGCTCAGCAAAGACAGCGTGAGAGCAGCCTGTGGCTCTTATTGGAAATACTGCCCGATGAGACCGTCTGTGTGATCCACCACACATTCAAAGAGTACCTCACAGATATCAACAGGAACCACGACGCTGGATATCATATTCTGACCTTCGGAGAGACGAGCGCCAGACTTGGTTTAGCATGTTTGAGTTATCTACAGGCTGGGCGCCTCGATGAGATGAATCCCGAGAAACATGAATCACCAAAGCGTCCTGCAAATAAACCCAGACGCGGCTGCAAAAGACATGACACTGCCGAAGTAAACTTGGAGTATCCCTTTGCTTGCTTATGCAGCAAGCAACTGGTACGACCATATTGTCAAATCGGCCTGCGAAGGTTATCCACAGAAGGGGATCGATCAGGCACTCGAGATGTTTGTTGAGAACAATCATTGGTTGAGGATATGGCTCGAAATGCGCTGGGAAGAAGGACATGGCGGCGTAACGCCATTGCATGTCGCGGCCAGATATGGCTTATGTGAGTAGGTGAAGCATCAGCTCACCGTACCGGATGCCGCCGTCAATCCTGTAGATATTAATGGCAGATCGCCTCTTTTTCTGGGCTGCTGAGTCTGGCAGGAAGGACATCGTGAAATCTTTGATCGATCCTCTCTGGACCAAATTGCTGCTAGAAAGATCTGTCGACCCAAATAATGCCGACAACAAGGGCTACATACCCCTTCACAACCCGGGAAATACAGACAACATGTCTCAACTGATTGAGACTGACCATGCAGATATCAACGCGGCTATACCTTCAAATGGGAAGACACCGCTCTTCTTCTTCCTCGATCGCAACGCTACATTTCTGGCTCACAAATCCCTAGACTATGGCCAGGACTGCAAGGTCGTGGATAGGGAGGGTAATGAGGAATTGCACGTGGCCCTCGGTAAGTCCAACTCAGACGCCAGAATCATCAAGAAACTGATCGAGGCAGGCACCGACGACAATCTCAGCAACAAGTCTGACATAACACCTATGGACGTCATGAGGCTATCAGGCGAATACGCGAAAGAGATTTGGGGCATGTTACTCCGTGCCGGTGCTGACATCAATGCCAAAGACAAATATGGCCGTACCGCACTTTTTAGGATGGTCAAGTCCCGTACTTCCAAGACCCTCACAGAGACATGAAGGTATTGATAGAACTGGGCGCCACCCTTGACACATGCGATGCCAAAGGTCGCAGTTTGTTGCACGAAGCTGTGAGAAGCCATCCTGGGATCTCAAAGAGACTTTTCCATGATCAGGAACATCCTCGACTGGACCTTTTCTTCGGCCAAGGACTTGATCCGCAGGTCGTAGACAGCGATGGAAACACTTTGCTCCACGAATTCAGCTGGCATCCATCGAACTTCGATAACTTCACCAGCGTCATTCCTGTCTGGAAGCAGCTCTTGGATCTGAGACTAGATCCTGAGAAAACGAACCAGAAAGTCAGGACGCCACTTCAGAACCTGCCATGTAAGGCCCATCGAGGGTGGGGCGAGCCGGACGCGACATACCCCATGGATCTGCTCCTCTCACGAACGAAAACCATCGATGCCGCTGATGAAGACGGCATTAATCCGCTGCACATTGTCGTCACCACTTCAGAGTATCATGCCAAGGAGCTGATCGACGCAGGTGCTAACCAGAATGTTGCAACTAATGAGGGGTTGACACCACTCCATCTCGCTATTAGAAGCAGGCAAAGCAACATCGTCGGTTGATTATTAGACTCTCTTTGCCAACCAACTGGATTCGAATACGCACGCCTAGGTGCTTGGCTCGCAGATGATTGCAACTTGCTTATCCCCTGTGTCAATAACGAAGACAACAAGGGTCAAACACCTCTCCATTACGCTTGTAAATCAGGCCGCCCCGAAATTGTTACTACCTTATGCTGCTCCGTGCAGACGCCAATGTCAAGACCTCCGGTCTTCGCGAGGCTTGCGACCTTTTCGGAGTGGAACATGCGCTGTGGAATGCTCCTCATAGACGTGCCCTTGAGCCAGGAAATGGAGACGCAACTGGTCTCTAACTCTCAGACTTGTCCCGTCCCCAGTATGACGGCAACAATCATCTGTTAAAAGACACAGCCAGTCTCGGTGAGATTATCGACATGCTTCTTGATAGGGGCGGAGATCTCTCATGGCCTTGGGAAGGACGGCGATGGGATGAGAAGCCTCGCGGGGGTTTCGACTACCTCCTTGGGATGTGGAGATTGCAGGTGATCTCAGGTTTTGGACTGAAGCATTGCAGACGCGTCAACTTGCTCTCTATCGACATCGATTTGGACACGCAGAAGCTCCATTTGATGAGCAGCTCGTCAAGTACCGTGGCGAGGCACCCATCACGGCGTTGCGGGACTATGATGGTATCAAGAAGGGAAGGTCGAATCGAAGACTGCTTTGTTCGATATTACAGCGGCGCCATTATTATCTTGTGGAAGAGCTTTTCCACTGTGGTATCGATTTCTTTGCTGAAAACCGGCGTCTAGGGCTCACCAGTCTAGAAGAAATAATACGTGGCGGCTTCACGTGTTTGGTGAATCGCATCATCCAGCTGGAAGCCAAAAGGAGACAAGAAGATGGCGTCTCTCGTGTAGGAAGGAACACAACAAACCCGACAGCCGGAATCGATTCGTCTTGGGTGCGGAAGAAGGAGTCAAACAAAAGTTTCAGGCCATTCATTCTGGAAGCCATCCATATGGAGCTTCCAGTCTTCGACGTAATCTGCCTTTTAGTTGAAGACTTCGGCGCTGGTATCAACGAAATGAGTTGGAGCGCCATGAAGCTTGGCAACGATGAGATGCAGACCATGCAAAGTGCTCTACATATCCTTGCTAGAGGGAATCACTGGTGGCATGTCGCACAAGCTCTGCCATATCTCATCGGACGCGGCGAGAACCTCGAGCTGAGGAACGATAAGGGGCCAACGCCACTTCAAATTGCCCTTGAGTGCGGAGAAAAGATAAGAATTGGGCCATTCCACCGCAATGCAGCTCGACCGGCTACTCGTTTTTGGAAGCGCGAACGCGAATGCCGTTGACACGATGGGGCGGACATGTCTCACATATGCCGGTTCTGACGCCGAGATGATTCTACTCTCAATGGAGCATGGGGCTAATGAAGCGGGCGTGTGTTGAAGTTGTTCCAGCATGGGGAGACTGAAGACGAGGGAAGGAGAAGCTGAATGAATGGTGATGCCATCTTTGGTCTGGGATGATGGGATTGCGGGGACGGGCGCATACGGTTTCTCTATGCGAGATGTATCACCATATCATCAATGCCTGCAGATTGATTATCGTACTTGCTGCCTGAAGAACTGATCAGTCTAGACCATTGGATGGTGACCGGGGTGCGCGGCTTGCGCGGTCTCCGCGAGTGTTCTTTGGCCTGCTAGCCGAGGTCTTCAGCGGCAGACTAGTCTCGATGGCATTTCTTGGCGTCGCTGAGCCCTTGCCATTTCCATACCAAGCCCGAGAGACGCGCCGTTGCTCCAGTTCCAAGTTCGCACCGCGCATTCTGGGCATGATCGGCGGCTACGATTGCCTTCATGCAGTTGTTTGAGGCTGGACGTGGGCTGTCAAAGTTCCCCGTGGGGAAAAGGCTCCGCAGGTTCATCTGGACCGCAATTGCCCGTGGAGAAATGTTCTAGACTTTGTCCTACACGAAAGTTCTATCTGGGTAAGGTGTCTTAGTGGGAAGGATAAGTTCATCAGGTGAGGCAATAAAGTGATGGGCTAATGGCTTTTCAATAACCTCACGGGGAGTATCGGCTGTGGAGTGTCGGCGTCGGCAAGACGTGGAGTATCGGCCGCGGCTACTTGGACGGGGAACAAGACGCTTGTTTGGCAAGGAGGTGCCTGGCCACGAGTGAGCTGAGATGGAGGACGCATCTGCCGATGTCAACACCGGAGCATTCCTTGGCCATGTCGCCTCGCTGGTTGCAGAAATTGGGGATCAACGAGAGGCAGCCAATTGCGACCGCGTTCCTGGCTTGATCCGGGGGGGTCGTGTGGGGAACAAGGACTTTGAGACCGAAGATGCGGGGAGTTAGGTGACCAGGGTCAGTTGTACCGAGACTTGGATTTCGGGTTTGATTGCCTGCCGGGTGTTGAGTGAACTATCATCAGGGGGGAATAACATCGAGATGTGTGTATTCTGGCTGGCCGTTCCACTGCGATCGAATTGTCGTCAATTCAGTGTTATCAATAGCAGGTCAACCTTCATTAACCGCCGTTGATGAGCGAAGAACACTCCTTGCAGGCCCCACGTCTCGTTCTGGACTCTTCCGACGGATAGACCCGTCGCCGCTGTATCAAGTGGAAGAGACATATTTGTGAAAACAATCATCATAGTCTATGCTGGCTCTCAAATAGATAAATTCACGTATAACTAAAGAAGAGGTCCGCGTTGCAACTGATGCATTTCAGTCCAACATGACCCTGACACAGCCACGCCTTCTCGCTGTAGGAACGAGTCAACGAATCCAGCCACGCGAGTCGAAAAGGAAGGGCCAACCGCAATTCTCACTTGGCATTGGCTGTGACTCCCCGCATTCAAAGGCCCGACTCAATGGAGAACATTGGTCTCCGCGTTTCCCCAGCGGCGCAGAGGCCCAACCCGGTTTGAATCCCCCACGAATCCACTTTGAGGCCATGGAACAATACCTGTCAAAAGCGAAAGAGGCCTCGTCTCGCGCGTTCGCGGCCTGATCAACCGCGTCATTGGCCCACCTCCGCAGTTGCATGAACAGGGGGCTATGCGGGGTATTCTCCTTGATACCCCATGAACAAGATGAATTGTCCGATGTTCTAGCGAATACACCCATCTCCCTGTAAGTCGGAGGCTAGGGGCATCTCGGTCGACGCCAAGATGATACAACGGGGCGGCATGGCACGTCGAAATACTTTAATAGCCATAGCTTCGCCCTCTCGATTTCTCAAAATTCTGCCCGGGCCCAGAGCCGCAGTTCTCTCGACAACTACCTCACCTCCTCTCCCGACCTTCCCAGGCTTTCAACATGGGCCGAAAGAACTCAGCAAACGCAAAGGCCGTCGGCGCCGAGTTGGCCGCCGTCCTCCCGGACATCGGTCCGTGGTACAAGCAGCCGCACATCCTACGCCTCAACCTATGCATCATCTCCATCATGATGTGCGCCTCGGCCAACGGATACGACGGTTCCATGATGAATGGCCTGCTTGCGCTCCCGCAATGGCACGCTTTCATGAACCAGCCCACCGGCCCGTGGCTGGGATTCGTCAACGCGGCATACTCCCTCGGTAACGTCCTCGTATACCCGGCCGCCGCGTGGGTGTGCAACAAATATGGCCGCAAGGTCGGAATATACATCTCCTGGGTGTTTCTGGCAATTGGTACAGCGGTGCAGACGGCAGCACCGAATGAGGGCGCTTTTGTAGCCGCCAGGTTTATAATTGGTTGTGCTTCTGGGTTCTTCCTCTCGGCGCCGCTGCTAATCACCGAAAACGCGTATCCTACTCATCGCGGAGTTGTATCCTCACTCTACAACTGTAAGATCCACTGCTCATCTCCTCTCGACAAGATTTATGCTGACTCTATAAAGGTATGTGGTATGCTGGAGCTGTCGTCGCGGCTTGGTGTACCTTCGCCACGAGGCATCTCACCGAGTGGTCTTGGAGAATGCCATCCCTCCTCCAGATCGCCCTCCCACTCTTGTCGGCTCCGGGTCTGTTTCTGATCGGCGAATCGCCCCGATGGCTTGTCTCCGTGGACCGAGTCGACGAAGCTAGGGTGGTCATTGCCAACGCACATGCTGGTGGCGACATTAACTCTCCTTTGGTCAACTTCGAGATGATGGAAATCGAGGAAACGATCCGCGCGGAGAGGGAGGCGCACACAGCCACGACGTGGGCCGATCTTTACAGCACACCTGGAAACAGGCACCGTCTGTTTATCTCTGTTAGTTTGGGAGTCTTTGCGCAATGGTATGTCGACTTTCCATCCCTTCCATTACATCTAGTAACTTATTGGCGATAAAGGTGCGGTGTCGGCGTTATCTCGTACTACTTGGCCCTCGTCCTCTCATCAGTAGGCATCAAGTCCGTCGACGACCAAACTCTCATCTCGGCTTGCATCCAAATCTGGAACTTGATCTGCGCCACCAGCGCTGCTGTCATGGTGGATAAGATCGGAAGACGAGCTCTCTTCCTGGCATCAGTGAGTTCCTAAACATGTAACCTCTAATAACTGTTGCTGACCATCATACTATCCAGGGCACGATCATGCTCATCTCCTTCTCAATCGTGACCGGCCTCTCCGGCAGCTTCGCAATGACGGGCAACGCACCCACCGGCACGGCCGTCATCCCCTTCCTCTTCATCTTCTACCTCGGCTACGACATCGCCTTGACGCCCCTAATGGTCGCCTACCCTGTCGAGATCTGGCCGTACCGCCTCCGCGCCAAGGGTCTCACGGTGGCGTTGATGGTCAGCTTGGCCTGTGTCTTCTTCAACACCTTCGTCAACCCCATCGCGCTGGAGTCTATCGCTTGGAAATACTACCTCGTTTTCCTTGCCGTACTGGTCATTATGCTCGTGAGCGTCTGGTTTGGATACCCCGAGACTCGTGGACGGACGCTTGAGAACGTCGCGTATTTGTTTGATGGAGAGGACGCGGAGGTTGGAACTGGCACGGCAGAGGGCGCGTTGAAGCAAGCGGAGGCTGCTCATGTCGGAGAGGTGGCACATGTGGAAGAGACTGAGAAGAAATAAGTAATAGAGGTTTGTTTGTCTACAATTACTCGTAGTCAGAAAGCAGTAGCTTCGAAGGTGTATCTGGAGCATCTAATTTCTGAAGCCAAGGAGAAGAAGGTTTCCATTTGATGACTTCTGATCCGATGCTATTTTGGTGGTCGCTGTTCCATGCTGCATCCTGCGTCATCGCCATCGAGTCGCCGAGGACAAACTTTGATTATCTCCAGCTTCTGAGTCTGGACGCACATGTGCTTTTCGCGTGGCCGGTTCTGGCCGTCCATCCTAACGCTGTTTTCATTTCGCTCAAACCAATCGGGGGGGTGGGGGAGGATCCAAAATTCCCCATGTGCGTAGACTTCCGGGCGATGCGACTGATCACAATGTCTGGACAAATTCCACCATCGCCAGGCCGCAGTCAATGCTACCACCGCGGTCCATCCGCCTAACGCTTTCTTAAGCAGGTAGCCGGGAATAAGGACAACCGCCATTATTTCTTAAGGGTTGCAAGTCAATTCTCTAATCCAAATGAGAATCCAAAAAGAGTTCGCAAAGCACATTGGCCTACTACATCTCTATCCCTGAGTGGACCCAAGGGAAGACTTAATCCGCAACCCACTTCGAGGTGAGCTTGGCCGGGGATCGAACCCGGGATCTTTCGGCATCGTGTGGTGCGAGCCGAAAGCCATAGACCAACTAGGCCACCTAAGGTATCTTTCACGACGACGAGAAGGAAACTGGGTGATGTAGCAGGCGGCGGGGGAATGGGGGAAGGGCGAGAACAATTGGGAAAGACTTGGGGAGTTGCGATGAATGGGACGTGGAAGGACCGGCACAGACGGGGAAGAATGGAGAGGGTGTGGTGGCGATGTTGGAACGAGAAGGAGGATGGCCTGAGACCGGCAGGTGGAGACATGAATGGGAAGCAGTGAGATGGAGCAGCGGGTTTGAGAAGGGAATCGAGGCAACATCGAGTTCAGAACAGGAAGGGGGAGGCACGATTTAGCGGTATCATGTGGCAAGTGGAAGGACCAGGACTAGAGCGCCTGACTTTTTGGACGAGTTTACTTCGAAGCGTCGGGAAGGCGGGGCAGTCACCAGCGTGACAGCCTCAATCGAGTTCCATAGCAGCTTTCAGAGAAGGGAAGAACCAGAAATGAACATAGCCCAACAAAATCGCAATCAGGAAGAGTTTGAGTCGGGATCATGTGGTATGAAGCTCCGCATAACCACACGGACTTCTAACAGAAACCACGGACAACATGCGAGGGGGTTATCAAGCGCAACATAGGCCTCAAGTCTGTTCCCTTAGCAATCGTTGCCAAAGAAGAGACGGCGTGATGCTAAATGGCATGAGGCTGTAGGAAACCTTTCGCACACGGTGTCCAAATATCACACCAAATGCCGGGCGAAACGTAGAAGGCGATATGGCGGGAAATCAAGAGAAGACACGAGATGGCGACTTAGTTGAAAACAGCATATTTCGGCCAGAAGACGTAAGAAAAGGGGAACGAAATTGCATGTGTGGAGCGTTCGAATTCAAGTTCCAGCTAATTGCGTCCAGGCTACGATCCACAGCGCCCAGGAGATATAGAGCTAGCTTCTGCCACATTGGATATCGTGTGGTGCGTCCCGAATGCCTCTGTGGCCGAATGGTTACCTATGGTATCAGGATATCTTTTGCCTCTTCCCTTCAATTAGGTCTGTGGTTCGAGTCCTGTCTTGTGCTTTCTTTTGGTCCTTTTTTGACGTTGACCCTTCAGGTCCTCGTTATTAAACTTTACAGATTTTTACCTTAATGTCCGCGAGAAATACCTTGAGATCTTGACTCAAATGGATGTAGTTATCTGTATGTCTTTCTCAAATAAAATACAGTCAACGTAATGTTTACCCCTGAAGTGCAATAGGTGCATCCAAATAACCCGCCTGGCTTGAGAAAGGCGAACCGAATGACTTAGAAACCAATCTCCGACCATAATCGCGCGAACACTTCCCTCTATGCAAAAGGTGAGGTGGTTCCGGCTGCTGAGTACGGCAACTTGAAGAGGCTACCGAAGGGACACCGTTGCCGAGCCCCCAAGAGGCTGTCCAGCGTAACGACCACCTCATGGCCTCAGAGGTTACCGGATGATTCTCAAGCTGCATGTAACTAACTAGAAGTCATGTTGAAAAATGTTAGTTTGGCAAGATCATGAGGCCTCTTCGCCAGGTAGAACTGAAAAGTATGAGTGAATCCGAGTGATGAAAGAAACAGAGCATCCGTACATAGAGTTCGCCTTATTTTTCTTCTCACATGGCTTTCGTCCGCATTTTCCACGGCTTATAATAGGCAAGCGGCGTGTCTAAAAACACAAAGTACGTGACGTTCAACACATTGTTAAACTTGCCGTTCAAGTCAAAAACACCACTCGCCTTTTGTGAAATTTGAGAGTTGCGATGGATAATAAATAAATAAGCCAAACGGCTGACAGTCCATTCCTCGAGTCCAAGCAGACGTAATTACACCAATGACGTGACAGAGCAACGGCAGCGACGCTCATATAAAATGCTTGAAGCTGATGCCAACTCATAACGTACTTATTTTTCGTGGACACTCGAGGAGGCTTTATAACTAATTAAGGCTGACTTGAAAAGTTGGGGACGAGGCGCCACATATGTGCTTAAACTCGTATGGTCTCATCGTTATGTTCCCGTCATCCTGAAGATAGACAAAGACGGGCTCGAGAGCGATTCACAGCGTACGTCGTTAGGTTGATTTCGCAGAACGCAAAATTGCAGCCTGTCGCCAAAGCACTCTATTGATATCTTCTCACTAAGGATTAGATACAAGTTTGTATCTTCAGGCTTCGTTTGAATCGCAATTTTAGTCCTCCGATGTCCGGGAAAATCATTGACGTTCGCAAGGTTATTTCATTAGGCCGGAAAGGAGTGTTAAGCAGCATCTCTAGGGGCACTCAACTGCATCTAAACCTGCAGACTTTAACTTAAAACCGCAGCAGAAACCAATGCTTCTGGGCTCGCCTTTATATGTCTATAAATTCTCCCTTCGTTGGAAACCTATCCGATCATCACTGGCCATTCGTGCCGAGACCCTCTCGTGACGGTTGGCGGCGAGGGTCTGTCGGCTCGTGCCGTAAGACATGTCTCTGTAAGGATTGAGCTTGTGTCTGCGATGAAATTAAAGGGAGGATTCCTTGAGTAGTCGAGAACCGCAAGAAAGAAGCAACGCAATACAGCAACTCCGCTTGATTGTTGAAAACTGGCGCAACTACACGTTTGCCATATTGTCGACCCCTGTATGTGAAGTGGGTATGCGGCCGGAGCCGGTATGGGGGGGGGGGGGGGGGGGGGGGTCCGGCGCACCCAAATTTTCGGGCGGTTGCGGGGCCCGGAGGAAAATTCTTCAACACCCTGATCGAATCCACCCACCACGCCACTGCAAAAAGAATTTTCTTCCCATATATGCAACTTATTGCCCTCCTCTTCCAACAATTCAGCTGGGTGTTTCCAATCGCCCGGCTAGCTCAATCGGTAGAGCGTGAGACTCTTAATCTCAAGGTTGTGGGTTCGACCCCCACGTCGGGCTCAATTCCCGTCAGCGATTGACAGTACCTAGCTTTCCTTTTTGCTTTGTTGGAACGTAGCATAAACAGCACAGTCTAGAAGTTCACTGAGCTCGGTGGGATTAGATAGTGGAACTACACGTTGAATTGCCATCCTGATTATCTATAGCTAGATACGACCGCAATCCCACCTTTTATCACTAAACAATTATAGATTACTGTGATAAGACCCCTGAACTAAACACATTAAAGCCAGCTTAAAACAACGCAAAAAAACAAGACTATTGCACTAAGTAGCAAAGACGACCAGCAACATCTTCTCAAACCCGCATACTTAAGCGACCCGTCTCAAAATCCTTGTAGTCCTGCTTGGAGGCTCCGGCTTCCTTGCCATCAGTGGCTGCAGGCATTGAGGTGTAGCTGCGGTAGGTAGAGAAAATGTTGTTATCGGTCGGTTGCTCGCTCGTCCCTTGAAGGATAAAGACTTTGGTCTTGTCAAGCTCATTCCAAGGTATGAATCTTCCCTCCATCTGTAACCGCAACAACGCCAATGGTCAGCAAGACTACATGTATGAAACGGGGTGATGTGTTGCAATATCCTTGTCTAAAAGGGACTTCACTTACCGAGACAGCAACCCATGTAAGACCATCCTTGAGATAGGTCTCAACGGTACTCGGTGTCAGGTCTCCGATGGCGTCGATGTTCTTATTCACGGCGTCTTTATACAGGGAAATCGTGAGGGAAACAGAAGCGCGCGAGAGCACGCCTTCGTCACGTTGCCTTGCACATTTGGCGCAGTGCAATGTGTTGTCTTCTCCCTGACCCACAGTCTCGACTGGACTGCTGAACGTGGAAATGCTACCGACATGACCTGGAAACTCATGGATCATGCGATCACCAGCTCGAACATCAGCTTCAGCTGGAGCTTCTCTGAAGAAGAAGTGAATTGTGTACGGAGCGCCATCTTCGTAGCCGTAGCTGTCAGAGGTTGATGTCAGTAGCCAGATCGAAGAAAGCCTCTTAGATGTCTTACTCACCGATCATAGAGCACGTTGATAACATAGTCCTCATAATCCTTGTCGCCACCGCCCAACTGTCCACTGAGGAAAAGGCCACCCTTGTCATGTTGAAGTACGTCGCCAGTCCCGTGGTAGGTTTTGTTGATGTGGCTTGTGATGCCAGCAACATACTCCTCATCCTCCTGTCCTTTCTGGCGAACCAGAACATCATACTCGTAGCCGAATGTCGAATACGCTCTGACGTCATCGGAATTGAAGTAGTCAACGTGCCTTTCGCCGCCGAAGTCATTGTGGAATGGAACAAGCTTTTCTTGTCCACCAGCCGGATCAAACCAGCTATCGGGATTCAAAACCTGCCACATGGCAAAAATACAGTCCACGTAGCTATCACTAATTAGTTCAATACGTTCAAGATTGTGTACATAGGCCATACCAATGGTGCATCCAGAAGATTGGATCGAATGCTGCGACTGGCACATTTGACATGTGTCCGATACCCTTGCTAAAGTCACCAGCACCTCCGTTGAAGACCTGAACAAGTTAACCATCGATCTCGTGATGTATCTTCTCGGTAAAAGACGTACATGGAGATTATTGTGGATGAACTCGAGGGATATCCACTGAGTCCACTCCACGGGCTCTGGTGATGTGTCGGCAGTGATAGTTGAAGAAAACGATCGCCAGTCTTTGACATTGGAGAGAAGGCGATAGACAAGATCGCTGACGGGATGCCTGGATACTTCCCCTGGTTCATAATACTTGTGAGATCCAATGGCCGATTTGATTGGCTCATAGTTATTGATTCCTTGGGATTCAAGTTCAGCGGGCTCCGAAGACTTTATGCCCCATCTACTTGTACCTGAGCATTTAGACCACTGTTGCGGAGCGTTTCATTAGTTCTGAATTCCTTCGGGGAGGAAATCTACACATATCGGAAGCGTCGTTGTCTCACCCTGCTTCACATCGTCAATTTTGTATTTACCCAACGCTGGGCTTCCCATTAGCGTGACCTTTCCGTCAACCCTCATCTCATAGCGGTGCAAGGGATTCGTAACCGTCTCTGGCTCGGTTCCTGACGGAGTGCAGATGGCCACCTTGTCATGCTTAAATAAGTCAGGGACCCCCTCGACTGGTTGGAGAGCCCAGTTCCAGTATGGTAGTCTCCACGTGCTGCGCTCCTTCAGCCACTCCTTCTTGACTCCGGGATCTTCGATTTTGAGGTCTTCGATGACCTCACCCATGAGATTAAAAAGCGTTTGCTACTCGTGATATTGACAATCAGCATCGAGTCACAAACTATTCGATCTGAAAATACACACCTCGAACAAGATCATATAAGGTCTATGCCAGGTCGGAAATGTCAGTTCATTGTGAGTGCAGTACATTTTCTTCTGATATGTTTTGCTCTCATGGTGAGGATCCTCGGAATTGCCCCAGGCTAGATCACCTGGATACCCATGGATACCTGCCACAGACCCGGTGAGTAGGATGAACAAAAGAAGACTGTATGAAAGGGAGCATGCCTACCTGCTATTTGAAAGTATGACAAGGTCTCCGTGTAAGGTGTATCATAGAACTTCTGGAGAGCTCGAATGAAAAGGGAAACTTGGATGCTTTTGGCAGGTGCTTCGGTTGCCCAGCTCGTGAATTCTCTTCGGATGCCAGGTTTTCCGCCTAAAGGAACTGATACTCCGCCAATAAGAACATGATTCTTGGGGTTGTTGGTATCTCTGGCAGACATGACTGTTGAGAGTTTGTGTTTGAATACAGCTGAAGAAGATTGGGTGAGCCTGGATAACACACAAGTGCAATGGGGTACCCTCTTGGGGCAAGCTTGCCCAGATACTTATACATATTCCCAGGGAAACAAAATGACCAATCTGGTCAGCTTTCCCGGTCCATGATGGCCACTTGATTCTTGGCTACACTGAATTTCGGAGAGGTCAATCGTCGATTCGTCAATGTGCCTTTGGAAGAGCACAGGAGCGAGAGGGCGCTGCGGCTGATAGACGCTAATTTGCGGGGAAATGTGACGAGTCTGACCAGCCAGCCAAATGTGATGACTTGGACGATCTTGGTGCCAAAATGTCTAATGTCTCAAAACTTCAGCTGATACATATCGGTATTTTGGTGACTGGCATACGCCGAGCTGTGTGCAGCATGATGCCATGTTTGAGAATCAGCCAGCCGTTTGCTAGAGTGGAATGCCGGCAAACGGAAATATGCGGGTAGCCCGCTGGCTAGAGTACGTAAGACAAACTGGGAAAAGATCCCACAGTGAATCTCATCTCGGGACACAAGTCTACAGCCCGACATTAAGAGCCCTGCGCTGCAGCTTCCATTACTGGGAGGCTTCGAGGCGCATCTGTCCTGAGACACGAGAACCTCATGCCGCAACACGCAAGAATGTGCAGTGCACCCTAGATTGACGAGCCCAATCAATTCAGACCGCTTGAACCTGCAAACAGAGGATTTTTGGAATGGAAAAGGCTTTCATTGTAAACTTGGATTGCGCAGTCCGCGTACAACTATGTGGTTGAGTTATCTACACAACCGCGTCTTCAAGGGATGGCCAGCTGAGACCCACATGAACCCTGAACGCTTCAGAACGCAGCCTGGACCTAGTGCCTTGCTCTTCCAGAGCCCAGAGAGGGATGGCGCGTAATTTGATCATGCTAAGATATCTTTGCGGAAGGCTGAGCTTTTCAAAACAGGGTCTGCGTAACAAAGCAGCCTTCCGCAAAGACATCTAAGCATAGCGATGTGGTGTTGAGGCAGAGAGGGCGAAGGAAAATAGGCGACAATTATGTGTGCGGCGGGAGCATTTGAATGAGGCCAAGGCCGAAGGGCAAATTGGGCCCCGAACCGCAACAGGGTTCATGGTGACTTTGCCCATTTCGTATCCTCATTGACCCTCTGTCAAATGTAGACCGCAGCCGGTGACGTAGAACACCTCATCAATACCGTTGATGGTGTCACACTCTGGCTCATATCACTCACTGGAACGGCTCAGCTGAAAGCCATTAGCGTGTTATGCCTCTTATGCTGGGATTTGGTACTCAGCCACATTTCAATGTGGGTGGCCCGCGGCCTCCGGGGTACGAGACGACGGGATCTAGAAAATTTCCGGGGGCTGTGAGATCTCGCGGGAGCTTAAGGACTAGCGGGTCTTGGCATTTCTTGGCACCGACTGACAGCTTGGGGTAGCACCAAAGTACCTGGAATCGACATGCGGCTCAATCCTCCAAGTCGATGTCGTACATGGTTAATAGTCAACATCATGTTTTTGCGTTTTGAACGTGGCACGATGGCCTGACTTGGCCGGCGGTCGTCCAATCCACTGGGACAGAGCAAGTGAAGACGCTGCGCAATTGTAAAGATGATGACGAGGGTCAATAAACTTTTAATTATTAGGTATTAAGATAGTATGTAATCAAGCCCCGAAAGTGTATGCAAGAACGCTGCAAAGACAATCAGATCATTTCGCTTGCTTCTCCATCCATTGCTCTGTGTCTATTCGATCGCCCCGTTCTCTCTGATGTTCCTAGCCAGTGTCTGGTTGGCAGCGGCTGACCAGCGTGCGCGGCCTCTTTTCAGATGGTATCAGTCTGAAGTCTCGAGACGATACCAAAGCCAGGCGTGACTCGAAAGCCCTGTGTGTTCTTAACACGCGACTCGAGTGAATAGGCCTCTCTGAATCCTTCGGCCGGGCTGATGTTGTTCGCAGGGTCTGGCCCAACGGTCACAGCGCAGATCTCTTGTTCCTGAATCATGTGTCGTGCCTCGTCTGATGGTTTGGGTGCAAACTCGAAACAGGATCAGGCTGTCTGAAGTGACCCCCTCTCCCCCCATGTGATGGTCCGGGCGGTTTCTTGGCCGCAGCCTGCATGCGCTTTTGCGCAGCTCCAGACACGTCTGATGGAGGCCTTGGCGTCCGTATTACTCCTGCGACCGTGATTTTGACTCCTGTCGACACTGATTGGATAACCCTCGGACGTATCCCGCACGCATCGCCCGACTCTGAGTTGGCGATTGTTGCGTCGTGGTTTCTCTAATGCTTCAGACCGCTTTACTCTTCGATTCTTCCTCCGCTGTAGGTATTTCTCCATCGACGGCCGAGCCCGGAAGTTCGGAGATAGGCTCGACTACTCCTTGCTGCTTTGTGCCATTGAGGAATTTTCGCTGCTCGGATCGCGCCATCTGGAAGAGTCTTGATGCGCCGTAAAGTTGAGTTGTGATCCATAGGGAGAAGATCAGGGGAGTAACGACTCGCCATACCCGTCCCCATCGGTCCCAGGAACGGTGCAACAGGTAAATCGTGATCGAGGTTTCCAGGATGGCTCCGAGAAGGATCCAACCGAAACAGCCGTACGCCAGGTAAGAGAGGAGACGATGGTCCTTACGTCTTACCCTCCAGAGGATCATGGACACGTAGATGGGGAGCTCGACCACCACGTCAAAGGCGCCTTGAAGAACACAATTGTCAGCTGACACGGTTGATGACAACCGAGAAGGAAGAATGCCTACCCCAAACCATGCACATGTAAAACTCGATCGTTGCCTCTGGATGCTCTACGAAGTTGCCAAACAGAGACAGGGCAGTCTGTGTGATGGCCAAGAGGCCAATATGATGCGCGATACTGAGAGGACTGGCGAATTGAGTGCGGAAGCAGAGCTCGAAGACGTAGTAGGCGCTGTAGACCTGAGAGACGGTGAAGAGCATATCGCCGATTCGAAGACGATGTCCCTGGACCACCGGGGTCCCCAATCCAGCGGTTCCAGTCAAGAAGTGCATGACGGGGTAGATGCCGATGCACAAGAGAGCGAACATGATGATTGCGCCGACATGGTAGTATGTGAACGATCGACGGCGCTTCTCGTTCTCAGGGCGCTCCAATGTCTTGTAGACTTCTCCGTAGACCATGTGAAGAAGCCATCTCTCGAGGATGTTGGCGATCAGGACAACCACGACGACACTGGAGACCAGAAGCAGGGAGCCATATGAAAGAAGACCGGAGATGGGCCCGTTCTGAATGGTTTCGATCTTGGGCATGCCCCTGCCTTGAAGGGCTTCAGTGACAGACGCCATTGTTGAAAGCGGATTGTGGAAGGCGTCGAGTCGTTGATCGTGGCGTGTGCCATAAACGGATGTGTCTTACAGCTCTGGGTGAGGGCCAAAGTATATAACAAGGACCATCGCCAAGGCTAGCAAGCAAGCAAAGAGAGAAGAAGGGACGAAAATAAAACACCAAGGACGGGTGTTCGCCAGGAGCGCATCAGCGCTAATCTCGAAAGGAATGAAATGAGCGTTGATTACGAGCGTCTCACCGATCTAATAGCTCCTTGCGCCGTGAGGTTGGCTAGGTGTCAGGCGTCCTGGTGTGGTGGCCGCGGGATCCGTGCTTAAAAGCTTCGGCCGCCGATGCTCTTCAGACAGGTTTGTAAAACTATCGTTCATTATTGAGCGAGAGACAGGGCAACCGAGTCGTCTTGAAATGCAATCCCACCCCCGGTTCATTGAGCACGTCCGACCTGGCCTTACCTGAGCCGATCTTGCCCTGGTACCCCTGGCGACACCGGCGGCCCAATCATGGTAGTCTGAATCTTGCCGTCAAACCCGTTTTAGGGGGTGGAACGTTTGGTTTGGTCGCGTTACAAAGGTGGAACAAAGAGTATGCGGGGTGATCGTTTCTTTTTGGGGCCCTGGGTCTGCCGCTGCACGGCTCTGATGATCCACGAACGGTGTTCTCGGCACCCGGCACCTGGGGTGAAGACCAACACAACAATACCACTGCGGGCAGGGCTGCACGACACCCACACCCACACAGGTGCTCTGTACTGTGTCGCGTGTCCGCTGTCCGTCCGACCAGATAAAACCGACGTGTCTGGTCTGCGTCCCAGGGAGGTTTAGGCTTTTCTTTCCACGCCGACATCAGAGGCCAAGACGCCAGACCTGCGTGGAGACGAAACTCAAGAGAACGGCTGGTGCGGGTTGTCCGATGTGTCTTTCCTGTTTGAGAGGGCAGCAGATCTTGTTGCCTGGAGTCCGCTAGAGTTTTCGCTACCTGGATTGCAAGTGTCATCGAGAGAGACGGTAGAGGCATTTTGCCTCGGGCGCAAACCTCGCGTGGGGAATCTCAAATTACGCCTACACACGAGATCACGTGGGACTGAGCTGTTTTTAGGTCAAAGAGACACGCAGGGAATGCAAATGCGGCACAAAGGGGGGAATGGCGGCTAGGCGTACCTGGCGGTTCTAGCGTAGATCATGATCTATCGGCTGTGGCTGGCTGCCTCAGCTTTGCCTGAAAAGGTTTAAGTCGGTGCCGGTTCCCGAGCCCGAGCTAGGCGGTGCCGAAAGCCGGGACTTGGGCCCGTCCGACTCATGGATCTTTCTTGGTGGTCAGTCAGCGCCCGAGCAGGAGAAAACAAATAAGGGGGCTCCGTCGAAAAGGTCGCCGCCAGTGGACGGACGATGAGCATCAGTAAGGGGGAAGCTAGCGCATCTGAGTGGGATTAGACGCGGGACTAAGATGCCGTGGGAAATGCGGCGCGCGATATAATGCTCATGCTACTGAAGCCCACGGACACAGGGAACACATGTCAATCAACATAAATGTCTCGTCAGCATCCTTCCAATGACAGCCCGGGGTTCCGCAGTCTCGCAGTCTTGCTGTCATTGTCCGAAGTGAAGCAGCTCAATTGGTTCTACCTGATCGTGAAAACATCCGTCTACCGTTACGAAGCACCGGTGCCGTTGTCCAGTACCCCAAAGTGCCCTGTGCACAGTTGATGATGGCCTACTCCTTGATGCTAACAAAACACGTCTTAATGGTCGAAGCCACTTTCGCGTTAATTGTGTTCGCGTTTCGAGATTCCGCAGTCCTCAAATGCCGCTCAAGTTGATATGTGACCTCCTTGAATAGTTCACTCGTTGGATCTTTCATGGCCGGATTGCTCTGTATCGTCTTCTCCCATTCAATCTCTTGCCAGTTGTAATTGGTCCGGTACTCTGCCTCGCGGTTTACCGTCTCCCAGACGACGTCAGTCACTCGACCCTTGAGGTGATCCATAAGCTTGGTATTCGCATCGCCTCTGCGATACTCGGCCACACTCGCCAGAACCCCATTGATGTTGGCCAAGTGGCGCGTGATTGAGATGTCGTTTGTGACGCCCACAATTCTTCCTTTCTCAACCGCGTAGCCCAGATCGGTCCAGACGCCAACGTAGGTTTTTCGCCCGTCCCTGAGTCTTCTGAACCTATCATCCTTCTTGGGCTCGTTAATAGACATCGATCGCCATTCGAACGTGGCAGTCATGATGTCGGTTATTGAGTTGAGGGTGAATTCCCACTTTGACTTGATATCGTAGATTGTAGGCGTGGGAGTGGTGCTGCCCGTCTCAATGTAGCTGACGAACTCATTGTATGTGCAACGGTTGCCGGTGCCAGTGCCCCTGCAGCCTAGCGCGATGTAGCCCTTGCCCACACCGAATACCTCAACGTCGAGTTCGTAGACTGTGTAGAAGTACAGCATGTCTGCAGCGTCGATGAGTGTGTAGTCCGACTCGGCACATATTCGCGAAACAAAGCCCACGACTGCTATCAGCAGTGAGAGGTTCATGGTATTCTGCTACGTAAAACCCGGCTTGTTAGTGACTAAAGGAATGGAATGGATACCCGAACATACCAGTGGAGGTTGTGAGTGCTCTGAAGACCACAGCGACCTGGCAAAGATGCCTATCAAGGTGATGGCACGATTTGATATCAACGGCAAGTGAACAAATTCGTAAAATCAAGCTAAAGCCCTAGACGTGAGTACCTATGTAGTCATGTTAAGAGGCTTCTTTTAAGGTCGCAGGTGGAGAGTTCAGCCAAAAGATACACTTCCGGAGCTGGTCATGAGTCTTATCAGAAGCCAGCAGCCTTTCCAATGTGTCATCCTCGGGACTATTCAAAGACCGAGAATAAATGCTGGCCGAATTTGTTCATGGAGGTCTCGGTCGTTCTCTTTTCCAAAGTCCTTCCTGGGGTTCAGGCCAAGCCGGGTCAGACGGCGACTTTTTGAGCACGAGATGCGGGATGTTTTGAGCAAAAAACATCTACATCCTGATCAAATTTGGCAATATCGCGGCCAGAGTGAAAGTCAGTCATTTGAAGGTGGCACATCACAATCACTTGACTGCCTACAACATTCCTAATCCGACGTTAGTCTGAACAAGCTATTGATCGAAGGATCCTCGCAGGGGTCAAAGACGCAGCCCATTGAAAAAGGTGTGTGTGATAAGCTTAATGACAAGCATGCAAGGCACGCGATCGTGTGATTCCGCCGCGGGAAGCCACAGTCTCTGGAGATGGTCCCTGGTCTCTTGGCGGGCGGCCGACCGCCAAGACGGCGGAATCATCCCTGCATCGAAGCGCCAAGTCCTGCTAAACACTAAAGTCCCAAATCCTGTCGGCCTGCCAGCTCGAAGAGGCACTGGTTACACACGGCTAAAGCCAGCAAAGACTCATCTAGATGGGATGTCTTGGACGAAAGTTCCACCAAGTTAGGGCAAAGGATGGCGGGATGTGGACTCGCCAGGAGCTGAAGACCAGAATACACGGCTCGCTCAAGCTATTGCCAAGAGATAGGCCTTTCTGTATCAGTCGAAATTGAACATGAAGGATCAAGAATGAGTCGGGGGCGAGAATCCCATGAACCCAGGTAGAACTCGTGAATGAAGTGAGGGTGTGAGTGAGCCTGGACCAAATGGTCCGGACGTGTATCGTCAAATGACAGGTTCTCAATACCCTCATCAACTATACTAATAGCTTGCACGGCCCATCCCTAAAAATGGCCTGCGTTTGGCCTTGCTATTCGACTGGAAGACTTCATTTCTGACGTAGAGCCATTAAGGTTCCTCGATGGGCATGATGCAGTCTTTACCAAGATTTCTCAAGCTGTTACTTCTATGGCTTTTCCTGGGCCCATTACATGGAACATTCGCCTATCCCTATCATCATGATCGTTCGGAAGACCATGAAGGCGTGGGACTTTCCAATCAGACGCATCCTTTCGCGGAATCCGGTTACAGTCCCGTCAAATCCAGAGCGGACAAGCCAGAGCTCAGAATCCTGCCGTTGGGCGCCTCCATCGTCTTTGGCGTCGGCTCAAGCACAGGCAATGGGTGAGTGATACTAGGAAAGACCGAATCTAAGGAGTAGGGATTACTGATAAGAGATCCTCAGCTTTCGGAAGCCTCTTCGTGATGCCCTCCGATATGATGGCTTTGAAGTCAACATGGTCGGCACCAGGCACAATGGTAACATGCAAGATTGGGCATAACACTGAGCACTATTATTTGTTTACTCAAAACGCTGACGGGAGTAGGATAATGAAGCAACATCTGGTGCCATCGTCAGTGAGATCCGCTCATACCTGAAAGGGTCTCTCGCCTACAAGCCCAATGTCGTTGTCATCAATGGCGGCACGAACGACTGTAACAGAAATATCGACATAAACAACATTGGCGAGCGCATGAGACTGATTTTGAATGATATCTGGGGCGCACCTGATATGGCAAACACATGGTAACCCAATTGAACGCCCATTATAGATCAAAGACTAATCTGAGTAGCGTAATGCTTTCTACCATCCTTCCCACAGCTGATGCAACCGGAGCTCTCAATCGCATCACTGCTAATCAGCAGTACCGACTTCTCGCTGAGCAGCTTGCTGCTTCTGGAAAGTGCATCTACATGGCCGACATGGACCCTGACGAACCCAACATTGCTCACAATTGGATTGCTTTGGAAGCTGATATCGGTGGTGATGGAATCCATCCAAAGTACGGAACCCTGCCTGATTCTATCGGCAACAGTCACTGACACTGAACTAGCGACCAAGGCCACAAGAAGATGGCCTCTGTGTTTTATAATGCAATCATGAAAGCTGTCTCGGATGATAAGATCAAGAACCCCGCTGCCATGGCGAAAACTGGCACCACCGGCTGCGATAAGACGTTGGGTGGAACCTGGACTGTGGCGATCACCGCCACGAAATCAATGTTCGAAAATTGCATCTTGACAAAGCTACATGCCGCTTCTCACGAGAACGTCTAGTCCGGATGGAGGAGCGGTAGGTAGACAACGCATGGAAAAAAAAGGAGGGGAGGGGGGGATAGGCAGATTCCTCAGGTATCGTGATGACGATTGCCACAGAAACCCACATGCTGTTACATAACAATTATTCAGTTTTTCTGGTTATCGTAGATAGCATCACGATGTTTATAAACAGAATTTTTCCCTAGTGTGGCGTAAATCTCCCCAAATTGGGTGTTGCTGGGCTCAAAGATAGAAGGCGCAACAATAGTTTTAAGTTGAATTACACAAAGACCTTCGAAATTTTGAAGCCTCCAGGAACCCGCGTCTGGAACACGCCAGCCGGGTCGTACTTTGCTGCGACTTCCTTCAAAAACTTGACATTCTCTTCTCCATACGTTTTGATGGGGTCTTGGGCGGGATTGACGTAGTTCAAGTAACGCCAAGGGGTCGCCTTTCCGTTGGCTTCAGCAAAAGCCTCAAGCTCAGCAGTCGTGGCGGCCAGCTTCGCATGAGCCAAGGCCTCCTGCTCAGCGGTACGTGTCTGCACTTGGCCTAGCCAAATGATAGAGTTGTGCGTCAGCGAGGTTTCGAGTCCCAGCACATTGTTGCCGCTGCCCTTGGTTGCGAAATGCTTGGGCAAAGGCTGGCTGACGAAGGTGAGATGGAGATCCGGAGACGGGATGAGAGTCTGCAACTCGGCGAGCAGCTGGTCATAGAGCTCGGCCATCTTCCTCATGATCTCTATGTTGTTGAAGAAGCAAAGTGAGAACCACACATTTCTGTATCATGATTAGCGAATGCACCGAGAACATTTTATCACAGGACTCACCTTGCACCACCAGCCATGGTGTGAGTTGTGATAAGTGTGCCATAAGTCTTTCTGCTTCGGTCGTCAAAGAAGGACGGCAGCGTTGCGAGAGGTGCGAACGAGGTGGAGTTCGATACGCCTGCAGTGTTGACAGCCTGGACGGCGATCATCGGCGCCGAAGTCTCGCTTGAGTAAGCAAACGTGACGACTTCGGTGTCATCCGGATGTTGCTCATTGGTGTCGATCAGGTTGACAAATTGCTTCATGACAGCATCCTTGTGCTCGTAACCCATGAAGATCAGGCCCCCGTAAAGACCACCGGGGGCAGCAGCAAATGTCTGCATATCAAAGCGCGTGACGATGCCGAAGTTGTTGCTACCACCCTTCAGCGCCCTGAATAGATCAGGGTTCTCGCCACCATTGACATTGACGATGGAGCCATCAGCCAATACAGCCTCATAGTTCTTGACATCGTCCGCTGCGAAGCCGCGGTTACCAGTGTGGAATGATGCGCCGCCCCCGAGAGTCAGACCTGCGACACCGACGTTCCCCTCGCGACCGCCAGTCACGGTCTGGCCGTACTTCTCAATCTCGGTGTACACCATACCCCACCTAGCGCCGGCTCCGATCGACACAGTGCCCTTTGCAGAGGTTTAGTTACTGTCGCAAGAGGGAACTGCAGCACTTACACTGCAGTTCTTGTAAACCACCGAGTTCATGCGGCTCATGTCGATGGTGACGCCATGGGCAACATTATTCGAGGTGAAGTGCGAATGGCCACCGCCACGAACGGCGATATCCCAGTTGCCGGCGGGACTTGTCTTGACGAGTGCCGACAGAGCCCTGGAAACCTCGTCGGTGTTGGTGGGTTGGATGATGCACCAGGGGTGGAGGGCCTGAGAGTCGGCAGACCAGTAGGAGGCGATACTGGAATTGTACACCGAATCAGTGGGAAACGACACTCGGTCGGAGAGCCCAGCTGAAATTAGTGCATCGCACTGCAGGTCATCATGTCAGCAATACCGCTCAAGTCCATTAGATGTCAGCGACGAAGGAGGAAAGACATCTCATACACCTGTATAGCCACTGGCAGGTGGGGCTTGTCGAGCGTGTCGGCCGAAGCCGACCTCTACTCGTGCGGCTGCGACGCAGGCCAGCAGCGAAGAAATGGCAAGCGGAGATGATAACATCATTGTAACGAACGAGCGAGCGAGGAAAACGAATGAGTGGACTGAGGATTGAAGCCAACCTTACTCATGGTGACATCTCGTCGTTGGTATGGCGCATCGCTGCTTTTAAAAGCTTCCCGAACAGTATCACGAGTGGCGTTTCCAACCTCCACCAAACACCCCAAAGCAGTCATTGGAGTGCGAGGTAAAAGCGAAACCGAGGTGCATACAAAGGAGATTAGAATACGACCCTTGAAAGTCTATACCTGGGTTGCTCCGTCTTTCCTGAGATGGCAAACATTTCTCATATAGAATTAAGTAGACGGGAGATATAATTAACCGAACACCCTTCTACACGACGTGCCACGCTTATTACAAACATTCAAGGGAGATATTCTTATGAACCCCATGCGATCTTGGCGAATATGTTGAAAGAAGAAACACTGCTGGAAATTGGCCCCAAATTGATGGCCCTTGTGTGCGTGCTGGAGGCCTTCTGCATCGGGTTGGTGCTCCAGAATACAACTGGCAGAAGCTCCAGAATTTAGGACTCGGAGTGATTCCTATTGGACTCGGTTATGGCAAGCGATGTGTTGTGCCACCATCCTGCATGCGGTACCATAGAAAGACGGAAGATGAGGCCGGTAACTTGCACCAACAACAACATGTTGGTTGTTGACTGGGATAGATACGAGTCGCTCTTGGCATGCAGAAGCGAGAGGCCAAGACCGGTATGTAATCGGAAAATCGGCGTCTGATATGAGTGATAGTCATCACGGCGATCTCACAGTTTGGGGCGGCACGGTTTCAAGATTGAGTTTGGCGCCCAAATCACGGGTATGTTGACATACTGCATCAACAAGCTGCGACATATTTGGCGTAGAATCATAGTAGTTGATACTGAGCAATGTGCGGTTGGCTTTTATGTTGGTGGACAACGGGAAGAGGTCTCGCTTCTGTTGGTAATTTACATGAGTTTTGCTATCCGGGCGGTAGTTTCTGGCCAACCGGGCGGTACCCACTTATTCTAGCCAATTGAACGTCTAGCATTGATCGCGCAGCCAATCACGTATAACGCAGCGTTCTGCGCGCAATCGACGACTTCGCGCGGGCGCAGTTATCGCGAAGTCGTCAATTTCGCCTGAAGTCGTCAATTGCGCGCGAAGTCGCTGATTACGCGCAGAGCGTTAATTGCGCGTAGAACGTCAATTGCGCGCAGAACGTCAATTGACTTACGCTGTGGTGGTTTTCTGAGTGGGTCAATAGGATCGCTGAGATGGTCGATAAGTGGGGTACCGCCCGGTTAGCTAGAAACTACCGCCGGATAGCAAAACTCATTTACATTTCATGGACCCACGACATGGTGGCCCACCCATGAAGTGGAAGCCAGGGCTGCCCAACGGTTTTTTCCCAATTCGTCAGATATCCAGCAAATACAAGGTACGGGTTTCGGGGATACGTCCGGCTCCAAGGAATAACTGCTAATGGAATATGCGCTCCGGTCCAGGCCTACAGGGCTCGTCGTCAGTCTGGACTGCAATCACAGGAACCAACAACCTTTCCTGTACTTGGCGTATCCGTACCTGCTTGACGATCGCAAATGATATCCAGAAAACTGGTCTTTTTCAGGTCGGTTGCTTCATGGAGCACGCTAGTGCCAGATCTGCCCTGTTCCTCCGATTCTCGTTCATCACATTGTGGCTACTTGATGTCAAGACATCACTCATACCCCTATTCCGGGGCAGTTGAGAATATTCTACGCCACGCGCTTACAAGATTTCGTATCACATACATGAACTCCTAATTAAGGATCAGAAACAATTGCTCTGCACGGATTGCTACTGAAGAATGACTGGATATCTCTATTGATCAGTGGCTCAATGCCGACGTTGGGCCCTGATATTGACTCGCTGTGCCTTTTTTCCTGTCTACTGTCTTTCTACGTGTCTGTCTTCCTCTTCCTCTCACACACACGCCGAAACCTCTCGAGCTTTCTCCATGTCTTTCTTGCTTCACACTGGTAGTATTGAACTCCCTAGTTACGACTTTGCAAGGCAAAGACTCCCCGATTCCATGATGGGCGGCGAACCCACTCCAAGCCTTCTTCAACAAGACGGAACTACCGCACCCCTGCCGATACCGATTAACTATGGCGATCCCTCTGTACTGATCAATGCCCCTGGGTGGTCAATGCTCGCGATCTCGACAACATTCCTTTGCCTCCGAATCTATTGCAAAGCCTTCCGAGTGTGGTGGATGGTGTGGCTGGATGACTGGCTCTTGATCGGTGGGTGGGCCTTCCTCGTCGCTTCGCAAGCTCTCTTGAGCGAGCTGATGCGACTTGGGTTCGCAAAGACATACAATGTTACGCCAACGATCAGCACCGTCATCTACGCATGGGACAACTGTCACAAGCTTTCCCTCGCGCTGACGAAGACCTCCTTTGCCGTAACATTACATCGGATTGCTTCCTCCCGGCAAAGATACATCATTTGCTTTCTGGTCGGAACCATGAACGTACAATTCATCGTCCACATCATCCTTACCTGGAGAGCAATTTGCCGACCGACCCGACCTGGAGACACGACACCTCACCTGCCGGTATCATGCTGGCGCTCTGAAGTCGCAATCGCTCTTGGGATCTTCGGTGGCTGTAAGAGATCCCTGCTTTACGGCTACTTGCTGTTGGAAATACAGCCCGCTGACTGCCATAAGTCTATTCTGCCGCTTCTGACTTCATCCTCGCCCTACTGCCATGGAAGATTGTTATGGGACTACAGATGAAAAAGCATGAGAAGATCGGAGTGGCTGTCGCCATGAGTATGGGGGTATTGTACGTTATGATTGTCGTGAAGAAAGTCTCAGATTGTTGGAGTCCTAACAGAAAACAGTGCCGGGGTCATGGGTGTCATGAAAGCCGTTCAGAGCATCATCATGTTAGACACATCAGCACCAGATTGTGAGTTCTTTTTCCTTCACCCAGAGATAGTCGACGTAGAGACTGCCTCCTGTTCACGCAATAATGGGATATCTACATGCGTTCCACGAAATTCCTGACACCATATGGGATTTCAGTGTTTTGGAAAATTTGCATCATGCATGTTTGGGCCATGGCCGAACCGAACGTCACCATTATTGCCGCTTGCATCCCTGTTCTCCGAGTCTTATTTCGACACATTCGCAGTACCCGCGAAGCGGAATATCCTTCTTCGGGGGCCTACATCAGATCAGACACCCTGAGCAAGTTCCGGAACCAAGACATACGAGGTGGCAGATCAAGGATCACCCGTAATCAAGATGAGGGAGACGATGGAGACAGCGATCGCAGCATGTTACCCCAAGGCATCATCATGACCACCGAGGCAACGGTAGATTATGACAAACGCAGCGGCAAATCAGGCAGCAGCATACCTGGCGAGGACGACATCGAACTGACAAGTCGGCGTGTAATTTCGGCATGAGGTCCGAGGGCTGTTCTGCTATATTTCGGGGCCTGGGACGCCCCTTGGTAGTGGAATATACACATCCGGCTCCGGAACAATCTTGTTTAACCATTCCATCCAATGATCCAATTTGGAAAGTTTTGCATCATCCTTCAAGTTTTCGTTGGGCTTTTCAACCCTACAGCCTTGCCATATGACCCCAATATCTTCAGCCGCCCTCCAATCAGCTTCGTCAAGCTTCCGGGAGTTCAGTTCATCCATCACGACTTGCATTCTTCGCTCCCAGTGGTCGTCAATAAACGTGCCTACATCGGGACAGTTTGCATAGTCCTGTTCCAACTTTCGGAGAAGCTCCTCCAGATAAACAAGCTCTTCTTGTTGTTCCTCCACAATCTCTGTCACATCTTCGTCATCCCGTTCATGAATTTCGGAATACTGTCCCAATCGACAGCAGCTGTGACGAAGATCCAAGACAGTAAAGGTCAAATATCTCGATATCGACTCAACCATCTGGGTCTGTGCTGCAGCCTGTCTCTGGCCTCCCACAGCCCATGTCCAAAGTTCACAAAACCATCTAAAGTTCTGCTTGTAGTCGTGCAATGCGGAGGGTTGCTTGTTGCGGCTTGCTCTTTCCCAGGACACCACCCCATCTAGCAATATGATCAGGGAGCTGCAGCCGTTCAATGAACATGCACATCGACACTGGTCAACTATGTCGATGGATGTAATCGCCTTTTTGATAAGATCAGGCAACTGGAATCCGAAATCGCCATCCTCAGCTAAGGCGTGGCATAAATAAGCCGACAGCAAGTGCGCCGGCGTCCACAAGGCATGATTGATTTCCCCGGGTTCTGTGCGAGACAGAGGTTTTCCAAGCTGCGCCCCTCTGTCAACTAGCCATAAAACATGGTACACAAGTTGAGACCTGTGCCATGCGTCCTGGATGACAAAGCCGTTGAGCACACACTTCCATAACTCGTCAAACCCGAAGGCCGAATCGAGACCAAGGTCTCTGAATCCCTGTTCCCATGCGTATGAAGCGATACATTCATTTGCGATGTAGGAATGGAGGGGCCTGAAATTCCAATCTTCGCCATTATTGCTGTCGCAATCATAGACCTTTAGTGAGATAGGGACTGAAATCGAGTGTTCGTTGAGAGCCGTTTGCACGTGCCCGGCCGCTTCATCTAATATCTTTGGTAGATAGAGACCGAGTTGCTTGTTTTTCGCAGGAGAAAGGTGATACATGGCATATTCGGCCAATCTTCGACGTCTTTCTCTTAAGCAGAGAATGACTCTTTTCTGTAAATGCATCGCTGTGCCCCCGTTGTCCCTAGTACGTCGGGAGAAAACAGTGGATAAAAACGAAGGAAGCATTGCGCAATCAGAACTTAACAAAGCCTCCAAAACATTGCAACCGTTGCACTCAAGGGAAGCTGAACTGCAGCATTGCTCATGAAGCTCCGACTGGACAGAATATTCGATAGGACGATAGCCTCGAGGTTCTGTGCAGTCGACTTTGTTCAGAAGCGGCGCGTCTGCGTGAAGCAGAATGATTTGAAGTATTTCCAGGTTCGCAGCACCTACCGCAATATGTACTGAGGTCTGGCCAAAACAATTTGTGCTGCGGATGCTTGACGTATCTTTCTTGAAAGTCTCCAGGACGCCGCTCTTGTCTTGTCTCAGGATGCAAATCTGGAGGTCAGGAAAGTTCAGTGCTGCTTGGTCAGTTGACAGTAACACGACAATTCATTTTTGAGTGAAGCCCACCTTCTGCTGTCATCGGAAAAGCCTTCATCATTTGTAGGTGATGGGTAGACCGTTCGAATAAACGAGGTTGGTAGGGGCTGTCGATATCTGTCTCGTGGCTTACGAGATTTCTTAATACTGCGTAGCCTGAGGTGTTTGCCGATAGCCAACCAGAAACCAATACCAAGGCCACGGGATGGCTTTATTCAGAACAGTGAGCAATGATAGTCCGCTCAGTCACTAATCCAGCTAGTGATAGCTGCCAAAGTAACTCACCCATTTGCGTTAAAATTGGGAACTGGCGAGACATGCAGAGCCTGGACTGAATGAATCAGCCAAAGAGCTTGTTGACTGGTAACGGTACATTCGACGTCCATCCCTATGAACTTTGATTGGTTTAATTAGCATTGACATCCAGAAAAATGGGTCAGCTTGAGAGTTCCGATGGGGACGAATCATATTCTGAGTTGACCATACCTTCATTCTCTGAAGCAAGCAATACAGCAAGGTTTCTCCCCGCTCGTTTACGTCAGTTGGGAATGCTTTCTTTTGAAGGTAGCACCAAAGGACGCGTCTCCATATGGCTCCCAACAGACGCCATCGACCTTCAGGTCCTAGGAAGTTCTGACTTTCAGGGGATGACAATACAGACTCTGCGAATCTTCCCAGTCGAAAAGGCAACGAACGATCGGAATCAACTACCTCATTGACACTGAGACACTGCTGAAGGTGCAACCCAGTCCGTCCGCTTGTGATAGACCAGAAAAGGCGAACGGCTTTGCCGGCTATCGATTGTAACATAGGTATTGTGACCTCGAAAACCAGAGAACTTCGGTTCTCATTGTCCATGAATATTTCCATGGAGCAATCTCTCGAATGGCGAGTAAATCTTTGGTCTTTGGTCTTTGGTCTTGAATTTCACAGGGCCCCATCGTATTTGATGGTTATTCCGCCGGCAGTAGTCCTTGCATGAACACCGCGTCGTGTTTCTTCGAAATTGTAATGTTCTTGGCCAACTTCGTACTCGAGCATCCTTCCAGATTTGTTTGCAAAACCACGTAGACCATCACACATGGCTTGCAGGTTTGATGGTCTCGCTACAAGCCGAGCACTTTCAAGATCCGCGGTCGTACGTTGAAGCTCAGTTCGCCGAGCCATGTCATTAAGAAGCTCTTCAAAATTTTCCAGGCGTCTGTCAACGTGAGAGATTTTTCGCTGGATGCTGAGAGTGTTGCGGTCAATGCGAGCCGTGATTTGATTCGTCTGCGATAATATATCTGCTTGTTGAACCATCAGTTCAGTTGTGCTCGCCGTTCTTTCGTCGATCGTGGGAAGTATTCGATTGGAATCAGCTGTCGACAAGCAAATACTCTCAACGTTTCTCGACAACTCCTGCATTTCGTTGCTAGTATCTCCTACAACGGTACGAACAATATCCACGGTGGACTTGACAGCGTGAATTTCATCCTGATTGTTGGCGAGTAATTCCCTAAAATGGCATGCTTTAGATGATGCTGGGCAAGTACTGGAACTTGGGGCTGTCAACTTACAAGCCCAAAGGCCTGCATTGCTGTTTGGAGAACCACAATCGCTGAACCTAGTCTCTTCTCAAGTTCGATCATGGTTTCCCGATGAAAAGGGAAAGCTAGCTTTCTCCCCTTTTCTCGAAACCTTCCAGATATCGTGCTGATGGGCGCAGATGGTCCCTGCAGCCGCATGACCAATGCTTCCAGGGCGACAAGCTCGCTTTGGCAACTTGCCAGGGTCGCGTCGAGTGGGTCCCTGGATGCCAAATTGCGAAAGGAGGGTTTGGATGTCGCAACAGAGATAGCGTCGATGCAGCGCTTCAAATTGTCGCCCAATCGCCTTGCAGAGTCGAGTTCTCGCTGTATCCCCTTGACAGCTTCCAGATACTTGGAGATTGCGCCATACACCTGGATCCCCTGGGATATCAGACCGGCAGTCGTACCGAGAATTCCTGCGACCTCAGCCATGTTTACAAGGCGGTCGCCGATGGTTGATGCGCCAGTCAGACTGGATGGTATCGGACGGGAAGCGAGAGAAAACAATGGCGGCGGAGCTTCTTTTGTGTCGGAGGCTGCAGAAATAACAACTCGCAGCACCATGCCAGTGCATAGCTCATACGTCACTAAACATTCCGTTTTTGTCTTTGAAATAGCTATATGGATCCCCATTGGTTCTGACTCTACGCTGTATTTGCACACGGTATTCCAAAGACTAGGTATCTTGACACAATGAACATACAATCGACGCCTCGATCAGGAGCCTTCGAGCAGATACGCAAACTCATATTTTTTCAGTCCTTCCTAAGGGACCTCGAATGTCCTCATGTACAAAGCTGCCCTCCCGTCAGCTAGATTTCCATAGAAAAGAAGCATTTAGTTGCGAATGACCTCTATCAGATACCTATCAATAAGGACTATCAACATGAAATGCGGCGATATACCAATCAAGATACCTTGATGTGACATCTCGTCGCATCACTCCACATATTTCTCTCTACGCGCGCAGAAGAAAAGTCCACGGAAATGACTTCGCACTTTGCATCCTCCCAAAACTTTCGTATCCGCCCTCACTTTCATCCGAAAGCCAAACAATCCTCCTCCACAGACGTACCGCGCGTACAAGTGATTGAATGCTGACGTGTTTTTCGTCGCGCAGGCTAAGGCGCCCCGTGCAGGAGAAGCCTACTTTTTTCGTCGCGTCTGGCGAATCAGCTGTTGCGGCAAGTGAGGGGTTGACGTGACACAGGCGCAGCTTGGCGGCAGTCCTCTTTTTTTCTGCTGCTTCTCCTCCTCTCTCAGGTTGACAGGATTTGAGGACTGCCTAGTGCGTCTAGGCAGCATTGTGAAGGTGAAATATGGTCAGATTGGGCTTGTCGGCGCGGGGTTGAATTTTGCTGCTTGGCTTTTCGGGAGCTAGAAGGCACGCAAGGTGAAGATGGCTACGTTTGCTGGACAGTGAGATAGTTAGTGGACTTGGAATCTGTCAATATGACGGTTAATGTGAGATGCATTCGTATTGTCTGCTTATGAGCATCTTGTATTTGAGTTGCCAATTTGCCGTGTCCTTTACTTTCATCCCAGCCAGCTTTAATGCCGTCGTTTCCGCCGTGTAGCTCAAATCACCATCCTTTCCCCCCTGGCCCCTTATAGCAAATTCCCTGGTAGCATTTCGGCGTCGTGTGCGATTTCAATAGTACCTTATGTAGACAATAGTGGTGAGTGATTTTAGCACGCAGACTCCTAGGCCGCGAGCATTTGGGTAGTTCCATCTTCGTAAACCTTGACGCGAGGTTTCTGTAGAGCACAGGTCAATATTGGGAACGCGTAAAGTATCACCAGGGGGGGTGAGCCTACAGTATCAATGTCGTGATAGCCCTGGAAGCGACACGAGCTATGTTCGCAATTTTTGAGCCATCGACAATGGTGTCCAAGCATGCAGTCGGCATTATCACAGCCTGACATGTCGTTGCACGGTATTCCCCGAGACTAAGGGCCATTAGCGGAGACCATTCATACTGTATATCATGACATGGGATCATCAAGACTCACTTTCTGCTTTAGCAGTGTCAATTCTCCCTGACTCAGCTTTTCACCGTGGAGGAATGGGCACGCATCGCCATTCTTGCAGAATCCATGAAGATGAAAATTGTTGCAGAGGTTTTTGCCAGACTTTGTCATGCGCTCTTTGAAACGCTTCTCGACGTTCGGGTCAATACGCGGGAACTGCTCGTCGACGCGCTGACTCTCAACGTTGAGAAGATAGTACTTTTTAGGCGCAGGTTTCTTGGAAGAAATATCAATCGTCTTGCCGGTCGAGACCTTAGTGACGACAGACCAGGAGGTAGGTGTCTGCGCACCGCCGCTCGATGACTGCGGGCTCGCAACACGCTGGGGCTGGCTCTCGTTCGTGTTGCTTCTCAAAAGGGCGCCGCCATTTCCATTGCTCGTGGGGACGTGCACCGGGGGCGGCAGCGGTTGCATGCCGGCAGTGGGAGGCGACGCGACGGCAGAAACGCTTGACACACTTGATACACTGGGGCGCTCGACGCGATCGGGGAGTTTTTCGGATCTGAAGACCGACTTGAACGAAATTCGATGAAAATTGAGATGTTTAAAGCCCTCCTCGGCAGGAGTGGTCTCGATAAGCGTCAGACGCGGGTAAACCTTAGGGTCTAGCTTATATGGCTCAAGGACAGGAAGGTATCCGTTATCATGGCAAGGGCCAAAGAAAATGTGCTTGCACTGATTGATGCGAACCATCAGGCGCAAGGTTTCGCGAATTTTGTGATCGGCGGACTCCTTGCCAGAGCCGACGTCAATGAAGCTGAACAGGGGCTGAGCACGGCCAAAGCCACGTCCAAAGTCGGACAAAGTGCGCTCAGCAGCAGTATTGGAAATAATGCCACAGGCGTGGAGCTTCTTGGCCAGACCGTCGAGATTTAGCACGATCTGAACCATGACGCTCCAGTCCTGACTGGCTGCCTGGGGATAGGCCTCGCTAACGTAGTTCATAATTTCGTTGTGGAGGAGGTACCCGGCTTGAGAGCCTCCATCGGCACCGGCCTTGAGGAGCATGTCTTGAAAGACTGCCCCGTCTCCATCAATAATAACAAAAACGAAAGGATTAGATTCCTGCGGTCGGTCAGTAATCGTTTGCGTGGCAGGAGGTGACCGAAGCCCACCGTCGTCTTGAGACTCTTGCTTAGTGCCTGCATTTCTCTATCGTAGGTTCCTGCCTTGGTCTGCCACATTCGGCGGGACTCGACTTCATTACTGTAGTCGTCGCATTTTTCCTGGTATGCACGTTGAAGGTGTTCATATCGCGTAAGAATTTCCTGTGATTCCGAGAGTCAGATATCGGATCATGTGATTTGGAGGCAGCAGCCGTCGCCACCGTTGCCGTTTTGACGGCATCTGAAGTTGCTTGTGTGACAAGAAAGCATGATCTGCTTCAATTTCGGAGAATCATCGGGCCACTCACTCCTATCATTTGATCGCGGGCATGATCCTGATGCCGGAAAAGTTCGAGTTGTCGCACATATTGGGTGAGGTCGTTAGCACCGTCCATGATGGCGGCGTCGTCTCGTATAATGCTAGTCCGCGTCGACAAAAACACTATCTCGATTGTCTATCGACGGTGTGGGCGATTGATGCTGAGATATCTCGATTTCTGACGGCGATTGAGAAAAAAAAAAGGTGAGATGCAGAGATGAGGTTGCGAAGGTTTTGAAGTTCGGACGGCAAGACCCCATTACTTAAGCTCAGAGTGGGGTCGTATTCTGGGTTCTTCCTGCCTTTCAGGCCATTCAGAGCGTCGCTTTGCATTGTTCCGGGGGTAGCAAGCCCCCGGCGCGGCGCCTTCCCGGTAAAGGCGCCCATGGACTTCCAGCGGATTTTTAGCTGCCCCTGCCTGTTGTGTTTGTGCTTGCTAGGCGGAAGTCCTTAGCGGGCCAATCAAATTGCCGATTTGCCCTCTGTTTGCGCCAAAAGCGGGGGCCTGCAGGGACCGCCATCGCTCACCCCAACGTGGCACGCATTCTTTTGATAAACTGTGCCGCTTTGTCTGATTGGCCCATATTAGACATCCGAACGATCCTATCAATGGGACTTTGAATGGCGCTGATTTCGTAGATATAGCATTCATGTTCTGTTTTGTTTGAGAATGTGTCCGTTTGCAAGTATTTTTCAGAACTTTTTGAACAATGTCGCAGCTCAGACTCTCAGTTGGTCTGAACTCATGAACCTGACAAAGTCTGAAACCATTCGAGGGAAACCGATTGACACAAACAAGCATAGTCTATATTTGTAATTATTTATTAGTGTGTTTGCTGTTAAAAATCATAGTATGAGCCCTTGAAAGCTGCACGGATGAGGCGTTCACGATGTTTGTTGAGAGAATTTAGACAATATAGTAAGTAAATGTATTACTGTTGTGTGATGAAATCTTGCTGGCTCGTACGTAACATTTAAAATAACTTCAATCAAAGCTTTTAACAAACACTATGGTCTCCTTTCATGCATTGGTCGGGAGTTTGATGTTTCGAAAGCAATTGCCTTCGAGTTACTGCTTATGTATTACCAACGCATATTACGGAAAATGCATGCATTGCACTGGAAAGTGTTATTCACTTGAGGATCTTTTAACACATACACCATCAAAGCATGAACTTCAGACCAGCTTAATAGATGATTCACTGCCAATGAACACAGCGCCAAGCGATGAGAAAAAAAGCCTGGGACACCTTTGTTGGCTCTGATTCACTCACGATACGTTTGGAAAAGAGCAAGCAAGACAAGACCGTGGTGATTCACCGCAGACTCAGAAATGGCATATAACTTGGAAACATTGCCACTGGCCGTTGAGATCTTCTGGGCCACTATTAACCACAAACATCCACACGAATCATCTCCGTCTTCAGTGGCGCACTTGAAACCCCAGAATCAGTGCCTGTCTACAATACATTCTCAACACTCCATCATCATCAATTCATCATCCATCTTTGACTGTCTCATCATGTGTTTCGGATCTGGCGACCGACCGAGAAGAAAACTGAAAAAACGGCGTCGCAGACGGAACTCCCTTGGCTACTTTTAGAAAGACGATGGTCTTGAAGGCTGGAGTATCAACGGGGACAAGTTCAAGGTGGTGGAACGTCGAAGGGATGATTGCCATCCATTTCTGAAGTAGTCGCAGAAACTCAAAAGACGCCCGTTGACTTATTTCTATTTTGCAACTTATTAATTGTCCGACTCTAGGCCGCTGTGTGTGGTTGTCTACTGTGAGGCAAACGAGAGAACCGTAGGACCACAGCAATCCAAGTTTTCCAAACTGCTCATGTTACAAGAAAATAGAAGAAGTATGAAATTGAGGCTGCTGAGGAACATTTTGTGCTTCGGAGGAAGTAAAGACCGCTTTTTCTGCACCCGCAAGAGTCAGTAAGTGACGTCTGAACGACACAATCCACCATCAGATGTCCACGGAACGCGTTCCATGTCCGATGTTCTCCACCTGAAAAGCTTGATTAAACGCGAAAACGAAGATGCACGACTTATTTGTCCCACTGAGTGCCGTATCCGAATCTCATTCGAGAAATCTTACGTTGAAACCCGCAGGTCCGGGCCGGAAAGACCCACTTCGGAACACTATGACGCCAGTAACCGGAACCACACGATCGTCGGCGGAGGTAAGACGCTCTTCCCATTGGTCAGACTCATCAACTTGGGAAAGTCGCGGAGATAATGCGCACTTCCCATTGGAAGAGCCCATCACATCCGGAAGCTCGGGGCTGATCGCCACTGCACAACTGGAGATCCCGCTCATCGGACCATCGAAGCGGCTCCATTCTTTCAGCCTTAAGCCTTGGAATAGACGGGTCCAGACTGACACAGAGCTGTCCCTCTCACCAGCTCCAGACGTCATGTTCTTTCGGAAGACAGCGGGATGCGCGGAGGCTGCTCCAGCTCCGTGGAAACCACGGCTCTTCATCAATATCGATATGGGATGAGGTCGAGTATAAGAATCGTCGACGATGACCCCGAAAGACAGAAATTCTCTTCGCCATCATCAACACAAATCACAAACACTCAAACAACTCTCAACAACAACTTCAACTCATCTACACAACACCCTTTACTTAACCACAAACCACCCAACCCATCAAAATGCTCGGCAAGATCGCACTCGAAGAGGCCTACGAGATGGCCGGCATGGAAGCCAAGTCCCGCCGCGAAGCCGCCCTCTACATCAACCCCAACGACCGCACCCGCTACATGCGCCAGATCAGCGACGTCAACGACGAGCGCGTCAAGCTCGCCGACGACCACGGCATCGGCTACACCATCATCTCCCTCACCGTCCCGGGCATCCAGGGCATCGCCGACCAGGCCGAGGCCGAGCGCCGCGCCACCGAGGTCAACAACTGGGCCCACGACCAGATCAAGGCCCGCCCCGACAAGCTCGGCGCCTTCGCGTGCCTGTCGATGCACGACCCCGCGCAGGCCGGCCGCGAGCTGACGCGCTGCGTCAAGGAGCTCGGCATGCACGGCGCGCTGCTCTGCGACTTCCAGCATGCGGGCCCCAACGGCGAGACGTACAAGTTCTACGACCAGCGCGAGTACGACGTCTTCTGGAAGGTCGTCTGCGAGCTCGATGTTCCGGTGTACATCCACCCCGCGGCGCCTGCCGATGTGATGTTTGACAAGTTGTACGCGGAGCGCAAGTACCTCATCGGCCCGCCCCTGTCTTTCGCAAACGGCGTCAACCTACACCTCATGGGCATGATCTCGAACGGCGTATTTGACCGCTTCCCGAACCTGAAAATCATCGTTGGCCACCTGGGAGAGCATTTGCCACTAGACTTTTGGCGCATCAACCACTGGTTCGAGGATGTCAAGAAGCCCATCGCCAAGGACGAGGGCAACGAGGACAACATGTGCAAGAAGACCATCTACGACTACTTCAAGCAGAACATCTGGGTCACCACCAGCGGCCACTTCTCCACGCACACGCTCAAGTACGTTGTCGACGAGATTGGCGCCGACCGCGTGCTTTTCAGTGTCGACTACCCCTACGAGACCATCGAGAACTGCTCCGCTTGGTGGGACGGCAAGGCCGAGGAGGTCAAGGAGGCGGTTGGTGGCGTGGAGAACTACCGCAAGATTGGAAGGGACAATGCGAAGAAGCTACTCAAGCTTGGTAGCTTCCACGACTCTGAGGCCCCTGTTTCTTAGAGAGACTTATCGTACTAGACTCTGTTTCAGTCAACTAGATTTGTAGAGCGAATAGGTAGCAAAGCATGATCATTTTGTTGAAAATCTTGTTATCTTGCTGCGATGTTTGGTCATTGGAAGCTTGACCAGTTACTTAAGTCTATACCTTGCATATTGAACCAACTCTCGTTCAGGAGGTCAGAACTAAGGAAGTCGCCAAAGTCCTGAGCCATTGGTGTTTGACTCATGCCAGGCATGGAGCTAAAGGGCAGCAGTAAGTCGCCCTGGTTTTGCTCTTGTAGTCCTTCAGGGTGCGAAATCTGAGAAGCTATCGCATTTGAACCGGCTGGTGCATCCTTTCTTGACACAGCCGCAACAGAGTCCCGGAACCGTTGCAAAACCTCAATACCTCTTGTGGCTGATGTCACATGCCTTTTGTGAAAGTCAAATATCCGAAGTGCACGATCCCAAGATGTTTTTGTGGGTTCGGTGTCAAAGCTGACTTGGAGATCAGGGCACAGAGTTGCAACGACTAGGGTGGATGCTGCGGCAAAGGTGACTACCGTATCCGTTAGAGGTTATATCAAGTTAGGCGAATTGGTAGGGAAACAGCTTACATAGTAACACATGCCATGCTGAGTTTTGGCGCACACTCCCTAGCTTTTCGTACATTTCTTGGAGAACGCCATGAGCTGTAGAGACACAGAGGGTGTTTGCGGCATGGCGAAAGCTCTCGCTCAGTGCCGATGAGTTGGGCAGATCTCTCCTGGACTTGGTCGTCTGCTTGGCTTCTACTAAGAGCAAGGGACGCAGGAGCAGAAGCCGTATCCAAAGGACTCTATCTTCAACATCAGTCTCTGCCGTGGTGAGCGATACGATTTTGGGTGCTTCTACCTTGACTTCAAGATGTTCGCCTGCATCTGTAGACTTCCCTTGAGACTCTCATCATACTGAGACAGGCTAGCACCTTCTCTCAGATAGACCGGAAACGAGTCATTCAAGTCATCTAGCTTCGCTGAGAGCTGAAGCACGTCGCTAAGAGATCGCGATTTTAGGTCAGAAGAGCCATCCCCCTCACCGTAGAATTTGGCCAGAATTTCTTTCAGAACGTCGAATAGGACCAGAGAGTGCACGAAACATGCTAGGTACGACGGTCTGCCCACCGCCTGGCTTCCTTCGGTGATGTCTGACAAGTACTCGTCATCAACCATGGCCGGAGCCGGTGTCGAATACTGTCTCGACAGTAAGACGGATCGCCCGAATGTAGTTGCAGTAAGCCTGACATTCTGCATTAGCTCTGAGCGACAGTGGAGCAGGGATTGTAGACCGGCTTACCTATCCAAAGTGAGACAGCAATGCCAAACGCGCCGCCTCATCTCACGTTTGAGCTGATTTACTCCAACGGTTTTATTTCCTTCATTTTGCAGTCCCAGCCCCTGGGCTACTCTCACTGCGACGCCAACAGTATTCCAGCAACGGTCAGCGTACGATGTATAGTGCAGGTAGACACCTCTCAGAAGTAGCAGCTGAACGACTTGCAATGAAGAGTGGTCGAGAGTGTCTACCGATATAAGCTTCACAGACTGCTTGTAGAACTTGTCAGTGAGGTTCGCCTGCTCTGCTACTGACACCTGATCGGTTCGTTGCGATCCCAGCGCAAGCACAATGCTTAGAGTCGAGTGGAACACAACGTCTTTGAAATCCCGCTTATGATTTCGATCTTTCGTTGGCTTCCAAAGCGCCTTGTATGATGCAATGAAGGACGGCTTATGTAGAATTGGGAAGACCGGGTGCACGAACTCCCAGAAGGACTCCATCAAGCTGTCGGCAAGCCATCTCTCGGGTAGCATCACCGGTTCAGGGAGGGGATCGGGGCTCTTTGGTTGGACTGTAGAGAAGCCAAGGACGTTAGGCGTGCTCTCGGTCTCGTTTCCGGGACCGTCTGGGCCAGAGTCATATGGCTTCTGCGCATCCGCGGCAAGAGTGACTTGTCGGAGAAAGGAGATATTTGAAGAGGGGCCGTAGATGGTCTCATCCTCATTGTGGGACGTCGATCCATTTCGCTGATGATGGCTTGCCGGCATGCCTTCAGCAACCCTCGGCTGTAGTCCCGGGCCTGTGTCGCCAAGAACAGTCTCAACTCCGATGCCAATTGGCCGAGCCGGAGCGATTCCGGAAACTCCGGGAGCTCCGGAACCCGGCAAAGGGGGACTGCTATTCGGAGGTACAGATGTCTGGGGAAGAGGCGATCCCTCAAGTCTCTCCAACCTCTTTTGGAGTTCAGAAATTGTCCTAAAAATCGTCAGTATCATCCATGATCTGGAAAGAGTGGACACGTACGGCCTCGAAGATGCGTTCATCACCGACTCCTGATAGGTGCACTGCTGCTGGATCCCTTTTTTCTGGCACGCCGTGCACACCGGACGCGTCCCGTCGCAGCCGGACTTTCGAGCCCGACACGGGTTGCACGCGAGCTGCGTCTTCCGGCGCTTTCGGGGCGGCACCTGCACCGAGGACATGGTTGGTGGTGTCTACCTCTTGGCAATGATGATGCGAGGCATGGTTGGGGGGATCAGCAGTTCAATTGCCGACGAACCACGTCCGGAACGTGGAGAGGGTAAAGCTCAAGGACCCACATTTGTTTGTGCTGTGCTGCACCGGAACTCGGCACTGATGACATTGCTTTCTTTCAGGCCTGAAGTATTATCATCTTTTTCGATCTCTGATTACAACTTGCCCGAAAATCTCGTCGTATCAAGCAATCGCATTTTCCGAACAATTTGACTCGCGTTTGATGCGCGAACTACTCTGACGTCACATCCGAGCTGACAAGGGTTCCGAACCTCTTCTCCAACTGGCAGCGGGGAACAACAGACGTCATTGCAAGACGGCCAGACCGGGAACCTGAGTCGGTGGCTAGACTTGCTCAATCCAAACAGGAACCGGCGCTTCGTTTATCCCAGAATCCCAGCAACCGCGTTCCTGGTACGAACCCCGCGCGAAGGAGCAACTGGCATTTGCAGAGATCCGCTCGCGATGCCACCCACGTGCGGAGAAATACCACAGCCGACGCGGAGAATTGCATCTACCCTTCCAATTGCGCCTGTCAACTAGCCTGCTCTGAGCACATGAGTGAAGAGCCCTCTCCACTTTCTTGACGAAGAAGCGGGATTCGGCGCCGTTGACCGAGGTTCTGGGGATCAACCGCCCCCGTAACTACCACATCCCCTCCTACGTGGTTAAAATTACCAGTTATCATTGGTCTCTACGAACCTTCGGCTAAAGACTTCCTCTTCAACTACAAATCTCCACAGCGTAGTGATCGTCGGCCACGGCGCCGATGACCGAAAAGAGACCCAGCCACGTGGTTAAGACTCGAATCTGCGAGGAAGTTTGAAGCTCAACGTGCGGAGTAACGGGGTAGCGGACTGAAGACCGGCAGTTTAGAGCGTATCCACACTTGTTGACAGGCAAGCGATGACTTCAAGATGGGTGAATACAAAAAGGGCGCTATCTCGCCTCCGCTGAAACATGTTTCTGGTTCCCGGAGTAGGTCACGTTGGATCTCGGTCATCTACATCATGTTGTCCGCTCTAGCACTCGCTTCCTGGTTCCTGCCGGCTTCAATCGCGGTGCCCTCCCCTAGAAGCCCCGACTGCGAGTCTCTCGCGGAACAGGTAAAGGCCTCTGTGCCAGAGTTGACCTTGGTTAGCTCCGCTCTAGTACCTGCGAATAGCCTTAACATCTCTTCGGTCTTCAACTCCGCGTCGTTCTGTCGGTTCAATGGCACCGTTCCGTACCCAGAGAACAACACGGTTCTCTTTGAGGTTTGGTTGCCGGAGAGCGGATCCTACAACGGCAGATTCCTAGCCGTCGGTACGTCAATCAAGAGACTATGTTGAGGGTCAAAGGCTCTAACGTGAGATAGGCAACGGAGGATTGGCTGGCACGATTGACTATGCGGCAATGGTAGAGAATCTCAACAAGGGATTTGCCACAGCGGGAGGCGACAGCGGACACCGCGCTGCCGACAATAACGGTGGTGATGCCTACCCCGGAGGGATTTACCTCCCATTCCTGCATGATCGAAACCAGGTTCTCGCATGGATTAGAAACTCCATTGCGCTCTTCACTACTCCAGCAAAGCAGATCGCCAGTCTGTACTACGCGGAGCCCCCGTCGCATGCCTATTACAAGGGCTGCTCGACTGGAGGCGCTCAAGGCTTTGCCCTGGCGGAGTATCAACCTGAGTTATTCGACGGAATCGTTGCTGGGTGCCCTGGAAACTGGTACTCTCACCTTGCTCTCTCATTCTTGTGGAACCAGCAGGTGTCTCTGGTTAGTAGCCAATGCGAGCCAGTAAGACGAACTTGACTCACGCTTCTCAGGACTCGGCTTTCATTCCCCAGGAAACGCTCACCTTCATCCGCGACTCTATCCTGGACCAGTGCGACACCCTGGACGGCGTCGCCGATCGCGTCATCGAGAACCCTCTAGCCTGCTCCTTCGACCTCTCCACGCTCGCCTGCACCTCATCCTCAACCAACACATCAACTTGCCTCACACCCGCTCAGATTACCGCAGCCCAGCAAATCTACGCTGGCCCGCGCCATTCCCAGACCAACGCCAGCCTGTATCCCGGCTTCGACCTAGGCAGCGAGTCGGAGTGGATCAGTCAAGAAGGCCGTCTGTCCCTCTCCTTCTCGCTTCCTCTTCTGCAGAACATGGTCTTCGATGATCTCAGCTATAACGGTAGCACATTCGACTGGGCTAACGATGTTCAAGCGCTGGATGAGAAGGTTGGAAGCTTGATCGACTCGATCAGCACCAACTTGACCGCGTTCAAGGGGCACGGGGGCAAGTTGATTGTAACCCAGGGTTGGGCTGATCCGTACAATGCTGCGACGTGGCCGATTCAGCATTTGGAGGATGTGGAGAAGGTCACTGGCGATCGGAAAGATTGGGCTTCGTTGTTCATGGTTCCTGGTAAGTTTTCACAATTTCAAGCGAGAGAGAAACCAAGATTAACCTTTCTGCAGGAGGCGGTCACTGTGGCGGTGCTTCGTCGTATCCTCAAGTTCCCAGCAAGCAGAGTTCGCTCGAGGCGCTGGTTGAATGGGTGGAGAAGGGGGCAGCACCGACTGAGTTGCTTGGAAGCGAGCCGGCAGATGGAAGCAGCAGGACGAGGAAGCTTTGCCCCTGGCCACAGACGGCAAAGTTGGTTGGAACAAAGGCTGATGACTCGGGGTCATACGTCTGTTCATGATGAATCGCTGACGAGAATGGATATCATACAATGTCAATGTCCCGTAATTCACTTTCATCCTCCGGCCACAACTCGCCCTTCATCATCCCAGTGACAACTGACGGCCCAACGAGTCTGTACTCTCCATTATCACCATGCGGTCTTAAAACAAACGGGTGCTTCAGACCAGCGATCACGAATATCTGGTCGTCCTCCAATATCCATGGCACACCAAGCCCGGCGCGTCCGTCGATTGAAAAGAACATCCGACCTTCGCCTATGGCCCACTTGACGTCGATACCCGTTTTTTCGTTTCGGCAAAGGATTTCAAGAAGATCGTGAAGGGTGGCATTTGGTTTGAGGGGAGGCAGTGGTTTCCGGCCATGACGTTTCGTATCTATAATGCCGTCCAACAGTTCGAAAAGAGTGGCTGCAACCTTGGCCTCTGAGAGTAGATCTGTCCCAAGTTTTCCATGAAGAAAGGAAACAAAGTCCCCCATCAGCTGTCTCAACCGATTTTCGTACTTGATGTCGGTTTCAGAAACGCTGAATATGTCGTCGTCGTGAAATTCCTGGCCACATGCAGAAGCATCTTCTCTTGCCATTTTTGCCATCAGCCAAAAGTTGCCTACAGGGTCGATGTTGCTAATGAGATTCCCTATCACACCAACACTCCTTCCACGAACACGGAGGCAGCCTCCAACGTCGAGAAAGGACATCAATGGCGGACTTCCACGTGAGGCATTGGAAGATAGGTAGGGGTCCATGTGCGCCCTACGGTTGAATTGATGACAATCCTTGGTGCCGAAGTCTACTGACCACGACGGCATCGAGCCAATTTCGGTGACCTCCAGAGATGTCCTCGCCAAACTAGCAAGATATAATAGATAGAGCCGTTTGGTTTCTTTCAAAACAATCATGGAAGTTTCTATGTACAGATCATGCAATGGTCGCTGGTAATCAACTTTGATCTTTGCAAACACATCAGTAGATATGGCGCGAAACGCAAATATTCTGTCCCTTGGCTCTGTGACTTGCAACTTCAAGAAGCGCTGTAAATAATAGTGACTGATCAGAAGAGGATCGTGGCTAAAGCGCCCAAATACTCGACATCTCCCGTAGACGTCTCGGTGCATCAATAGTTGCCCGCCGTTTTGTGAAAAGTGGCTGCTGTGGCGAATCATCTTGATCATGCCAACAAAGGATATCATGTTCGAGTTCTGGCAAAGAATAGAAACATGAGTATTGGCGAACTCTTGAATGGTCCAAGCGCGAGACCAATAGGAACTCCAAAGTATGGCAAGGAGTGTGGTTTCACTGCAGCCTGTTATTATGTCAGACGCGTCCACACACAAGTTTCGGTGGGAGGTGTAACAATCCATCCTTATGAATATTTGACTCACAGAAGTTACAAAGAACATTTCCTACCAGTTTCTCTAGCCTTTTGACTTGGGGTTCGAACCATCTGAGGGCTTTCGAGCGCTCTGCCCAATCGAAAAGACCACTCAAACTCCCCATATCGAGATTCGGTAACAGTGCACATGGCAAAGAGCCAAGCAGAGTCCTTGAAGTTAGCGGAGCGCGTCGATCACCTAGCCAGACAGCCACCCTCTTTGCTCGGTGGAATATCTCGGCCATCATCGCAACCTGAGTACTCTTATCGTCGTTTGAACTTTGGTTAATGCAAATGGCATCGACCCACAGCGTTACACTTTTGCGCCTGTTGATGAGTCGATGAAGGGACTTCCGGAACACTCTCAGAGCGGCGGCGCAGTTGGGTGTGATAAGAAGCCGGGAGCCCGACGTCTGGCTCGTGTCGACTTGGGCATTGCCAATCGTGAGTGGTTCACTAGGAGTCTCGCCGTTCCATGTGTAAGAGAGGGCAAAGTAGTCCGGCGGATTATCCAGGTTAATCTCGTCAAGGTTGCAGCTGAGGGGACATGACGGGCTTTTCGTCGTCCCGGGGTGCAGCCTGATCAGTCGAGTGAATCTGGGACCCGATAAAGGCGGATACTGGTAGGTGCTAATCGGACTCATAATGTGGAGGATGAAAGCGACGTGAGATTTTCTGAAATGACGTTGAAAATGTGGTAGCGAGATGAGGCGTTCGGCAGCAGCGCCTCCATGAGGTCATGTTATATGGCAACGCTTACGACTGAGCCAAGCAAGGGCGAGACCATCGCCCCACTTATAGGCATGCCCAGCCCATCGGTATATGTGAGGGAGGAGGAGGGCCCTTCAGGAGGCCCTAGGAGGGGGGGATAAGGCTATGAGAGGTTGAGAGGGCATACGAGGGCTTACGGGCGGGCCTTTGAGGCTGTAGATAGCCTCTGGAAGTGAATGTTGGTGGCCTCAAAATTACCCGATCAGGTAATCTCTTTAACGTCATGCTGTACAGTGACTGATTTACCTGGACTGTATTTGCACCACCCAACTAAAACTACATAGAGAGGGCGAGAAACCCCCCCCCCCCCCCCCTCAAGTTGACAAGTATGGGGTTCAAGATTGCTTTGAATGCCCTTATGAAGGCTCTGCTCCGCGGCTGTCTTACGCACAACATAGGCTGGGCTGAGGAATGGATCATCTGCGCGTGGCGCAATTAGCTTGGATGGTTACACAAGACCTACCAAACATCGGCGCAAACCGCCCTCGGTCATGCACTCGTTCAAGCAGGCTCTGTCGCTGCCTAAAATGTCAGAGACGCATGCAGCAATGTAAAGATCAAAGGCCATGGTTGTAAGAAAAACTTCTTGCTTCTTGTCGTCAAGATCTATGATATGAACAAATGAAAAACGTAAGATATTACAGGTAGGTATCACCAACGGCATGAAAAAGAATGCCCCCAAAGACACCGAGCCCCATGCAACCATCCCCGACTCCGTGACGATGCAAAGCCCATATATACCAACACAAGTAACCCAATCCCCGTCTATGGTATCCATACACTCTATCCTTCTCTATTTTTCATCTAAAAGCAGAAGACGGCATCAGTCATCTTGGACATGGACCCCGGCTTCTCAAAGCCCAAGTTCTCCAACGACTTCTTCGCCGCGTTAACCATGCCCGGCGGACCGCACAGCATAATCTTGGAATCCGCGCCCGCCGGCGCGGGGAAGCGCTCCGCCATCATCTCCTGCGTGACGTACCCAACACCGCCGGTCCAGCCCTCGGGCGGGGTGTCGAGCAGGTAGTGAAGCTTGAAGTTCTTGGGGTACCGTCTCGCAAAGGCCTCGAGCTCGTCGCGCAGGAGGATGTCGGCCTCGGAGCGGTTCGCGTAGATCAGGCTGACCTCGGTGGTGTCGCGGTCGTCCTCGCAGATGGCGCGGATGAGCTGGTACATGGGCGTGATGCCGGTGCCGCCGGCGAGCATGCCGATCTTCTTGGTCAGCCCGCGGCTGTAGCGCATGGCGCCCTTGGGCCCGCGGAACAGCACCTCCTCGCCGACCTCGACGTTGGCGAGGTACTTGCCCGTGAGCAGGCCGTCGGGGTAGCAGCGGATGACGAGCTCGAGGCGGCCGAGGTCGGCGTTGTTGGAGGTGGGCGTGTAGGAGCGCGAGACGGACTTGCCGTCGATCTCGGCCTTGATGGCGACGTGCTGGCCGATGGGCAGGCCGAGCACGGTGGAGGGCGTGGGCAGCTCGAAGACGAGGCGGTAGACGTTGGGGGCGATGAGGTGCTTCTCGGCGAGGGGGAGCGGGTGGTAGGTGACGGGGTCGAGCCAGCCGCGCTGGAGGAGGGGGTTCGGGCGCGCGACCTTGGGCATCTTCTTGTGCGGGCGGAACTTCATGGGGGTGAGGTCGTAGTGCAGCAGGGCGGAGAGCTTGTTGGCGGTGACGGTGCCGGCGACGGCGAAGATGGCGGAGGCGAGGGCGAAGCCCTCGACGAAGCCGAAGCCGGTGCGCTTGGGGCGTGTTCCGGCGCTGCTGAGGGAGAGCCACTCGGGGAGGTGGAGGTTGAGGCGGTGGACGGCGGCGATGACGTCCTGGCCGGCGGGGGTGTTTGAGGCGTGGCGGGCGGCGACGGTGCCGAGGGCGAGGAAGACGGCGGCGGCGGCTGCTTGGCCGGCGATGCGGACGGGGCCGGAGGTTGTGTTTGAAGGGGCCGCGGGGGCGGCTTTCGGGGCGACGCGGACGGCCTTGGGGGCGTTGCGCTTGTTGGCGCCCTTGAGCTTGCCGACGCGGAACTCGGCCATGATCTCGGAGGCGTCTTCGGAGTGGCCTGCGTTGTCGAAGGCTTCTGTGGCGTCGACGCCGCCGGCCTCGATGAGGACTTCTGCGCCGCCGGGGTGGTCGTGGAGGTACTTTGTTACATCGTAGACTTTTCGGGTGAGGAGTTAGCTGGGTGTTTTTGGTGATTGGAAGATAGGGAGAGGAGGGGTTGTTTACCTTCACCGCGGATGACCATCCAGCAGTCGTTTGCTTCTCTGTGAGCGGCGACCTCCTTGGCCGTGTATTCTTGGCCTTCTGTTGACGCCATGATGTGTGTGATGTGTGTGTTTGGAGGGGTATCTCAGGAAGTGGACCAAAGAAATTGAGAGAGGAACCGGTGTTGATGCGACCGAGCCGAAACTTGGGATTGTGGGCGGGATATAAAAGGATTATCTATCTTTACTTATGGATAGGGAGAATGATGAGAATCACCGATAAGGTTCGGGTGAGATCGCAGTGGGAGAAAGGGCCCCTTTCGAGTCGAGCCTCGGGACGTGGAAACGCAGCCAGTATTATTTATCAACGATGGCGCCACGACAGCGTGCATGCAGACGCGCAAAAAAAGGATGGGATATCCACAATTAAAAAAAATCATTCCAGATCACAATCGGCCGTGTGTCATGTCGAGTCCGTGTCTGACGGTCCATGGAACCCATGGAAAGGGTGCCGGTGGTGGTAGGGGATAGGATAGCGTAATGTCCGAGACGGGGGGGCGTCGGCGGGCAAGATGCCGAGGTTCGAGATAAGTGCTGTGGATTCTTGGTTCTCTCGTCCTTTGAAATGCCTCGCAATGGTCACGAATTTAGGTGCATTTTGCTGGTGTGGATAACCCAAGGTAAGGATGGGAACGGTGTGGGCACCGGGCGGGATCAAGCCGCGGCGATCGGACGGGTCGGCCGTCTGACAAAGAGGCGCGACGGGATTGGATGCCGGGCGGCGGCGGTGTCGGCGGTGACGATTGCGTTCGTCTTTTTTTCCCTGGGAGCTGTTTTCTTCGGAGGGGCCGAGGCCTCTCTGCCTTGTTTCATGCCAAGTTTCTTCAGCACTACGCTCCTCTGTCTCTGCCTTATCGGTGGCCTGCGGCGAATGGTTGCCCTTTACAGACGGTGAACAGCACTCATCGCGAAAACGAAGCCCAAGGTCTCCAGAATTACGTGTGTCGAGGGCAGAAAAACAGAGTCAGCACCCTCGCATCTGCCCGGTGCTGCGGTAAACAGGTCGACTGCCGGCGGGCCAAGAGATGGCGGCTCAGGGCGAATCTGCCTGCTGTCATCTGTTCATGCAGGGCGCAACGCAGCGTGGCATGGGCGGGAGCTTCTTCAAGCTTGGGTTGGAGCGGGAGCCCACATGGAAGCAGATGAAGCTTCTCATTGGCTGAAATGTCCCTAAATTACGTGGGTGGCACAAATAAACAGCAGCACCCAGAGAACACGCAACGAGCCGAGGCGCAACGGATTTCGGGACTTGGGACGCCGCCTTGTGGCTGCAGGCTGCAGCAAAAAGAGGGAAATATCGCATGAGCAAGGGGTCAATGGCATGCCATGGCAATGCAATGCAATTTGATAAGGCGCGGCGCGGTGCGGTGCGGTGCTCTATTCGTAAGGTGGTCCCCTATTTTCGCTGTGTTGTCTCTTCGTTTCGCCTCGGCACCTTTCTTAGTGCCCTATACACTACTTTTTAGTGTGTGCGGTACGTACCTCAGTTAGCGCAGATCATCCACTTTAAGTCGGCCCCTGTCTCCCGCTTGACCCTATCAAACGACGCGAATTCTTCTGATTCTTCTTCAAAGCCCCGATTTTTGCTTCCATTTTTTTTCGTCTCTTCCTTTTCGTATCGCCTCCGTTCCGCTGTCATGCCATCGAACCGCGGCTTGTCTCCGTCCACACCCCCCAAACCTCCCCAAGATCCAAACCCAAGTTCCAAACTACGGCGACTACTTCCAAATTGTTGTCTGGTCCACGCAGTCCACGCCGCCCACGGAGCCGATGCCGATTCAATGCTGCATGCCCGCCGCGCACTTCGGACTTGGGCGCCCATGATCTCATCAGCTCCCCTATCGCGGCGCCGACCCGCCCACTCTTCTTTCCCATCACCCACCACCCCTGGTCCGTTAGACACTTTGACGTGAACCTCGGCAGGCCACTTTTTCCCTCTCGTGTCTGAGCTGTTCGTCGGTCTGTTTCCACCGACGGGTTGCCATTGCCCAGGATCAGATTGGATAAGCTGCGGGCGGCATCGTTAATCTGCCTGGCTGGACCTGGTGGTGGGATGGGAAGGTACGTACCCTTTAGGGATTGCGACTTTTTTTTTTTCTCTGCTCTTATTATTACTTATATATCGTGAGCTCGTGGCATCTCCATCCTGCACTGCCTTTGGTTTATTGTGAATACGTCTCTTATCTACTACCTCAATACCATTTCTTCATAATCTGGTCGCATCGTCACTTCCATTTCCATCTTGTGCGACATTCAAACCACACCACACATCACACATACACGCAATGTCATCACAACGCTTCTACCTGTTGGGTGAAGACCCTTCAGCCACAACAGAGATCGAGATCCCCGCCTCGACAGACGAGGAGGGCCTCCAGCATCTCGCCGCCTCTCACTTTGCCGTCGTCGACCACAAGGGTAAGCACTCTCTCGTTCCCACCCTTGCTCCTGCACCCAGCTAACATTCCCTCAAGGCATCGGCTTCGTCTCCGGAGATGAGGCTCTGACAACCGTCGCCGACGTTCTCGCCGCCGAGGGCCCCGTCGCCCTCTCCATCGACGGCCACGCCGTCCGCGAGGTCCCCGGCCCGGCCGGCCTGCCCTTCATCGGCAACTACTTCGAGGTCTACCCCGACCACCTCGGCAACCACCAGCGCCTCTTCGAGCGCTACGGCCCCTTCATCAAGACAAACAACATGGGCTCCGTCATCTACCACACAAACGACCCCAAGCTCGCCAACATCGTCTTCTCCGAGTCCGACTTCTTCACAAAGAACATCATCCCCGGCCACCCCCTCTACCCCATCAAGAACCAGGAGTCCGGCGTCTTCCTCGGCGACACCGACACCCCCGAGTGGAAGATCGCCCACAAGTTCCTCCCGCCCGCCTTCGGCCCCAAGGCCGTCCGCCACTACGCCCCGACCATGCAGGCCACCGTCGAGGACGCCTTCAAGGTGTTCGACGAGCTCGACGACAAGGACGAGGCCTGGAACGTCTACCCCTACATGCTCAAGCTCGGCTCCCAGGCCGTCGGCAAGCTCGTCCTCGGCATGGACTTCAAGCATTTTACGGCCGTCGACGCCCCGCCCCACGAGATGGTCATCCGCATCGCCCAGTCCCTCGAGCTCAACAAGAAGATCACCTCCATGGGCTCCTGGTACGCCAAGCTGCCCTTCGGCGACCCCCAGCGCCTGCGCGACGCCCGCGGCCGCATCATCGACATGATGAACGAGTCCATCGCCGCCGCCTCCCGCGGCGGCACCGCCAACCTCGAGCTGCAGGAGGCCGCCCTCAACGCCGACAACATGGTCGACTACGTCCTCCGCGCCGCCGACCGCGACGGCAACAAGCTGCCCCAGGACCGCATCATGGAGCCCCTCGTCGTCGCCACCGGCGCCGGCTTCACCACCACCTCGTCCCTGCTCTCCTGGCTGCTCTACGGCCTCGTCGCCTACCCCGGCATGCAGGAGCGCCTCCTCCAGGAGCTCATCGACAACGGCTTCGACGAGGACACGCAGATCACCGCCGAGCTGACGCAGAAGCTCACCTTCCTCGACAAGTACATCAAGGAGACGCAGCGCAAGCACAACCCGTCCTACCAGCCCGCGCGCACCTCCAAGGTCGACATGATCCTGCCCGGGGGTTACAAGTTGCCCAAGGACAGCATCGTCATCCCGGCGATCCACCACATCCACAACAACACGCTCGTGTGGGACAACCCGGCGCGCTTCGACCCGGACCGCTGGGACACGGAGCAGGTCAAGAACCGGCCCAACGCGAGCTACATCCCCTTCGCGACGGGCCCGCGCATGTGCATCGGCTTCAACTTTGCGCTGCAGGAGGTCAAGGTCTTCCTGCCCAAGCTGGTCTACCGCTACAAGTTCAGCCTCGCGCAGGACAGCGCTGTGGAGTACGACCCCATGTTCCAGCTCATCCGCCCCAACAACCTGTACGTGCGCGCCGAGAGGAGAGTCAAGTGGCCCCCCAGGAGCGACGCTTAGAGGTGTGTGAAATTGGGATAGGATGGGTTTCGGGTTTGTGTTATTTTGTATGTACCATATTTGTCGGTGTATACCCTTTGGAGCATTGCATGGCGCGGGAATTCGGGGCAATTGGGGTTAGATCTCATGACATAGACATTAGAGCTGGATAGATCTAGAATAATTACAACTTCTACTTGTTCACATCTGCTTGTTTTTGCTCGTCTTCAGTGTTTCCAAATGCGGCAATATGATGAGGCCATCACCACGGAGGACTGCCCCGCGCACCATCCTGCCTCAGAAAACACGACACGAAAAGTGCCCCGCCGTCCCCACCCTGGATGACCTCGAACCCCCACATCCCAGGGGCGGTAATGCCGACACCTGGATTCTTCAACCTTATGCCAAGTGCCGATCCCTCTTTCACAAATACGACATTGGGAAATCATGCGAAATCAAACATTTTCGATGGCTCGCTCGAAAGAAGCTAGGCTGCAAAGTGTGCCACCGTCATCCCCTGGTAATCGACAGGAGAATATTAGAAGGCTGTCGGGGAGAAAGGTCTCGGCGGACCGGGCACCTGGCAAGCGAAGAGTGGGGGCGAGATGAAGAGACAAAAACAAAAGGACAGAAACCAAGGGGGACAAAAAAAAAATAAGAGCTCAATTCGATCTAGAATCGAGTCAAGTCCATGTGAGCGGTTGTGGTTTTACATGATAACCTCATCTTACGACTTGCTGTTCAATCAAGAAGGGCTCAGGCTCAAGATGCCCTGCGAGACAACTCGCGTTTGGTCTATTTCCAACATCGGGAGGTATTAGACGTACTGCTGTCACTCTAAACCGCTCTCATGCCATTGAGTACCTTAAATTGAATGGGTGTTGAATGGAGAACTGAGTGACAGTCCCAACGTGTAAAATGAGTCTAGATAATTCGATATAGTCTCATACTTGTCTCGGAGTACGTACCGACCACTTCCACCTTATGTAAGGGGACGAAACTGCAGGAAATAGTTAGGCGACTGCCCAACGACATGTCCTAAATCCCCATCTCACCATCGGCATAATTCAACTTCTCACCCACTCAAAGCCGGAGATCGCTCTTTGTTTCTATCCACATAAGCCGCACCGGAAGATATGCCGCGTCCCAACTTCTCACAGCATGCACCGCCGCCCCAAACGCCGGTCTACTCAGATGCCTCAAGTTCCTGTTGGCCACCGGGCTGGAACTACGACCGCTACCGCCATGCTACTCACGCTGACATCGCCGAGCTTCCTGAGGGGGAGCTTTTGAAGATGCAAGTGGGGCTGCGCGATGTGCTCGGCGAAGACGGGGTGGAAAGGTTGGCGATGCATGTGTACGAAGAGCAGCAGCGGCAATCGGGCGCCGATGCTAAGGAGAGTGTGCCCGGATACTTCCCACCAAATTGGCTCAAGCATTGGAGCGAACGCCACAAGGGCCAGACGTGGGGTGTGGTGGCCTTCCGGACAGCCAGCTACGATGATTCACATCGATGGGAAGCTTTCACCAAAGAAGTCGACAGGATTATTGAGATTCCTTTCCAGAGGGCGGTGGACGAAGGCAATGTTCCCGACGAGTCCACGGGATCCATTAAGGAGGCCAGGTCCCAGTTTGAGATCAGATGGATCGAAGATGCTGCCCTGGCCAGCGAAAGCGCCGACGATCTCCGGGCCAGATTCGACGGCCTCAAACCGGATCTACCCGCCGGCATGTCGGACAAGGTCTTCCTCGTCGCGTCAAACGAGGCAATTGCATCCGTGCTGGACTTGGAGGAAGCCGAACGGCCGACTACGAAATCCATGTGGTGGCGGCCGTCGGCGCCGTTCCTGGTTGCCGTCGCCGTGGATCCTGATCCAGGGCTAGAGGAAGGTCATGAGGAGAGAGAGTGGTTCAGACCCATCTTCAAGGTGGCTGCGGAAGTGGTGGTTGAGGAGCTGTTGTGGCTTCTGGACTCTGACATCATGCCCCTAAGAAGAATCACGCGAAGCGTCAAGGGATTGGAAAACATCACAGGCAATGAGGTCGTCGGGGACAGGGAATCAGATGATCTCTGGTGGAGTACGGCTCCTTCTCCGCAGAGAATGAGGAAGCGTCGTGGAGTATAAGCGCTACGTCTTGGAAGGAACAGCAGGTGTTACGTCCTCTTGTGGCACGCCGAGGCTGGTCAACATCTGAGTCTCTATCCCAAGCTCCTGCGTGAGATATGCTGCCATCGTCCTTCTTAATTTCTGATCATACCACCCCTCTTTAATCGATCTTTTTCTCAGCCTTCCGTCATTCTTCCCCCGTGGTCGCACATAGATTAACTGGGAGGGACCTGCCTGCTGTTCCTCTACGAGAAACTTGACCATATCAAGAACGGGATGCTTCCCGAGAATCGCAGCAGCCAACACACTGCCATATTCTCCAAACTCCAGATATGCGTTAACATCAGCGCCACTTGCAACGAGAAAGCGAGCGCAGTCCAATTGTCCCATCGATACAGCAGCTGCCAACGGGCTGCCATACGGGCCGAACTTTGGGTTCATGTTGACGTCCGCTCCATGCTCCACGAGAAGGCGAGCGCATTCGAGCTCTCCACTGCATACAGAAGCAGCCAGAAGACTTCCAAAGTCTCTATATTTCAGTTGGGCGTTGACACCTGCACCCTTCGCTATGAGAAAGCGTGCACAGTCAAGCTGCCCCATGTATACGGCAGCTGCCAGAGGACTTCCATCCAGATCTCTGAGATTGTCTGGGTTCACGTCTGCTCCCTTGTCAACGAGAGCTTTCATCATACTTAGATTGCCGCTGTAAGCAGCTCTCGATAGGCCACGACGAAGATAGTGTTTGACGCCAAAAACAGACACGAAGCGAAAGCAGGATCTGCTGCGACACTCGATGTTAGGGTCTGCGCCTTTCTCTAGTAGAAGGGTGCAGTAATCGATCCCCTTTTCCGTGGCCAGACAAAGGAGACTGTGATGGTTCATGACGCGATCCGGGTTTGCTCCTTTCTCCAGAAGCATTCTCATAGTGCCGATCTTCTGCTGATGTATGGATGCGCCCAGTGCGCTGTGGCACGTAGTTTTAGTATTTATGTTGATGTCACATCCCTGGTGGATGAGGTACTCGCAGAGTTCGGTGTAGCCCAAATAGGCGGCGATTGCCAGGAGATCTGACCCCTCTGCATTCACCAGTGAAGAAATATCGACGTCTTTGTCCCACCAGCCAGCCAGAAACCGATGAAGACCAAATGTAACAACTCCAAAAACAGGGTTGTCGTATGGATCGACAGAAGCACGCATGTAATTGCCGGAGGAATTGTCATAAGTCCAGTCATCGCTACTTATGACAATAAGGCAAAATGCCCTGTACTCCCAGGAAGGCTTCTGAGGGCTTGCTTCCCCTAGGAAGCGTTTCAGAGCCTGGACAACATCCAAAATGCTGGAATCTTCGTTGGAAATGTTATGTATGTGCTGTAGCCAGTTTCGAGTAATGTATCTATGAAGCGGATGCCAAGGATCCAGGGTGTGCTTGGGAGCGGCCCTCCTAGCCTCAAGCCAATCGGAGAGTTCAACGACTGTTTCGTCGTTCATCATACACTTCATCGGCCAGACCGAGGAGCAGAAGTCTATCAAGCACTTGGTCAAGATGACTGTCAGCTTCCCTTCGGCGTCTTTGACCCACGAGTCGTTTTTAGCTCGAAAGTATTCGGCAACTGATGCATGCGGGAATTTCCAAACTCCAAGTTTTGGGTCTCTCACGACCAGGTGTCGGCAGACAGCCTCCAAAATGGGCTCGGTGAGGTCCGCCTTGTCAAAAGACTGTTCCCCGTTCGCTTCCTCGCTTTCGATTCTGATGGCTGCCAGCAATGCTCGACTTTCTAACGGTTGTCTAAAGTGCTGATTGTGATCGTCGTCTGCGGCCCTTGAAATGACCTCATGTAACCATTCAAGTCGTGTTCTGGACGACTGGCTATGAATATCTTCAGTAGTCGATTACTTCTCTCAACGAGGCGCTTGAATATCTCAATAAGCTTTCTCCTCGTTTCTTTGTTGCACTCTTCCAAAGCGTCGAGTATCAAAACGGTCCGTGGATAACTGTTAATCATCTCAATCAATGCTGTCTCGCAATCTTCGACTGTAATATCGCTCTGGATTTCTGCTCTCCTGTTGTATAGATCAATAACCACTTTGTGAACACTTTTGCGATCACGCGTTACCTCACAAAGTTGTCGGACATAACTTCGGAGGACAGAGTGAACGCTGTGCCGAGTCGTATCAGAACTATTACAGTAGAAAAAGGCAACCCCTTCGTCGCTCTTCTCACAGGGTGGCTGACTGGCGTTTCGGCTCTGAGCCCAATAACGATCAATGACCTTTGAAGTGAGAAAAGACTTGCCCGTACCAACTGCGGAAGAACGCCCAGGTCAGTCCATCATCCCGTAAAAGTGTTGAGGCACCAAAACTCACTATTTCCTTGCAACCAGAGAACCGAAGAACAGGCCGATTCTTCCCATTTGAGGAATTGAGTATGGTGTATCAGCCATTCACATGTGTCTCTGGTTCTATTTTCACGTTTCTCGTTGTGGTGAACCCCGACTGGGACAGTGCTGATGTATGTCATAGCCTTTTCCTTTTCCTTGTCAGCAAGTCTCTCAAGAACTGCCGCAACATTGTCGTCAACACGCTTGAGCGGCCACGCAAGACTCTGAATCAAGCCTCGATGTTCAGAGCTTGCTTTAGCCTCGCAAGCCTGAGCTGCGAACTGTAGCCTCTGCTCAAGGGCTTTTATGGCCGACACGCGCTTGTCACCGTGACCGGGATCTAAGAGCGCCTCTAAGAATCGCCGCATATTCCCATGGTGCAATTCGCAGTCCACGAAGGCTAGAAACTCCAAGCAGTTCGAGTATACCTTCACAAGCTCTTGCTTCAAATATTCCTGGGCTGGGAGTCTAGGCAACCCCCGAATGTACACCTCTTCGTACACTATGCCACGCCTCACGAGGCAGAGGACTATGTCTGCACAACCCATGACAGCTACAAGATCTTCGCGTTCCAATACGTTGGTCTGAAAGATCGTCAGCTTGCACGGTTGATGAGCAGATATTTTAGTTGCAACACCCTGGCACCTACCTTCAGAAGCATCTTGACCGCTGACCACACGGTTGAAGAAGGCGCCGGGGCAACTGTGACGGCAATGTCTCCGATTGCAGTCAATAAAGAGATGACTCTGCTCGCGTAATCCCTCCATATTTGACGGCCGCCGATCGTGAGCTTCGGCGCCCATTTCCCATGTTTCTCCTCCCTCAATCGGACCAATTCCACCAGCTCTTTTACGGGGTCTTTGGCATTAGCAGCACCCGGAATACTGTCGATCCATTTACGAGTATTCTCATCCACCTTGTTGTACGCTTCTTGCCACAGATCAACTGTTGCCGCAGCGCGGTCTGTTGTTGCTGATTCTTGATCAGTAATAGGGGTGACGGAAGCTGGCTTGTCTTTAACGTTAACAGCTGACGGCGCAGACGAGCTTTCTTCCAAGAAAGCCGGGGTTTGGATCTCGGGGTTCGTCGAGGCAGATGTTTCATCGTTAGCTGGATTGAGCGACGACAGCTCGGTCACCTGCGTTGCGGATGACACCAAAGGGGCTAGTTGATTTGGGCACTCGGAAGGACCTGGTCGCGGTTTGCCTCGTCTCTTGAAGCAAGAAGATAGAACGGAGAGACAACCACTGTCTTCACTAGGGTTGGTCATATTGGAGTAAAAGAGGCTACTTCGCAAAGTACAGTCTGATAGAAAAATACAATATAGAAGGACGACAAGAAGAAGTTGAGGGAGGCCTGGTCGATTGCCAAATCCCTCGCCGTGTTTCCCCTCTCCTGCCGGTATTTTCTGCACCTATCCGTTTTGGAAACGTAATGCAGCTCAAACTGCACATTTCCGCTCTCTCACTGGTCAGATTCCTACGTATAAAGGGGGCGGATCCTCACCGGGACCGTATCAGCAACCAACCAAGTCATTTAGGCACAAAGCTTTGAGCCCTACATCTGCGGCTGGACTCGAATGAAGTAAGCAGTGTTTTGATGGGGCTTAGAGTCGACATAGGTATCCATCCAATAGGCTGTCGCCTGGGCGATGAGCGAATGAGGTCATCGGAAGCCCTTTGTTTCTACGTTTTTAGTTGGCGCTTGACCATAGAGAAACAAATCGTCTGTGTAACTACCCTGTGGAATGAATTTCATTTTCCCCAGGCCTAGAGAATACCCTATGCTTTTGGTGCACAATAGGGACACAGCAAACTGGTATTTTCTGAATATGGAGTTAATTAATTACATATGGTCGTCAAGAATACTCAATGCGGTAAGCCTACTAGGTAGTGGCCCGTCCCGCGCTGGTTCTCGGGATGGGTGAAAGTTGGGTGTGATCTTCTCCCCAGTGACATCACCAGTACTGTCTTTGATGACCACTGGCTTTGTACCGAACGTTCACTTGGACTGCTACACTACGTCCTGAGGGATCACATAGACTCCGTCGCTGAACATTATTCAGTACCTTGGGTCACAAACATGCACTGTGAAATATTTATCACTCTCAAATTATTCTCATCATGACTTGCACAGTCAAATGATTGGAGTTCGTCGAGTCAGTGGAGGCAATTTAGGTTCACACATAGCTACTCTCTAACGCTGCCCCAACAGATGACCATGGAACACCAAATGGTTCACGAACCCTCTTGCAATCCGACCATCAAATTTGACTCCCTCCACAACCTCCCCTCCTTTTCCTCATCGTAAGCCCATGGCGCGAACCCCTGATCAAGCGAAAACGGACCCTCACCAGGCTTCACCGGTCCAACCTCCCCACAATCACTCAGATACCTGCCTCCCCGGCCTTCCCAGTCTTTACTCACAGCCGCGTACACCGTTGTCGCAGCTCCTTGCGCGGGGCTCTTGAGCGACTTGGCGAGGATGTCGTATTGCTCTCCAAATATAGCTCTCAGCTCTCCGGGGTCTTTGCCGAGTTGGTGGCGGTTCAAGTTGGTGATGATGCTGCCCGGGTGTAGCGAGAGGCCATGGAGACCCTGGGCGCCGTAGCGGCGCTCGATCTCGTTGGCCAGGTAGACATTTGCGATTTTAGTTTGGCTGTAGGCGATAACCGTGTCGTAGGGCCGCTTGGTGAAGTTGTAGTCGTCGAAGAGGACTTCGCTGCCACGGTGGAGCATCGAGGCTACCGCGACGACGCGAGAATGGAACTGGGGTGTTGAAGAAGCCAGGAGCAGTGGTTTGAGCAGTTGAAAGAGGAGAAAGTGGCCCAAGTGATTGGTTGCAAACGTCTTTTCGAAGCCGTCCTCGGTTGTCTGTTTGGTTTCTGGCATCACACCTGCGTTGAGCACGAGGATGTTTAGCTGCTTGCTGCGCGCTGTAAAGTCCGCTGCTGCCTTTCGCACTGAGGCGAGAGAGTCGAGAGAGAGCTCTACCAGGTGGAGGCTGCCTTTGCTGTCTGCGTTCGTCGACTTGATGTCGTCGATGGCGGTTTGGCCACGGGTGAGGTCGCGAACGCCGAGATAGATGGTGGCACCGGTTGAGTGCAGTGCGCGAGCTGTCTCGAGGCCGATGCCTTGGTTTGCGCCGGTGATGAAGATCGTTTTATTGACGAGTGCATTGTGGAGGTTCTCGTCGTCAATTATCTGGGCGGCTGTAGGGCGGGCGTCGCCTGGCCCTTGGATATTTTCATGAGCGGCCGCGTACTTCGACATGATGAGTCACTAATCTGGGCCGACGCTGGATCACACTTTGATACCTTCTTTATTTCATAGGAGTTTGAATAATGGTAGTGTGGAGCTCACTCGGCGGTGATCTTTATAGTCTTGATTCTGAGGCGTGGGACCGGTCACCGGACCCGCCGGCAACAGCGTGGTTCTCACATGAAGTACCTCACTACAGGTGATGCACTTGCAATATACATGTTCTGCAGCACTGACTTCCGGATGTTACTTCAAATTCCCGTTCCGAAATGCAAAGTTTGGAAACGGATACATTGACTTGATTGGGAGAGGTTCGGATGAAGACATGGTCACATGGATCGCGGTGCCCGGTAGGAAGAAAAGCCCGCTTCAGCCGGCGGGATGGTTTGAAGCTGGTATTTGGCCAAGCCTCCGGCGAAAACATGAAGACAGCCGCTATCACCAGTGTCATAACTCTATGGAATCGGCAGATAATAACAAGATACAACCGAAAAATGCGTAACGTCGTGGGGAGTAGTCATTCTTAGAGCAGTTTCCCTGATAATGCGAGACCTCATGAACTGACCTTTTTTGGCATTAACATTAATGGCATCTGTATTGCTTGAAGGAGCCTCCTTCGGTTATTCCAAGGTAACTATGCTTGATAACAAGATAATGAAGAAGTTATCTGTTGGTGAGGACTACGTCATAATGAAGGGGGCCCCTTGCATCATAAGACATTACACCTTCAGATTGCTGCTGCTGTGCATCTCAACAATATCGCGGTGGTCGGCCTCCAGCATTTGACCAAGCCTACGCCTGCACTATCGCGTCTCCAACCTGGAAATTTCACCGCCCATCGCATCTATCCTCAATGATTTAGCCCGCTGCATGTTTTCAGCTTCATGTAACAAGACCTTGATAAAATGGCAGCTATGCCGGCCATCAATTTGTACAATGCGATCTCCGCACCAGACTAAATTACCAAACAACCACGCAATTCAGGAGATAAAGAACCTATACTTTGTCCGAGATGGCCAAGAAAAAGTCCACCAGTCTTAGCGGCGAGACGAAGACCTCATTCACATTCCCACACTTGAACCAGGAGGTTGCCGACGCCGTTTCCAACCACATCACCTCCGTGTGGTTTAACAGAAAAATAAACCAAGAGTCCGACCGGAAATATTCGACCTTTGTGATGGGGAGGTTCACTTGCGACAATGGCAGCTGTTCCAAGGCAGCCTGGAGCAGCGGGAAGGTGACCATAGTCATCAGAGGATACCCCGACAACGGATACAACGCAGTCGTATACAACCAGCGCTGCAAAGCCTGCAAGAAACTAGGAACTCTGACTCTGGATGAAAATTCGTACGTCGAGCGGGTCGCGTATCGGTTGAAGAAATGGGCAGGGGTGGACATGGAACGTCCTGTCTACAGCAAGAAGGAAACACCTCCCCACAAAAGGGAGCTTTGTGAGGGTTGCAAGAGTGGTTATTGTGAGGCCTCAATGTATTCGGCACGGATTTGATCTTTATGCAATGACTTGCTTCCTTTATGAGGACTACGGCTTGTCTAGCTATGTTTACCGATGTGGGAAAAAGAGCTTTCGCAGAGCATGGTCAGAGAAACTGATATCGTCCTCAACATCATTCCAGAAATGCGTTAACCCGACTAGGGAGATTGAGATATTTCAAGAATCAATCGTCGTTCTTCCCAGAGGGTTTGTGGGCGTCAAAGATTCCCGATATACTTGAGACATGAAGCAAACCCTTATCCATGGCTCGTAGTGCGAAAATTTCAACACCCTTGGGATGATGTTCATCTTAAACCGACCCGGATATTTCTGCCATTGAGTAGCTGCATGGTCGAAGCAAATCCAACACGCTAACACGCAGCTTTTCTTGTCCTGGCTGCCAGTTACCCAAAGGATAGATACTTTTCCCGCCTCAAACGCGCAGAACCTTCATTGACTTAAGGATTCGAACCATCAACAAACCCAAAAACGTAACCTCGCATGTGCCTTGTAAAAGTGTGGCCTGACTTTCGAAGTTGTTGCGATAGATACCAGGACTTCCTGCATTGCAGTATGCGGGGTGCTTTTACAGCAGGTGCAACGTGGACCAACAGAGCTGTGCAGGCCTCCCATTATTGGCTGGAAACTGCAGCATGCAAGCCACACAAAGCTGCTTTGCAACCATGGCCCATGGGCCGTTGGTTGGATTGCAATAATTCTGTCACGCTGATGGTGGCAAATGCTTCCACAGTAGAAAGCACATCAGGCTTGCGTAGGCCACCTGCAGCAAAGCCCAAATCGCTTGGCTTGGAGGCACCTAAGGCGCCTGCAACATGTTCCATTCGGGGCGTGGGCAATTCGGAGCAGTACCTTGACTACTTAAACAGCACTATCAGGCGACTTTGGGTGGAATGCTTTCTCAAAATCATAGGCATCGAGAACTATGGCCAAAAAGAAGAAGAAATCGCAGGCGAACACCACAGACGCTACCACTGTCAACGCAATGCCTCCAGCAGATTATCAAATGATTCCAGAAGACGCGCCCCCGCCCCCGCCCGATGACTCTGAGCCTTCAGGTCCAGAAGATGCGCCGGTGCTTTCGTGAGTGGTATCCCCTCTGCACGAGGTGCAACAGAGAGCTGACATGTACTTGGGTTCAGACCATACACGAGCCCAAGCTGTAGGGTCTACTTCAGGAACAAAATGCCGTTCTTTGTTCCACGCGACCTGCTATGTAATGCAAGCGAATTGCTTGGGGCGCTAGCCACTTTGCCAAGCGATGAACCCCGGGATGAACTCAACGATATACATATCGAGGAAGTTCCGGATGACGCCGGTCATGTACTGGTTCATTATCTCTACACTGGGACTTGGCAGACCCTTTCACAGAGCCATTCACAGCAAGAACCCCTCACATGTTATGGCTCCAACATCAGCGTCATTAAGTCCGACTTTCAGACGAGCGTACATGTCTACTGTGCTGCTAAGGCTTATGGTCTCTCGGGCTTGGTGGGAATGGCCAAGAAAGAAGTGCTGCGGCTCGCCAATTATTTGACGCCGCTGGACGTTGTCGTATCGGCCTCCGAGGCTTGCCAGCTTCTGAGTGAACATGACATCTGGTTCAGAAGCTTTCTACAGCGCCGCCTGAGACTCATGTTCAACACCTCGAAGCATCTGGACGATTCGGCGTTTTTGGGATGCGTTCAACACGGCACGGTCTATTCAAACTTTCTGGTGAAGAGCATGTTTTTGTTGTGCTGTCAAAACTCGCGAAACCGCCGTGTATTACCAGTCGCTGATGTGGAACAATCCGATTTCGAAACCGACGAAGCCCATTTGAATGGATCGGCAGCGGCAGCCGACGTGCCTGCAGATGATCACTTCTCTGTGTCACAAGATGAGCCACCAGCAGAGGAGACGAAGGTGCCCGAGACACCGCCATCGGATGACTGGGCTGTGGCTGAACAACCCACGACCGAAGAGTTCGCCGAGCCGACGGAGTCACTGATAGAATGGGCTGAGATCAAAGAGAGTGACCCGGCGGACTATATTCCTGAGGCTCTGCCAGAGACCTGCCCTCAGCAGGACACGAACTTGATTCAGTCTACAAAACAGTCTAAGAAGGATAAGAAGAAGTCGAAAAAGGCCAAAGCCTTGGAGAGAAACGAAGGTGTCTTGATAGATAATGGGGTAGAGCTTGTGTCGGAGCCGGGGCCAGAGCCGGAAGCTGTACCAGAGGTCGAGGCAGATCCTGGGGCCCTTTGGGGTGAGCTGCCCAAGCCCAAGAAGAAGAAGAAGGAGAAGAAAGTTGAGGGAGGAAATACGAAGAAAAACAAGAATCAGGAAAATGTTCCGGACGCCCCAAACCCAGAGTCCGGCACAGAACCGGGCGCGGAAACCTCAACGATGACGGTGGTAAACCCCTGGGGGTTTCTGCCGAAGAAGAAGACGTTGACGAGGGAGCGAATGATTATGCCCGAGTTAGGATGTCCTGATAGGGTCACTCATATCCTTGGTGGCGGATGGAACGAATGCTCTACCTGTCGCGAACAAGTTGGCAACATATCGGGAGAGTATCAGGCTAACCAAGCCAACGAAGGTGAACGGCTGTTATCTTGAGTAAGTAAGATGAGTTTTCGTGGTTATTATCAACAGAACGCACTCATTTAGAAACAAGTCATTCGTTTAAAGAATCATCAGAAATTTGTGAATCATTTGAAAACGAACTTCTCTTGCCATCCACTTGTGGCGCCCTCGGACTGCAGAGCTGAAGACATAACGCGTCAACTAAGTGTCGTTGCTGGAGCAACGCACATTGGGAGCTCTGACACGAAAAAAGGGACCTTTGCTACCCCTGCAATCGATCCTTATCAGCACTCGATTGCATCATCGCCGCTGTGCCGTTCGTTTCTCAGCGACCTTCCGAGCTTGGTTACTCGTACCAATTACCCGTAACGGTGAATGCGCTTATCGCTGATGTGAGGCATCAAGCGCCATCTCTCTTCATAACCCCTTGCCAAGCCCCATCTCTCCTCCACACATCCACAACCGCAACCCAACAGCCACCATGCGCTACTCTCTGTCTACCAAGCTACTGCTCCTTCTGGGCTCTTCGCAGCTCGCGCTGAGCGCCTCCGATGACCAGTTCGTTATCGCGCCTGCCAGCAAAGATGCTGCGACCCCGTTCCGAATCCACGATGCCGATGAGTCAGTCCTCGCCGCGTTGAAGGCGCATCCCGATCCCGTCGATGCCCTGCTGTCCCTCCAACCCGAGAAGGCGGACAAGCTCGCCGAGCGGAGATTGCTTCACGTCTTTGGCGAGAAGGAGCCGCAATGGATGACGGAGGGAGACAAGCTTCGTCTACGTCGGAAGGGCAAGAAGTTCCGCGACATCACGAACCACCAGGACCTCTATGCCGAGGATTCTGTCGGCGCGTGGTCCGGCAAGGCCAGTAAGTGCTAGATCAGCACGCATCGACTTAATAGACAACCAGCTGACGGGTTCTCGTCCAGACCTTCCCAAGATCACCCATCAACGATTGGTCAAGCCCCTGTTCCCCAAGGTTAACCAGACCGAGATGCACGACGTCCTCGCCCACATGACGAGCTACTACAACAGATACTTCGACGGTCCGACCGGCGAGGAAAGCTCCCAGTGGCTGCACGATCATATCGCCGAGATTATCGCGCAATCTCCGTACCATACCCATATCTCTCTTGAGTACTTCACCCACAACTTCGTGCAGTCCTCCATCATCGCGCGTTTCGAGCCCAAGGTCCGCGACTTCTCCAAACCCCTGACCATCATCGGCGCCCACCAAGACTCCGCAAACTACCTCTTCCCTCTTCTCCCGGCCCCCGGGGCCGATGATGATTGCTCCGGCACCGTCAGCATCCTCGAGGCCTTCCGTGTGCTTGCCCTGAGCGGCTACATTCCCCAGGAGGGGCCCGTAGAGTTCCACTGGTATGCCGCTGAGGAAGGCGGTCTGCTCGGTAGCCAGGATATCGCCGCTTACAAGAAGAAGGAGGGCGCGAACATTGGTGCTATGATGGAATTTGACATGACCGCCTTCATCGCAAGGAACGCTACCGAGTCGATTGGATTCATCAAGACTGATGCGGACGCGCCTTTGACGAAGTGGGCTGTGGAATTGAGCACCGAGTACATCAACATTACCACCAGTGTGTATGAGTTGATGCCCGGTGCTGGATCAGACTACATGTCCTACACCAAGCTGGGCTTCCCTGCCACGTTTGCCTCTGAGGGCAACCCCGTTGCTGGTGGGTTCCCTGGCGAGTTCGACCCCTATGTCCACACCAGCAAGGACCGGATGGACATTGATGACGAGTTTGGCGTATTTTCTATTGACCACATGGCGAGGTTCTCCGAGCTGGCTATTGCTTTTGCTATTGAGCAGGCTGGTTGGGATAACAAGTGGAGGTAAGGTGCATTGTAGTATGTCCAAAGATTGAGCACGATCGACTGCAGGGTTGTCATGGTATTGTCAAGCACTTCCAGTGCTGGTTGGCGAGAGCGGGATCACTGGTGTAAATGATTCTAGTTCCCTTTGAATATGGCAAAGTCAATATTACTAGGTACATGGACTCAGTGCTGCATCGTAAACGTACGGACCACCTAGTTTAAACTAATGAACTGACAAGTTCGCCCTGACCATCTTGAGCCATGTCCACGCTGCTGTCCTACTGGCGAATTATTTTCCGCGAGGACTACAGCCAGCGCTATATGCCTCCAGATCAGCGTCTTGGACCTACATGGGCGTTTGGCAGTCTGGGCATCATCTGAAACCCGAAGAACGTGATTCTTAGTGGACCATCCATCTCAAGTCAGCGTAGATGCGTACCTCGTTGCACCTTCACCGAGCAGTTGCTTTCGAACACCTTTGGCATTTTCAAACGCAAAGAGGGACTTAGACGTTTCTGTGTTGTGCATCTCAACATGAAGCCTGCGCTGATACGTATTGGGTCTGCTCGTGTAACGCGGAGCCATGAAAACAAAACGGAAGTCTCTGATGTTCCAGCTTGCTTCACAAGCCAACGCATGAGAGCTGCTGACAGCTCGCAGTGGTTCTGAGATACGAATACGGTCGTAAACGTCCTCTCGGCCGATGGCAGGCCCCCGATGGCAGGCCCCCGATCATCCACCGTAACGGCTCGTTACCATGACTCAATTAGGTCGAAGGCAGCGACGATAAGCTAAGGATGTAGCTGACCTTACCTCAGCATACCGCGCCTGTGCTGCCCTCATGTGATATCATGAGGTCATGTATCGAAGCTTCAGAAGTCAATTCATGCACGGGGCAGAAGCTTCCATGCCGCCGCTACAGCACATCCCGACTGCCGGAGTCCGTAGGGAACCCAGTTCTGCTCGTACCCGAACCCCGCTGAGACTGGCGAGAACGAGCGGTCGTGTTTGTCGCATTGTTCTCCATCCGATTTGGCCATGCGTCTCATGGTTGCGAGCTGTAGTGGCTTCCACCGGGGAAGCAGGGATGAGATGACTTTCATCGGCGCCGGAGTTTCGAAGGAAAGTGAACGTTTTCGAAGACACGAGCCACGGCCTGCCACGCACACGTCGTCCGTACACCGGCCGGGTTATGGTCATATGCCGAGGCACATGCCGTTTCTAATGTCAAGCCGTCTCCTCACGGGCTTTATGAAGCAGTCAGTGTCAACAGCCAAAAGGCAGTCGATTCCATCGCATTTCCAGCTCTGAGCTGCAATCACACTCCCAAGCTATCACGATGTCCACGGCTGTTACAACAACTGCTCTGAGCAAAGGCAAGGTGAAGTTGTCAGGTGCGCAGGAAACTCTCCTGCTCACCCTCTTCGCCCGCGCCAAGGATGCCGAGTCTGCATCGCCGATTCTGAATGACCAGTACGCCCTAGAGATCGTCAACCAGATCAAGGAACAGGGCTATGACTTCAACCGAACATCCATGGGATTCACGAGAATTCCAACGTTCTCCGCACCGGTAGCTATGCGCGGTCGCATGCTAGACATTTGCACTGAGAGGTTTCTTCGAAGAAATCCGGGTCCTGCAACGGTGATCCACTTGGCATGCGGGATGGACTCGAGATGTCACCGCGTGCAGTGGCAGGGAGAAGGAAGGGTTTGGATCGACGCGGACAAGGAGGATGTCATCGAGCTGCGGCGCCAAGTTTTGAATGACCCCGAACCCGTCAAAGGGGCCGAGTACCGCTTGATCCACCCCAATATTCACAGCGACACCTGGCTCCGCGAAGCCAAGATTCCTGTGGACCGGCCAGTTCTGATCCTTTTCGAAGGTCTTACTCCGTACCTCACGAACGACGAGATGATTGGGCTGGTCCGGCGCATTGTGAACTACTTCCGTTCTCATGGCGCCCATGGCGAGCTTCGTTTCGATGCCGTCGGCTCGATTACGTATTACGCGATGAATTATATCTTCAAAACCCCGTTCAAGACTATGGGAACGCGATTCTACTACTACCTCGACGATCCCAGATCTCTGACGCAGAAGATTCCGGGGCTGAGGTACAAAGACTCCATATTCCTGATGCCAGACTTATTCAGGTACGGCATCTTGGGGCTCGTCCTCGGATTCTTCACATGGATCATAGACCTCTTTGGGATTTCTGGCCGTCTCGGTGGTGGATATGGGTATGAATTCTAGAGGGTGGCTAGGCCTTTTTGATTGACCTTGTCTTCGGCTCAGTGATTCGTCGTATGAAAGTTCAGGGATTTGGTAGATCTAGCTGAAGTGCGATGCGATGGATTGGTCATGTGTAGAACCTAATGTACTTGCCTAATGCTGTAAACCACCTCATTGTACTTAACGTGATCTCGTTGTAGGGCAGGAACTGACCGAAATAAAACATCACCGAAAGAACGGGATTCAAGCATTACTTATAACTCCATAACGCTCTCGTGTATTTCTACTCTCAATCACCTAATCATGAATCATTGCCGGGTACTGTACTGTGCCTGCCTTTTGTTCCTAACGTGCCATGCAGGCACTCGAGTCGGGTTTGCTATCCTCGACTGTGGCAGACTGATATCATCGAAAACATTCATCGCTAGACTCGGCAGTCTCTGGTATCATTTCGCAGCAAACAATCAAGCAGACGCATTGTTATATACAAAGCCATCGAGGTTGAAAGCAGAGCGCGTGGTATCAACGTCTTTCAGGAGCACCTCGACAGCGCATGCCACGATCGTCCAGACTCCGAGGACGAAGTTGCTCTTGTGTACTCCGCCTCCGGTCGCAGGCCATCTAGGATCGAACTGGGACAGCTGCTTGAAGAAGGTCACGGTCCAGACTCCCATCCAGCTGGTCCAGAGCCACCATGATCGGAACTGAATCAAATACAAGGGCAGGCAGATCAGAATCGGGCCGACGAGGGCGACAAGAAACCGATGGAAGTTCCGTCCGCCGACCGTGTAAAACGAGTTGATTCGCATCTTTTGATCATCGACGATGTCCTGGTAGCTGTACGCAGTGTTCAGGTAGATGATCCAGAAGAACACCATTGTACAAAGTGGGAAACACTGGCTGACGGTGAAGTCGAAAGGTTGCTGCCGACCGTAAATGGCTGAGCGTCCCATCACGGCGGGCCAGGCGATGGTGAAGCCAAGTATGTATTGCGGGTAGATGCGAAGGCGGCGGGCATTCGGTCGCTTTCCGTAAGGATAAAGAATAGAGGCGATGATGACGGGTATCATGTGCTTCCACCTGTACTGAAGTTAGCAACAGACATCCGGCTGTATGCAGGTACAAGCCATACACATCCTTCCCATCAAGCATCTTGTGAACCAAAGACAAAGCCATCAGCAGCTGCAGCGCCATCCACAGCATGGCATCGGTCACGGTGACCTTCTCGGCCGCTAGCGGGCGATCCTTCGTCCGAGCGACCTTTGCGTCGATTTCACGGTCGACATAGTCGTTCCAGACCATTCCCGCGCCGCAAAACAGGTAGGCCGAAAGAAAACATAACGCAGTCTGTCGGAAGACGAAAGCGGGTTGAATGTTCGAATGGGGGTTGGATAGCTCGGTTGCTCCAGCTAGCAAAGCGGACCACACTGTCTCTGCTCAGTCGTGCTGGTTTGAAAACGTCGGCTTTACGGAAACATACCTCCTGCGAACGTGGTGAAGAGGGGCGTGTACTTGTTGTACCGAGAGAGAACCACGAGGTTCCAGAACAAAGTGACTTGCGTAGGCCGTGGCGGGCCGTAGTTGATCTCCTGGAGCTTCTTTGCATCCAGAGCAATCTTACAAAGCTTGACGGCGTCTGATATGGTATCCATGATCATGTAATAATGATAAGTGGACGACAATGATAGAACGCGTAGATTTCACAGTCGAATCATCGAAGCGGGCAAAGAATAAAAAGACTTCTGGATCCCTTCTTCGCCTTTAATTTCAAGAATGCCACCCCCTCTCTGCAGCCCAACCCGAGGCGTGCTCGCCTTGATATTCGCGGCGAGAGCGGCATGCTCCGCGCGTTCATCTGGGCCGTTTCAGATGTGACGTCGGCTGGCCCGTTGAGTTTGTGCTTGCATGGACTCTGCCTTACGACACATGCTGACGTGCGCTGGTTGCTATTTTGCCGTGTCTGGGATTTGCCTACAAGCATCTTAGCACCGTCCGTGGGTTCACGACAACCTCCCACAGCTGAACGGTGCCCGGGGTCGATGGTGGCCCAACAACCACAACAGACATTTATGCCCTAAATTCAAAAAGCCAGATGTGCTTTTAGGACGTTCCAGCTCTTCTCTCTTTTTCATGTAGGAATTTTGGAAAGCTGCACAGGGCTTTGGGGTTGGGCTTTGGTGGCCTTCGCAGGACTCCCACTTACCGAGCGCTTCGTGATCTGAACCCCAGGGATCCGTCCATCATCACAACCGTTGGCGTCTCGGTTACCATTTGTGGAGATTCTAGAAATCTCTAAGGGGGATCCAAGCCGAAGGGATCTATGCTCTATCGCAGATCGGGAACTAGCGGTGCACATCAGTCTTTAATTCCTCGGCTCCACGCCCACGTCACTCGTAAACCAGCAGCATCCCAGTTGAAGTTTAAACTTGGCACTCTAGCTGGCCCAACTCCGCCTCACCTCTACGTGGCGGCCCGTGAAGTGGTCTCAAGTGCCGCGGACCCCGCCTCCGGTCAATGTGAGGCTGCAGAATGTGGTTGTTTGGCTCAAACGGCTCAATTTCGTTAGGGCGTTCCTGATGAAGGTCTAGTTATTGGCGGAGACTGATCGTGTGAACCAGTGGATCGTGCAAAGAGTCCCGCTGCAGAAACCAACAGTTTGGGAGAAAATCTCCTGACTTCGCCTTGAGTTTCATTGGTGCGGGAGTCTGATAAGGACGGCGCTGCATCTACCTAGTGGGTGTAATGAACTATGGCCACCCAGTTTCCAAGACCACTTCGATACAAAGAACGGTTCTCAAGTTTGATCCGAGGCTAATTTATACTGCAAAAATATATTTAGACTGTCAATTTCATTTCATACCAGGACTTGAACGTACACGACGTGATATCAGTATCTCTGTACGCCTGCGTAGGGGAGATTGGTTCAGGCTTGCCACGTCATTGTACCGTCAACTAGCTATCTCGGACATACAATTGCGCCGGGCATCTAGCACGCCATTGTTTGTCCAAGGACTCAAACACACAAATATGATATTCATACGCCTCATTGCCACTTGTATCTCAAAGATGATACTTGTGCTCAGCGCCGGCCAGGCATGTGTACGATTAACGACACTCGACGTTTTCCAAGGCTTCCATCTTCATGTGTATTACACCTGTGAACAAGGTACCCAGCCGGGAAGGTCCTTGTTATGATTTGAGCAGTAGAGAGTGGAGGGCATTCAAACACTGCATCTTGGTCGCATTTATCATCTTGCTAAACAGCAGGCACGTCTGATTTTGCTTTGGCTTTACACTGGAGTTTGATTGCTTGGTCTTTTTCGAAGCGACTCCACATCTCTTGTTGCTTCTTTGCCTTAGCAACTAATGTTCTCTGCTGCGGAAGAGGCCAATGAGCAAGAGCCAATCGATCTCCTTGCCTCATTGTAGCCATTTCTGTTTTGTCGAATAGGTCATTACTCTTCTCAGACACAACCAGATCTTTAGTTTTCCCATTGTTGATCACCAAAGCCGTGGCATCGCTTAGGCTATCGGGGCGCTTTCCTTCTTCCACAAGAGAGAAACTGTCGGTTCCTCCTCCCGGCCTCAAATCTCGGTGATCACGAACTTTCTTCGTCTTTCGATGGGATACCGTCTTTCCGAAAGGCAAGCGCCTTGTTTCGTCATCCGCGTCAACAAAACAAGCGTGTCCAGAATCACCACAGCGGCTGCCATCTGGACCGGCGTTAGATTCGAAGGCGTAGAAGTCTCTGAACTCGGAGTTCTCCTTTTGAACGTCGATTTTGCAGTGTTCCTTCCCCGTCATATGTTGTTGCGCGGCTTGTGGAGTATTCCGGATAGATCCACAATAGAAACATTCGTTGTACTCGTAGATTACGAGATGGAGGTACTTGACTAGTGTCTTAAGGTTGACTATCAAACTCTCAGGATAGGGAACGATCATGCCGTGTCGCTTTCGCATATGATCAAGGTTTTCGTCCAAGTTCTCACTGTTATAATTGCATAAAAGACACTGAGTGGCATCGAAGACGTTGACATCAACTGAGGCCTCGCTCTCATTTGATGATGCCGACTATGCATCTGGACCTCCAATGTTGAGATTTGAGAGCTCCTTATTCAGGAATGCTGCATCGACACAGACTTGCTCGTCTTCCGACGCCATTGTGAAGCGAGAGACTTCGAGGGAGTCGTTCTGGATAAACAAATACTCAGTTCCTGACTGCGACATAGATACGGACAACGCAATGTTGAATGTGCTTACGCAAAGAATTGTGATGGGGTGTACCGCGTAACCTGGGCGAAAAAGAAATGAAGGTTGAAGAGCAGAGACACGATGGAGTGAGGGCATACCAAGGAGCATGACTTTAAAGGGTAGCACGCTGACAGGCGGCAGGAGACCGACCGCGCTTTGAGAAAATTGAAGTCTAGACACCGCTCTGGTCCAATTCACTACTGACCTTCCTATTTGAGTGCTCAAATGCCGCTATGGCGTGTCTCGCTTCAACGAACATCAGTTTTGACAACAGACCTGTAGTCAATTCGTGCGCTTAGCCATTATCCCTTTTTTTCTCGGCATATAGAGATACCTCAGTTGCTCTTGTTCCGCCTTCCAAGTCTGGACGACTCCCAATAGGACAAGCTTATCCTCCAACAAAAGAAATACCGTCCCAATCTAGGCTCAAAGGTGTCTCTCTCTTTCCCAAAACCATCGATAATACCCTAAGGAAGGTTTCAGGGTAAGATCGGTTTTTCTAAACAGCATTCTCCGCCTTGAAATTGCAGCTCGGCGTGATCAAGCATAGAGTGTGTGTTATTTACAAGGAGAGTCTCTCTCAATCTTTTGAGGCACTATCGCTAGATCTAATAGGGCGTAACTCAACAACATAGTCTTACCGCAGTGATAGGTAGGCTCTTCAGCAGTCGAGGAAACATCACGTTGTCGTACCAGATTCAGAACGTAATCAAGCTATCAAAGACGAACTAGAACTAGTATTAATTTAGTACCTATCAAACTTTCAGTACAATAGAAGAGGCAACTCAACCCATGAAGGAAGGACAAGATAAGTAAAGAGAGAACATCTGACGCTGTCTTGCCAACTAATATTCCCCTGAAAAGTCTCTCGAAGCGTTTGGTCTGCATCTTACGACAGACAAACTCTTCTTTCTGGACACGCGTCCGGACGGATTGCATGGATCACAACCTAGACCCCAGTTTGTGTCATGGGCGTGAATTCAATGTCTCTTCCTGGCCGCTTACGTTGCACCAACAGCGTTACATTCTTACAATTATGAGCTAATCACTTTCTGATTATCGTGTTCTGCGCTGATACCTCAGGCAGCAATCCTACTTGTAATTGTCAAGGTAATTGGTTCTTCCTCTACACTACCCAACTTGACTCCATCAACACCACACACAACACCTGTAAGTCATTGCAGCGCGGTTTTCACGATGGCATCCCCACGCATCCAAGCCACGCCGCCCTCCCAGGATGCAATGCTCGATCGTCTCCTTACCACCGGCCGCCGCAACGGCGTCTACGTTGGCCTGCGCGATTGCGATCTCGAGGTGGAAATGCCTCTTCTTCTCAACCGGGCTGGCGCGCCCGTCGTATGTATGGAGCCGTCCGATGACTTCGAGGCCGTCAATGCCCACTTTTCGGTTCAAGTGCACGCCTTCTTCAATGCCCTGCACACTCTAGAGAACATGGCAGACGAGCAATCCCCCGACGAGACGGACTTCATCCGGAAACCTGAAGACGGCGGCCTGCACGCCGCCATCCTCATCCTCAACCAGTCCTACGACATCTACCCCGACTGCTGGCACCGCACATTCCACAACCGCCGACTCACTGTCCAGAATCCAGACACCCTGCCTCTCCTCAACTATGTTACCCGGCTTCGCGTCTTGCCCGCCCCCAGCAGCTCCAACGAGCCGGACATGCACTTCGTCCACATGCGCCCCGTCTCCCCGCGCGTTCCCCTCGGGCTCGCCGCTCGCCTCCCCCATCTCCGCGAGCTCGACTGTCCCTGGCTGTGGGAGCGCCTCCCCCTCGCCTTCTCTTCTCAGGCGCTGCGCATATTCTCCCGTCCCTGGGAGGGTCCTTGGCGGGATGCCCGCGTCGAGTTCGGCCGCGGGGTGCGACAACTCATGCCCTCGCTGCCATCTTCCCTCATCAAAGCCCGTCTCTGGTTCTGGAGGCTCAACCCCTACGGCGGCGACGAAGATCAAGCAGTGCACATGCCCGACCTGGTCGGTGCCTCGCCATCGTCGCCCTCAGAGTTTGAAGGCATGGACCCCGTGTCTCTCGGCCTGCGGGACCTGGGTAGTTGCCTGGCGGAACTGAACATCCGCGCCCTCATCACCCCCGACCTTTTCCGTTCCTCGTCTTGGCCGCACATGCGGCACCTCAGAGTGGAGTTCCACCCTTGCGCGCCCGACGGAAGGTGGTACTTCTCCGGTCCTAGAGGCGAAGATCCCTACCCCACGGGCTACGCCGTCACGAGAGAAGAGCACTACCCGCCCGGCTCGGAAGACGTCGAGGAGACGCACGCCCTGATGTCTCGCGAAGAGGACGAGTTCGAGGGCGACGATGAGATGTGCCTCGAACGCCGGTCAGACATGTTCCGCATACTTCCTATCGCGGAGCGCATAGATCCTCTGCTCCTGGCGTTTGTCTCGTCTCTACGGCGACAAGACACGCCCTCCCTCCAAGACGCCGAGATGTTTACGTGGCTTCAGTGGCGGCCTTCCAAGGATCGGGCCGAAGAGTATGAAGGGAGCGACGAGGTGCCTCCTTCGGAGGATGAGGACCAGACAGTCATGTTCCGATGGGGTGTGAGATACGATGCGCCTGATGGAGATGGGAAAGGGAAGGTGACATGGCAGGTCGGCGAGGACTGGAGGCCGGGGGGGGAAGTCATCAGGGCGTTTGAGGAGCTTGTGGGGGGAGACGGGGAGGACATGGAGTGGAAAGCGTTTGAGTTTGTCGGGGAGAGGGAGACGGAGGCGTACATCTTTGATTAAAGCATCAACAGGGCAGGGCAGGGCACCCATCAGCCATGCCACTCACTTGATATGACAGGATCAAAGTCTTTTTGTCTCTTTTTCTCAACAAAGGGCCAACAATCGTGCCCACAGCTACAGGCAGACACACAAAGAAAAGAAAGTCATCTGTAAGTATGTAAAGTACCAAATATCAAAGCAAAAACTTGAACTTGTCACCAGCCAGCAGTATGGATCCCCCTTCCACTCTTAGCCACTAACACCGACGCAATACGCCTCTCCCAGCCAATAATTTGTCAAACAATCGCTGCTCACAGCCGGGTTCCAAGCCAAAAACTGACTCAACGTGATCCCCGCCTGGCTCGCCATATCCGTGCAGGTCAGACCGTCCGTCACCAGAGCCCATTTGTTGCAGTTGTCCGGCTCGCCTCCCATGGTAGGCCCAGGAGGCGTCACCGACGTCGTCGTCGCCACCGCCGTGGTCGTCGTCGACGCGGGGGTAGACTCACCAGAAACACCGACGCAATACGCCTCGCCCAGCCAGTAGTTCGTCAGGCAGTCCGAGGACACGGCCGGGTTCCAGGCCAAGAACTGCGCGAGGGAGATACCGGCTTGGGAGGCCATGTCGGTGCATGACAGGCCGTCGGTCACGAGGCTCCATTTGTTGCAGTTAGCGGGCGACCCGGTCATTGTTGGGCCGGGCGGCGTCACCTTCGATGTCGTGGGAGCGGTGGTTGTCGCCGCCGCCGCCGTCGTTGTCGTGGCGCCGTCGTCCGAAACGCCGACGCAGTAGGCTTCGCCGAGCCAGTAGTTGGTCAGACAGTCTGACGAGACAGCTGGGTTCCATGCCAGGAACTGCTCAAGAGAGATTCCGGCCTCGGATGCCATGTCAGTGCATGACAAGCCGTCCGTCACGAGAGCCCATTTGTTACAGTTCGCGGGTGAGCCCGACATGGTGGGACCCGGCGGCGTGGGGGATGTGTTTGTCGGGTCCTCGCCGCCCGCGGTCGTTGTAGCCGTGACGGCGTCTTGGTCTCCGTGTTCGATGTACCACGAGCCGCAGTAGCGAACGCCGTTTTCGAAAGCGCACGCCGAGTCCGAGACGTTGCCGAGACTGGGGTTCCACAACCCAAAGGTCTCTGGGTCGACGTTGTAGGTGTGAGCGGCGAGCTCGCAGTTGCTGGCGAAGGGCGAGCCTGCGAGGTCGTATTGGTAGTCGTCGCCGGCGAAGTAGTGGACGCAGTCGCCGCGCGTGCCGGTGGCCTGTGGGAGAGCCGTGTACAGCCGGGTGTAAGGGGAGTTTGTCGCGTCTGGTCGCTCCGTGTAGGGAACGCCGGTGAACGGGGCCGAGGGGTCGAGTGTGATGGTGGCGTAGCCGGGGCGGCCTGAGTAGGTGTTGATGTCGCCCACGGCGGCGACACAGTACGACTCCAATGCGAAGAGATTGGTGCAGTTGGTGTTGACGGCCGGGTTCAGGAAGAGGAAGTCGGCGAGGGTGATGGCGAACTTGACGGCGACGAGGTTACAGTAGTCGCCCTGCTGGACCGAGTACCACCGCCCGCAAGGCTTGTCGGAACCGCCGGAGCCATCGGCCGCGTCCGTAGGCTTGGGAGCCGTGGTGGTCGGAGTTTGAGGGGGCAGAGCGGAGGTGTCGCTGGGGGCCACGAACTTGCGGCCGGGGGCGTCGATGCAGACCTCGGAGCCATTCATCCTGGGCAGATTGGCGCACCCGTAACTGATGGAGGGGTTCCAGGACTTGAACTGCGCCTCGGTGATATTGGCGGCCGCGGCCATGGCCTCGCACGTCGTGTTGGTAGGGACGGTAACGGTGGTACACTGATTGGCGATGCAGAGGCCGGTGCCGGCGGAGGGGAAGTCGGCGCAGAAGGCCGCCAAGTCGTTGTCGGCCAGCAGCCAGTCGGTGCCGACGCCTTGGCTCTTGGAGACGGTGTAGCAGTCGTCTGAGTCCTGAACCGTGTAGGTCGAGCCCTCGCACACCTTGGCCGTTGGAACGGGTGACGCAGTGAAGTAGTCGATAGTCGTCGTCACGACCGGGCGGTCCACGATACCGCAGCTCGCCGTCATGCTCGCGTACAGCGACTGGCTGGCGGCGAGGGGTCCGTCGAAGTACGGCGACCCCTCGCGCAGACGCAGGCGGTTGGCCAGACACACGTCGCAGTCGTCGGGCCGCACCTGGTCGGTGGTGTTGGTGACATAGTTGAAGGGGCTGATACCGGGCTCCGCGAAGGCCGCTGCCAGGGCCGCAACTGGTCCGCAGTAGCGGCCCGAGTCGTCCTGCAGGCAGGCGTTCTGGAAATAGTACTGCAGCGACCCGGGGATGTAGACAGCCGCGGCCTCGACTCCAAGGTCTGCCGAGATGGTCTGGTTCCCGCACTGGGACAGTACGGATGACCGCCATGTTTCGATGGCGGACGAGCAGGCGGTGGTGCAGATGCGTGTCAGGGACGTTGGTGGGTAGAAGACGTCAGGACGGAGGTCCCTCACCAGCGGATCGCAGGCTGTGACGTCCACGGCCAGCGCGCCGGTGCACTCCGAGGTGAGTGTTGAGGGCAGACTGTCCGGGTAGAGCAGCACGGTGGCAGATGCAGTTGATGCTGCCACGAGCAGGTCGACGAGGGAGTACCGCATCATGAAGGTTTGAATCCCCTTGATAGTGGCCTGCCTTGCCTTGCCTTGCCTTGGGACCTCAAAATTCGGCGGGAAAGGCACTGCTATTAGGAAGGGAGGGGAGCTCTTCGCAAACTGCACGTCGCAAAAGGCGGCATCACAAGAGACCCTTTTCTTGGCCAGGTTGCCAAGCGTCCATCACAAAGCCCCCATGTTCCATTAGGCATCAGACCACGAGGAACACCGTTGCGGCGCGGTGCGGTCCGTCATCTCAGCGTTGCACTTTTCTGTCTCGGACAACTTGCCAACTCGGGCTTGAGGTGTCCAATAGTCTGAATCTGAACATCACCTCTCTGCCTGCGAGTGAACCAATAAGTGAATCGACAACAGGACCAACGAGGGGACCAACAGAAGCGGCAGGGTTAATCAACCAATCGGGGCCACGAACCCGTGGAGTTCTTGGGACTCGCTTATGATTTCGCGCAGCCTTGTGACCCCTCCTCTGTAAGATTAGATGTAACTATAGGCGGGACAAGATAATCAAGCTCACATCCTCCCGCCTTAGCTCTTCAGCGGGTACGTTGACGAGCCAATGAGAACTTGACGATGTAACATGGTACCTGCATAACGCCGCAGCAATGCAGTCTCACGTCAGCCCTCTTCATGTGCACATAAGCCGAAATTCTATTGCAAGCAGGGAGATAAGTGAAAACCCCCATTATATCTATCTTGTAAGATTAAATGTAACTCTAACGGCCCGGGCTAAGTGAATGCATATCTACTTTTCGACATGGGAGGGCCTCGCAAGCTTCACCATCCAACGATTCGACAAAATACCTTGCATACGACACAGCACGCATCTGACGGGATTTCCCAAAGTAGATGTAAGTCGACATCCGAGCTCACCGTCAAAGTGAGCAGACCGCAAGGCTTGGCACGGCAAGGCAGAACCGATTTTGGCGCAAGTGGCGGCGCTCGCCGTGATGCCATTCTCTTATACAAGATGTAGCGGCAACTTGCTGGCCAAGACAGGTGATGCAGCATTCCCGAGCAACCACAACAGTCACGGCCATGCGGTATCCTATCATCTTTGCCCTTCTGTGGTGGCAGAAGCTTGCCGTGGGCTTGCCTAGTGCCGGTCGTGCTGCTGCTGTTGTTGTTGATATCCCATCAGCAACGTGCCGGAATCCCGTCTTGTAAGTGTTATGCCGTCGCGTTTCGAGCCGTTTGCTTGTTGGTCCAACGTACTGATTCCTTCCCCGCCACCGCAGACCTTTTGACTACTCGGCCAAGACCAGGCGGGATTATGAGCTTCCGCTGTGCCGGGACGGCAACGACGGCCATCCCGGCCTCACCGCCGTCTCCGCGCCATTTCTCCTGGGCGGCCGCGCCGTGGTCGATGACTACACGTGCGGGCCGGACCGGCCTTGCGCCAACAAGGCTTGCTGCCCCAAGGAGACGGGGCAATGCAACTACGGCGAGGAGGCGTGCGGCACGTCGGGCATCTCGCCCAACGAGGTGTGCTGGTCCAACTGCGACGCCAAGTCCGAGTGCGGTGTCAACGCCAAAGTGCCCGGCCAGAAGTGCCCTCTCAACGTCTGCTGCGGAAAATGGGGCTTCTGCGGCATGACGGACGACTACTGCGATGCCGAGGACCACGGCGCCACTGGCGGCTGCCAGTCCAACTGCGACCAGCCCGGTCCCAAGAACAAGGCCGACTCCCAGGACCGCATCATCGGCTACTACGAGGCCTGGCGCGCCGACAGCGCGTGCCAGGGCATGGGGCTCAAGGACATCCCCGTCAGCTCGCTCACCCATCTCTACTTCTCCTTCGCCTCCATCACGCCCGACACGTATGGCATCGCGCCCATGGACGGCATCCCCGGGTCCCTGTTCTCTGAGTTCACCAACCTCAAGAAGAACAACCCGGCCTTGAAGACCGTCATTGCTATTGGTGGTTGGACCTTCAACGACCCGGGCCCGACTCAGAAGGTGTTCAGCGACATGGTGAGCTCGGCACGCACTCGCGAGACCTTCATCGACAACCTGTTCAGCTTCCTGAGGGAGTATGCCTTCGACGGCGTCGACTTCGACTGGGAATATCCCGGCGCTGATGACCGCGGCGGCATCGACACCGATGGTGCCAACTTTGTCACGTTTCTCAAGGAGCTCGATGACGCCAACAAGAAGCAGCCCGTCAAATACGTCGTCTCCTTCACGGCGCCCACCTCATACTGGTACCTGCGCCACTTCGACCTCAAGGCCGTCGACCACGTCGACTTTGTGAACGTCATGTCCTATGACCTGCACGGCGTCTGGGACGGCAAGAACCCTATCGGCCAGCACATCTACGGGCATACTAACCTCACCGAGATGGAGCAGGCCTTCGACCTCTTCTGGCGCAACGACGTCCCCGCTAATAAGCTCAACATGGGCCTTGGCTTCTACGGCCGCGCCTTCCAATTGCAGGATTCCTCGTGTAGTAAGCCGGGTTGCGGCTTTAAGGGCGGCGCTACTAAGGGCGGCTGTAGCGGGGAGTCGGGAATTTTGAGCTATCGCGAGATCATGGCCGTGATCGACTCCAAGAAGATCAAGCCCGTACATGATAAGAAGGCTGGCGTTAAGTATATTACGTGGAACACGGACCAGTGGGTATCGTATGACGATGCTGATACCTTCGACCAGAAGAAGGGAATGGCTAAGGACCTAGGGCTGGGTGGCTACCTCATCTGGGCTATCGACCAGGATGACGAGCATCTGACCGCGCTGCAAGCCGTCATCTCGCCTAAGAAGCTCGGTGATCTGGGCGCAGCCGACGACTCTGATGACTGGCAATCTTCCAACAAGCACTGCTACATCACGTCCTGCGGTGGTAATTGCGACGCCGGCGATGTCAAAATCACCGACCAACCTTGCGACAAGGGTCGCAGTAAGCTCTGCTGCCCGCTGTCTGGCGCCCCGGACCCCAAGGAATGCACATGGCGCGGCGGCGAGACCACCCGCTGGTGCAACGGCCGCTGCAACGACGACGAGGTCATGATGGAGATGAACAAATGGGGCGACGGCGACAGCTGCTGGGATGGCAACAAGGCCTACTGCTGTAAGAGCCCGCTCGCCGAGGAGAACAGCTGCTACTGGGGTGGTGTAGGTGCCGCCTGTAATGGAGACGATCTGCCGTTGACTTTTTCTGGCACCGTCCTGACCGTCTTGGAAGACGTAGCCAAGGTCATCCTCCGTGTCGTTGGACGTGCGTATCCCCTCACGGCCCTGACGGGAGAAGTACTTCTCCAGGTACTTGATGCCCTCGACCTCGACACGGACAAGTACTACTGCTGCCCTAAGGAAGACATTCCCAAGTGGAAGAACTGCGAATGGTTCGGCAAGCCTGGAAACTGCTTCGACGGACACTGCCCGGATATGACCTACGCCCAGCTGACCGACAGCTACTTTGGCGGCGGCGAGACATGCGGTGGCCAGCTATCCCGCGTGCGTACCTTTTGCTGCGAGCCGAGCGAGGACCCCCTATTTCTTCCCGTGCCCCTGGGAAATCTCTTCGAGCATCCGCCCGACGGTGATAGTGTTGATACCGACTTCACCCTCGAGACGGACAAGGACTCCGACTCTCAGCAGAACCCCAACGACGCGGCCTTCCAGTTCGTCGTGCTTGCCTCGCCCGAAGAGCTGCAGGTCTCTCTCGACAAGCGCGACGGCTCCCACTGGGACATCTTCTCTGGCTGCGGAGGAGTCGTCGGCGAAGAAGGGCCTCACACGGTTCAGATGGTGTGCACCGACTTTTCCGCGGACAGCAACTGTCACAAGATCGGGCTCGGCCACGGCGTGCCCGGCACCATCCTACAAATGCCTAATGGGTGTGGTCCCGGGAAGTACGCCGTTGCAAAGGACATGGTCCCGACCCCTGAGACGAAGAAGCTCATTCTTCCTCGCCACCTCAAGCACCTCTCCGCGCGCTCGCCCATCGTCTACGACTTGACGTTTGACTACGACTTCACCCGCGTGCCTCGCGACCTTGGAGATACACAGATGCGCGTCGACTTCAGCAACCAGGATGACTACTGGAACACGGTCGTCGCCGGGGCCGCCACGAGCAAGAAGAAGGTCAAGCGCACCCTCGCCGACACCGGAGGCAACCACGTCCGCTGGATGGAGGAAGAATTCCGCGATGACTACCATTTCGGCGCCCTGTCGCGCCGCGAACTCGAGGAGCGCTGGTTCGGCTCAGGCATCCTCGACTGGCTTGCCCAGCTCGTCAAGCCGGAAATCAAGCGCGAGTTCACTTATAGGTACGAGGACACCCTGACTGCCAAACTCATCGACGAGACCTGGCAATGCACTCGCGAGGGCGTCGGCTACGAGGGCCATCTCCTGGCCCAGGCCCTCCTGAAAGTGAACATCGAGACCAGCTTCGGTTTCACTCTGATCGTCACGAAGCTGTCGCTCCCGCTCGACCTTTCCCAAAGCTATTTGACCTTCTACAATAAGGGCGAGATCACCGGCGTCCTAACCCTCGAAGCCGTCGCCAAATTCAAATACCATGAGTCGGAGGTTATCATGAACATCCCTTTCCCGGGCGCCTCCTTCAATATCCCAGGAATTGCGGTCATCGGCCCGCAGCTGACGGTCGAGGGCAGCATCGACGCTCAGCTCACCCTGGCAGGCAAGGTGGAAACCCGCCTCGAGTTCGCTAACTGGGAGGTCCGCCAGGTCGTCCCGGACAATGGTGATAGCAACTACACGCCCAAGGAGATCGGCGACGGCGACCCGGACCTCAAGCGCAACGGCGACACCAAGGACCTGGACAATCCCAACTTCTACGCCGGCGTCCAGGCCCTCGGCGACGTGACGGCTTCGATCTCGGCCGCGGCAGAGTTCGGCGTCCGCTTCGACAAGCGCTGGGAGGTCGAACCGGCCGCTGCGGCCGTGGTGGGTGAGGCCAGTGTGATCATCAAGATGGGCGCCGGCATCTCCACCAAGGACACCTGCCCCTTCACCTGGGGGCTCGACGTCGGCGCGCGCCTTTTTGCGCGGGCAAAGGCGCCCGCTGTGTTCCGGTGGCCTGGAGCCGAGGTGCCCATCACGCCCGCGTACAAGAAGCCCATCTTCGAGGGTGGCACTTGTCCGGAGCTGGGTCCCCTCCCTACCAAACGTGACCTTGAATACCTTCCTACCATTGGCAGCAACTTTAGCCGCAGCCTTGATCACCTTCACAACCACAACAGCCGTGGTCTCGTTCACATCCGCAACAGTCGTAACCTAGACAAGCGAGCGGCCGTCTGGGGCCCCGTCCTCAGCGTGCCCGTGGGAGACTACTTCTGCCCGCCCGAGTCTGATGACAGTGCCGGCCCGGGAACGGTCTGCTCCAAGATCGGATACGCCTGGACCGTGGACGACGGCGACGGCAACGCGCTTGCGAAGAGAGGCGTCCTCGAAAAGCGCGGCACCAAGACGAGCTCCCTCTGCGGACTCGGCACCCGCTTCCAATACCCATCAGACACGGAGGCCAAAGATATGGGCAACCCGGCCTACGGATTCACCACCACCGACTGCGACGACTACACATGGGGTGGTCCCCTGAGTGCCGACACTCCCAACTCCAACTACGAAGCCGAGCACATTCTCGAGTTCCAACTCACTAAACAGTTCTTCCAGGAGCTCGACCAGACTCTCGACGTCGTCCCTCACCCCGACCCCAACAAACAGACGACACTCAAGTTCTGCGGCCTTGTCGATCAGCTGTGGAACATCCCGGCCGTCCCGATCCCGAACCTCGATACCGCCTCCGGGATGGGCGCCACCCTCACCCCGGCCAACCACGTCGCCAACCAGTTTCCGACCAAGACGTGGAAGCAGGAGGAGTACGTCCGGCTCGACAACACCATCAACTCGCCGCCAAAGGCGAGCGCTTGGGCCGGCCTGTCCAAAACGTTCAAGCAGATCCAAATCGTCGACTTCAACAAATGGATCGGCGGCGACCCCAATGACCCCGGCAGCGTCGTCAACACGGACCAACCCAACTACACGGGCCTCATCACCGAGATCGACGGCGCGGAGAAGATCATAAAGTCCCTTCGCGCCATCGTCGGCTCGCGCCTGTACCACAGCGACCCGCTCGTCATGTCTATCTTGCGGAAGCAGAAGGCGCGCGTAGGTGAGGTGCTGCGGCGCCTCGATACGGAGATCCTGCCGGCAAACCCAAAGCAGCCGACCTGGACGCCCTGGGCGCCACTGGGGCTCAAGGAGCGGTGGGACGAGTTCATGAAGGGCAAGGAGCTGCTAGCGGTGACCAAGTCGAACAAGGTGCTGAATGATATATTGCCACGGATGCAGGCCATGTGGGCGGACCAGGCTGCGAGGGACGCGGCGGCGGCTGATGATAATGATTCACAGACCGAGGCTGAGGCGAAGGCGAGGAGGCTGAGGCTTATCAATAGTATTGATGCATTGGCGGATGTTTTGAGAGTATTGCCGGCGTGGCAGATGGCGTTCTGAGACACTGACTTTGTGCTTTTCGTTGATAATGGTTAAACTTGGTCTTTAGTTTACTTTGTTGAGACCTTGTGTGTACATACACCCTGCTCGTCAGCAGGCTTTGCTTAGTTCAGTACATAATGTATTTCGCACATCGCAAGTAGTCATGGAATTCGATGTGTTTTTCAGAACGGTGTAAGTTTGAGATATGATATCTCCTGTGGCTTTGTAAAGGCGCGGCTTTAGACAGTCAAACGTACCTCGATGAGATAAAGGGCAGCCTGGATGAAAGCCAACAAAGCATGTTAAAAGTAGGCCTTCCAGCTACCAGCTGGAATAAACTATACCTTAGTAAGGCATCAGGCTCACGCCTGCCTCGCCAACCGCCTCAGAAGTATCTCTGGGCAACCTAGCCTACCCTCTAAACTTATTCGCTAACTTCACCACCCAATCCTTCTCAGAGAAGTTCAGTAAAACAAGGGCCGTCCTTCCGTTATAGCTAGCTATAGTGTAGACAAACACGTCCTCACTATTATTATACTCTGCTACTATTAAGTACTAGGTATATGCCTTTTGGAAGAAAGGTTATACCTTTTAGAAGAGAGGTTATGCCTTTGAGACCTTTTCCGCAAACGGGATCCAATAGCGTCTGGTCGAAAGAGTCTTATGTTGGTGTAAGACACAGTAACAACAGTCCAGGAAACAAGACCATGATCCAGCCGACAGACATGCTCATGCAGCCGACCAACGGTCACTCTGCGGTTTTCCCGACCAATGCAGCAGTTCAATTGGACTGGCAGGCCTTAAAAAAGCGCCTTCGGTGTTGGTTTTGCTTTGGTACCTGTGCCGCACGACTGCGCTCTCGCACGAGTTACTGTTTCTCCTTCCTAAAGGAGGTCTTGCCAGTTAGCGAGCAGTAAGCAACCAACAAGGCGACCCCGTAAAATTGCCGCCATTCCGGTGCCAAGAAGAACCAACAGCAGTCTGGATCCCCTTTTCGCGAAACCAAAATGAGAGGCACAGCAATGTACCATCACGGCAAAATAGCGGTCATTGACGGGTACGACTTGTGTCTGAGGGGCTGGCTTTAGTAATTCCATGCTGTAAAAGTTTCGGACTCGTCGCTAAAAAGCTTATCTCTTTGCTTATTCTTCCGCCTCCCTTGAGTGTAGCTGAGCCGTGAACAACTGTTGGAGCCCCGAAACCAATCAAACCTCCGCTCCACATGCTGAGATCTTTCGAGGTTAAAATGGGTCCAATAAGGATACATCTGCACTGTAACCACCAGAAGAACGCATGGGGAACTTTTGCAAACTCCTTGTTGGCGGCTGTCTCTGGATTGCGCCATGTTGGAGGGGGGGCTTTTCTAATTGAGGCACAGTCAGATGTCCTCTCGGATGACGGGAACTTGAGTCTATCCCAGATGCTCTCAATTTGTGGGAGACACTGCCACACCTCGACCATTTGAGATCTAAATTTTCCATGGTAGCTGACAGCGATCCAAAAAAAAACATTGTTTCTCGTTTGCAACTCACCTCAGTATGGGCGAAACTGACGAAATCAACTTTTCTGCTTCTAAGGAGAGACTACTTTCATCTTCATTGTCTAGGCATGAGGATGAAAATGTAGAACAGATTCGGAAGTCACGTCCACATAAGTATTCCTGGGCTCTGGTGCTTGGGCTTGGCTTGTCGCTCGTGCTCAATGTCGGACTACTCGGCCATTTATTTTACAGAGCTAAGTTACCGAAGGCGGCAACTTCGCATCAGTTGAGCTCAGCTAAAAGTGTCATAGCCCTCTATTGTAAGTCTATTCGCGCTATTAAATTTTTCTGAGTGTATCTAATGTTTTGTAGCTCCAGCTAATGATGCTGTGGAATACTAGCTCACCAAATTTGCGAGCTCGGTTGAAGGGGGAGAGACCGACTTTTAGGGAAGACCTTTGATGAAAACTAATTAAGCTTGGCAGGGCTTGTATGAAAGTGAGAGAACGATATTTGATTTTCTTGAGACCAAGCTGACAAGTCTTTCTGCGCAGATGTGTTCACACACGTCATGGAAGAAGACGCATGAATGCTGCCGAATAAGACCGCACCCAAGCTTGAATCTAAGGAAAGCGGATATCTAGTCGTCCTGAATGTCTTTCACGATCTCCATTGCATGGATAACATTCGAAAGGGGCTCTACTATTTCCTCGAACCGCAATGGAACAGCACACATAATCCATATCTCCTATACGAATCTCCTGAAACCGCGCTTGAGGATCGCGGGGGCGACCACCTGAGTATTATGCATCTAGACCATTGCATAGACTCACTCAGGCAGTCAATTCAGTGCACCGGAGATGTTGTCCCGAACGTTTTCCAGTACAGTCCAAAATATGGCGATGTGCGGGCTCGCTCTACTGTTGTGCACGAGTGTCGTAATTTCGGCAAGGTGAGTGCAGCCGCCCATAGAAACGAAGCCATGACTTACACGCAGTTTTACCGACAGATTCAGGAGTGGGCTGCTCAGCACCACGTCCCAGGCCTGTTCAAAGACTTTGGCAAAGGCCCCGAGCTCGGAAAGTGTGGAATTGACGACCCGTGGACTTGTTTGTTTGAATAGGGTTTAGAGAGTCATCCTACATAGGAAAGTTCATTGTCTCAGCTTTTTGCAATTGTTCCCGTGACACCTACTCATTAATGAAGAAGTTGCAGTGAAGGTCGCAGCACTGAACCAATTAAATGTGAAATCTACCAAGGCGGGCATCACATCCCTGCACCCCTTGCACAATGTAGGCCCTGTCCAGACTAGCCCAGCTAGGAAGCTGGGATCGAGGGTCCCGTCTTGGCTCAGGCGTGCCCTGCATTTCGTGTTGGTACTTCAACAAGGGCTACCAGCTGTATTCACGCCACGGCGGAACACTTGTTTGGTCTTTCTCTTTCACTTTTTCCTCCCTCTGCGCATTCTTGACTGCTGTGCTGTGTTGCCGACATCAACAACCGCGCTGCGATGAATGCATCGGCGCATTTCGATGCCTTCGGGCCGCAATTGACAGGACAATTCGACTTCACGCTTTATTTTGAACAAGCAATTCTGTCCATCATCCCGTCCGCGCTCTTCTTGGCGATCCTTCCCTGCCGGGTCACATGGCTGTTGCGGAGACATTCGATCCCGCCCAGCGGATGGCTTCTCTTGGCAAAGCTTGTACGTGACATGGCCACAAAAAAGTTGAAGAACCACATCTAAGATCTCCCTCCAGGCTGCTAGCACAGTTCATCTATCCCTCCAAGCGACTCTCTTGGCACTATGGGCACTTCCGACCACAATCAGAACTCCAGCCTCGTTAGCAGCAGCTATTTTAGCCCTGGTCAACTCGATATTTCTCATTGGCTTGATCTATGTGGAGCATGGCCGCTCAACTAGGCCGTCTAAGCTCCTCAGCATCTATTTGTTTATCTCAGCTTTGGTGGACATGGCTCAAGCGAGATCGCTCTTTCTGCAACAGCCCAACACGAGTGGAAGAATTGGTGCTGTGTTTGCAGTGTCTCTGGCCATGAAGCTTCTTCTTGTCTTGCTGGAAGAAATACCAAAGTCAGGTTTACCGGAGCCTTCATCAAAGGAAGAGATCAGCGGGCCGATTAACAGATCTGTATTCGGCTGGTTGAACCCTTTATTCCTCCGAGGTTCCAGGGGCACGTTACATGTTGGAGATCTCGGAAACATCGATCGCAAGTTTGACTCCGCTCGGCTGCTGTCTAAGCTAAGCTCCTCGTGGGATAGCAGCGATAGATCTGCCAAATATGCCCTGCTCAAATCCACGCTCTCCGCTTTCAGAACGGGTTACCTGGCCCCGATTCTTCCGCGATTGTGTTTGGCAGCTTTCAACTTTTCCCAACCTTTTCTGATTAAAAGGATCATTGAGTTCGTGGGGGAATCTAGAGACATGCAGTCTCGCGAAGTTGCAGGAGGACTTATTGGAGCTGCTTTGCTGGTTTATTTGGGGCTAGCAGTCAGTGTCCCCATATTCTCTCCCACTGTAGCGAGTGGTGTACTGATTTCTTAGATCTCCAAAGGCGTTTACAACCATGCCGTGTACCAACTCACGACCACGCTTCGAGGCGGATTGGTTTCTATCATCTTTAGAAAGTCTCTTGGACTGGACGCCAGAACAGCTAGCCAAGAAAAGGCTGTTACTCTCATGAGCACCGACATTGACGCAATCGCCAGTGGAGTCAAAGATCTGCATGAGATTTGGGCTAGCGTGCTCGAGCTAGGCATAGCTGTCTATCTACTGCATTTGCAAATCGGCGCCGCGTGCTTTGTCGTCATGATTCCAGCCGTTGGTAAGTGGTCTTTGTATCCCCCCTATGCCGTTTTGACTCTGTGACTGACAGATGAACAGTGTGCAGCTTTATCACAGAGAGGGCCACTGATGGCATTGGTCCTGCCCGGATGATGTGGAACGAGGGTGTCCAGGAACGCGTTTCCACAACTTCTTCAATGCTTTCTCAGATCAAGGGTATCAAGATGATGGGTCTCACCGACTACTTTGCCACCATGGTGCAGCAACTCAGGGTTGCAGAACTTGACATGTCTAAGAAGTTCAGGATGTTTATCGTGCGGATCATTCTCATCTGTGAGGCCCCGGCTTCGCAAACTCCACCATTCACTCGCATCTGACACTTCCAACAGCGAATCTCTCGGATCAGATGACCCCAGCCGTGGTCGTGACGGCTGCAGTCTTCTGGACTCGGGCGGATGGCTTCACCATATCCCAGGCCTTCACATCTCTCGCCATTGTGGCCTTGGTGTCTACACCCCTGGCTAACCTCATTGGCTCTTACCCGACTTTTGTGTCCTCTGTCGCCTGTTTCGGTCGCATCCAAGAATTTCTCGTACAAGACGAGCGCAGACCCGAACAAGTGCAAGACACTGACGCCTCCGAGAGGAAAGCTTCCGTGAGCACCACTTCGATCCCCGATACCACGTCGCACACGACCTCAAAACACCGCGCCATAGAAATGAAGGAGATGCATGCGCCACAATCTTCAGAGAAGTCCGGCGTTGCTATCAGTCTCGAGAACGTGAATGTCGGCGTCGAGGGAAAAGACGAGCCAATCCTCCGAGACATCATGCTGTCCGTTCCAAGAGCCAAATACACAGAGGTCACTGGCGTCGTGGGATGTGGAAAGTCCACGTTACTGAAGACCATCCTTGGAGAACTTCCTTTGATCAGTGGTAGCATCCGGTTTGCACAGCTCAACATGTCGGTTGCTTTCTGTGAACAGTCAGCTTGGCTACGGAATATTTCCATCAAGGACAACATCGTTGGCCAAGAGCAATTTGAAGATGAGTGGTACGGACGTGTTCTTTTCGCCTGCGACCTAAAGCAAGATATTTCTAGACTACCAAAGGGAGACGACACGCTTGTTGGTAGCGGAGGCATTACACTCAGTGGTGGGCAGAAGCAAAGAGTTGTAAGTACCGTCAATTCCTAAGTGGAGAACCCTGTTCACTGAGAACGTCTTATCCAGGCGCTTGCGAGAGCTGTCTTTGCGAGACGGTCTATCGTTCTTCTAGATGACCCTTTTAATGCTCTCGACGCTGAGACCCGAACGAAAGTTTTCAGCCGTCTACTTGGTGAGGAGGGCCTTCTGCGGAAAGGCGATACCACTGTGATCCACGCCACCCCCGCCGGTAAGTTGGCTTGCCTGCTCACTGTCGGCAACCACCACCGTTGTTGTCATCCCGTGAGCACTTCAACTGACAAGATTCCACTAGGCCCACGAAAGACAACTGCCGACAACGTTATACTTCTCAGTAAGACGGGGTCTGTTGAACAAGCAGGACCTTCGATCAGTCTTGTCACGGCATTCAAGGACGTCGATGTTGAGCCTCAGCCTGAAGATAGAATTCAACAGAATGAAGATATAAGTGCGGCGGGCAAGACATCAGAAACCAAGGACGAAGAAGCTACTCAGCGGCAATCGGGCGACTTCTCGCTCTACAAATTCTACCTTCGATCCATAGGCCCGGCCCTAACCATCACATTCATTCTTGCTGCGGCCACGTACATCTTTCTGGGCTTCATGCCAAATATCTGGCTCAGAATTTGGACCGAGCGCGGAACCAACGATGGAAGCCGCGGCGCTTACTTCGGCGCCTATCTGGCATTTTGTATCGGAACCGTCCTGTTCTCGGGACTGGCCATTGGGCTGTTTTTCGTCGTCGTCATCCCCCACTCAGCCACAAGGCTTCACTGGCAACTTCTCGACTCTGTTCTCAAGGCTCCTCTGTGGTTCTTCACAACAGTGGACAGCGGCGTCACTCTGAACCGCTTCAGTCAGGACATGACGCTTGTCGACCAGACTCTACCTACGGCCTTTTTCGAGGTTGTGCTCGACACTCTGGTCGCTATCGCTTCTACAGCACTTATCGCCTCAGGTGCCCAGTACTTCGCAGCTATCATTCCGTTTTGTGTCTTGCCCTTGTACTTCCTACAAAAGTTCTATCTCAAGACATCGCGGCAGATGCGTCATCTTGATCTCGAGTCAAAGTCCCCTCTTTACACTCACTTTACAGAGACACTCAACGGTGTCGTGACCATCCGCGCCTTTGGGTGGCAGCAGGAATTTGTCAAAGAACAACTCCGTCTACTTGACATTTCTCAGAGACCTTACTATCTCCTGTTCTGTATCCAAAGATGGCTAGCAATTATGTTGGACCTGTTCGTGGCGGTGATCGCCACCGTTCTGGTGAGAATGCCGCTTCTGTTCTGCAGTGTTCGGACGTGCTGACTAGTCCCAGGTTGCCTTCGCTGTCAAACTCACCAACACTACAAGCGGCGGTGCCATTGGTCTGTCCATGGTCAGTCTCATGGGCCTGAACTCTAGCTTGTCGCGGCTGATCAGCTCTTGGACAAACTTGGAGACTTCTCTCGGCGCAATCGCCCGGTTGCGTGATTTTGTCCGCGATACTCCTCAAGAAGACAGCGTCGATACCCAGAGTCTGCCTCCGGTCCCTCAGGGGTGGCCATCTCCTGGTGCAATTGATTTCAAGAGTATAGACGCTAGATACAAGTATTTCCCCCCATCCCATACCCTACATTTAGTGAAAGGGGTTGGTGCTAATTATTGCGAAGGACCGATGATGAGATTATTCTCCGCGAACTTTCCCTGAGCATCAAGCCTGGCCAGAAGGTCGGCATATGTGGACGCACAGGAAGGTAAGTCATCTCTCTGTATATACCAATTACGGGAACCACTACTCACGCTGGCCAATATAGCGGCAAAACATCTCTGCTTCTCACTCTCCTTCGTCTTCTCGAAACGCCGTCGGGATCCATCCAAATCGACGATGTCGATCTCTGCTCTCTCTCGCGCAAAGCAATCCGACCACTTTTCATCACTCTGCCTCAAGATCCAGTGACCCTTCCTGGGAGCGTCCGAACCAACCTTGACCCGAACGCATCCTTCGATGGAGAATCAGGAGACAAAGCACTTGTGGAGGCACTGGAGAAGACGTTTCTTTGGGACGATGTCATCAAGTCTCGCGGCGGATTGGACGCTGAATTCGCTGAGTTGGGTCTGTCCCACGGCCAACAGCAGTTGTTCGCTCTGGCTCGCGCCATCTTGCACAAAGACCAGAGTAAGGTCGTGCTGCTGGATGAAGCAACCAGCAGTGTCGATCACGGAACCGATAAAATGCTTCAAAAGGTACTCAGGAAGGAGCTCGCTAGCCACACCATTCTAGCCGTGGCGCACAGGCTCGACACCATTGAGGACTATGATGTTGTAGTGGTGATGGACAACGGTAGGATCGTAGAGGTAGGCAATCCGAGACAGCTTCGAGAGCAAACCGGATCAGCCTTCCAACGTCTCAATGTGTATTAATCATACCAAAATGTGGGCTGGCTGAAGTTCGTATTGATAGCTGTCTTCAGAGATGACTCACTCGTCTATATGACCACCGTGAGAAGTCTAGCTGTTATGGAAATTCTCCTGGCTCTATTCTTAGGACATTTGAAACGGACGAGCTAGGAGTAATACGATAGATAGCACTACAGTAGAAAATATATAGAAGATTGATGTGCAATTGCAAGTCATTAGTCGATCGCCGGCGCATGGGGGAGCCGTGGCGGCTATCACTTTTCAATGTATGCGCCTTCTTGTGGATCAGGGTTTTGCCAAGTGCTGGCATCGAAGTTGAGGAAGTTCAACTGTAATTATGAAGGAGAATTTTCGTAGATAAGATGCCGAAAGAAATGAAACATTAAGAAGTGGGCTGCCTTTGGATTGGGAAGCTTCGGTGGTGTTGATCTGTTGAGTCATAACCGCAAATTTCCCTCGCCCAGACTCTTGGTGATCGTTTCCAGGTTAATCTTAGCCAGGGGGTACCGGACTCCGGAGCCATTCCGACGCAGCGGACCCGTTCCGAAACTACATCCTTACATAGGACAGTACTACGGCAGCTTTTATCTCTGCATCTACCCACTGGCAGATTCCCTGTCGAATCCTACGCAAGCTATGATCGGGAAGTTTTTCTTCCCGGTCAACGAAACGCCATGAAGTGAGTCGGTAGCAATGAGTCACAAAGGTCAATGCTTGGAGAGTTGCCGTAAGATGTGTAGAAGCTGTTCCATCATCGACACGTTCGCCCAAAAGACTAGAAGATACATACTCCCGTCCTTACACTTCAAATCTCTTTGCATTCCAGCCTCAAGTTTTCAATTCTTTTGCCTCCTACGATCCAACGAATCGCGTAGACTAGAATACGGGAACAATGACGAGCATCAATGGATCGGATTCTCATGGCCTAACGCATGCCCCTAACGAGTCGGCACCACGCGAGATCTACAATCGACCAGTCGAGAGCTTCCTGAGCAATGTTTCGAGGTTTAAGTTGATTGAGACAACACTTCGCGAGGGAGAGCAATTCGCGAATGCTTTCTTCGATACAGGTTTGTCTTGCCTGCCCCTGATCTTGCTCCCACGTTCTGTCAAGGCCTGCACGGATACAAATTCCCTTCATGGATAGCAGCTAACCAGTTTACCTAAGAAACCAAGATCAAGATGCAAGAGCCCCCGATCGGAACTGCTTGACCAAACGAACGATTCAGAACATTAGCTGACATGAGGACAGAGCCAAGAAGCTTGATGAGTTTGGAGTGGATTACATTGAGCTTACAACTCCGGTCGCATCTCCACAGTCACGCAAGGACTGCGAGCTTATATGCGGACTTGGTCTCAAGGCACGACCCTCTATGCGCTTTTCTCCAAACTTCTTTTTCGTCATTCCTGATTGACACGCTTTTCAGGCCAAGATTCTAGCACACGTGCGATGCCATATGGATGATGTACGAGCGGCCGTAGAGTGCGGTGTTGACGGAGTGTAAGGCAACCCCACAGTCAATTCCCCGTCACTGGCAGCAGAGATTGATTGTTTGATGCAGCAACATCATGATGGGAACGTCGGCTCTCCTTCGCCAACATTCTCACGGCAAGGATGTTGCCCAAATCATCAAGGCAGCAATCGAAGTCATCGAATACGTCAAGTCCCAGGGCCTCGAGGTCAGATTTTCCACTGAAGACTCTTTCCGATCCAATCTCGTCGACATTCTTTCCGTCTACAAGACCGTGGACAAGATTGGGGTCAATCGCGTAGGAGTTGCGGACACCATTGGTTGCGCCAACCCGCGTCAGGTCTACGATCTAATACAAACCCTTCGAGGGGTTGTCTGTGAGTCATCGCCCCCAAACACCGCTCCCAAACACCAGCTTCCTCAAAACAGCAAGAACAAAAGAAAAGGAACGTGAAATATGACACAGCATTTTCTGACTTTTCAATACCTAACCAGCATGCGACATTGAAACCCATTTCCACGATGACACCGGCTGCGCTACCGCGAACGCGTACACTGCCCTCGAGGCAGGTGCCACACACATCGACGTCACAGTGCTCGGTATCGGCGAGCGTAATGGTATTACGCCCCTCGGTGGCTTCATGGCGCGCATGATTGTCCAGAACCGCGAATACGTCACTAGCAAGTACAAGCTGCACATGATCAAGGAGCTGGAAGACATGGTCGCCGAAGCTGTGCAGATCAACACGCCCTTCAACAACCCCATCACTGGATTCTGTGCATTTACGCACAAGTCCGGTTATCACGCCAAGGGGGTCTTGAGTCACCCGAGCAACTACGAGATCATCAATCCCGAAGACTTTGGGATGACGCGATACGTCCACTTCGAGTCAAGACTGACGGGCTGGCATGCAGTCAAGACCCGAGTGAGCCAGCTTGGTCTGGACATGCCGGACGATCAAGTCAGAATTGTGTAAGTACTGGTTCAATAGGAACTCTGTTGGTCAAGTCTCTAGGCACGTTTTCTGACATCAAATTTTAGAACGGAGAAGATCAAGACGCTGGCTGACATTCGACCATTGGCTATCGAGGATGTGGATTCTATCATTCGAAGTTTCCATGCAGGTCAATCGCGAGACCAATAGTTATTGTAATTTGCAGGGCCTGGCTTGGATTTATACATCTGTAGAGATAGGGTGATAGAGATTAAATAAATCTCCAGCTCTCAGTCTTCCGTAGATGGATGGTCTGCATCCCACATGCTGCAGGAGCTTATTGAGCGGGATCGACGGCCTTGTAAGTAGAGTCGACAGAAACTTCATCAAACCAGATTTGTCGAAATGCCTGGCTCCCAACCATCTTCTTATCATCATGCCAGCTGTTTGCGTATAAGCCGACACGGAATGCGAATTTGCTGTTGTCGTTGCTAATCGTTGTAGCAACATCGTACTTCTCAAGCACCTTGGCCCCATCGAACCAGATCTTGTAGAAGCCCGTGTTGTCGCTATTCCATCGCGCCTGAATGACGACCGTGTGCCATGCTCCAGCAGAGACGGTGGCAAGGTTGCCAAACTCAGAAAAGTTGCGGATGCAGTTCGGACTGGTGTATTGTCCGCTGACAATGCGTGTTGTGAGTTGAGTGCCCTTGAGCCAGAGCATGGACGAGGGCATCCAGTCGTCATCGCCGCAACCAGCGCCGGGACGATTGGCAATGAACTGAGCGATGTTGTAAGACTGCGTCCCTTCGAAAGACCAGCTCTCCGACAAGCGAAAAGCGAAGCCGTAGAAGCGCTCGTCGCCACGAGTATAGCCGTTCGAGACGTCTACCTCGGAGTGGTATCGGCCGGTATAAGACGCGTCGTAGGTTTGCGTCATCTTGAGGGCTGTGGTACCTTTGTATACGACGTTGGTGACTTGTTGAACTGTCCCATCATGCTCTGCGCGAGAGGCGTCCCAGTTGCCAGGCAGAGTGCCGGGGTTGTAGAAAGGGTATGTGGCTTGGACAGCGAAGGGGAGAAGGGCCAAAGCACTGGCAGCGAGAGACTTGGGAGTGATCATGATGGAAAGAATGGTTTTGCTTTAGGGTTGATCAGGATGTCTTACGAAGTGGCCTAGATGGTACTTTATACGTTCATTTAGCGTCTGACTTCGGAAGACATCGAGACAGTTGAGCCCATCAGAGAGAGACAAAGATCCATGTACTACGGTATATTGCCCGAGGACTCGAGACCACCGATTTCGTCATTGAGTACCAGTCTTACTGAATGTTCCATTTCATCGGAAAGGTTCGTCAACTCGAAGACAGTTTCAGGCTTTCAATCAAGCGCCGGTACCTGTGTCGCCAGTTGAGCCTGCCATGCATGGTGCATGCACTGAATGTGTATGGGCTATTATTCAGCCATCTTACTTGCATCAGTCAATGAAAGGAAATCAAGTGTCATGAGACTTCATTCGGTCAAGCATGGCGCAAGAAAATTCGATAGTGCTACTCTATTTGACTCACGTCATTGGACAGGGAACGCTGATAATTGTTTGTGATTGCTACCCGTCCAAATCAGGCAGGTCAATACCCGTGCATAGGCTACTCGACCTCCATACGAGACATGCTGCTGTCCTAGACTTCAGCTGGGCTGCATGTCTCCGCCTGCTGCAACGCTACGCCAGTCAGCAACAAAGACTATCTTCTCCGGACAGGATTCCGGAAGTGGGACCGGCCACGGCACCGAGTGGAACCCGGGGAAGGAGATGTACATGCGGGGTCTACGTCAGGATTACATAAGCCATTAAATATTTTCGCGGCAGCAGACTCATCACTCCCTCAGAAATACATCTAACCAGCCGGCGACATCAAGACTCACCAGCATGTCATCCGCGAACACGAAAACGGCCCCGGCCGCTCTGGCTCTTCCCCCGAACGTATCAATATTTACGCCGAAGGATGCAAGCGTGACAAAGAACCTTCTGAACGGCAAGGTCTTCACCCGCCTTACAATCACGGACAAGACACAACCGGCACAAATCTCGGCGGCGCTGAAGAAGGCAAAAATCAGCGAAACCTTCTGCCTCACCCACCAAAACGTCATCTTGATTTTCGATCAGGATCAAGATACTCACCATGAGCATTTCCGGGTCGTATGCTTGGCTCTGAGAGATGCGGACATCGGATTGAGCGTTTCTGGATGCATTCACGACGCTCCGGAGGTCTTGCAGGCTGGGTTTCAACTGGACACACTGAACTCAAACTCAATCCTGGTCATTGATTTGATGCATGACGACGACGATGATGATGATTCGGACGATGAAGAGGCCAGCCTCGCTGCCTTGATGAACGGAGAGTCTAGCACGACGACATCTTGAGGCGTGCGCTACCGACAACAGCCCTGGCGGGGCCTTATAGTTTTATGGAAATGATTATCAAGAAGGGAAGCAGTTGTCAGGCCGTCAACCGGAATGATGGGATTTTCTACGGCGAGGCGGTGGTCTTGACTTTTCAATGACCTCCGAAGAGGTTTGTGTATTAATAATTCACCTTTCACGCAAATAATCACAAATCATCCAACATTTTCTTGGTGCTTTTGCTAAGTAGACACTCTTTATGGCGTGAGTCTTAAATACTGGTGTAAAAGAGGCCTATAGCTCACCAGGCTGCTCATTGACTCTCGAATTTCATATTCCCTCTACTCAATGTGATAAAAGAGGAAATTCCTTTCACCTGTCAATATCCTTACGCCCAGTCTAGACTTCAATAAATCGCGCCATCCAGGTATTAGTAATTTGCTTGGCTTCGTCTACTAGACCCATATCTAGAAGCAATTGAACGGTTCCCCTGAGAGCACTCTCGAGGGCACTGAAAGTCCAGGTGTGCATGAAAGTAGCTGCTTCGCCGATAAACACAGTTTTGAACTGCGTTTGGTAGAAAGCGGGAAGGTAAAGATCTTGCTGCGAGAAGATCTGCATGGTGAAGGCTCCTGCATGGTGTTCATCCTGTTCCCAGCAGTGCCGAGCGGAAATGCCCGTCCAGTTTTCCTCAACGACATCGCCGTGGACTTGGATAAGAGCCCGTTTGATGTAGGCAAGGTGCTCCTGTTCAGACATGGAGCAAGCGACGGTAGCCTCGTAGTCTGAGAGGTACGATGCTAGCATAGTACCTGGTCCAGTGGCGTTCAGGTCCCACGAAGGATAGCACACCTGGCCGAGCTGAGGCTTAGTGAGACGGGTGCAGCCGCCGAAAATGGGCTTCTCGAGGTGTTCCCAGAATCGAGTCTTGAACTGAACAGCAACCTTGACAGCGTTACCGAACAGGGTTCGATCAACCGCGCGCTTCAGAAGGCTTGAGTAGGGTGGCAGATCCCAGAACTTTAACAAGTTAAGTGGGACACTGTTCATTACGTAGTCGAAGGTCTCGACTTCTTCAGGGGTCTCGAAAGGCTCGGCTCCAGTGGGTTTCCAGGTGACAGAAACAGTCTTGTTTTCGTTGTAGTGCAGACCATTAACCTTGGCCCCGTACTGGATTCTGCCCTTCATCAGAGGCTCAAAAGCGGCCGGCAATCTACTGAGCCCGCCCTTGACAGTAACCCACTTGGTGGCGAGAAAGTAAACGGTTTCGTATTCCCACATGGGCCAGTAGATGTGGGATGGTGAAACCTCATCAGTGGTGTTGAGGTCCGTTTTGATGACGTCCCGCAGGTAGGAGACTTCCGAATAATCGAACATGCCGTCTTCCTTAGCTTGCTTATAAGCTGCGAAAATGTTCGTAGCGTACATGCGAATTCGTTCGGCGTCGAGGCCCTTGAACTTGTCGAGAGCAGCAATGGCCTCGGCAGCAGCAGTGGCGTTACTATAGACGGTAGGGTTTGCGTAGGCTGGGTCGGTTGCCACCTCAGTCTTCCCGGGGAACGTTCCATCAGGACGTCGAAACGGAGAATCAACAGGGGTGTTGGGAGAGCTTTGGATCCAATCCCAAAACTTGACTTGCACTGACTCATTGCCAGCGTTGAGCTCGTTGAGTACGTCGGCCAGCTGGAAAACGATGCGTTGATCATTGAATGGGAAGGTCTCGTTGGTCTCGGAGTCTGTGATCTCGACCGGGAAACGCATAGGCCCAAGCTCGTGATATTGACCTTCCTCGGGGAAGGTACCGTTGAGATAGATAGTCCTGAAGCGGCCGCCGAGACGCTCAGATGACTCCAAGATTTTCCAATTGTGAATACCAACAGAGTCCAGGAGTAGCTATGATCCAAACAGGTCAGTCCATGCACCCAAAAATCAAGGGAGCCGACAACTTAGACTTACAGACGACATCAGTCCAGACATACCGGCACCGAGAATACCGAACGACTTGTTCTTTGCCGCGGCGACAAATGCCTCATCAGGCTGTTTCTGCTCCAGGTAGGCCACGCCGTTGAACCACATGCTGTCGTCTCCTCCCACGTCTGCGAACGATCGTTTGGCGCTTCGTCGAGCCATGCGCTTGGTGACTGGAAGATCCTCGGATTGCCCCACTAGCTCACCATTGAGGAACGCACGAAGACACCCGCCATCCGTGTCGGTGGGTGTCAACCAGACAAACTTGGTTGGCCGCCTGTCCTCATGGTCCATGTGGCGCGCAGCTAGAGGATGGTCACCGACATGAGTTGTGCCGAGACGCTGCTTCGCGTCCGAGACGACGGCAGCACCGTCGCATGAGTCGTAGGTGATCGTGATTTCACCATCTGCACTGCCGCCATACTCAATAACGACGTTATGAGCACTTCCTGGGCTGACCTCCGAAGGGGACAGGAACGTCACAGAAGGCTGATCCAGCGGCTTTGCCTCTGCCAAAGAACGCAAACCTCCCAGGAGGGGAATCAAGTGAATCGAGGACCGCATGGTTGACTCCTACAGGCGATGGGGTGCACAAAGAGTTCAAGACATTATGAACGTGACAGAGGCTCCCTTATAGAGGGGTGTGTCGTCCGCGTAGAGTGGTTCTCGGAAAATGGCTCAATCAGAGCGTAATCCGGCTTGGTTCCAATGCCAAGGAAAGTTTACCGATATCGCCTGTCCGGACGTTCGTCATGGCCAGGAAACGGGTTGCTTCAGTCCAAAATGTGTCATGGGCATGACCACTCGAGCAACAATGTGGGCTACTCCATACCAGATAAGACCGCATCACACCCCATGCAAACAATATCGGCAGAGTAGCGATGTTCTTGTTTGTCGGTGAAGAAAAAAGCGTTCAGTTTTCCGTCCGGATCATGGGTCTAGATGTTGCCAAGAAGCTAAAGAGAGATGAGGATCGGTTGATAAGGCAGTGTGCAGCAAAAATGGAGATGAGAGCTGCAATTGATAGGTTTGTGTCTGTGCAGATAAGAAAGACGTGATAGGTAGGTAAACAAATAGCCGACGCCAAGCAAGAAAAGAGACCCTTGTCGTTTCCCCGCATTGGCAAGACGTTCAGCAATGAAGGCGGTTGAGCCTCTGTGATGTGGTCAGTTGTTCCAAGCAGGAGAAAAATGCGAAGTTCACTTCATGGGGGGGTCATGATGGTCGCAATCCTGAACTTCCGGCTTGCCCTTTGCTGTGTTGCGTCCTTCAGGCATTGGTATGGCCTCCCAAAGCTGACTTCCACGAGTTGGAGCCAAACTGGTATAACGCCTCGGGCCCAAAGACCGTCTCAGTAGCCAGGTAGTTGTTTGTCGAACGTGAGGAGATTGGAAGTGTTGAAGGGTATCTGGTTCACGGTGAGGACTTACCTACCTCACTTTCAGTTGCTGGACTGGATCCATTCAACCCATGGAAGCATGCGATAAAGACATCAAAGGTTTCGATCGTCTGCGGGAAGGATATTAAGGAAAACTTGAGTATCTTCGCCAGTCTTCCCACTTTTCGTATCAACTATTAGGCTTTCTATATGTTGCAAGTTCTCGGTTATAACACATAGGGTTGATTTCGGTGTACCGCTCTCCGGCCGGTCCGTTGTACGCCACTTCTCACTATACTGGGAGACGTCGTTGGGCAATCTGAAGTCTTCTCGCCGGACCGATGGCGATCAATCGAATCGACATCCGGAAAGAGTTCCTTTGCAGCTGCTTCTAGATCATGTCGAGGAATCGTTTGACCAATAACTTCCTTGGTGAAAGCCTCACTTTTCACCTCGGGGATATCAAGTAACGAGGCATCAGATGATTCGATCTTGATCGTTCTGTTGGTGCTACTGCAAGCCAGCTGTGCAAGCCGCTCCTTCTTCTTGCGACTCTTCAGAGTTTCGGTGAAAATGTATTCCGTATTGGCGCTGATCAATCGTCGGTTCGCCTTGGCCAAAGACTCCATAGCAGCTTCGTACTTTGTGCGAAAGGGGATGAAGCGTTTCTCTGCTTTGCTGAAAAGCATGTCGGACTTCTCTTTGCGCTTCCTGACCCTTTCGCATTGCTTGTACAACTTTCCCCCTAGCGTCTTGGCCTCGTCGAAGTCCAGATAGACGCCCAAGTGAATCTCGTTCCTGTCGCGCGTGTCTTTCACCGAATAAAATTTTGCCATCTCTTCGAAATGTTTGGGCTTCATCTCATCGAGGCGTCGCTGCATTTTGTCTTTCTCTGCAACGGCGACATCAACCTCTTCAGCGAGGTCACAGAGGAACTCGTCGACGACCCAGTGAGCGGTTCCCGCGAGTTTGCCGCAGGCGTCGCACGCGACTCTGGTCATTGTTCGCATATCATCCATCTAATTTCTTAGCATTGATTTAGAACTCCGGCTTATTTGGCTTACATTGAGGCCGATCGCATGAGATTCTGGAGTATGGAGGTCGTGGAGGAAGTAGGTGATTGAGAGAATTGCAAGATGGGAACAGTGGACGCGTCGCGTTCAATGCCGGGGCAGGTCGTTCAGCGCGTTCAGGGGGCGCTAGAATGTACCCGCCTATCTCAAGCATGTGTAGGCCGCCATTGATGTTGAACCACCAAATCATTGGTGCTCACGATCAATGATTTATCTCAAAGAGAGACATAGATAGTTTTTCATTTGATGTTTCATTAACATTATGCCCTGATTCCGGTGAACCTGTTTGTTGAATAGCTCAGAGTGATACTTATAGATGAACTTTTGTTGACCGGCACACGCTACTAAGACGGTATTGTCTGCAAGGCATTTCAGTGCAGCAAATTTGGCATTATGAACGATAGACTAACATTCGTCGCGACGAGTTTCTTACAGACTCATATAAAACAATCCTTCGTATCAAAAAACATATTCCACTCTTCGTACATATTTTGACAAACTTGATGTCGCCAGGTTTCACAAATGCCCAACCCACATTTCACTCCTCGGCAATTCTAATGAGTTCAGACTGACCCGAAGTCTCAAACTTCCCATCCTGTAACAGCCATTTTATTCGTTTTGCATCTTTGTTACGTCCATTGTCCTTCCTCAGCGGTTTCTAAGCCTTCGCACACTCCTCCTCGCAATCTTGCGGCACCGCCTCCCCTAAGCACTCAACCTCTGGGCTCTTGACCAAGCGCTCCCTCACGCTCGCTGCTTCAAGTTTCTCCAATTCTGTTTCGGCCCCATTCCCTTCCGGCTGTTGCATCTGCCACTTCAGGATGTTGACCGCCGATCGGAAGTAGGGCTGGTGCCTAGCTGCGATGCTTCTCGTCCTGCTGGACCGCAAAGGCCTGACGGCAATGACTGACAGTCGAGTCAATGGCTGAGATGACGGCTCACTGACCAGCGAAGGAGTTCCAGTAGTCCCTTCAACGACGAGATGGGGCATCTCGGATAGTGAGCACGACACTGACATGGCCTCCACCTGCTCAGTCTGGCTCGAAGTGGATGCGAATTCTGGCGGCGGCGTCCGGTAGTCCTCACACACGCACGCGTCCCAATCTCCGACTGGTAGCACACGATGCTGTTCCGCCTCGCGTTTAAATATCGACGCGGCATTAGATAGACGGACCGTTGAACGCGAAAGGTAACGATGAGTTTTGTTGGCTTTCTCATCGATTTCAGCCTTGTCTAGCCAGGCCTTTTTCACTCGACGCTGGGCCCTCTCCAGACGTTCCTCGCATGCCTGCAGGCAGACGATAATTTGTTTGAGAGCCACTTCAGCTGCGTCTCGCTCAGCTCTCAAATCTGCCAGCTGGGCATTGTGTGCCATGGAAATCGAGTGCGCCCTCTCCGAATTGATCTGAGCGGTCCATTTCTCCTCTTCCGCGCGATGGAGATCCTCGAGGGCGGAGTGGTATTTGGTGTTCTGTAGGCTATGGTTGTTGACATTTGTCACATACGAGGCGATTGTTACAGCGTCCATCTTGGCGGATGAAGTCTTGTTAGGGATCACTGAGATGTGAAGGCGCGTACCCTAGTTGAGGTTGTGAAAGAGAAATGGCTTTCCAAACGCGGGGACGAGAGGTGCAGCACTTTTTAGGAGGCACAGTCTTGACTGGGGATTGAAGCTGGATTCTCCAATCGGGCGGGCGTGATGTGGAATGTCGTGCCTCCTTACATGTAGGGAGGACATTGCAAACGCCTAGAGGTGGCTGGAATACCACCCAGCTCTTTGCAGTGCTGATATGCTGCAGTTGAAAGCCCACTTCAGAAGCAGCTATGCATCTGAATAGTGGTGTCTTGACTTGTTGGTTGTCTACATGACCTCCATGTTCCAAAAAAAAAAAAAAAAAAAAAAAAAAAAGAAACACTAAAAAAACAAAGCTCACTTTATTTAGGTGATCGTGATGGATTCTCATGAAACGCCTCCGAAATGAATATTCTTAAGCTGAGCCATCCATTGTTAGCCATCCCCTTCTCTCAGCTTCCGCCCTGGGCATGACCTCCATGATCCCCCACCGCGTGTCGATGGATTCAAAGGGCTTGGCTGCCTGTCTAGGCCCGTACCCAAACATATTCAACAAGTCATCCTTGTGAGATTCATTGAATTCCCGGCTGTCATCGTCATGAGATCCTGCCATGAACTTTGCCCACACATCTTCCGGGTCCATCCTGACGAGATACCTTGTGTTGCCGACTTCGATAACAGTATCATCATCTAGCTTCGAGATTTTGATATCCTCTTCATCCCAAGACGGCAGTTCCCCGCAAGAATGCACAAGCGGCTCGACTTTCGGGGGCAAGTCCTTCTTGGTCGGGTAAGGCCGATGCCTCTTCACCCTCTTGTCGATGCGGTTCGGACCGGCCGCGATCAGGCTCGGAAGCGCCCTCTCGCCGACGGGGCCTGCCACATTGCGCGCCCTATCGCCAAACTCATAAACACGCTCCTTCTCCCAGTCGATGACAGGACGCGGCCCCTTCGCCAGCTGCGCGGCGTTGGTGTTGGCGTCGTGCATGACTTCGACGGCGCTCCAGTACTCGTCGCTCGCTGGCCGCACCCGCCGTTCAGCAACCTCAACTCGTTCCTTCAGCTGTTTGAGCTTCTTCTGTGCGCGCTTTTGTCGGTGCTCTGCCAGCTCCAGGACCTTGCGAGCGGCATCGACCTCGTTCTGGGCGCGGTATACTTCCTCGCGGACATCTTCCAGGTCGTCCAAGGCGCCGCCACGCAGGGTCAAAATGTCGTCACAGGCGACCCTAAATCTCATGGTCCGGTCGGTCCAACGTTCCGCTTCAGTGAGGGCGCATGCGTGATTAGAGCCCGGCGCGTGATCGGCGTGGATTCGGGGTGGTTGCAGGGCGCTGTTGACGGTGGCTCGCCCATCTTGACGACAATGGAAGGAGAAATTTTGAGTTGGATATTTTATGATGTCTTGTGTGAAGAAGAATGAATAGACCGAAATCTTCTGGAGGAAAATGATTCGAGTCGGAGGCAGCTTAAATTAGGGGCGATATGGCACCGCGTAAATGACCGCACCCCACTCTTATCAGCGCAACGCGTCAAACTCATTGAGGTCAAACTCACTGGGCTCGACAGAGCATGAACCAGGGGGTAGTTAGTGACGACATGACCCCCGTCGTAAACCCAATGGATGATATATGACGCAGCAATGGTGGTCTTTCACCTTCCAGCATTGTTTCTGTATGCGCACTGGTTATTGACTTATTTCTCTATGAAAAACCCCTGCATGCTCTGTGTTTTGACCTCGACACAGCTCCCAGATTCAAGAAGCATCCGGGTGACTACTACATACCCTCCAATGGCAACAGGTCCATAAGCCATGGCGCCCATAATGGCTTCCCAAAAGCTTAGAAAACCATATGGGCCAACATAGTACCCGGTGGGCTGTTGGTATACATTGGCTGACTGGTTGCCAAATCGTCTCAGGGCTTGGCCGAGGACAAATCCAACTCCCAAGCCAAGAACCAGCCACATCATGACCCACACCCGCTGGAATGGTTCACTCTGCCCGGGCTGAAACCCAGAGAGACCGCCAACTAAAGCCAAGGGAACGATGAAGACGACCAAAGGCGCCAATAACTGTTCCTTCCATCTCCGGCAGAAAGAGACTATCCCGGACTTTGGGTCCTCGCGCACTTCCCTGGCGAGCAGCACAAATTCGTCTCTATACCAACGTAGGGTCCGGCGAAAGTCTTCCGTCCAGAGTATGTCGATAATAGGCCCCAGAATCATGCCACTAAGTGACTTGCGACTCCAAGTTGTCAAAACCGCATTGAGAGCCGACCGCTTGCGTGCCATTAGTGTCGTCTGTTCGGCGCCCTCCTGCTCGTGACAAAGTGCATAATCTTTGCACAACTGCTCTTCCCAATGATCTTCCAAGCGGCCCACAGTGCCGTCTACCTGCCACTGATCTTGCTCGGATGTATCCAAATTTTGACACCCGTCTCTCCGGGTGTGTTCCAAATCGCGTAGTGCCCGAGAGCTGACAATGTAGATCTTATCGTACTGTGGGCACATCGCGTTGCCAACGAGATTGATGAGGGACATCCATGCGAAAGGTATCACAGTCAAGCCGAATGCGGCATAACCGTAACGCTGGAGTTGGTCACCCCGTGTGCGGTATAGTGTTGAGACAGCGAATATCAACTGTATGATGGATGCAAGTACTCTGACTATATTGTAGCTGCAGGATAACGCGGTGGTTGACTTGGCTGGTTGAGGCTGTGTCCAGGGGAAGATGGTATTGGCTAGACGCCGATAGTGGTACCATGGCCGGTGGTCTATGGGCAAGTCGTCTTCTCCCACAAAAGTAGCATTCTGAGGAATTTGCATGAGGTGGTACCCTTCGGGCAGGTCACATAATCCGTGAATGTTGGAGTTCAGTAGACCTGTCATCCCTTTTGTTGAATTAGCTCCGAAACCATGTATGCTACATGCACAAAACACTTACAATTTGCCGTGCCATTCGACTGTCTTGAATCTTCGTGTACCGATGAATCCTCTAAAAGCTGCTTCTCTATGTTTTGATCTTGCTGAGTGCTTCGGGCTGCCATCGTAGCCGGCATCGCAGCCATTTGGATGCCCTCTGCTCCATCTGATACAGACGTCAGATATGGGCGGTGGTGATTGTCCTTGACCACTGCGTACAAGGCGCCGGCACGGGCTGCTGTCTGCAGGTCTGTAGGAGCGAATCTGGCAAGGCTTAGTATAGCCTTCAAACCGTTCCAGATGCCGGTGCCGGGAAGCAGAACAGCACCTATCATCGTCACCACAGTGATCAGAGTGCTCTGCCCGGGCCGCGTAGTAATGGTAGCGGCATGGGCGATGTAGTTGCCGAGATAAAAGACAACTACATCCGTCCATTTTGTCTCCCGGCAGAGCAGTTCACAGCTGCCCTGGTAGAAGAAGCCCGGTACGTTTGGGCATTCGGCGGTGCCGTTGCTAGTGTTTTGGGCTTGTACCTCTCTGATGGCTAACACGACGACTGCAATGAGACGCCACATGTTGTCAGCGGGCGGTGTTGTCGTAGCCTGCAATTGGATGGATGAAGGGAAGAAATCTCCTGAGAAGCAATTGCGGCGCGTAAATCCTTCAGAATCCACCCCTGCACTGCGAGTGCGGTGATCTGTTGGTTGTTGGACTGATGCCTAGCGGCTGCATGGATTGCCTCCACATTTCGTAATGAGCCAATCCCACCAGACGCTTCCAAGACTGGATTGAATCATTGTCACAATCCAGATCTGACAGCCTTGCAATCATTTGTCATTGGTGAGTGACAGAAGACTGAAATAGGTGAAGGTCCCTAGACGGATGATCCTGTATTGAGACCTCATTGATCGCTTGAAGATAAGCCCTGCCCCGCCACACAACCTTGGGTCTTAAAAAACATTGATGCACAACAGGAATTCAAGGATAAGTAACTGATGACCCCAAAATGTACCAGGAAGAAATGTCCGACATAAGTACTATGCTCTTTGATTAGATTGGTTTTGATTCAGAACTGGATATGTCGAGGGAAAGCCTAACCCTCTCGGTGCTACCAAATTGGAATTTAGACGCCGAGCCATCTAGGATTTGCAATTTCGCTCAGAATCATAAGGTCTGAGATATATACCTAACTTGAATGAAGAAAACGTATGTGTCTGTTGCTCTTCGAAATTCGCAGACGCGACCTTTGAGACCGTGGCACTTTAGTCAAGCGGCATCTTCTAAAATGATAGTGATTCATCAATTATCTCTTCGCAATACGAAAGCCTTCGGGGTATCCGAAGCAGCTTCGCACTTTGTCTGTTCGCAATTCGCATTGCAAACCTACGCTGACTCGTAAAGTCCATCTCGCGATGCGGCTCTATCACTGTCGGATAGCCTAAATCCTCGGTGAGTTTAACCCCTCTCAAAAGCCAAGCAATCCATGACGACCCGAACAGGAAGGTGCTTCCAGCCAACGCGGGGAAACCATTGTTCCCCCAACGACAAATGGCCAGAGTCTACCAGAAAGATGGTTTGTTTCGTGCAGGGATGCGCCGTCCTCCGCCAGCAGAGTTTCCCTCAATCCGTACACATTTCTTGATACACTCGTGGAAACTCTATACGGCGACAAGTACGACGCACTTTAACCGTATCTCTCTTTTCGCGCAGTTCCCAATTTTCCCCCTTCTTGTACCCCACAATCAACTCCACCACAGAAACGAGATAACGAAAACGAGCCGTCGATCTACTCTCTGCTTCAATCGTGACCTCAGGTGAAGGGAGACAGAGAGAGAGAGAGAGAAAGAAATTTGTGTCGTCGCGCGCACCGCCGCCGTGGTTGCTTGCCGCCGCATCATGGACACGGCGGAAGTGTCCGCCGGGCTCAGCACGGGAGCCCAGGCTGGCATCGGCATCGGGGTCGGCGTCGTGGTCATCGCGCTCGCGACGACTGCGTATGTTCGCCGGCGGAGGGCGAAGAGCAGGCGGAACAACACCGTCGTTCGGAGGGACGAGGAGGAGGAGGGGGATGAGTACGCGGAGATGGGTACTTTGAAGGGCGAGAGGCCGGTTATTTGCGAGGGCGGGACGTGCAGCAAAGTGAGAATGGTTGCGGCGTGAGGCTGCGTGACGAGGAATGCGATTCTTCACGGCTTGACGATGGTGTATTCGACACCGTGAGTACTCTTCTTTGACATCCCTTCATCGCGATTCGCTGTCTGACAACTGGCAAAGGCGAAATCTATGAGGGCGGGATGGAGTTTCTGGTTCTACAGAGGCTTAATCGCCTTGGGGCGCTTTCTCACGAATCTTACTGGGTCTTTGGGCTTGTTGCCACTTTGTAGAGGCGTTCAGGAGCAGACGGAGCGTCCGGACAGTGGTTTAGGGAGGTTTTTCTTCGGCAGGTAATGAGCGTATGTCCTATTTGGTTTTGTGTCCGGTCCAAATGTGACGGTGATGAGGCTCATGCCAATTAGGGTCGTCTGACTCGTGACTATCAAACAACAATCGGTATCCCACACCATGCATAGGAGTTGAACTATTGCGTCGTTGGCATCGAACGTGGTTTCTCACTCATGTGCAGCGGGGAAAACTGGTTCGACTTCGTCCAGTTTCACACATCAATTGTTGTTCTCTTTATAGGCTCGTTCTGGGTGAGTAGGCTTCTGTGGGGGTTCATGGAGAGCTAGCTGTGCCGTAGCTTGCATCTCTTCGCAATCCAAATGCAGAGGGCACTTGTTGGTTAGGAGAATTGCACCATAAGAAGCAAGCTGTCTCCCCAGTGATCAGAGAGGTGAGCTTTCACGGGGGGCAGCCTGAGAACAATCGAGACGAAGCTACATCTGAGGTCGCAATTGAAATGACCGCTGAAGGATGGAGTCGATCTTGTCGCAAGAGACCATAGTCGCCAGGCTTCAGGAATATTAAGTGGTTGGTTTTATTCCAAGCTGATGCTTCCTTCCTGGTCAGGGTGACATCGTGGGATAGATGCGACAGGAAGGTTACGTGCTCGCAGGACCGAACAAAACCAACATGAACGAGGATTAAATCTGGATGGCTGAAATACCACATCGCCGATTGTGTGGACAGGGATAGGAATGTCACCCGGCGGATTGCGGAATAGCTTCTTGGCCTGGCCTGGTGCAACGCTCGTCGATGCAGGCTCCCAGGCAACCATTGTTGGTGGCAGGTTGTGCCGATGGTGATGACGTCGCCTGAAAAAAAAAAAGCTCGGGCAGAATTCTAACGGCTGGCAGCCACGGCGATTGGTACCCGTCGTTCTATCAAATATTCCCGACCCAGAAGCTTATTAGCGCCGTGCGGCCTCAGCCGTGCCGGGTTTTTGCTGGGCGAGGACGAGCAAAGGAGGGAAAGCTGCGGAGATCAAACTGGATTTCGACGGGGTCGGTTACGAAGATTTTCGGCGGGAGTCTGGGGGGGGAAGAGGAGCATGGGCCAGATGTTATGGGGCCTCTGTCTGCATGTTTATTTCCTTCCATTGATGCTTCCATGACGAGAGAACAATTGCCCAGAACTCGAAATCACGGGACAATGACTCAACAAACAGAAGGAAAAGCTGATGCGAGACATATCGCAGATGGAAGAAGAAAGGAGGCGGGCCAATGCCAATGGAGAGATGCGGACAACAATGCAGCTTAAGCAGGGTTTCGGGAGCGTCACCACGGTGAAGAGAGGCGCTGCTGCATCTCACCGCTGGGACTTTGGGGCAGCACGCGCCCACTTGGAAACGGGGCGGGACAGGGGGAGGAAACATGGGATGGGAGAGAGCCGAGATGAGGCAGATCGGATTCCTGCTCTGGGGGCCCGGTCTTTTTATCGAGTTGGTTGAGTTGATTGGGACTCTGAGACTCTGGAAAGAAAGAACCTTGGACTCCATCCTGCTGCAGGAGAGAATCCTAAAAGGCTGCGTTGTTGCAGCGAATGCCATGCCGTGTGCCACGCCGTGCCCTGTCCTGCCATGCGAGCCACTCGTCTCGTGGGCCGGCTGAATGACTTGCAGACGGGCTTTTGACGAGTCGGCGCAGCCATTGGACCATTGTGCAGAGGGAGACGAGGGGAGGAGGAGACGCCGATGGCCCAGTCAACGAGGTTGGGCCAATGTAAACAAACCGATGCGCGGGTCCGCTCTGCCTCGGGCTTTATTCCGGACTACTGCGGGTGACTGAGTTGGTTTGTTTGTCCAAGTGTTTGCATAGGGTTTGCGATCGTCTGCACTCGATCCAGTAGAGCAGAAAATCACCCAAGAGCCGCATCAACTGCATGAAGAAATGATGGATGTTGGAATGCAACACTCCTCATTGCTGAACCAAGATGCGGCCATGTGGGAGACCATCAACCTCATTTCGCGTGAACCAAAGACGAGTGGCTGGGTTCACTGAGTCCGGTCAGAATCGACGAGGTGCGAGGGAGGGAGCAGGAGGAGTCTTACCTAAGATCCCTGGCCCGCGCTGACAGACAAGCGATAGGGCGCTAGAACAGCTCACCAACAAGGAACCTGACCTAAGTCCACAAAGACTGGACGGCAATAGCACCGGGGTTTTAAGGGCGTACGGGCCAATTGGCGGCCAATGGCGGGGTAGCTCTTTCTGAAACCCACCACCAGCAGCGCCCACTTCTCACAGAAGCTGCCCAGCGTTTGGCTGTTGCCCCTGGCGACGGCCCACCGCGAGAGCTGCCACTGGCGCACCCGCTAAATCTGGCCCATCACGTTTCCCGACCACCTTCCCGTTCATTCACATCGCTCTCTTGATCTTTCATTTCACCTCCTCACCCTCACCTTCACTCTCTCCCCCTCCCAACGCCGCATCACGACAGGTAACTAATCGCAGGCTCTGGCAACCGACCCGACTCTCTCCAGGCCTCATTCAACACAGATACCACGGAGACTGCAGATTGCCATCCCTCCAGCGCCGCTCTTTTGGATTCTTTGTTTTACTTTCTATTTTTTCTTGTGGTCGGACAATGCACACCGAGTCGCAACTCACTCGGTGACCATTCGCTTGCCCTTGAGAGAAAGTAAACATTTCCAACTCCAACACCCACCAAAAAAATCCCCGACGATTCCCCGCCGCGGCGTGAATAGCATCATCAACAACCACCACCACCACCAGCCGTTTGCGCTGCACCCGCTCTTTTTACCCCCCGAACCTACCTAATCGATATTTTACTGCCCGCGACTTCAATCGGCATTTCTTGTCCCTTTTCCTTGGTTGCGCGTCTTCGTCCACTTATCCGCCATGGATACTAGTTACCTGTCCCAGCAGGTCAACACCATTATCGGCCAGCTGCACGGCCTGTTTGACGAAATTGGCGTTCCCAACCATGATCGCGAGGCGCGCGAAGCAGACGTACGCTCTTGCCTGGTCGTGTGGATTTCTATCCGTGTGCTAACCATCGCCACAGCTCTTCGAGGCCCTTTCCAAGGCCTTGACCGACCAGGTCCGCCTTGTTACTACCGAGAAGGAGGAGATGATCGAGGAGGCCGAGCACATGATCAACAACATCCGCCAGATGGAGGCATCAATCAGCGGCCGCCGCGACCGCGATGGCGACGACATCAAGATCACATACCCCCTGGTCCGGTGCTTAAAGTCTCTCAAGGAGAAGCACGTCCAGATTAGCAGGTTGCACAAGGAGCGCTTCGCGCAGGTCAAGAGTGAGTTGGCCCGGCAGCAGCTGCCGCGACGCGCCACGAAAAGGAGTCCCGCTGACCACACCGCCAGAACTTGTCGAAGCCCTGGAATCATACTCGTCACACCTCGAACCCACCTTCGTCCAGATCCCCCTGCCCCCGACGGGCCCTAACCAGTCGGTCCCGGCCAACTTCGACCTGTCGCCCGCGTACGTCGACAAGCTCGACAACGAGTTTACGAGAGTCTATGAAGAGTACAGTCGCCGCGTCGCAACGGTTAAGGCCCTCTGCGAGCACATCATCTCGCTCTGGGCCGAGCTCGGCACCCCGCAGGCCCAGACGGATGCCGCCATCGTCAAGTACTACCGCGATGCGCCGGAACAGCTAGGTCTGCACGAAGAGGACATCGCCCGCCTCAAGGCGAAGCGCGACAAGCTGTCGGACGAGAAGAAGAATCGCGAGAAGAAGCTCAAGGACCTGCGCACTGCGGTCGAGGCCCTATGGGAGAAGCTGGAGGTGGACCACGCCGAGAGGAAGGGCTTCCTCAACAGCAACCGCGGCTGCGGTGTTCGCCAGATCAACGAATTCGAGGACGAGCTGGCGCGGCTGAATGAACTGAAGCGTCAGAATCTGCACCTCTTTGTCGAAGACGCCCGCTGCAAGCTGCAGGAGCTGTGGGACGCTCTCTACCTTTCCGAGGATGAGATGCTCGAGTTCACACCTGCCTTTTCCGACGTATACAGCGACGCCCTGCTTGAGGCCCACGAGCGCGAGATCGCGAGACTGGAGGTTCTCAAGGAGCAGCGCGCCCCCACGCTCGCACTCATCGACAAGCACAAGAGCCTTACCAACGAGCGTGACGAGCTTGCGGCCTCCAGCCAGGATGCTTCTCGCCTCATGATGCGCGGGCAGAAGGGAGAGAGACGTGATCCTGGCAAGCTGCTCCGAGAGGAGAAGATGCGCAAGCGTATTGCCAAGGAGTTGCCCAAGGTTGCTGCTGAGCTTCGTCAAGTCTTGGAGCGCTTCGAGGACGAGTACGGCCGTCCATTCCTTGTTCACGGTGAGAGATACCTCGACGCTCTCGAGGCGGAGGATCGTCCTGCCCCTGGACCGCGATCCAAGACACCCGGCGCCGGACAGATGGCGTCGGCAACCAAGCCCAGAACCGGCCACAGCCGCGCGAACAGCGTCAGCGCAGCACAGAGACCACCAACCCGCCAGGGAGCAAAGACACCCGTCGCTGCTGCCCCGACAAACAAGCGCAGTGCCAACAACATGAATGGCGCATCCGCGGCAAGGCCCTTGTCCGCTCACATCAAGCCGCCTGGCAGCCCTCGACCGGAATCCTCCATGGGCTTCCGTAGCAACCACGGCACACTCACCAAGCCTCCAGGAAGCCCGTCAAGGATTGCCCGCCCTCCCCTTACGAATCTTAAGTACGGCAACAACTCGCCCGAGAGGATACAGAGACCCGAGTCGAGGATTGACGCCTACGCGACAATACGCGGAGGCCCTCCCCTCCGTGCGCCCCCGCCCAAGATGCGTGATCTCCACGCCATGGACCTCGAGACCCCGATGAACCACTACAAGTCTGCCGGGCTTGGTGGAAGCATCGTCCGTCAGGTGGAGCTGGAGGATGTCTACGATGACTGCCAACCGCGCCTCATGAGAGCGAACTCGACACTCTCCCATACCTCGCACGCATCCCACGCCTCCCACAACTCCCACGCCTCCGCCTCGTCACACCACTCCCAAGGCTCCTCCCAGTTCGACTTCCAATCCTCCGTGATCCGACACCACCCCCCGTCATACAGCCAAGCACCGCCGCCGCGCCAGATCTCCAACTCGTCGACGGGGTCAAGCAACGTGACGGGGTCGGAAAACTGGGAGACGTACGACGACGCGAGTGAGCCCGAGCAGGACGCGACAGACACGTACTACGCCAAAGTTCGGGCGGCGCGCCAGCAAGCTATTGATCCCAAGAGGCCACGGGCGTACCCGCCGCAGGCGCATGCTGGGAATGCGTTTGCGGACCATGAGGGCAATCGAATCATCTCGGGCAGCGAGTGGACCGACGAGGACGGGTACTGAGGAAACAAAACACATCATTGAGCATTAGCCAAAGAAATGTCTTGCTTCGTTGCTGTTTGGCGTTAGCAACCCTCTTGCTTCCGAAGATTTTCTTCAAACTTTGATGATAATGTCGGATGATTATGCCCCCCTCTCATGTCTGGAACGATCAACCAAGTCGAAATTCACGACGTATTGTCTTTTCAGCAACACAAAAGGACACCGAGCATCTCCCCCAACACCCACTCACCCTCTCTCTGAACAAAGACACCGTGTCTGCGGACCAAACCCGACACAAACACACACGTCTTTCTGCTTCTTCTTTTTCTTGTGTCATTATCACTTCTTCCAGACTTCCGTCTGCACATGTATAGCCCCGACCTCGAGACGGCTTTGGTTCTCTCTCCTTTTGGTTGGACATACCCATTCGGTAGGGGGACGGGTGGACGGGAGGAAACGGGTGTCTTTGTGATACCTCATTTTCGAAGGAAGGTGTAAAGGGAAAGGGAGGGTTCGGTCAAACAAACGGAGTTTGGTTTTGCGTTTTGTTTGCGTTTGATTTTGGCCTTTTTTCGATTACTCGACCATTGGCGGCGGGTCGCATCCGGAGTGTGCTCCTTTTTCTTTTTTCTGTCAGCCTTTTCTTGTAAGACTTTGTAGTTTTGTGTTGTTGCTATTAAAGCTCAACGTTTTTACCATGGACCCAGTAGGTATTTTCTTAAAGTAGTACAAAAAGGGGTGATGCGTGCATCGCTGATTTATCATGATTATTGTGTGTTTGGTCTGGTGATGATGATAAATGCCGAGGATGCCGGATGATGTGAACGTGAGAGGCGATGGGCGGGAGGCCCGGTAAGACGGGAGCTAAAACTTGACAGGATCAATCTCCGAATGAAGGAATGAACGGAAACCTAGGCTTTATTAGCCCGCCGGCAGCGTGACGGGGTGGTGGTGGTCTAGTCAGGACAGATTTCCAGAAGATCCGCTATGACGACGCCGGTGATGTCGAGATCTTCGGTGGTGGTTTGTGTTTCCCTGGCGGCTCCTCGGCTTCCCCCCAAATTCAGTTCCCCATAAATTATTCTTTGCGTCACTGTGTCAGGATGGGAACATGCCCCCTGCAGATGAACACAGGCAGCTGTCGGGTGTCAAGAGCGGCGCCGTGTCTCAGCCTTACAGGTGCTGCAGTTGGCAGTGGAATGCTGGAGCTTGCTGCAGAGGGAGAGACCTGGAAGGAATATCCATTCCACTGCCTGCGAAAGAAGGTCACCGGGCCACCCGTTCGTCTGAATGCGCCGCAGCTTCCCCCAATCATCCCATCCGACGACCTTCTCCGCACGGGCAGAAAGGCAGAAAGCTGGAGCTCACTCAGCAGCAGCAGCAGCAGCAGCAGCAGCAGCAGCAGACGTGGAGAGTGCGGTGGGCAGCTGCTATTTGCGTGGGTGAAGGTGGATAATCAATAATCAGCTACAGCCCGAGTACCTGCCTAGGTATTTCCACTTCTGCGGCGCAGCCGGATCCAATACGACCACACTCACACACCACGCACTCCGTCTCCGTCTCCCTCCCCCTGACACCTCCTCGTATCTTCTGCCTATTTACCTACCTACATCAAATAAACGACGCCTCATCCCTCCCTTCGACTCTGCCCTCGAGTAACTCGCACACGTACATCTACATCGCAGACGAGGGCATCGCGACCGTTTCTCCCTCGAAATACCGACAACTCCTACGTAATGCTCCAACCATCGTCGACCGCATAAACAAACCCCTCCCAATCCGATGCCGACACTCCTCCCACCCTCGACCACCATCCCACCCCGCGGCCGTCAACCGGCATGATGACGAACACACAGCAGAGCCTCCACCACCACACGGGCGGCGGCGCCTCCGACGCTGCCGCGGCGTTGAAGGGCGCAAACCTCGCCTTCAGCAAGACCAAGCCCAAGCCCGTCCCGCCCCCGAAACCGACCGCCAACATCGGCGTCCGCGGGGGCAGCCTCGCTCCGGCCCTCGCAGCAACCGCCGCCGCCGACCGCAGCCGAAGCACGAGCCCGATCCAGCGCCAGCACACCGGCACGAGCGTCGCGACGAGCACTACCTTCGGCCGCGACGGCACCGCCGACATGCGCGACCGCCTGTCCTCCTTCCTCGCGAGCAGCCCCGCCGCCGCCTCGACGGCATCCCACCTGACGCCGCACACGAAGCTCGACCCCAAGAGCCCGAGCTACATCGCCGCCGCCCTGGCCGCCTCACGCAGCGCCTCGCCTAGCCCGCAGCCGCACCCGAGCCCGTCTGCGCTGACGCCCGCGCAGGTGAACCAGCTGCACCAGATGCAGAGCGCGCGGAGCCTGCGCAGCCGGAGGGATAGCCTCGAGGAGGAGGAGGGCATGATGGGGCTGCCTGATACCACGTCCATACCGGCCACCGGACACCTCATTACCATGTTTGAGCGGAGCGAGGACGTCGACCCGGTGAAGAAGAGCGGCGGGGACAGCAGGAGGAGACCTGCGGTGAGGACGATGACGCCTGAGAGGGAGATGAGCCCTGCGAGGGCCAAGGCGGCGAGGATGGGGATTGAGGAGAGGCCGGTGGTGGTGAAGCCGAAGCCGAAGGTTAAGACGAGACCGATCACGCCCATGCCGGTGGAGAGGGAGGTGGAGGCTGTCACGCCGAAGAGCCAGAAGCCGGTTACGAAGCCCAAGCCGAGACCGATTACGCCTACGCCGGCTATTCAGAGGACGATGTCAGATGCGGGGGTGAAGAAGCCTGTTGCGAAGCCGGCGAAGCAGCCTGGATCGCCGGCCAAGAGGTCGCCGCACAGGAGGACTGAGTCGGAGCAGGTGGTGCAGAAGAGGAAGCCGCCTGTGGGGTTGCAGCCTGCTGCTGAGGTCGTGGAGAAGCGATCAATGCCGTCTTTGGCGAAGGCAGCCTCCATGCAACCTGCGAGACCAGATTTGAAAGGGCCTCCTGTTGCTCCTGAGCCACGGAGGTCACGCACGACAAAGGCAAAGCAGGCAGCCCCGAGCTCACCACCAACAGCCAGCAGGGTCCAGACAGAAATTGTCTCTCCTCAACCTAAGCGGCCAGCATCAAAAGCAAAGATCCGGCCGCCTACGCCACCTCAACCCCGCGGGACAGCTTCAAAAGCGAAGGAGCCGGAAGCGCCACTGTTGAGGAAGCCCAGGAGCATGGCATCGGTCTATGGTCACGGCCTTCCGCTGCAGGAGATTTCACGTCCGACTTCCGCGACCAGGCCATCGACTGCTGACACGAGCTCATCTAATGATACCTTCGTGTCCGCGTCCTCCGGCTTGACGGCTGTACCCGATGCAACCCCCGTGAGACCGCCAAACCGGCAGACGCCCTCGGCGCTAAGCACACCCAGCCGCTCGTCTGTCAACAGCTCGCCCACCCGCGCAACCCCTCGCCGCACGCCGGCATCATCTACAACGAGCCTGCCCCTGAACTCCCTCTCCAACGCCATCATGGCCGGATCCCTCGCCGCAGCTCGCCTCACGCCCTCTAACACAGGCAACTCGACCCTCTCCCCGCCTGCCCTCCCAAACCGGACAAAGTCACCGCGGCTTCGGCAGACCCTCCGCCAGCCGCCCTCAAAGTCCGACGACGAGGACGAGATCCGCAAGAAGAAGCATCAAAAGGCTAGCAACAAGCACTCCCACGCAGAGGGCGCCCGCCGCCGCTGGCGTGACGAGATCACCGAGCGCGAGCGCCGCCGGTACGAGGCCGTCTGGGCGAGCAACCGCGGCACGCTACTGCTCGCACCTTTCCTCCCGCAGGCGCTGCAGTCAGATGCCGTCCTGCCGCCGCCACAGGAGGCGGCCGACTGCGTGGCCAACATTGTGGCGCGCGAGATCTGGCGGCGGTCGCGGCTGCCGGCGGAGGAGCTCGCCGAGGTGTGGGACCTGGTCGACCGCAGCGGCCGCGGGATGCTGAGCAAGCAGGAGTTTGTGGTGGGCATGTGGCTGATTGACCAGCGGTTGCGGGGGCGCAAGATTCCGCGCAAGGTGAGCGCGAGCGTGTGGGATTCCGTGCAGGGCGTGAAGGTGCGCGAACCCAAGGGTAAAAAGTGAAGAGCTTGTCCTTCTTCGGTTCATGGAAAGGGGCGCAGGATCAGGGAGAGAGCGTTGAAACGAAACATTGGCATTGCATTGCGAAGCATGAGCATGGCGTGGCATCGTATTTGAGTGTAGCGTATTGTAGTGATACCCACGATCTAGAAAATATCGGAGCTTGCGTGAGCCTTTTCCCTAACGCTGTTTCTGTCTTGGACTATGTGATGGACAGTATGGTGTATATCTTTGTTGTGAATGGCATGTCACTCAAAGGCTGAATGACACTTGTCCAACGTCCATCATCATTTTTAATTTTTTGAACGCAGCAAATCATGACTGCGTAAATTTCCTTCCCGGTCTAAATGAGGAAAGTTGAGATAAGACCCTCAGAGAAAGCAATCGGGCACGTCATTCTCTTTTCTGGCCACCGCCCACTTACCGCCGAACTTGACTCGGATAGAAGAGAGGAAACTGGGGCCGACCTCGGCGGAAAGACACCGGCAGGCGTCCGGCAGGGCGGTAACGTGTCGAAAATGTCATTCGTGTCGTCCGTGTCGCGCCCTTAATTGACTCGCGGTGGGGGTTCTTGGGCGGTGGCGCCGGCGGGTAGATGTAGTGGGCGGTTTGGATTCGAACAGCCTTGGTAAGGGATCAGAAAGGCGAAAGGGCGGTGTTGGGGGGTTGTTTGCCGTCTGTCCTGTGTCAAAGCTGAGAGAGGCATGTGTGGAACTCGGTCTGGATGGGGGCGTCTGCGATGCAATGCGACTTTACCGTTCTTGTGGATTCTGGGGGTTTATTTAAGATCTTGGGTGTTTTCCAGATTCAAGATTTGTGAGTGTCTGAAGTCAAGTTCTTTAACTGCATCTTTCAGTCGTTGTCACCTTTTTCTGCATCCAAAGTGAGAGTTGTTTCAAAGCCGTCCAATCACGACACTAGACCGCGCCGCAACTCCAGCTCTGTCCGTTCTCACCCAAATACAAACCGCTCAACAGCAACATCAAAACCACACAACCACCACCACACACACAAAATGACAGTCTCCCACCCCCAGCCACCGCTCTCCTTCCGCCCCGCCACGCCCGCCGACATCCCCCTCCTCCTCCCGCTCATCCGCTCCGCCTACCGCGGCCTCTCCTCGCGCAAGGGCTGGACGACGGAGGCGGACCTCGTCGCGGACCAGCGCATCGACGAGGCGGGGCTGCTGGGAAAGATCGCCCACCCGGACGGGGTGGTGCTGCTGGTCACGGACGAGGACGCGGGCGCGCCGCTCTCGTGCTGCGAGGTGCTCCGCAAACCGGACGGGAGGACGGCGTATTTTGGGCTGTTTGCGGTTGACCCGGAGAGGCAGGCCGGCGGGGTCGGGCGGAGGGTGTTGGGGTATGCGGAGGAGTTTGCGAGGCGGGAGTGGGGGGTGGGGAGGATTGAGATGTGGGTTATTTGGGTTAGGGAGGAGCTGATTGCGTGGTATGAGAGGAGGGGGTATAGGAGGACCGGGGAGAGGAGGGAGTTTCCGTATAAGGAGCTGGTGGGGGGCGAGGCGTTGAGGGATGATTTGTATTTTGTGGTGTTGGAGAAGGAGTTGTGATGGCATTGATGAGATGCGGGTTTGTGATTTAATGGTCGGTGTTGAATATGTACACGGAATAGAAATAGAGACACCCCGAAGAGCTTAAGCAGGGAGAATTTGGACGACAAAACTGTCCCCCGAGAGCGCAACCTGCCACCCTCCTCTCGCCTGAGTGACGCCCGACCCGGTGACCTTCCAGCTCCCATCACCCTCAACCCAGACTACCGCATTCGCCGCCTTAGGCACGCCATCCAGCTGGGCCAGCGTGACGTCCACCGTCTTCGACGCCGCCACATACTTGACCTCCCTGATAATCCCCGCGTCCACACTAACCAACACCCCCAACGGGCCGATAAACACCTTGCGCCTGACAGCATCCTTCGTCACGACGCTGACACTGCTTCCGGACGACGTCAGCGTACCGCCGAACGCGACGAGGCCGAGCTCGGCGTCCTGGACGACGTAGGTGCCGGAGCCGAGGGCGAGGCCGAGGAAGCCCGGGCCGTAGTCGCCGCTGATGCCGTCCCACTTGAGGGTGTCGGGCCAGGAGTGGAAGGAGGCGGCGGCGAAGCCGTCGGCGTTGATGTTGGAGAGCGGGCCGGTGGTGCCTGCGTAGCCGGTGCGCAGGAGGTAGGTGTCGGTCGGGGCGGAGCGGAAGGCGGAGAGGAGGGGGAGGGCGTTGAGGGCGGAGCCGTAGTGGTGGATTTGGCGCTCGATGCGGCGGAGTTTGCCGCCGTAGCTGGGGGTGTTAGTTGTGAGGTTGGGATGGGCGTGGGGAGTGGTTGGGCGTCCACGGGTTTGAGTATGGGTTGGAGTTAGATATGGGTATCCTTGGGTATGGGTATGGGTATCGGTTGGGTAGTAGGTATCCGTGGGTATGGATTCTATGGAAATGGATACCCAGGGGTACGGGTTGGTTTGGATTTGGGTATCCATATGAACAACCATATGGGTCATGGGCAGTGGGAAATGATGGATATCCATGAGTATGGGTATGGGTATGATTTGATTAAGTAGGTATGTTGAGGGACTTCCCAGTCTAACCAGTAAGGGGTTTTACAGTAAGGGAAAAGCAGTTAAACCACTTGGTCTAAGGTAGTGCTCTATCCGGTAAGATTAACCGGGTGCAAGGCGGTTTTGGGTATAGGTATGATTATGGATATCCGCGAAGATGGGTATCCATGGGTAATGGGCAATGGGCAATGGGCAATGGGCAATGGGTAATGGGTAATGGGTAATGGGTAATGGATACCCATGGGTTCGGGTACGATCTGGGTAATGGGTGTGGATCTGGATATCCATGGATAATGGGTAGTCATTTTGGATATCCGTGGGTTTGTGAGTTGGATATAGATGGATACCCATGGATGTGGGTAATGGGTGTTGCGTATGTGCGATGAGTGCAAAGATAGGATTGAAGAATGACCCTCGGAGCATGCACGAAGGGGAGAGTTCGTAATATATGAAATAGCAAGACTCACATGTTGTCCCAGTATCGACGGGCATTTCCATTCCAGCCCCAGTGTGGAAGGGTCTGCATGAAACCCAACACACTGTTGACTGACTTCGTAGCGGTGTTCGTGAAGCCAAAGTATCTGCAAACCCCAAGTTAGCATATTCAAGTATCATCATCACGAACATCAAAACTCACTTGGCCCAGTAGTAAACCCCCTCCTGACCAGTCGAATCCCAAGCCATCTCGCTTCCAAACGGCACCTCCTCTGTATCCCACTGCGCCGCCCTCGACCGCATGCTCGTCGACAGAGTATTCGCTTTCGTGGTTTGCCCCTCGCGGATCAAATCCGTCAAAATCTCCCCGAATACCGTCTCCCCCATCAGCCCGACACGGTTGTACCCAACATCATTCCTCATACCCCTGATGATAGTGCTGTACGCCTGATTCAGATACCAGTCCCACGTGTGGCTCTTCACCAGCGCCGGGTACGCCCGCGCCACGCGGTACAGCGACCAGTACGCGCCGGCGACGTGTACATAGTTATACGCGCGATCAATAGCATACGCGGCCGCCTTGTTCCACGACGTCCACGACGTCCAGTCGATGCTTGTGCTGTACCTGTAATTCGGCACAGCCGCGGGCTCGTAGAAGAAAATGCTCTTGCGGACGCCAAAGTCGGTCGTCTGGATCGTCTTCCAGAGCACGTTGTCGACGAACTGCTCAAGCTTGGTCACCTCGTCTGCGGCCGGTTGGATGGCCTGCTTCATGAAGGCGGAGAGGTACGAGCCCGCGCCGGCTTCGTCGCTGAGGCCGGCGACCCAGGCGCGCGAGTCTTGGGTCACGATGGACTTTGTCTCGTAGTCGTATGTCATGACGGAGGAGGAGCGGCCGAAGGGGTCGGATGTGTCGTTGAACCATTGCGAGGTCGTGAGGAAGCGGCCGAGGCTTGCGACGGCTTCGGTGGAGGGCTTGGTGACGTAGTAGTGAACGGTTTGAATCTTGTTGTCGGCGTAGGTGATTGTAAGGCGGACGCGACCCCAGGCGGAGGCGGAGGGGGTGACGGTGTATTTGCCAGAGGAGACAAGGGTCACGGTGAGTGCGCCGGCGGGCTCTGAGACCAGGGACTTGACGGCGGATTGAGATTGTAGGAAGAGTTGAGCTGGTTCGCCGCGGGGAACGATGTAGCCAGGCACGCCCACGGCAGTGGGAGTGTTGGTGCCCCTGACCGCGGCGTCGAGTCCGCGCACTCCGGACTTTGCGACGGAGAAGCGGACGCCGAACTGCAGAGACTGGCCAGGCTGAAGAGTCTTAGACGAAGGTGTGTTCCAGGGTGTCTGCGCACGCCATTCGTTCTCGGCCCAGGCTTTGGTGAGGGTCTGCCACTCATAAAAGCCTTCAAACGTCTGGCTACCGTAGGCCGTGTCGGAGTAGTACGTCTCGGGGAGGTTGCGGTACGCCTCCAGGGGCGTGTCTCCAAGCGGAGTGATGACAAGGGCAGCGCCAGTACCGCGGATCGGAGCAACGCGGATTTGGCCGGCGTGCATGCCGATGTAGGGGTCTGAGAGGGAGCATAGACGCTGCATGTCTGTGGCGAGGCGGTTTGTGAAGATGGAGTTGAACTCAGCGGGGAAACCCACGCTGCCGATCTCCACGGCGGAGGAGCCCGAGTTCTGGATCGTGAAGCGCAGGCCGAGGTCGCCGGAGACGTCGAGCCATTCGCGGGTGATGTTCAGCGGCCCGGTCGGCAGAGTGGGGCCGAGACGGGAGGATGCGAGGACGCCGGACCCCGCAGTGAGGGCCGTGACCGTTTGCCGGGCCGATGCGGAGTTGCCATCGGCCCATGCTGTGGCGCCGGATTGGCGGTAGCGGAAAGTGATGTCGCCCCAGTGGTATTGGCCGTTGCGAGCACGCTTGGAGAGGTAGTCAAAGGGGAGGAAATCAAAGGTGTCGCCCGCGGGTTTCAGGGAAGCGAGAACTTGGGCGTTGCGGACGAGCTGGAGGTTGAAGTTTGCGGTTGTGAGGGTGATATAACCGTTGCTTAGGCCCAAGTTGTCCTGGCAGAAGACGGTCGCCACCAAACTGGCGAGCACAAGAGTGAACTTCATGGTGGAGATCATGGGGAGCTGAACTGCTCTGTCTTGTCTGAAGAGCTAGACTCTGGCTACAAACGCCAACGGATCATCATGATTATATAGACTTTCCGATTCGATTTCCGATCACACTATTGATGGCACCATACCATTCGACTCTGAGGGACATTTTAGAAACGCGATGGACTATGACCGATCTACGTTCCTGCAGTTGGGCGATGCTACATTGAACCCGGTGTCGTTCCCGATGAATCCCACGCCTCGGCGGAACAGATTCCATCGCTTCTTTGGTCAATTGAGGAAGCATCAAGCAAAGTGATGGTGGATTTTCGCTTCAAGACTCGCATCGCTTGTTTCTTGGTTCGGGCCAGGCAACCGAATGCAACCATCGATCGGGCGGATGATCCGAGTTTTGTGCATCGCGACCACAATCTTCCCGGTCAACGAGGGTCAACTACGCGATGCCCTCAAGCGGACCGTCAACTAACCATCCCACCAAGCCTGGAGTCCTGTTCTCATGCACGGAATGGGAAGCAAACGCGGGGTACCCCTGCCCACCCCCCGTGCGATGCAACCCTTCGGCGTCGGTCTCTGTGCAACGTGATTGGGTCGCAAGTAGAAAGAGTCGCAATGAGACGCCCCGGTCCTCCCACCGGGGAAATCAAAATCCACGGATGGTTCGTCCTAGTCTTGGAGGGGCAACCTCGTATTGCGCAAAACGCATTTATAGTACTTGAGAGTAGGGCGGAGTTGAAATACATTTGAAAGGGATGAGAACGGGCAGCAAAAGATCGCTGACTTATGGCTGAGTTGAGCCGGGTTGCTCCGTTTAGTTGCTTTGGGCAGGTCGTTTAACGCAACCGAGTCTCATGGCTACCCCAGTTTAAGTGGCTAGACGCCGTCACAATTAGTGATGATTTGCCCCCTGTTGGCTGATCTGGTGCAATTGTCAATTTATTCGTATCACGAACGAAATTCAGGGATGAGGAAAAGTGGATGCCCCTCCTAAGGTTAATCCAGTTAAGTCTCTTTAAAACCTGACACTCAGCCCTTTGGAAGAATTCCCCGACCTTAGTGCCAACTCGAGTTCCAAGTCAACTCAGTGAGCTTGTTCGTTCTTTCAACCGTCCTTCTTTTGTGTGTGTATACATTCAGTCATTCTTTTTTCTCCGATCATTTCTCAAAATGCTCTCCAACCTGTTGCGGGCTTGTCTCGCTACTTCGCTGCTGGCTCAGCCCCTGCATGCAGGCGTCATCCCTGTCCGCCGACAGGCAACCTCCAAGACTTTCACGTCCACCGGCAACCCCATCCTGGCCGATGGCTCCATCTACTCCGCCGACCCGGCGCCGCTCATCGTCAATGACACCCTCTACATCCTCTCCGGCCGGGACGCCGCGGGCCCGACCGAGAACGGCTTCGTCATGAATGAGTGGCAGATCTTCGAGGCCAAGAACCCCGACCCGGCCGGCGGAGACTGGACTCTGCACCAGGACGTCGCCCAGCCCGAGGCCATCTTCTCCTGGGCCAGCGCCGGCACCGCGTACGCCAGCCAGATCGTCCAGGGCGCCGACGGCAAGTTCTACATGTATGCCCCCGTGACCCAGGCGAGCAGCAGCGCCAAGGACCCCTTCGCCATCGGTGTGGCCGTCTCCGACAGCCCCCTCGGCCCCTTCAAGGACGCCCATCCCTCCGGCCCCATCATCTCCCAGACCGTCCCGTCCCCCGGCAACGACATCCAGAACATTGACCCCACCGTCATGGTCGACACCGACGGCAAGGTCTACATCTACTTCGGTACCTTCGGCTACCTCAAGGGCTACGAGCTCGACAAGGACATGATCACGATCAAGGGCGATGTTGTCGATGTGGACTCTCTCACCGGCTTCTTCGAGGCCCCCTGGCTCATGAAGCGCGACGACACCTACTACATGCTCTACGCCGCCAACAACGCCGGCGCCGACTCTCCCTGCACCCCGACCAGCTACCACGCTTGCCTGGCCTATGGTACCGCCTCTAGCCCCCTCGGTCCCTGGACCTTCCAGGGCGTCTTCCTCGACATCATCTCCTCCACTACTTCCCACCCGGGTGCCTACAAGTTGAGCAACGGCGACTGGGGCCTGGTCTACCACACCCGCGATGCCGAGGGCGGCACGCACTTCCGCCGCTCCATCGCCATCGACAAGCTCACCTGGGACGACTCCGCCAAGCCCCCCGCCATCAACAAGGTCGTCCAGACCAAGCGCGCCGCCGCCGCCAAGGAGCCCACCCGCAACGTCGCCCCCAAGGCCGTCGCCGCCTCCGAGGGCGAGACCCCCATCCAGTACTGGATCAAGGCCATCAACGACGAGCGCGTCGAGGAGGCGCCCCTCCCGCCCGACTACTGGTCCTCCTACAACGCCGAGCAGTCCCCCAAGGAGAGCACCCTGACCCTCACCTGGAACGCGACCCAGGAGCTCAACGGCGCCGCCATGGCCTTCTTCGCGGACCAGGCTGCCGGATCCACCGTCGGTGTCGCCCCGCCTGCCTCGTGGAAGCTCGAGTACAAGGACGGCACCGCGTGGAAGGCTGTCGACGCGACTTCGTACCCTACGGATGTCACTGATACGCCTGCCGAGGTCAAGTTCACCAAGGTTTCTACGACTGCGCTGAGAGCTGTCCTCACTGCGTCTGGTAGCAGCACGTATGCCGGTGTCGCTGTCAAGGAGTTCTTCGCCTACGCTCCCACGGCTGCTTAAATGCGTCTTTTAGGATACTGTCAAACTAGACTTGTACGATTACTGATTATCTCGCTCCGCTTCGAGATGGTTCTGCTGTTCATATTGGAAATCATGTACATAGATATGTTACAAGCAATCCAAGCGCCTGCATGCTTTTATTCTTCATATTGCGCAGTTTTGCAGCACTTGCTACAATGTATTATCATTCGATCATTACCTCATGACAATGAACACGTGCACGGCTTGACCGCCATAAGGGATGAAGACTTGGGAAAAGAGTTTTGCCAGCCAGACAGTGTCCATTGGCTACCCGGGCAGTGTTCACACATTTATATCCTCTTAAAGCGACTATGTTTCTGTAAGCTCGCTTTCGTCGTCGTCTATCATTATCGCTACCCCTCTTTTATTCTCTACTACCATCTTCCTCATAAAAGTATTTAGTGCCCTACGATACTGTCAAAATGACTGACTGACAATGGCCGGCTAGCAAAGCTCTGGGAAAAATAGCAAACTATCCACGGAAGGTCCTACAATTGTAATAACATTGTCAGCTTCAGACCTATGGTCAACGGGAATCACGCTAATGTATTTGCCGCAGTGCCCACCGCAAGGCAAGTAAATTTGTCAAGTGCAATCAATCAATCAATCAATTATGTATGGAGATATAGCTAGACAATCAAGCTAATTATAAGGCTCAAACTCGATTGATTGCCTTGGGGTGGGCGTTGAAGGCTGTCGTAGGAAAGTAAGGATCCGATGGCATCATTTCACGACTCAACGACGCGAACAGAGTGGTGAAGGGGTCTAGCCGTACTCATGGACTCTTCAACTGGGAGACACAGATTCCTGATTATTCGAATTCCCAGGGCATCAATTCTTTTTATACCGACACACCTTCTCTAACTGAAGTAACAAACGTCATTTTAAATTATCAAGAGATCAAGATCCATCACTAGAGAAGGCGAAATAAGCCGTGCGTGTGAGTTTGGGTTACATTGCAGATTGGCCATTCAAATTTCGCAACGGGGGTAATGCATCAATTCCACCTCGTTATTGGAGCAAAACTCACCCGGCGTTGTACAAACCAGCAGGCTAGCTATCATGTTGAGGAAGTTCAGCTCACGCACCTAGTAAGAAACTGTAGCTATATCCGACGCGGAAATGCAGCGGCTTATTCCGCCCCTGTATATAAGATAAGTATATAAGACCGGCTTACCTCGACCACTGCTCGAATCTCAGACGCAGCCTGATGTCCTTCACATCAGACTGAGCCTCAAAACGCTACCTACCCACTAACTCAAAGTTTACGGCGAAGAGATGGCACTCGCTATACGAAATGCGGCTCCGCTGAAGCCAGAGATTCGCTTGGCACAAGCTGTTTCAGAGTTCGAAGCTAGCCTCGGCGATGGAAACAAAGAAGTGTTCCGAACTACGCGAAAAGCCGCCCTCAGGACGGCGCCGATCCTAAGCGATGTTATGAGGCTGACTGCGGAGATTGATTCACGAGTACGAAAACAGCATGGTCTCTCCCGATGTTTTGGGCCCCGTCTTACCAACATACTCCAAGCTGTCCAGCAATTTGCGGCGCTGGGCGATACGGTGGTTGGCGGGTCACAGAATCTGGTGGCTTGTGGTGTGTGGTCAGCGGTTAGGACGACGCTATATGTTTGTGTCCCTGAATGAGGTATATACCAGTGTCGCTAATTTCCCATGTGTGGTGCAGGTGGCGGTCAATTATGCTTCTTACCTGGAGAAGATGTCATTGCTATTCATGACTGCCGGCCGACAGGCCCCTCGATATCAAGCCTTGGCAACCATTTACCCCCAGTCCGAGACTTTACAAAGCTGCCTATCCGAGTACTTCATCGTCGTCGTTCACGTATGCCAAAAGATACAGAAATATGGAAACAGATCAGCCTTTGGCCAGTTCAAGTCTTCGTTGAACGACGCGGACCTTAAGGGGTACCAGGCAGATCTTGAAGTCTGGGGGAATGCCATCAAGGACCAAGCAACCGTACTTCTTAACCAAGTGGTTCACCACGAATCACAAGAAAACAACAAGTCCCGCATGTTGATGAGTTGGTGGTCCGCATCTGCTCGGCGGCAACAGGCCCTCAAGCGTAAGATGCGATGGCTCGACGCATGTTCCACGTACGACTTTCAGACCACTTGGAAGCAGATTCGGAAAAGGGGTTCCACATCGTTGCTACCAACATGGCCCGACTATCAGCAATGGAAACAGGAGATTGAATCGACGTCAGCTATTCTTTTCAGCGGAAAGGTCGGCGCTGGAAAGTCAGTCACAATGGCCAATATTGTTGACGACGTGTACTTGGTAGAAGACGCTGTAGTCGTCTACTTTTTCTGCCGCCACGATATCCAGGAAAGTCTCAAGTCCCGCATAATCTTGGGAAGCCTGGCTCGCCAGTATTTATCATACTTTCCAGAAGACAACGGGGTCTTCAAGGAATGTGTGTCGTCTCTTGATTTGGACGAACTCACGACTCTCGTGAAGTTGAAGTGCGACAATCGGCCAAGGTACCTACTACTCGACGGTTTGGATGAATGCAGTGAAGAGGAACGTCGCTTCGTCCTTGTTCAATTGTCTTTTCTGCAGAGACACTCCAGTTGGAGACTCGGGTTCTCAGCTCGTCTTTCAACAGAAAGTTTCATCCAACGACACATTACCTTAAGGCGACACATTTCCCTCCCAATTCTCAACCCCGATATCGAGAGATACATCGACAACGAGCTAGATAATCGCCTGTCTAGTGGCCAGCTGACACTCGGAGACCCGAATTTGTTGTTAGAAATTCGCAATGCTCTCCTTAGCGGCGCGAACGGAATGTGAGTTGAATATTATTTCGCCTTGTGTTACGCCCGATGTAGTCAAATACGCTTGCTTTGACCTTGGCTAACAATTACCATCACTAGGTTCCTCTGGGTTGCTTTGCAGCTAGATCAAGTGTGCTCAGAGATATCCGACCACGCCATACGCCTTGCGATCAAGTCCCTTCCTCGAGACTTGTCCGAAACGTACGCTCGTATATTGGGCGAATCGTCAGCTAGAGATACTGGCCGACATCACGTCCGCCTGTTCAAGTTCCTCGCAGCAGCTTATATGCCATTAACGATTGATCAGATTCAAGAAGTTGCCAGCGTAACAATAGGTGATGCTACTTGGGATCCCAGCAAACGTATCAATAACATCCGGAGGGTCGTGGGATTCTGCGGGAGTCTCGTAATGATTCAAGAAGAGGAACAAACAGTCCAGTTTGTCCATCACAGTGCCAGAAGCTTCTGTCAAGGTGTTCTCGAGGGCTTTGGTCGTTGGAAGTTCTGCTTTTCTGACGACGAGGCACATCGCGAAATAGGAGAAACAGCGGTCACTTATCTTAGCTATGGCATCTTCGACACCCGGCTATCGATTCAACTTATGCCAAAAGTGAACGTGGATGGCTTCGCACAACGTATCGTACAGCAAACAATTGGGACATCAAATCCTATTGTAAATTTGGCTCTTGATTTCGTCATGCCCAAGACGGACAACAATCGCGACATCGCACATTTTCTGACACACACGCATGAAAGGACTAGCGCAACAGAATTCGAATCTACCAACCATCCATTTCTTCCTTATGCAAGGGAATTTTGGATCTTGCACACGAGAAACATCGAGAATTCAGAGGTACATCGACTGTGGGAACAGCTCTTCAATGAAGTCGATTTGAGTCATCTACAACTCACGCCTCATGTCGCTGGTCCCCTAGACCATTTTAAAGCACCCTGCAAGCACCCGATCGCATCGGCCTTTCTTTGGGCTGTCAACTATTCCCATGTTGCTATTTTCGACCGCGTCATGGACCTGGGTCGCAACCATCCCTTCGCCCCAGGCCTGCCGTGGGCACGTTTCCGTTTCTTCCGCAGTCTGCTTCAATATCTTCAACCGCACGGTCCATTTGATAAGGTTCCACGTCTAAACCGGCAAATGATACGACGACTTCTCCCAATAGCGGTCGTTTTGAGGGTCTATCATGCGGTTGAATGGATGTTGCCTCATGTAGACGCCGCTCAGATACTCTCGGTCTTCGAGGTAGCCATTTCTTGCGGCAATTACACATCTGCCGCAGTCCTCTCTTCCAATGCAGCCTTCAGTCCACCCAACAAGCCTATTATTCCAACTGAGCTTATGTTGCTCGCTGCCTCTACCCACGACCCGCGAATGATTGGTCTCTTGGCGAAAATGGGCGCTGCTAGGTCCGCACACACCAATACTTCGGCACTGTCGAGTTTGCTACACTCTGACATGCATCACGGTGCTCTACTGGAAGCGACAGCCATTCTTGCCAACGCGGGACTTCAGCCAAACACACTCAATTCGCGAGATAAGTTTGCTGTCTTTCAACTGTTGGCTCTGAGTCCCGAGACCAGCGCCAAAATGGCCCTACTGTCTGTCGAGAGTACATTGGCCGCGGACTCGGACTTCCCACGGCTTCATCAACAAATTCTCCAGCGCGCATGCTCCATTGGAAGTTTTGATCTCGCCAATGCTGTCTTGGCCAGCTACGACAATTTCACTACTGGAGAGCGGAAGGTTGGTATCAGCAAGGTACCCCACTTCCCTTTCGAGGGGAATGAACTGGTCCTTGTACTACAAATGGTGTCGGAGAGTAGGACCAAGCTTGCAAGTTTGCTTGTCAATCGGGGATGTCATGACAAGGACCGGCGCGGTTTTCGCAGAGCGCTTGTTCTCAGGCATTGGCAACTTGCAGACGCTTTGCTCAACGGGAGGGATCTCACGAGTGATACGCTCACATTATGTGACAACCACGAACTTCTTCACCTGTGTCTCTTTCAAGGGGACCTCATCGGCATCAACGTCCTGCTTAAGATTGGCATAAGTTTTGAAAACCCATCAACCGGACCACTTTTCAAGCACGCGACTCCGATGCAGACACTCTTAGCTCAGGACTCGGAATATTTTATTCGTCTCTCTATGGTAGAGCTTCACATTCGAGGGGCTCTATCCATGGATGTTCCTACCAAGTTCTCGGATTTGAGGACTGCCGTGAAACGACTTCTCTCACCTTCCAGTTCTTCCGCGTGGGACCCTCAGATTCAGCAGATAGTCAGAGAACAACTTTCACGGAACGTCTATTCCCATGCTTATGACCTGGGTTGGCTCATCTGTATTTCTGCTGTCTCTGTACGAAAGATCGTACAGACACATTTCCTGTCTTTTGGTAATGACCAAACTGGGCTAGTGCTTCTCGAAAATTGGTTAGGACTCTTGGAAGAGATATATCGTTCAAATGGGGTTCCAGTCGTTTGCGACGAGCTACAGCGCACCCTTGCTATTCGAGAACTCTTCGGCGCCACGGCTGTTGTAGACGCATTTTCGGCTCCTTGGTCTCGATGGCAGGCTCAAATGACATGGATGCTGTGGCAGTTCATTGATCTATTCGCTGACCGGGATTCAACAAAGCCTGCCACACCATCTAGGGACAGAGCACTCCGGGAGCTGTCACTCTTGCTATGCAGGGCACCACTTGAGTGCGTCTTCCCGGAACTCTGTTCAGATGTTCCAAGCATAAGGGAACGAGTTTTCAAAATACTGCGCGTGGCGGATGAAAGCCTGGGCCTACATTGGGTTCTTCAATACCTCTTCATGCGTAGCCGCAGGTTCTCTGTTTCTGACTTCTGTGATTTTTCGAAAGATTGGAAACGTACTACTCGGGGCGTCGATATTTTCAGTAAACCACATGAAGCATTCGTACTCATGGAATGGACGGAAAGAGATAGGCAAACGCTTGAGAGAGCCAACTTCATGAGGCCTGGACTGAGAAAAGCTCTCTCAAGTCCATGACGGAATCACAGCTACACGAATGACGCAATCGTTTCTACATAGTTAGGGAATCTCTAGGCTATTTAACAATGCGGGAGTTTGCAGAACGGAATTTTGAGTAAAACGTCATGTCATTTCTGTCTTGCGTGTTCAGCTGAAAATGTCTCCGCTGAACCAACACACTCAATAATACATTCGAATTCCACCAAATGGAGGAGCCCAACGCCTCTAAATAAACGATATGTCGGCATCATTTATCCAATCTCATCTATGCGCAAAACTTGCTTCATCCCGAAATCTTACCTTATCTGAATACGCTAGCCATGAAGTATTTGTGTGCCTTTGTAATACAGTATTCAGTTCGCGGACCGCATGATGGGCCTGCAGAGCAATTTTTTGCCAGTCCAACTCCCATTGTTGGCAAGACATCAAAGGTAACTCAATCATCCTCTTTGCGGGGAATGTTGAAAGGCGAGTCCCTTCCGGTATACACGAAACCATCATACACACACGCACCCACAACACCGCCAATGATCGCAGCGACCCAAGGAGCCCACAGCCAGTAGTAGTAGTCATGCGTAAAAACAGCAGACCCGTAGCCGACGATGGCCAGCGCAATACGCGGGCCTGTATCACGGGCGCCGTTCATGGCATACCCAGTGTTGATGCCCAAAGCGGAGCCGATCGCCAACAGCGCCAGAAACATGGCGAATGGCTGGGTACCCTTGGGCGGGGACAGATTGTTCTTATCAGCCAGCGCAAACACAATGGCGATCAGCACCGCCGAGGCGAGAAACTCGGTGTAGAACGCGCCCAGGTACGGCAGACCCGCGGCAGGGAACGTGAAGAAGAGTCCCGCGGTGGCGTGCTCGCCGACGAGGGTGCGGTTCGTGCTGCCCTCGTAAGCGGCGATGCTGGTGGAGTAATTGAGGTAGACGGCGAGACTGGCCAAGGTTGCGCCAAGGACCTGAGCGATGAGGAAGCCGGGTACTTTGCGCCAGGGGAAGCCGCGGAAGAGGGCGAGGGCGAGGGTCACGGTCGGGTTGCAGTGGCCGCCCGAGACGCCGCCGGACATCCACACGGCCATGGACACGCCGGCTGCCCAGGCGAGGCGACACTGCAGGAAGTCGCCGGCGTTGGAGCGGATGTCGGAGCCTTTGTAGTTGAGACGCGTCTCGCACTCGACTCCGGCGCCGAAGAGCAGGATCATGAAGGTGCCCCAAAATTCACTGTGGACAATGTGAGCTTTGATTTCATGTGAGATGACCTGATTGAGGCGATACTCACGCAAATTCCTCACGCCAGTAGTGTCGGATCTGGGCCCATGTATTGGGCGGCCTGTCACTCAAAGCCCATTGAGGCTTGTGAAGACGGGTTTCCTCGTGAGCCGCGACGGGCGCGGCTGGGAGAACGGGCTCGACATCTGCGTGATGCGGATGGACTTCCTGTAGGGAGGCGCGTCTCACCGCCAAGGGCGATACGCGACGCTCGCCATTGAATCTAGGCAAGAAGTTGAACGTGCTGGTGCGGCGGCGCTGGTTGGCGAGAAGTGGCTGCGTTGGGTCGCCCGGATCGTGGATTGAGGATGCGGGAGACATGGTGGCGATATTTCGCGTCTGGGTTAGCGGTGTGGCGGGCTGACCGAGAAATGAATGAGATTGATATGTCCGTGTGGCTACGACGAGAAGTCGAAAGGATGAGATGCGAGGGCTTTCTTAATACAAAAGAGGCTGATTCCCTTCTTTAAGCTCTTCCGCGTTACGCCCGCGAGGTGGAGGAAGAGTTTTCGAGAGGCGTTATCAATGTTTGTTTTGTTTCCAAAAACCTGTCTTTCCGCTCGGTCGGCCGATCCATCGCAGCACGGTTGAAAGTTGATACGATATCTCGCGAAATGACCCAGTTAATGCGCCATTTCTCCACTCAACTTATCTACACAACACGGGCTGTATTATAAAGAAAACTGGCAACCTTTGGCCCACCTGCGCCCGTAGTTTATGTTTGGGACCACATATCAGCCGGGATCGCCAAGGATCGTACATGCCGGTCGCACCGCCCGGCCGATCCCCGGTTTACCTGATCCGCGTTTGGCGATGGCTTCAAGCACGTGCAGCTGTCACTGGCAGGTAGTCTTTTGACGTTGATTCATGTCGATTCGTGCCCGTTTTAAACGTAAATTTTTTTTTCCAGCTCTATCCTTTGCATCGGTATCCCCAGACTCTATCGTGAATATCTCAAACCGAAAAAAATCTATTTCTTGTTGGAAACGTCTAAGACAGTAAGTCAGCATCTATCGAACAAAATCATGGAGTGAGCATCGAATTTTAACGTACTGAATTGGAAGTGAATGATATCTCCGTCTTGGACGACCTGGGAGAACGCGAGTCAGCGCTGCAGCATTAGAAAGAACTCAGAAGTCGGAGCACTCACATAAGACTTTCCTTCTTGGCGGTACTTGCCAGCAGCCTTGATCGGGCCCATGGACTTGCCGCCTTCACAGAGATCGTGGAAGTCTTGGTAGGCGACGACCTCAGCCTTGATGAATCCCCTCTCGAAATCGCTGTGGATGGCACCAGCAGCTTGGGGAGCAAGGCAACCCCTTGGGATAGTCCAGCATCTGATCTCCTTCTCACCAGCTACGCCAAAGTCAGCACGCAAATTCAGTTGGGGGTGACAAGGTGAGAACAAACCAGTGAAGTAGTATTGCAAGCCAAGCTTCGTGAATCCCTCGGTCACAATCTTGTCCAGCTTCGACTTGACCTTGCTCTCCTTGAGGAACTCGGCCTGCGCAGCTGGATCGTCCTTCATGCTGTGGAGCTTCTCCTCAAACTCGATGGAGAAGGGGATGATGTCGCGGGGAACGCCTCCGTGCTCGGTGACCCACTTGGCGATGGCCGGCAGGTACTTGCTCTTCTGTCTGAGGTAGTCCTTCATTGTCAGGTTGACGAGGTAGATGGCGGGCTTGGTGGTGATGAGCTGAATCTTCTCGTTGATGAGGGCAATTTCGGCCGGCGTCCAGCTACCGTCTCTGACTGGCTGGTCCCTCTCCAGCATCTATTTCACAATTATGAGCATATTTGAAACGGCCAGACTTGTGGAATTGGGAACTCACCTCCTTGATCTTTGTCGTTGTCTCTGTGAAGAGAGGCAGCATCTTATACTTGCCGCCTGCCTTCCTGACAATTTGCTCCTCAGCGACAATCGTCTTCGCCAGAATGTCTAAGATGATGAGGGTAAGCTCGCGTCAGGCGGATTCAGAGGGGAAAATACTAACCAAGATCCTTCTTGCAAAGCTCGCTCTGGATGGTGTCTATAAGATGAACCATTAGTTTTGTCAACCTGAGAAATACGGCTAAACTAACCCAAGTCACGGACGGGATCAACCGAGTCATCGACATGCAAGACTTCATCGTTGTCGAACGCTCTGTCGTAATGCCCAGGTCAGTGTGGAGATGCAGCAATTGAGCCATGGATATTGTACCTGACAATGTGGTACATGCCGTCCACAGCCTGGATGTGAGACAGGAAGGCATTTCCAAGTCCGGCACCTTGAGAAGCACCCTTGATCAGGCCAGCAATATCTGTGACCTGGAGGTACGCGGGGTACATGGAGGGCGGCTTCCAAAGGTCACAGAGAAAGTCCTACATGCATCACCTTTCTTAGCCATTTATTCGGAGTATTTCTCTAGGCAAACTCGACTTACGTATCGAGCGTCGGGGACAGCACATCTCGCCTCGTTGGGCTCAATCGTACAAAACGGGTAGTTCTCCGCAGCGGCGCTCTGCTCGGTCAAGAGGTTGAAGAGACTCGACTTTCCGACATTGGGCAGACCGACGCATCCCATCTTCAGGTTCTTGCTAACCCTGCCGAACGCGACGACATTGTCCTTGACAACTTCAATCTTCTTGGGAGGCATGTTAACTGTATTTTGGCCCAAGCACAAAAATGAATTTTTACTTGAAAGCTTGATCTTGAGGGGTTGCAAGAAGGAAGAATTCTCTGGCACACGTTTTTAGAAAATGGCCTGATAATTCACATCGAGACCCACTTATGGACATGGGTATGTTCTTAGGGGTCCTGGGGTCCAAGGGTCCTTTCTCGATGGAAATGGCCGCCCCACGCGCTGCTTTAAGCCTTCTGAATTGACAAGCCTGCAGCTTCACGGCTCAGAGCATCATGAATTTCCCCCCGACACATTCACTCACATGTTGAATACAAGAGTCACAACTACATGGAACTTGAGAAATGATTCTTCAAAAGTCTCAATTTGTTTCTCAAGATGAAGTCTTATTTGACTTTGGCTGAACCACTACCAATTGAAACTCAAATGCGGCCAGTTGTCCACCCTTGCCTCCCAACCACAATGTCGGAAAACCCTCAAGTTACTTACAGTATGATAGACTTCGACCAAGAAAATCTCGCTGAATCATTGGAAAGCTATGTCAGATCATTTGACCCTACTCGCTGTCTCTTCTGCAACCACCTACAGCACGACCTCCGCCAAAACATCATCCACATGCAGCGCCACCATAGCTTCATCATTCCCAGCAAAGACGATCTCGCAGTTAGGTTCGAGACACTGCACTCTGTGATCGTCAGAGAGGCTCAGTGCATATGCTGCGGTTCTGTGCAAGGCTCATTTCACGCCGCCAAGCAACATATGCTTCACAATGGATATTGGCGCATCGACATCTTCAAGGGATCCGCGTTCCGAGAGTCCTGCGACTTCGATTAAGAATCTGAATTTCCCGAAGATACTAACGATCGTAACGGAGCGAAGTACAACGTAATCACGAGCGACGACCACGCGAAGTTACTGGAAGGCAAGAAGTTTCTGCATCCCAACGCCAGGGGACATTGCCACATGCGTTATGCTCTCTTTGGAAAGGGCCAGCGATGATGACATACGGACAGCTTGAGGATTGAATTCATGCTAACGACGCAGCTCCCCTGCAAAAGGAATGCGAAAAGTCCACCCAGTTCGCGGGCACGTTCGGAAAATAGTACACGCGCACTTTAATCTATGCCACCTATCAGTCAAGAACAGTAGCACCTGCAGTAAGTAAATCCTCTGAATATCTCCGCATAAATATCGATGACTCTGCAATATTCTATCAAAACTATATCATGTTTCATAGAGACTGTGTGGTAAGCCAGCAGCGAGCTTGTAGACCAGATAATTCTGATTTAATTCCAGTCTGCGAGTTTCGACGGCACGTTGTGGTAGCCGTTGAAATGGCTGTGCGGATCGTAGGACGTCTTAAGGGCGCTGAGACGTTCGTGTCGCCACTCCGCGTACCCATAAACAGCCGACTTCGGTTCATCTCCGTGGGCATAGTTCTGGTAAATATGCGTCTCCTCATAACCCGAAATCTCCGGCTCGGCGACCTCATTACGCCATCGCAAACCCCAAGCGTTCGCAGCTTCCGCGACCCGGTCATCGAAGTATCTCATGGAGAAAACAACTGCGTTAGCGAATGACTTCCGATGAGGAAACGCCGAGTAGTTGTCATAGAGTGCGTCGACGCCTTGCTGACCGATTGTTTCGATAAATACAACGCTGTTGTTCGCCGCTGGGTTTTCCTTTACAAATGTCGTGTATGAATTATATATGTCGACGAATGTTTCTTGATGTAACGTCTTGGTTAGTATGCTGTATTGATTTGCCCGACTTCCAGTAGCACATCCTTCCTCGATGATGCCAGCTAGGGCAACCGACGTCAGGTTTGTCCATGGAACCATTTGCTCGTTGGTGCTGACACTGAAGTTTGAGTATAGATCAACTATGGCTTGGGCAGCATCTTTCGGACCAGCGTAAACGATGTTCACGAATATCACAGGCTATTCGGTCAAAGTCTGTCAGCTTGCTCCATCATGCGGGTTTACATAGTGAGAAGCAAGGCCAGACTTACGTCGAGTGATCGAGGGTCGGAACCATAGGCAATCATTATGGCGAAGGCAGGATCCAACTCCTCATTCAGCAAATTGTTCGTAACTTTCAACATATCCTCCAAGTGATCTCTGGCAATGATCATGTCGACGTTGTACTGCAAGCCGTCGTTGGCAGCCGGCCAAGTGGCAAATGTCGCATCCACAACAATGCCAAAGTTGTGACCAGCTCCTCTCAGACCCCAGAACAGATCAGGATTGGAATTCTCTGACGCCTCGACAACTGTGCCGTTCCAGAGAACTACGTGGGCGGATTGTAGGGCATCACTTGTCAAGCCGTAGAGACCTTGAAGTCGACCAAGTCCACCGCCCAGAGTAGCACCCATGACGCCAACGCAAGGGCAGGCCCCCACAGCTGTTTAATCGTAAGTAGCTACTCCTTTGGCTGTAACAGAGATCTAATGCGCCATTTGACAGGGCCAGGGCCACTTACTGAGTTCCCTTCCAGCAGTACCAACAGCGCTGACCAGATCCCGGAATTTCGTGCCAGAACCCACGGTGACTGTATTGTCTTGATTCATGATGACGTTGTCGAAATTCTCCATGTTAATCATGACAGCCTCCTGAATGACGCCGAGAGTTGGGGAGTATCCATGTCCACCGGACTTAGCGAGCCAGGTCTTTTCGGTTCTTGAGAGATATCCAAGCTGCGATGCCGGTTTCAGTACAGTCCAAGGTGGATCTTATCAACTCCATAACGAGACTATGTCTGGACTTACGCCTTGTGAGAGTTGTTCAATCGTCTCTGGGAGGAAGACTTCGTTGAAGGTTGGGGCCTCGAAGGTAGACCACCGGGTGGTCTTTTCGACAAACTGAGGCCAAGATTCGTTGAATGCGAGGTGCGAAATCTCCTCCGGCCATGGCTCAATTGTACGAGTGCTCTTCGGAGACCCCAACGCTGGTCCCGCGAGAACGCTGAAAGTCAGAAAGAGATCAATGAGTCCGTACATCTTGACTGATTATACAAGGAAGAGTAATGATCAGGGGGGAGAGACTTGTAGCAACTCTCAATCCTGGGTGGACGTGAAGATCTATTTACTAAAATGTTGTAGTCTTCTGTTTAGGAATTCAAGCTGCGTTAATGAGCTTACGCGGTAAGGCAAAGAATTGAGCCTGCTTAAGTAGCGTTCTACAGACCAGCTGTATTGCCTGACTTTAGGAAGCGTCTACTTGTGTACCCACCTACCTAAAGTTATTGTCTGCGAGACATTTACCCCTTTCAAGGCAATCTCTGGTAAACAATCAATTGATTGGAGGCTACCCAGCTCACCGGTTACGATTCCTATCATCCTAAGGCTTCTAGGGGTTAGTTCGTTGCCTAAAAGCCTTAGCAAACAATATTTGAGCCCGGCCTATGTTCTCACCGAGTCCGCCGGGTCATTCCTTCTTATCTGAAAGATGCAGAATAGCAGCCCATTCATAATCAGGTAGACAGCCTTGTCTGTAAGCTTGCAGGATTCTGCCTAGTTCAGCCGCACTCAAAGGGAGGATGTAGATGGCGAAGCAACGAGGATGTGATGGGCGCCTGATCCGCCGCTTTGAAGCAGCCCCCACGAGAATATTACCGACCTCAATGTCCCTTGGACTTTATGATGAGCTTCGATTGCATAAAACTCCCAGATATTGACAGGCACTCTCCTACAAGTTACTAGTGTTGAAAGGGAGCAAAACGCCGTGGTGGCTGTTTTTGTTCTTGACGAGCAAGGAAATCGTTCATTCGCAGGCATCAGGGTCGTCCTCACAAGAACGCATGAGTGATTTGGTAGATTTATGACCATGAATAGACTCCCATCAACAAAGGGGTGACCAAAGTCGCAATGAAGGTATTGGATTGTCACCAGTTGGTGTTCTTGCTGTTGGTATGTTTGGCCCCATGGCGGTAGAGGCCGGGATTATCAGCAGTACGTCAGACAGAACGCATTAGAAGTGTTGTGGACTAATTCAGCCTGAGCCAAAAACCACGCTGACTCCGAATTACCGCCGACCACATGCAACTCATGGTAAATCACCTGGAAAAGCGGTCTTCGGTGCGGTTCTTAAGCGGAATTGCCAATTTCTGATGCCACAGATCGGATATCTTACATACTCTACTGTTGATGTTACATCTATTGCTTTGAACAGCTGGGCCCATATGTGATGAAGTCGCCGCTCGCTGCCGGAAGACCGATATGACTCGTAAGCTTGCATTCTGACAAGCCGCGAAATGGCCTCATGGCTGCGTAATCCTTCTGTACTCCTGGGGCGCACACACTTGGCGAAGTACTTGGCGTAATCAACAGGGAACGGCCTTGCCCGAAGCTACCACACCAAAAGCGGTGCACTTTCCTATTCGGCAGGTGTATCGGTACCTTGCGTTAGCAATGGGGGTTTATCCAATCGACTGCATGAAAACGTAGCCACCGACAGCTTGGCCGCGCTTGCTATGCCCCGAGGGCGATCTTCGTTCAGTTGTATGTGAACAGGCTCTTCTCGACCATCATTGCACGATTTCTTTTATTTCCTTCGAAGCTTACGATTGTCCCTTTGAGAAAATATTAGTTACGCTGTTGAAACCGTGGGCCCGTGATTGAGCTGACACCTTCTACTATGCACGTAAACTCTGAAAAACAACGAAAAGTGCCAACCCCTTTCCTTCTATGAATAGGTAGCCAATTGTACGTTTGGTGCTCGTGTTAGGGTGAGAAAGGAATTGTGGGAATCATGGTGGTAGTGAAATTGGCAACTTCCTTTCAGTTTCAACCGGACAAGGCACGAATGGGTAAAAGATGTTTTCTTTCGGCACTTGACTGAAGGCTACAGTATATGGCTAAACTAATCATAAAGGGTCATGAACTATTGGTGTTCGTAACTCTTCCTACTTCCTTAGGAAGTTGATCGATTCTAACTGCTTAGAATCACCAAGACCAAGGCTCAGATTCTTGAATTCGTCCAAATCCTTCCGGATACTCTCAAGATCCGAATTCAGCAGACCCCATGCGTCTGGCCCGAGAGGAACACGAATTGGCACACGATTTCCGCTGCTGACCACAGCATAGATGGCTACTGCGAGGTCTTGTGGTTCGGTCCAAGTACTGCGTCCTTGTTCGCTCTGGATATACCCTAACAAGGCATTGGCTGGGGAACTCGGGTCCGAGTACGCGGGATGGCGACCTTTCATCATCTTCAAGGAGGATGTTGCATAGTTCGTCTTAACACCACCAGGCTCGATAATTGAGAGATGGACTATTAGAAAGACAGAGATTAGTTGTCCGATCATGAATCTGCACCACCGCAATCCTGAGAAAGGGGCCATGAACTCACTGTTCCATGCGGTCGGCAGCTCTTTGGCGACAGATTCCGTCCACCCTTCCATGGCAAACTTGCTGGCGTGGTAGAAAGCCTGACCTGGGAAGCCAGCCCAGCCCCCAATTGAGCTGATGTTCATAATTACTCCACCCTGCTGACCACTCTTTGGGTTTTCATCCCGCATGATGCCGAGTGCCTTCTTGGTCACATCCACCATACCCCAAAAATTAGTATCCATCACAGCCCTAGCCTCCTCATCTTCGGCGCCTTCAGCATCGCCTGCAAGTGTGTAGCCTGCATTATTGACAACAATGTCAATGCGACCCCATTTCTTGACGGTAGCAGCCAGAGCAGATTCGATAGATGACTTTGAGCACACGTCAAGCGGCAACTTGAGTACGTCCTCGCCATCAGGGATATCAGACAGATCCGCAGGGTTTCGAGCCGTGGCCGCGACCCGGTTGGACGTTTTCGCGATAAGTTGGGCTAGCGACTGCCCAATGCCGGACGAGCATCCTGAAACTAGATGTAAAAAAGAATGGTCAGTGCCGAATCCTGGAGATTTTGTGAAGTAGGCGCTAACCGAACCAGACCGCATCAGAAGTGATCTTGTATGGCTTAGTATTCGGAGCCTCCATGCCGATGGTTGAAAACTTGGTGTTAAAGAGAGGCTAAGGAAGCTGCTTAGATCTGAACATAAGCATCATGATTCAACTAGCGGTCTCATAGGATGACCAGGCCATCTATACTCGTTTCAGTTTCCTGTGAACAAATGCGGACTGAATGGAGATTGTAGGACTTAAGAAATGCTGCTTAATGTCTCCGTTAAATCCGGTGAGGTGCATAAAGGACATATACGACATTCGTCAGACTACTGGCACGCTTGAAATAATCGGCCCCTCACCAAAGTCCGCCGCACTGGACTGGATGATGATAATCTTCTTGGCGTACATAATGAGCTGCATTGCGGCTGAATTCAAAAGTCTGGCCGGAACAGGGTCTGGTGCGAAGCTGACGCATCTGCGACATATTGGTGATGTAAGGTACTTATGGGGAGATAAGCTGCCAGTCGTTGTGGAGCCTTAAGCTGGACTCAGAACCTATGTTAGTTATAACGCCGCACTGCGTCTGCAGTCCTCGTATCTGCAGTCCTCGTAAAGTAAGGCATACCGTAGCTCTGATTGGCCAGCTGTCTTAAAAGCCAAGAGTCTGGCGCGACAGCTGTTTGGCTCCAACAGCACAGAGATTTGCTGATCTTATCTCAATAGATCTGTAAGGGGTCAACATTGTCCACCCAGCTTTTCACAAAGACTTCGTCGCGACCGAAGGAACAGGAACAAGGATCCATTTGACTGGACCTGGCAGACTGCGGCTGTATGCGTCTCTCCAGCCTTAGCAGATGAGAGACCGGGCGATATTGTGAGACCAAACTTCAAACAGATTTTGTTTTCTTCTCCTCCGTCTTCAAGGCTACGAAATGCTGCAATACAGGGATCCACCACTATCGACGCTGGCAACATGAATGGTCTGGAATAACCCAATCAGGGTGAAACGGCAGGAACACAGACACTAGTTACCCATGCCAAATGAATCGACCGTCTTCTCATGTTGCATGATGCAAATTGCCAGCGCAGTCGTAAGGCCGCGGTTTCCAATCAAAGCTCCGGTCCTGCCATAACAACAGAAGTGTCCTGCCGGCCAGCCACCGTCTACCTCTTGCAAAGACATGAAGGTTTTCAAATCCTTCTGGTAGAGGCTGGAGGAAATGGACACCTTTTGGCATGCGAAGAGTCGCATTGCCAGCGCCAAAGGGTTGACCTGTGTATTGATCCTTTCCCTGAGCTTCTTCTTCACAGGCTCTAAGTTCTGCTTCAGCTGGGCATCCCTGCACTCGTCGTATAGACGAGCAACAAGGTAGAGGAAGGCTTCTGGTGTTGAATAGTGCCTGCTTCCATCTAGACAGGCGTCGTTGTTGAGGCTGTCTACGACCCAGGCTTTGGTAGCTTCGATGTTGAGATTAGCGTCCAGCATGTGACCGAAGCGGTTGAAGGCTCGCAAGATGTTGCAGCAGACTTCGGGGCTTTTCCGGGGCCGTTCTGTGCAGAAGTAGGTCTGCATGATACCATCATTGTCTGTGTTGGCTGCCATCATGTCCAAGACTAGTCTGGGAGGTGCAATGCGTGATAAATACTCCTCAGGAAGGGATACATATGCTGTTGAAGTCGTGTCAGCGTCGGGAGGAAAGTCCCGGGTTGTCAGAACTGGCTTGTCGCAGAAGTAGTTCCAGAGTCCCAACTCGACATTATTCTTGATGTCATCAGGGGAAGCCCCGTTAGCCATGTCGTTCATACTGAAGATCCGCTCGCCAGGCGCACAGTCTTTGTCTTTCAGCAGCTTGCCACCAGGCCAACGAAGATCAACCAAGGTCGAATCTCCTGTCAGCTCCCAAATCATGAGCTGAGAGAAATTGTCCTTTATAGTGACGTCCTGGAGCCCTTCAACTACACATATGTGGTTCGTTGCGTGTGACTTCATAAATGCCTGTGCTCGTGCTTCAGGGTCCCCCAAGAGGTTATGGAGTACGTTGCGGGCTTTATTAGGATGCTTGGAGTCAACCAGCAACCCATGGATTCCGAGAGAACGAGCGGCACATATGTTCTCAACCGTATCGTCAATCATGATTGCCTGCTCTGGCCTTACTCCAATCTGATTGAGGACGTGGCGCCAGAAGCCTAGCTCTGGCTTTCGCATTCCTTCGTTTCCCGAAGCGAAGATCTGTGTGAATTGTGACCAAGGCAAGTCAATTTCCTTTTGAACAAGTTGAAAGTGTTCCTAAAGGTTTGGCCAGTCAACGCTACTGAAATTGATTTCATGGAAAGGGTTGATGTGTGAAAAGGAATGGGAAAGCAAAGGTTACGCTTACCACAGATATGTTGGACATGATGTAAAATTTGAGATCCGCGTTAGATGCTTTCAAAGCCTCAATTGTGTCTACAAAGCCGCGCACAACTCTGAGAGACTTTTGGGCCTCCCGCAGAGAATTTTCGATGATAGCTGCTTCCATGCCAAGCATGACGCCAAAGTACTTGATTGTGATTCAGTGTTAGATCCTCTGCTGTGCGATTGACATGTGATTGACGGGTTATGAATCATTACTCACCTCGCAAGATTGCTTCACGGTAAGCTCGCCCCTGTCTAGCTGATACCAGGCTGGCGAGTTCATGATGGCTAGAAACTGGGTAGGAGCCAACGCGGTTGCTCCATGGCGGTCCCATTCTAACAATACGCCGCCGAGATCAAAGATGAGAGCTTTCAAAGCCATGATAATCCTCGAGAGGTCGAACAAGGGCCTCAGTTCGATGAGCAGATCGTTTGACCCATTGACAATGGCAACAGACGGGTTATCCGGATTAATAACCGTGTTCAAGTCCCTTGCATTAGTGACACACAGCTGATCTGATGTAGCTCCAATGACCAAAGGTTCCGATCCATAGAAACGGGTGCCCACTTTCCATGTTTAACATTTCATCAAGGGGTTGTCGTTTTATTGTGTTCAGCTGCAGTGAGCGCAATACTGGACAGCCTGTGGCCAACCGTACCATGCAGCCATACATACAATGCAACAACTCTAAGGTTCGGGTAAATCACCTCGATGTCGCAGTAACAAGTCCGAGAAGAGGGAAACGTCAGGCTTACGTGGCAGAATGCTCTCGGCCAAATGGCTCACTCGCTGTTTGTCATATCTCCACAGGTAATCAATACGTACAGGCCAAGCCGTAAAATACATGCAAGCGCTCACTGCATCAGGCAATTAGTTCATCGATTGAGGGTCTCGACAAATTCTTTATCCTTCACCTTGAACATGGGTCTCGCCAGCCCAAGTGAATGTTCTTACATATCGAGCTGCTCTTGGATCAGGCTCTCTGAGGATCACTGTAAACAGAGAAAAGTTGAGGTACGCACCAGTATCGCACGAAGTGATCAATCAGAGCACAATTCTCTAATTTTGATTGATTCTTGCTATTATATTGTGGTACATTTTTGAAGCCTGGAGCCGCAGGATATCATTCGATCTCAATATCCGCCACGTACCAATTGCGCCTTGACAGCAATATCGAGATGGACAAGGACGCCCCAGGATTTTCTACACGCCCCCGGTTTCGTGTGTTTACTTCTGGCCGCCGTGATCGCGCATCGGCTCAGTCTCATCGTATATCGACTTTATCTTTCTCCCCTAGCAAAGTTCCCCGGGCCCAAGATTGCGGCTGCGACATCATGGTATGAGGGTTTCTGGGACCTCTGGAATGCACAATTTCCTGAAGTCGTGAAGGATATGCATACAAAATACGGTAGGGTAGTTCACCCACGTTGACAGCGATGAGGTTGACGGCAGTAAGGTCCCATTGTGCGAATCAATCCTCGTGAGCTTGTTATCCAAGACGCGGATTTCTACAGCCAGCTTTACGTTCCGGGAGGAAAGCGAAGAACACATACGATCATGGGAATGCGTGCGGGGCTGGGAATGTCAGGTAAGCTCAAGATAGCTGTTTGCTCGCCGCTTATGTACGCATAAGAAAATGGACGGTTTCCGCTGACTGTGCGACTTTCGACAGACGCGATCGCAACCACGAGCCAGCACGAGCTGCATCACATGCGAAGAAAGGCCGTGGAGGGCTTTTTCTCCAAACAGAGTGTCACTCGGATGGAATCAAGGATTCACCACGAGGCGAGGAGGCTTGATGCAAAATTGCGACAGTTGAGCGGCACCGGACAGGTCATCCATCTTGACCATGCGTTTTCCTGTGTCACTGGTGATCTCGCGGCGCAGTTCGCTTGCGGAGAAAGCCCTGAATTGATCGAAGAATTCGGATTCAACCCCGAATGGTGAGTTGCCAAAGGTTTGACGTAGAGTCTGGTAATAACCGTACACTGGTAGGCATAACTCCCTCATGGGGATACTGACAATGGTCCCATATGTGCGCAACTTCCCCTGGATTAATAAGTGAGTAAAGCGGGAACCTCTTATTGAACGGCACTTACAGCGTTTACAGTGTCATGAGATTGGTTCCTGTGTGGGTTTTGAAAGCACTGAACCCTGAGCTCGCAGGCTTCAGAATCTTCCATCTGGTAAGTAATATTCCAAGTTCCCATCGCTATCGATCAACTGGTACCATAGCATACTCAACTACTGTTTTCACCCGACAGTTCAGCGAAGGACGAATTGAGACAATCAAGAGAGAGATGAACGACCAAAGCAAAGACGACGAGAATACAAAGAGTTCAATATTTCATCATATCCTCAGGAGCGACTTGCCAGAAACAGAAAAGGCAACAGATCGCCTCAACAGAGAAGCGTTTGCCCTGTTAGCCGCTGGCACCATCACCACAGCCGGTACTATGACGCTGATCACGTACTTTGTCCTCGAAAATCCCGATATTGAGAAGCGACTACGGCAAGATCTCCAAAAAGTCACGGCGTGTTACCCAGAGACTGTCCCCCGCTGGGCGGACTTGGAGAAGGTTCCCTACTTGACTGCGTGCATCAAAGAAGGCTTACGGTATGTCTTCAATGCTCCAGACGAGTATTACAAGTCTAAAGCTAAATGAAATGGAGACTTGCGCGTTTTATGAGGCGGAATACTCGTATCTCGCCAGATGTAGATCTCAAGTATGGGCAATGGACTATTCCAAAGAGTGTAAGTCGCATTTCTCTGGCAATTCCTTCACGAACTAGCTGACGGATGTGCTTCGCAGACACCGGTCGGGATGCATATATGCCATATGCACATGGATCCGGAGGTATATCATGAACCGAGCAAATTCATCCCAGAACGCTGGCTTGGGGATTACGATCCACGGATGAATCGGAACCTGGTTCCGTTTGTCAGAGGCTCCCGAAACTGTTTAGGCTTGAAGTAAGGACCCCATATCTTACACACGTGGCTACTGGCTTAACTCACTATGTTCTTTAGTCTTGCTTGGGCTGAAATGTACATATTCCTTGGCGTCATCTTTGGCTCAGGAGCCCACGAAATGAGCTTGGAGTGCGAAGAGTCGGACATTGTTCCCATCCGTGACAGCGATGTTGGATTTCCAGCCCATGGTGCACAAGGCCTACGCGTTCGATTTCATTAGACCTTTATAAGTGGTCATAGGCCACATCCCGTGCGTGCTGTATAGTACGTTGCACAAAACTCACTACATCACGGAAATTTCGGGGATTACGGTATCCACAAGTCAGACATCATAGGCGCAGGAATAGCCCTGGATATTTACGTTGTTGATAGTCCTAGCTTAGTCCCCAGAGTAGACTTAGCTGCATAATGTATGTGCAGAGAAAAGAAATAAGAAGCTATCGAGAATATGCAATCACTGTGCCTCTTCAGCGCCGTCGAAGATGGCGACACCGAAACTTCTCGTCCACGTGCTGCCCTCGCTGTCCTTGACACTGATATCAAGGTAGTCGATTCCCTTCTCAGCACCGGCCGTGTACGTCGCCTTCGTCCCCTGAACGCTCACTTCACCCTTGCCAGCACCCGTGACCTCAAACGTAGGCTCCTTGAAGCCCAACGCCAACGCCGCAAGATCGATCTCGACGGCCTTGGAGGGAGAAACATAAGCATGCGGCTCCGCCATGAAGTTGAGGTACCCCTCAATCGGCGTGTATCCATCCCCGCCGCTAGAACCATCCCACCAGTCCGCGATGCCGTCACCGTCAGCGTCCCAGCTCGCCGCGCGCTTGACCTCGGGGAAGTCCTCGAGGCCGCCGGCGTCCTTGGGATCGTCGATGAGGCCCTTCTTGCCGGAAACGGAGCCGACGTAGGTGGTTGTGCCGGTGAGCGTCTCGTTGATGATGCGGGCGTCGTGGGTGTCGCGAACGGGCTGGCTGACGCCAGAGTCGGAGAGCACGCGCTTGTAGGCCTCGGTGGATGACTGCGTGCCGACGTGCGGCTCGAAGAAGGGCTCCGCGAAGAACTTCTGGTAGGTGGGGGCCGGGTCGAAGGAGACCTTGGCCCAGCACGCGATCTTGTCGGTGATGGAGGTGCCGTCGCCGGAGGGGTACTGGACGGAGTCTTGGTCGAAGACGCCGTATAGGGAGTTTCCTGCGCAGTGGTACTGCTGCATGCCAGGCATGTTATCCTCGTACTATTCGGGGTTAGCATTGTGATGAGGAGAAACTGAGGGGATTGAGCTTACCGTGGCCTTGAGGGTATAGTTCAATGTGGAAGATGGACCGGGCTTGTAGTAGTTTCCGACAAAGTTCACCTTCTTGGCTCCGCCATCCGTGACGCGGGAGCCGTAGTTGTAGACGACATTGTTGCGGATGTCGAGCTCGCCGGCGAAGGCGGCATTGTCATCAACACCGCCACCCATACTCCAGCTGCGGCCCTCGGCGTGGGCGAGCAGGTTGTGGTGGAAGGAGCCGACGTCACCGCCGATGGTAGCGCTGTAGCCGTGGGCAGTGCCGTTGGGGTAGTTCTTGTGGCCGGCAACGTTGAGAGGCTCGGAGATCATGTTGCGCTGGAAGGTGATGTTCCAGGCCGAGCGAGAGCTGAAGGCCTCGTCAATGGTCCAGCCCTAATCATGCTCGTTAGCAGGCTAGTCTGATAGAATGATTGGGTAGGCTAAAGACATACCATGGAGCATCGGTCAAAGATGCAGTGGTTAGAGCCCTGCATTCCCATGCCGTCGACAGTTTCGCCAGAGACCTTGCCGGGGCGGACGCGGACGTGGCGGAAGACGATGTCGGAGGCGCCGGTGAGACCGACTGGGAACCCCTGGACCACAATGCCCTTACCGGGGGCCGTCTGGCCAGCGACGGTGACGTACTGGTCGTTGACGGAGATGCGGGACGTGGTAGTGATTACGCCAGAGACGTCGAAGACGACGATGCGAGGTCCCTTGGCGACGGTCAGGGCGTAGCGGAGGGTTCCTTCGTCGGTCGAGTCCGCCAGGCTGGTGACCTTGACAACCTTGCCACCGCGGCCGCCCCGAGCGAAGCGACTATTTTCTGTCAATAATCTATGCTTTGTCCTAAGAGTGAGAGAGGCGACTTACCCATAACCCTCAGCACCAGGGAAAGCCAGCTGGGCCACGCGGAACATGAAGACGCGGCCGGTGTAAGTTGCGTCCCCTGCGACGACGTCGACGCGCCAGTAGAAGGTGTCAAAAGTGTTCAAGCCTTTCAACCACTTAGTCCAATTCCACCATCTGTAAGAGCCAAGAAATACATACCAGGGAGAGAAGCGCTCGTCTCAGTAACACCCTCAGCAACGCTCGTCAGGTTAGTCGCAGAAGTGCCAAGGAAGACATTATACTTGACACCCTCCGCCGACGCAGGCGCGCGCCACGAAGCCTTTACGCTCGTCTCAGTACCAATCTCGATGCGCTCATCGCGGTGCTTCGGCGTCGGGAAGCTGATCTGGTTCGCCATCGCAGGCGCGTCAATCTCAAATCCGTTCAGAAAGGCGCGCCCATCACCGCCGCTGGGCGTATAGACCACCTTCACCTCCTGGCCCGCCGTCGCGACATCGAATGTGACATACGAGGCCGCAGCCTCCCAGATATTGTCGACGCGCGCGGATTGCTTGAAGCCCGACTCGACGCTCTTGCCGTCGACAGCGATGTCGAGCGTCGCAGTCGCGTTGAGGGCATCCCAGGCGTTGTGCCACGTCAGGAGGCTGTGCTTGCCCGCGGGCAGGCCCTTGATGGAGAGAGTGAGCGCCGTGCCGTCCTTGGTCGAGGTGCTGATGCCCTCGTTGACGACGCGCTCGCCGAGCGAGGAGAGGAAGCGCGTGTACTGGTACTTGTAGTAGTTGCCGGACAGCTCGGCGGTGCCGGCGGCGAGGGTGAGGGAGACGTCGGCGTCGGTTATGTTGGCGACGGTGATGTTGGCGGTGGACGCGCCGGGAATGGTCCAGGTGATGTAGTCCGAGTCGACGAGGTTGCGGACGTTGGCCGGGTTGAGCCGCAGGCGGATGGGGGCGACGGCGGGCAGGCCGGAGGCCGGAGCGGCGGAGGCTTCGGGGATGCGGGAGGTGACTAGCGTGGTCGGGGCCGGGGCGGATGCATTTTGGGCCGCGGAGGCGGTCGCGAGCGCGGTGGCCACCAGGGCCTTGAAGAAGCCCTTCATGGTGCTTGTTTAATACTCAATGATGATAGGAAAAGACAGACGGGATGAAACGAATGGAATGCGATGAACGGCAGAGATTCCGAGACTGCGACGCCGCGAACGCTCGGCGCGCGGGGGAACGCCAATATGTAGGCGACCATCTACGGTCTATTACCGGACATTTTCGCACCATGTTTGCGCCGAACCCACCTGTTCATTAGCTGCCTTTTCCCACCGCAAACAAGCTGCTCCTATTTCTGCATGCTTTTCGAAATGTGGTGCACCTCATTCCCAGATTGAAAGGCAAATAGATGGGGGAGGTGGGCGGCCGCTAAGAATGAGGCGATGGCGCTAGACGGTTCCTGGACGAGCCGGGGGATAAATCCAGCGCCCAGCGGTTGGCCATTTTCCACGAGTAGGGATCAGGGCGGCCCCCGCAATGGGATCTGGGTTGCATCCCGGACCGAACATGGCGCTTAAGTGACCAGAAAGTGGCCGTTGTGAAGGCAGAGGCTGCGGGAACCTTGCATGAGGGCTTGGCGGGGATGAGGAAGGTGTTTAGGCTTGATGAGGCAGCTCGACTCAGGTACGAAGTACGGATGCTGCAGCGACTGCGCACATCATTTCAAGTGGATGCCAAGAGGTGAAATTGCCCAGGGGCTCGTGAGCGTGGAGACTGGGCGGCCGATCTGCGGCCCCTTGAATGTGACAGGATTGACGAGCTGCGCTTTGGGGAATCTTGTGCCGAGTTTTCTGGAAGGCAGCGCTCGGGCTGCTCTGATGCGCCGTAGTTGTTAAGGTTAGATGAGTTTGGATATAATTACGGTGGTAAATAACATCAATTGAACTTGCTGCCCGTTCATCTGATTCAAGTACAAGCCTCAAGAGGACCCTCTTTTCAGTTGCATACAGCCACAGAATAAAGTAGTTTTCGCACTCAGAAGTTGGCCGGTAAAACTGACTTAATCTTTTAGGCTTTGCGACAGAGGGTGTCGAGTACTGACAGTTCATTTCAACTGATGAGGCCACAAGCATGAACACCTTCCCACGAAAAGTGTTATGACTTATTTTGACATGTTGTTTGAACACGTTCAAACTCATTCAATGATTTGCAGCGTCGTGGCTTTTCGTGTACCGTACCCGCTGGGTTGAGATGAACGACGACTGAGGTTCCCCGTCATCGTCCCCATACCATGGGAACACTGAAACAGGTCATGAGAGAGGTAGAGTAGGCATTCATCCACAACAAAAGGAACGTCAACCCATAGTATGGAGCATCATTATTACATTACAGCAACATTCTTGCTGCTTGAGAGGCGTCTAGATACACGATACTAAGTAGAAAAACTCGCACCAAGGGACCAACCCCTCCTCACTGGTTAAGGTACTGCTCAAACTTGCCACCATACCGCTGCCCCGCGACCGGCAAGCTCTCAATCAGCGCCCAGATCTCCTTCAAATCGTCGTCGCTCAGCTGCACGTCCTCGCAGTTCTGCACCACGCGCTCCGCCTTGGTCGAGCCCGGGATCGGGATGGCGCCCTGCCGGCGCACCCATGCGATGGCCACCTGCGCGACGTTCGCGCCCTTGCGCTGCGCAATCTTCTCGACGGCCTCGACGAGCTTGAAGTTCTGCGTGAAGACGTCCGCCTTGAAGCGCGGCAGCATGTGGCGCATGTCGTTGGCGGGGAGGTCCTCGGGCTTGCGGAACTCGCCGGTGAGCAGGCCGCGGCTGACGGGGCTGTAGGCGACGAGGGCGATGCTGACTGTGAATGGGTGAGTTAGTAATTGATAAAGCATGATGACGGGCTGGGCATTGTGAGAACTTACGCTCGTGGCATGCCTCCGCGACACCGTTGGTCACGGCATCGGGCGTGAAGATGCTGAGCTCGATCTCGACCGAGTCGATGGGGTGGACGGCGTGCGCACGGCGGATGGTCGCGGCACTGACTTCGCTGAGGCCGATGCCGCCGATCTTTCCTTCCTTGATGAGCTCCGCGAGAGCCTGGACGGAGGTCTCAATGGGGACGTTGGGGTCGACGCGCGCGCACTCGAAGATGTCAATCTTCTTGACGCCGCCGAGGACCCGGACGGCCTCCTCGACGGAGGCACGGATGCCCTCCGGGGTGCCGTCCGGGATGTGGGTCTTGGCGTCGTAGGCGCCCTTGATGCTCAGGACGACCTTGTTGGCGTCCTCTGGGTATTGCTCGAAGTAGTGCTTGAGCAGGTGCAGGGAGTTTCTATCGGGAGTACCGTAGTGGATGCCCTGTTGTTTGGTTAGTACATCCGAAAGATGGTATTGTGAATGGGAGAGAGGGAGATCGCAGGCTTACCCCATTCCAAAAGTTGGCGCCTTGGTCGAGGGCAGTCTTCATCAACTTGACCGATTCGGAGAAGTCAATCTGGTCCCAAGGGCGAGTCAATCCTGTGCAGCTTTATTAGCAAAAACATGATCTGCCTCGTATCATATGTGCTTACCCATTAGTCCGTAGCCCGTAGGTCCAATGGCCTTTCCGACGAGGGTCTTGGGTGCTGTGGTGGAGCTCATGTTGACGATGATTGAGATTGAGATGTAAGTGTGTGTAGTGGAGGTTGTAGTGTCTGTAGTGTTTGTAGTGCTGTGTAGTCTGCTGAGTGAATGCTGGATTGATGATGTTCTTCAAACTCAAAACCATTCTCAGGTTTTCAGCTGCGTATATATATTCTTCCTTTCAATGTTAGCCATTTCTGCCATCACTGCCATCACCAGTCATTGATAGTATGCCTACAGCTGTAAGTGTACCCAGAAATTAAGTCCGGCCAATTATCTCCTAATGCGCGGGCCGGGGTCGGGCGCCGCCGCAGCGACTTCTGTCGGTTTCGGGCGGGCCTCGGTGGGGTTAACGGAGCTCATAATAAGATCCGGTCCGTCTCACTCACTCACTCACAGGCTGCAGCTGGCGGTGCAGGACATAGACCCCATTCCTTACGGGGCGGTTCTATCGGATTTAGCATGGCCAAGGTTCTGAATGACGACGCCGTACTCATAAGCGTCTACCAAAGGTCCAAATTGAGTGGGTGCCGTCTACCAAAAGCCCAAATGCAAGTCCCACGGTTCAACGCGTCTGCCTAGTGAATTCAGTTTGTCCATTTGGACGGTCCAACGCCGGACATTGATTGAGGCATTGCACCGCTGCACTCGACATGGGTTCTTCCAACCAAAAAAAGACCGCATTTTGTGGCTGCGCCCGACTTGCCGTACGGGATCGCATTCCTGGTGGCTGCACTTCAAACGCATCTCGATGAATCCTGCCGTTTCAAGGACCAATCGCATGAAGAGTCGCGGCAGCCCTACAGCCCCATGTAGGCCGTGATTGGAGGTGAGGAATATGTTGCATACTCTGTTGATTCAGCACCTTATTTTGTCGTCTTCGCAGTTAAGACACCTCCGCTCCGCCCCTTCGGGTTCTAGATAGCCATTGTCAAGCGCCTCTGTGAAGCATCCCGGACAGGGAGCTATCCCATTTGCAAGAGTCACATACGCTTGAGACTCATGGTTGGGGGGTTCGAATCAAGTGTGAAGACGCCAGAAAACATGAAATAATAGTGGGTGAGAAAGAAAGTTTACAATGATGAATTACAAAATTACTCTATAAAGTCCTTGCGATGATACGTCTATGATGATGCAGTATAGCATGCAAAGCTGCCACCCAATCTTCTCACATCTCAACCCAATACCGCCCCCAAACCCCCATACCTCCAAACTGCACACCAATCTTCTCTTCTTCTACTACTCCTTCTTGACCTTGGTACTCTTCTTCGGCATCCGAAGCAGCCAGTAAAGCAGCGCCGCTGCCGCGATGTTGAAGATGCAGTAAGCCCACATCAGCCCAAAGTTCCTCCACCGGTTCGCGAAATCGACGTTGATGCCCTTGAGGAACGCGTTCGTGTTGTCCATCGCGCAGTAGCTGCACTCCGTGGCGTTGCCCGCGTCCGGGTTCTCGAGGTACCCGCCCGCCGACGCGATGTAGCCGGCCATGTACTCGCCGCAGGTCTGCGCGCTCGGGGCGCTGAACTTGACGAACTCGTTCGCGGCGCAGTGGACGGGCGCGTTGGCGAGGGAGGTGCCGAGGAAGCCCTCGACGACGTAGGTGAAGGGGTTGACGCGGTACATGAAGATCCAGAAGCCTGGGAGGTCGTTGGGGCCGGCGAGGATACTGGGTAGGTGTTAGTTGGGGGATTTTCATTGGAGGAAGGAGGTAATCAGGGGGAGAAGACGTACCCGCAGAAGGCAAACATCATGATGGCAAACAGGTTGACGATGCCACTGGCGACTTCCGCGTTGGGCAGACCCGCGATCATCATGTGCGCGAAGGAGCCCGTGAAGACGAAGAAGATCCAGACTAGGAGGAACATGGTGATACCGCGGGAGTCGGTGGCGTCGGTGTGGTAGGCGTTGCGGTACAGGCCGATGGGGAAGTACCAGCAGACGAAGCAGAAGACGGAGGCAAGCTGTCATTTCATTAGTCTCTGGTCACACAAAGTCGGATCTTGATGATCTTACCGAATTCCAGGCCATCTCGACGAGGATGTTGGCAATCAAGAACGCCTTCCACGAATACGCCTTGGATGGCCGCTCGCGGGCTTCGTACATGGTGCGCTGGGAGACGAAGACGGGCATGATCTGCTCGACGACCTGGCTGAAGACAGTGAGGAAGATGAAGACGCCAAACATCTGGTTTTGCAAGCCGCGCTGGGTGTTTTCTGCGTTCAAGAATGAGAGACCGATGAAGAGAGCCTGTAAATCAGTCAGAATGTAGTCTCCTGCAGGTTGAGGAGGGTTAACTCACAGCACCAAAGGACAAGATGCCCTTGGAGTAGATGTACGACGGACTACGCCAGTACTGTTGGAAGACACGCTTGGTGACCTCGAAGAACTGGGTTCCAAAACCGGCAGCAAATTCCTTGTAGCTAGATACGTCTTCGGTCTGCGGTGCCTGGACCTGGGCCTGAGCACCTGAGCTCAAACGAGTCAACTCATCCTGAACAGTCTGATACTCGGGAGTCTGGCGCCAGACAGCGGGCCAGTCGATATCGGTATGAGCGCCTGGCGCCGCACCGATGACTTCCAGCATATACTCCGCGGGATTCGCTCCAGGAGGACACTCAGGCCCGCCGTTCCGGACGAAATAATCAACCAAAGTCTGCGAATTCTTTCCAATCTCACCAAAGTACACGGTGCGTCCTCCGCGCGCAAGCAGCAACAGCCTATCAAACCGCTGGAACAGCATCGCCGAGGGCTGGTGGATTGTACAGAGGATCGCCTGGCCGCTCTTAGTCAGCTTCTCCATGAGGTTGCAGATGGACCACGAGGTCTGGCTGTCGAGGCCCGAGGTCGGCTCGTCGAGGAACAGCAGGAGCTGGGGGCGTGCTGCGAGCTCGACGCCGATAGTGAGGCGCTTCCTCTGCTCAACGTTAAGGCCCTCGCCGGGCTCGCCAATAACGGCGTCCGAGTACTCTTCCATACCGAGGAGGGCAATCACGGTGTCGACGTAGGCGAGCTTTTCGGCGCGGGAGTAGGTGGCGGGCTGGCGCAGGAGGGCGGAGAAGTTGAGGGCCTCGCGGACGGTGGAGGTGTGCAGGTGGAGGTCTTGCTGGGTCACGTAGCCGGTTTTGCGTTGGAAGGAGGAGTCGCGGGGTTGGCCGTTTACGAGCATTTCGCCGGTGATGACGCCCATTGTGACGCGGGTTGCGAGAACATCGAGGAGAGTTGTTTTGCCGGCGCCGGAGACACCCTGGATAGTTGGTTATCAAGGGCAAGTTATGTGTGTGATTGAAAAGACTTACCATCAAAGCCGTCAGAGTTCCTGGTCTGTAATGAATGTGTCAGTGGAGCTGCAACAACGGGTTGTGAGGAGCATGACTTACTTCACCCAGCCATCGACATGGTCCAGAATCCGGCGAGGCTCACCCTTGATCTTGATGTCGTAGCACACATCTTTCCAGTGGAAGACAGAAGTCTGCTTCTCCATTCCAGCAACGCCCTCAGAGTCCTCCTTGTCAGTCTGCTGAGCTCGGACAGTTGCACCGCTCTCAACATCGACAGCGCCAGACTTGCGGCGCTTGCTCATCGCCGCACGGCTGAATACCAGAACCTCGCCCTTGGAGCGCTCAGAAGCGACGTACTCCGTGGCGATGAGGTGGAGACCCATGAAGAGAATGGTGTAAGCGATCAAGACACCAAAGTTCCTCCACCTGTGCGAGTTCTTGAAGCCGTAGGACGTCAAGAGGTAGGTCGTGCCGCTAACGAAGTCCTGGCCGGGAACGGATCCAGCTGAAGAGCAGACCTTCTCGTTGGCCGCGACCGAGCCGTATCCAGGGCCCATCGGCACGAAGGTAGAACAGGGGAAGTTGCGCCCGACGAACTCGTTGAGCATGACGCTCTCGAGGCCATAGAAGACGGGGTTGATCCAGCGGACCCAGCCCAGCCAGTCCTGCATGTACTGCGGAGGGATGGCGAAGCCGGTATACAGGGCGATCAGGAGGAGGATGATGGACGCTGGGGCGAGAGCCTGGGCGACGGACTTGGTGACGGAACCAATGAGGCGGAACATCATCGACATCGAGAGCGTCATAGTGAACGAGATGAGGAGGAAGAAGAAGAAGGCGCCGGGTTCTCTGCGGAGATTGCCCATGAAGTACAGGATTGTATTCATCAGGATAGCGTTAAAGATCTTGTACGGGAGATCCACGATCATCGCAGACAGGGCCTCAGCCGAGGGATGGTACAGGGCGTAGCGGGAATGTTTTTCGACGATTTTCCGTTTGGCGTACAATGTCATGATCTCCAGGATGCTTCCGAAGGCGTTAATGATGACCGTGAAGAACAACAGGATGGCGCGGCGGAAGAAGCTGGATGTGTCGGTGGGTAGGTTGTAGAACAGACTGCTGATGATCAGGGCCTCGAAGATGTTCGTGATGAGCATGGTGAGCGTAATACTCGGGTCGCCTTTCAGCATCACCCAGCTTCGCCACAGGGTCAGGTTCATCTGCTCCGTGTACGAGAGCGTGAAGGGAGACTTGGCGCGCTGAGACTTGGACTGATCCATGCGGCGAGCCTCGAGGAACTTTTGGAAGTGCTCGCCTCCAAAGGGGTGGCGCTGGAGGTAGTCGTCGACTTCCGCGAGGAGGCGGGTGCGGTGCTGGCTGGCCTTCCAGGCCTGAGCGAACTCGTCGGGGCTGCGGGGTGTCTTGCCCTCCCAGCCGGGGCGGATGACGCGCTCTTGGTGGCTGGTCATGGACGTGAGGAAGTCGGCGGTGGTTTGCTGTTCTGGGCAGACAAAGCCGAGGCCTTCGAAGTAAGCCTTTGCTTCGGTGGTCTTGCCGAAGAAGATCTGACGGCCTTCGTACAAGACGACAACCTTGTCAAAGACCTGGAACATGTTAGTTCATGATGATTGGATGGTAAGAGAAGTTAGACTTACATCGTAAGCGTCCTGGGAAGCTTGGTAAATAGCAACGCAGGAAGTGCAGCCCATGACATCGGCTTGGAGTCTCAAAGTGCGACAAAACTCAAGGGCGTTAGCACTGTCGAGACCGCGAGTACTGTTGTCCCAGCACTGCAGAGGCGAGTAAGATAGCGCTGCCTCGGCAATCGTGACACGCTTGCGCTCACCGCCGGATACTCCACGAACGAAGTCATCACCAACACGAGTATTCTTCGTATGCGAAATGCCAAACATGGCCATCGTCACATCACGAAGATGCTCAGCATACTCCCGCCTCGAGACGCCTTCCGGGATGTTCTTCGGGCACCGGGCACGAGCGGCGAAGTACAGCGTGTCGCCAACGGTCAGGTGCGGGAAGTGGTGGTCAACTTCGGCCGTGTAAATCGCCTCGCCCCTGAACGCCGTGCGCATCTCCTTGGGATGAATTCCCTGGTAGTTGATGGTTGCGCCGTCGCTGATGTGGAACCCGTGAGTGTCTCCTGCAATGGTTCGCAGGAGAGTCGAACAGCCCGATCCAGGGGGGCCAAGGACGGCCAACATCTCACCACTGTGAACGACGCCCTCGAGATCGTGGAGAATATCGATGCGTTGCTCCTTGGCTCCAGCGAGCTTCTTGACCATCGTCGCAGCTTCGAGGAAGACATTGCCGACGCTCTTCTGATAGTCCGTGGAAGTACCGAAGCCGAAGACGTTGAGGTCCTTGAACGCAATGCCGGTCGTCTTGGGCGGGTTGCCCTCAGAGGTGTCGGTGCGGATGTCGTAGAACGCCTTTGCCCACTTTCTCGCGTTGAAATTGGGGCTGGCAGGATTCAAGGGGCCCTCGGCGGGAACGGGGAACAAAGCACCCGGGGCGCCATGGGACTGGGTGGTGAATCGGCGGGCGAGTTGCAAGACCTCGTTGTTCATCCGCTCTTCCTGCTCAGCGGCATCCTCGTGCTTGACCCATTCCTTCTCAGCCACGGTCGTGGCCGAGTTGGACACCGAATCCGACGTTGAAGGCTTGTGCTGCTTCTCGTTCGCGGTTGTCGGGGGAGGCAGAACGGCGCTGTCGGTCTCCGTGTCGCTGTCAGACCGCATTGTTGGCTCGAGAGGTCTCTCAGACCAGACGGCACGGATGTGAAAAGTCTGAGTATGATTGACAGAGTCTTGAGAATTAAAGTGACAGAGTAGTAAATAACAAGCCCGATGTAGTAGTGAGGTACGATCATCAGTTGAAACCGAGTTGACTGAAAGTGGAATGGAATAGAAAATGACATCCCATCTTCGGGACGAGATTCATAAATAATAAACATGGTAGCATGCACGATCTGAAGGATCTTATCTCCATCATCATCATCATTGTTTGCTTTCGTCAGCCCGTGTTGTTGGTTCTGGACAATCGGATATTCGGTTGTGGAGAGTCCGAAGGTCCGCCTTTAGGGGACTTTTTCAGCCCTATGAAACATCATTTCGGACTCAGCCAAGCCTCTCGAAAGACTCATTTTGATCTGGAACCCAGCGCTAGCCACGTCTATGACTTACCAGTGTGGCTTGGCCCAGGAACTTGCCGTCTCCCCCTTAATGTGCATTAACAAATTTCAAGCATGACCAGCCGGTCGCAGCTGTTCTGACCGCTTTTCCCCAGCTTTTGACAGCCCGGAAGATCAGTTTTCACGATTCCGGTGGGCTGCCGGATTTCTCGGGAACCCTGGTCGAGCTGCCCGCGGCCCCCGTTCCTCGAGCTCGCGCGGATCCGTGCTAAGCAGGCCCCCCTTGCCAAGCCAGCAAGCGGTAACCATTTTGACTTTGGCAGACAAAACCATGTCTGTCCCGGAGATTCCACGTCCATGATGCGTCAGATCGGCTCGGGTGGGCTAGTCGCGGGCCTGTACATGGTTATTTGTCTTCCGACTCCCCCTCTGTTTACCCTCTCTTGCACCCGCGCGCCCCTCACGGCCCATTTCTCCGCCCTCCGAACGTCTCGCGAGCCTAGCCAGCCATGGCGGATCAGTCAGCACATTTGAACCCGCTCTCGGTGCGTAGCGGAGATTCCCATGGCCCATTGTCCGCTCTCTGGTTCTTCTCAGGGGCAATGGGTATCTGCTTTGGTGGCTCTCATGGCTGACAGTTGTGTCTCATCTCGCTGTGTGTAGTGCAAAAGATGCAAACACAGAAAGGTCAGTTCTGCATTCCTCCCGGCGACAGCGCCGTTCACGAGCATCATCAACTGACGGGTTGTCTTCGACATCATCAGGTCCGGTGTAGTCGGGTGATGCCGACATGCGATAGATGTAAAACACACGACATCGACTGCGTCTATCCTCAACGGGTCAAGAGGAAAGTGACCAAGACCCTGACGGACCGCCTCTCGTAAGTCTCCGCCCCTCCACTTTCCTCCGTGCCGTCTCTCCGATGGCCAGATTTACGAGAGATCGTTGGCTCAAACTCGGTTTCTTGGCGACTCCCCAGCACGACAGATGACGCGCTCTCAACCATCCTGGAACGGTTACAGCGCGTCGAGGAGCACTGCACCACGCTGCCGAACGGGGGCCAAGCCGTTGGCTCTCTAGATGCCGCACCCCCTGCTCCCGCGTCTGATCCTCCCGCCCCGCTGCGGCACACGTCAACATCCAACAGCGCGCCGTCCAACGTCTCCTCTCCGGCTCCTTCGAGCGCGGCGGTGGTGGCGTCCCCATGGACGTCTTTTGCCACCCCGAGCGCCACTCCTGAGATTGACACGGCGGCCATCCTGAAAGACGCCGTTGATCAGGTTCAACGACTGAGGTTACAGACTATCGCTACCGCAACCATCACTGAGAATGTCACTATTCCACCAGAATTGTGTAAACAATGGATCGAGAGTATGTTGGAACTCATTCCCCGTCATTTCATTAACTGTTACTCACTCTGTTGCCAGACTACTTCACCCACATGCAAACAGAGATGTTTGTCAGTTTGATAAATCTCAAACTCATCAAGCTGATCCCCGACTTGCTTGATCTTCCTCATGTTCACCTAGATCCGGCTATTCTCGTGGTTTACTACGGTATTCTCTACCACGGTTGCGCTCTTGGTGCAACCTTTGAGGGCAATGCTGGCAGCGGTTTGCAGTATGTCCGCATGCTGTATCTGTGTTGTCTTCGTTCCCTGCCTCTCTGGCAACGGGAAGCAACAGGGACAACGACGGACTTCATAGCTGCGATCTTCATGGTGAGCCTTGCACCAAAGACTACTTTACTAACCGAAATGGTTTCGTTAACTAATCGTGATTTACAGTGTCGCACAGCTGCCGAATGCTTTGACGAAGAGCTAAGCTGGCGGATGTACACCTACGCCACCGACTACGCCCAGAAGTTGAACATTCACAACCTCGACGCCCACACAGAAGGCACCAGCGTTCTGCTAGACCAGGCCAAACTCGATGCCGACCGGAAGGGTTTCTGGGAAATGATTCAGATCGATTTCTTCTTCCGCCTACTGTTCAACAAGCCACCGTCAATTACCGCCAGCATCAACTCCTGGAAGGTCAACCTGCCCTGGCTATCAGCAGACGCACAACCAGACATCAACGCCGTGCCAACCATCGCTTTCCTCGTTGGGTCGCGCCAGACCTTCATCCTCTCGCGGTTCTTTCAGGAGCTCGAAAACAGCAACTGCACCGAGGAGGAGATGCGGCCCAAGACCGAGGACCTCTGCCGCGAGATCGGCCAGCTCTTCGCGGAGTGGGGCGTCGAGGAGTGGGTGACCAAGACCATGTCCAGCGAGAACAAGTCAGAGGCCTGGATGATGAGCGACATCGCCATGTCCGGGTACACGTACGTCATCTTCATGCTGCGCAAGCTCTCCGTGCTGCGCTCTAACTCGCCGCGGCCGGTTATGTCCGACGCCGACGTGCCCGACTCGCCGCTCGCTGTCGACGCGTCGCGCCGCCTGCTGAGCGTCGTCCACATGGTGCTGGTCAAGAACCCGTTCCCGGAGACGATGTGTGTTCTGTTTGGCATGTATCGCCTTTACGTCGCGTACGCGTGTCTGATGAACAGCGTTTTGCATTCGGCCGATGTTCGCGCGCATATGGACGATGTCGGGTTGCTTGAGCAGTTGTGTGATGTGATGACGGTTGCGTCAAGAGGGGAGAAGGACTTTGTGCCGTTGATAAGGGCGATCCAGAGCTTGGGGATGGAAGTAAAGAGGAGGCTTAATGAGCCGGGGACGAGTATTACCACACCGATGCTGGGCTTGGGAACATGAGACTGTTGCTGTTTGTTCTCGTGTTTTTTTCTGCTTGTCGTTCAGCCTGTCATTTCATGGGGGTTTGTACAACCATGGTCATCACGGAAAATGGACTGAAGCTCTTCTGGTCTGTCATGGGCGGTGAAATCGGGTATCATGATCTTGCTGGAACTTTTCGGGGGGCTGTACGTGATTTGAAAATAGAGATGGCTGTGATATTCGAATTCATTGAATAATCATTACTCTTATTATTACTGCCCACCGGATTAAGCTACTGTAGGAGGGGATCGTCCTTCAGTGACTGCTCATACGCTTTCTCTATCAGCTCCGTTCTCTCAGGGCTTCTCGGTTTCAGATCAAAATCAAAGTGCTTTGGCTGGACGTTAAAACCCTCCACAAAATTGTAAACGGGGGGTATCATCTCCTCTCCGGCAGAATTCTTGGCTCTGTTGACGTTGCAACCCCAAGCCAGCATCGCAATCTTAAGGTTGAGACTCCTCTCGGCAATGTTGATACCCTGGCAGATTCTTCGGCCGTGGCCGAACGCCGAGTAGTTCTGCAGGTTGGGGTACTGCGTCAGAGGCTCCTTGTACGTCGGGAACGACGGATCCAACCAGCGATCGGGGTTGAAGACTTCAGGGTCGGGATACTGCTCCGGGTCTCGCTGGATAGCCCACTGCACAGCATGCACCACAGTTCCCTTCTTGAGGAAATAGCCGTTATAAGTATCGTCTTCCGTCAAACGATGGGGGAATCCTCCGGCGGTGATGGGGTAGACACGAATCGTCTCCTTGACGCACGCTCTCACGAGAGGCAGCGCCGCAATATCGGTGAAGGTGGGTAATCTGTCGGGCCCGACGACTGAGTCAACCTCCTTTTGAAGCTTCTCAAACCATCCAGGGTTCCGCACCATGCACAACACAAATGACGCGAGCGCCGACCCAGAGGTTGTGGCTGCGGCCTGGAACACGGACCCAAGCATCCAGTTCGCTTCGCGCCGCGTGAGGCCCCACTGCTCTTTCGTCTCGAGCCAGTTTCGCGCCCACGACGGCGACTTGCTGCGGTCGATGAGCTCGTGGAAGAAATCCTCATCGCGCCGGCGTCGTGCGCGGAGGTACTTTTTCCAGGGCGCGAGCCACTCAGGCACGTACATGAGCGACGGGAACAGGTCGACCAAGTACGCTCCAGGCGACCCGACGCGCTCGAGCTCGTGGACGATGTCGAGAATCATCCTGGCGTCCCGGTCATGTCCGCTCTCCAGCCGCAGGCCGTAGATGATGCGTAGGCCCAGGCCGACGCTGAATCGCTCAAAGAGTGCCTCGTAGTCGCTGGGGTCGCGGAGCAAGTCGCGCAGCAGGCGGATGCCCTCAATCTTCTGCTCCGTCTCGTAGAGCGGGGCGACCGGGGACATTGTCACCTGGTGCAGGAACCGCCGGTACTTGCGCCACTGCTCGTCGTACGGGAGCAGCAGCAGCATGTGGTCGTCCGTGAGGAGGTGCGATGACGCCGGCGCATAGTGGCGGTCGCTGTAGATGTTCCCGCGCTGGCGGAGGAGGTCGTTGGCGGCGGTCTCGGTGCCGAGTAGGACGTGCTCCTGGCCCGGGATGGAGAGTCGGACGATGGGGCCGTGCTCCTTGATGAGTTCGTGGAAGGCAAGCCACGAGTGTACCGGGGGGATGGACAGGAGATTACCGATGAGGGGCTTCGGCTGCGGGCCCGGCGGGAGGGCCGTTCCCGGTGGGAGTTGTTGCTGTTTCCTTGGCTTCAGGGCGGTGAGGATGAGGGCGAAGAGGATCGCGGCCCCGGCTGCTAGGTACGGGTTCACGACGCCACCCAGGGAGGCAGACATCTTTGAGCGGGCTCTACACGATGATGACTGGCGATGGTTGGGATGCTGCGTGGGACATGTCTCATTCCCCGGGTCCTGCCTGGCTCATACGAGCGAAGATCTTCATGTGGGAATGTGGAAACAAAATTCTTCAGCAACGGGGTTTTTGACTGCCGGCAGGTCTTTGTGCTGTGACAGCGGAGGCCCCCGCATCATAGTAGCTCTTTGTTATCAGTCTAGACCCCCACTCATGTACAGGCGATACCAATTAGAGATAGCGGCTTGGAAATACGGCCTTAGCAACGGTAGTGCCAGATGGAGTGCGGGTAGCTCGAGTCATGTTCGGTAGTACGCAACAGGACATCAAGCACGTATTGTAAGTCTTGATATCCGTCATTGGATAGGTACCATATGTTGCTGTCAACAACAGAGCTTTGTTGCCGATGCGCCAATGTGGCACAGCATGCAGTGAACCACATGGTTTGTGGGGTAGGTGGCCCAAGCTTCAAGACCCAAGTTGAATGATCAAGAGATGATCTTCAGAAATTCAGACGCTCGTTATCTGAGACTCGTTGTGTGAGACACTGGTCTTTGGTCTATGTCTAGGACTGGGCCTGGAATCTCAAAATGCATGATAGTGCCGGCACAATCCGGGGTTTTTTTTTTTTTTTTTAAAAAAAAAAAGGAACTTAGAAGCTGCAGCATTTGAGCATACTAATGACTTGAAGAACTAACATCCATCAACTCCCCTTGGAGCCAGTCATCGCCTTCACAATTTCGATGCACTCCAAGTTCGCCTAGGGAATATTACCCTTGTATATGCCTTGACTGATGCTGCAAAACACCTCAAAGCGTGCATCGGAAGCTTTTTCCACCATCCAATCAAGTGTGCCAGTGCTTCTTGCGCTCTAGATGTGAATGCTGGCTTAGTCTCCATCGCCAAGTGCTGGTCATGCTCGCTGACGGCAGCTTCGAGCCTGCGCATGATTTCGTCGTGCTCTATCTTAAGCAGTCGAATGTGTTCCGGGTCATTTTTATATCGAGCATATTGTAACGGTAATTTGCCAAACCTGTTCTTCGTCCAAACACTGGGTTCATGTCTGACAAGACGATCAACTGCCTCTGTATTCGAGAGTCGCATTGCGTAAGAGAGGGGGGTTTCTCCGTCATGTGCGGCACTGGTGTTGGCGCCCCAGGTGAGAAGTAACTGTAGGATCTCACTCCGCCTTGCGTAAATGGCGTGGAAAATTGGTGGCCGCCTTTCAAAGTCCTTGGCTTCAATGTCTGCGCCTTTCTCCAAAAGCAAACTAACAACCTTATGATGGCCATGTGTGATAGCAAACACCAGCGGCGTCGTGCCTTTCTCATCATCAGGTATCTCGGTGTCAGCGCCTTGCTGAAGGAGGAGCTGGACAATCCGGTCATGTCCATTCCTGGCAGCCAATAATAGCGACGTTCGGTGACTTCCATCGGTCGCATTGATGTTAGCCTTTCGGCTTAACAAGTGGTTGACAACGTCGAAGTGGCCCATATAGGCAGCGATGGCTAACACAGGGCAATCGGCTCCGAAATCAACTCCGTTTGGGAAACACGACAAGCCTTTCTCATTGACATCGGCTCCATGATTGAGTAGGCACTCAACAATACCAGAAAAGCCCAGACGAGCAGCCACAGCCAGTGTAGGCTCATTCTGAGCCGTTAGAGGCGATTCAGACTGATTTTGAAACCCGCCTCTCACATCTGCTCCCCTTTTCAACAGCGTTCGGGCAATTGCACAGTGATTTGCCTTCACTGCCACATCTAGTAGAGTCTCGCCGTCTCTTGTTACTGCCACATTTAGTAGAGTCTGGCCGTCTCTTGTTCGAAAGCTGGCGTGAGTCTCTTTCTTCAACAACATCTTAAGGGCTGCAGGGTGCCCTAGCAGGGCCGCTGTGGCTAAGGGAGACTGTCCGCGGCTGTCCGAGCGTTTCGCAGCAAACCCCATGGATATGAGTGACTCCAGCACTGGAATGTTGTCTGTAGCAACTGCCATAGATAGAGCACCTCGCCCTTCGGAATCTTCGACAGTAACATCGGCCTCCAGGAAGTCCCAGAGATATTCCATGGCAGCAATATGTCCCACAGTAACGGCACGAATGAACGCCCTCCGTACAATGTTAGGAATATTATCTCTTGAAGGAATATCGCTCAGTTGAAGATCTCTACAAAGACTGGTCAACATCGAGTATTGCCATTGTCTTTGTCTGCTCTTTGAGCACGCTATCAACTCTTGGACCGAATTGAATTCCAGGGAAATTTCAAATTGAATTGCCTCTTTTTCGCTCAGGAGATCAAGGAGATGTTGATCTTGGGCTTTCTTTTTGCCCTTCAGGGGCCTCTTGAACTCTGCCAACTTCAAGCTGACCGGCCAACTTTTTGCCAAGAATTCCAAGAGCAATTTTGTGTGTGCAAGTATGTTCAGCTCCCGATCTGCGTCCACGCCGATGTGCATAGGTTGTGACGCTTTAGCCAGCGCTCCCAACGTGGTCATGTAGAGTTTGGAGCTAGGCGAATCTTGGAACAGCTTCAACTCCAACGTCAGAGAGTCGCTGCTTGCAATATTGCTGCCGAGAAAGCCATCTGAATCGGCTGCTGTTCGAGCAATCATGTCCAGAGCCGTATCCCTAGACGCAACCATCAGATGGCAACTTGCGCGCACTTCCATTTGCTGGACGCGGAGTTCGAGGGCAAAGATAAAATCTTTCAATTCCCCCGTCTTTTGGCGGACCTTCCACCATGACCGCCGAGCTGCATCGTATCGAATATCCATAACGGTACTAAGGACAGCTTTATCTTCGTTCCATTGTCCATCGAAATAGGTAGCGACGATGTCCAAGTCGGTTTCCAGGAGTTTAGCCCACTGAGCGACGTGAAAGCCGTATTTGCAGTGACTCAGTGCAGCTTTATTGCTTGGCAGCAATGCCCGAAGTCGAATGGGTCTGGGTGCCAAACTTACTTCCGATGGAGGTACACACAGAAGTGCTTTTGTCCCCGCCGGTCGTATGTATTCTCGAGGCACTGCGCCAGGCGTAATGCAAAAGAGGGGGATACCCACCGCTGCATCAGTGCGGTTCATCAATCGACAGTTCAGGATTCCAACAGCGTGTCCAGTCTTGGTGTTGCTGAGACAGAGCCGCAACGACAAGCAGCCTCTCGCGGTCTCTAGCCCCTCTATGGTCGAGCTCTTATTCTCCATTGCCACTATTTGGCTACTGTGCATGAAGTCGGTCGGGCTGGTGGCTAGAGCGTTCCCAAAGAGATTGATGTCGGGGTTTTGATTTTCGCCGCCGTCGTTCAGGCCAAAGCTCATGCCCCACGCTAGGACTGAATCGTCCGCCGTTTTCTTGATGATTTCTTCCTGGAGTCGAATGAATGCATGCTCCCCTTCCCCATATATCATGGGCATCATGACATCAAAGATCCCTAGGAGACAATACGCCAAGTCTTCCTTTCTCTTTGTGACTCTTTTGGCTGCCCAAGACATTCGCTGTGCGACGCTAGCATTGCTCAAATCATCGAAACCAATAAGAATCCCATGTGGGATACCTGTAATGCTTCCGATGGCACCAGCCAATTCAAACCTCTCTCCTAACGGGTACCATTTGTTGTCAAAGAATCTGAGGCTTCTAGGAGCTAAGAGCTCCTGCAAGGTCCACCCCCGTGTAAACCAACGACTCCTGTGAAACTGGTCCAGATCGATCTCTCCATTATGACCCGATACGTCCGCTAGGTAAACGTAGCAAATGGCTGATTCCTTGTACCATCGGAACATAGAGTTAATGGCTTCGCCCAGTTCGACAGAGTTGCTTTTGTCGATACAACAGGTGTCAATCCAGACGTGGCTGTAGCCATCAGATTTTGCCTGCCTGCAGAGTCCATCCAGCTTATTTCCGAATCGTCGCTGGATTGAACCCTCTTGCTGCTGCATGTCATGGAACGATATCTCCTCGTGGTCTTGTCCCCATGTATGAGACAAGATAGCGTAGCTCGGGATATCGCTGTGAAATTCCTCCAACCTGCCTGATTCGACGTTGATGAGTCGCATAGCAAGGACGACCGGGCTGCCACGGAGCCACGCAGGCACCCGTATCGACAGGAAGATATGGAGATGCAGATCAAATTCTAGAACCTGCAACACGTGCCGGGGCAACAGAATTTTGGGCGTCCTTAGATAAATGATACAGAGCAGCAAAGCTGAGACTGACGATGCCTCAATGGGTGATGCCTTCGCATGGGATGCGACATGTGCAGGAAGAAGAATCAGGCTGCAATGAATCTTGTCGAGCCAACCCACGTCATCACGTTCGGGACAATCACCAGCTGATAGGTCAGAAATCAGAAGTAAGCCCTACGCCAACACGGTGATACGCGTTGTCTGAGCTACATGTAAGCGAGATACAGCTGGTGCTAATAGGTCAAATGTTGTAGGCCAGTCCAGGCCGTGTGTGATACAGCATACGGTAAGGCCGCTGACCTACGAAAATCTTCAAAAACCACTCATTACCTAGTTTTGTGGTTTTAGCGCACATCAATTTGTTTGACAAGGTTTGACAAGATAACCTGGAATACTGTCAAAAGCTGGTCTTCAAAGGTGGAAAAACAAATATTATGACAGATGCATCTCGAGCGTGTGCCGCTGACTTTCGCAATGCATCAACGGGAGCCCATTATGTTCCTATGCAGGGATAATCATTGCCATCGCGATTATCCAAGGCCATGAGGAGCATTTTGAAGTAATCGTGGGCCCTTTTCTATCCCACTTGACGCCTGCAGACCATTAAACCTACATCAAGTCAATATTTATGCTTCTCCACGTTTCGCCGGTGAGGTACCATGTCCTCGGGTCCGCGGACGACCGACCTGCAACTCACCCAACCCGCGTACCCGCGGGGTCCCCGACCCTCGGCCGCCGGGTTCTTCGGACCCCGTCCGCGCCGCCCTTGCACCCCGCCGCCGAGGTCAATCGACGATGACGATGAAGACAGCTGGATTTCTATCAGTGAGTAAAGTTAGTGATCGGGTGTATCCCCGACGCAAGGACGGCGCAGACGACTAGGAGCATATTATCTAACAAACTGCCACACTCTGCAATGTTCATCTCACCCTCAAAGTCAGACGTTCGGCGATTAATTACCCAATCCGCTCCCTCGGGAAGTGGGTAGACGGCATGCCACCGGCGCTCTATCCGCGGACCGCTGAAAGGGCACCCGCCGGGGGAAAAGCCAACATGGCGGATAAGGGCAAGAGTTCCAGACCGTATCCTGTTGGTCGCATCCCACAGAGCAGTTCATATCGTCACTGTGTTTTCGATGTATAAGAAGCGCATGTTCTCCCACCCCGCGCCCGGGAAACCCGGGGTCCGACGGGCGCCCGACGCACCACCTGACGGATCGTGAGCCCACGCGAGCGGCGTTCTTTTACCTGGTCCAACCCGACTAATCAGCAATTTCAATCAACTCAAAAGCTGATCTTCCTCCTAAGGCTGACGACGTCCCATCGCCTTCGGGCTAACCTTTTATTCCATCTCCGCTCCGCGTTGTCCGCCGGGCGGTTGGTCGGATCAATTGTCAAGCAAACACCCACTGGACATGGACCAAGTCAAGGTGGAGCGGGCGGAGGTCGAGCCCCGGCCGGCGGCGTTTCGATCGGTGAGTTGAACCAATAAGAAACTACGATGATGAATCATCGATCGATCGAGTTGTTAAGTTGACGTTGAGGCTAATTTCACTGCATTGGTAGTGCGACTGGTGCCGTTCTCGAAAGGTTAGTTGTTGTCCAAGCCGGTGTTAGTCGCTAGGCTGCACAGCCATTCTGGCAGGCCGAAATGCGACGATATTTCGGCCTCTCCGTCTCATGTTACAAAGTACACATCATGCTGACCAACCTTGTTAGATTCGGTGCGATAAGGGTTCGCCCTGTACTAGCTGCAAGGTGTCCAAGGTGTCGTGCGAACGAAAGCTCCAACTGAAGCACAGGACCCAAGCACAGAGAGTGCTCATATCGCCAGAATAGTGCGTTGCCATCTCCAGCAGGCCCCCAAGTTGCTCTGCTTTTCTGACCACCAGAGACCAATAGCAGGGCCAAGATTGATCGTATTGACGAGCGTCTCGATAAGATCACGCAAATATTGATGGACTTGAAGCAGCAGACCAAGATCCCAATAAAGCAAGAGATGCTGAGTCCTGGGCCGAGGCCGCACCCTCTCTTGGCACCCAAGGTCAGAGCCGAATGAACAGGAGAGCACAGTTCACGATTCAAACATAACGAAAACGCAACATGGTCATCATTGTCAAGACACAAATAGGAGTTCCGGACTGCTCAACTATTTTTTCTATCTCATAATACAGTACATATAGTTCATGCTTGGGCTAGTTGACGATTCGATCGCGACTTGATTCTTGATGTAGATAAAAGCTTCGTTCCTGTGATTTCCGTTCTGTTTGTTTGTCTCGGCTATTCCAAGGGCTACAACGACACTTGGCAGTTCTCTAGTGTAGACCGCCGACGTCGCGTCGTCTCACATGCGAGATCACCCAATCCGCTTGATATAAGGTTATGCAGACTGCTAAGATAGAAATGAAATCGGTAGTGGGCTATCGAGTGCTCATCAAGAAGCTCCGAGCACCCAGTCAGATCAGAAGCGCGCTCATCGGCCGAACAATGCACTGTTCAGAAAATGCGTACGGCATGACTTGATTCTCGTTCAAGGTCAGACTTCCCGAACCGTTCAGTAATTGACTTTGTGGACATTTTTATGAATGATTTCAGCTAAACTGTAACGCAAAATACAATGTTTCTTGGAATTAACATGCTTATACCGTCACGATGTTCCGATAAATCAAGAGGCTAGAACATACTGAACACCTGCATCACCTGTTTGCCACCTTCCATCAGTGAGTGCCAAACACTCGTCGAAATGTCCTCAAGGTTTATGAACATGAAATACAGTTGGTCAAAGTTCTTCGGCCAATTATCCATCACGGGCACTACGATAAATGTGAGAATAGCACCGAGTTTTGACGAGGTATAACTTACGCAGAGCACAATCTATCCCCAGATATGAATGTGAGTGATTTGAAGTATTTCATCAGGGGCCAGATGCTTACACCGCTACCCAGGCATTTGACAAGAATGGACTCTTCGTCATTGTACGGACTGTGGCACACTCTGCGCGTCGGGAAGGTTTCGGTTTTGTTACCGGGTTCTTCACACTGTACATCTGATATTAATAACACTCTTCGAGATAGCGAAGGTGCTCCCTTACACAGTAGGTATTGGGCTAGAGCTTTTCAGCTGGCTGTACAACTTTTATTGTGATATGGTGGGTAAACTTACTTGGTTAAGAGAGCACGAGGCTCCTTCGGGCTTGTCCCATCCAGCGTTACAGTGAGCGGCCTCGGTAACGGCGACCAGAGCGAGAAGAAAAGCCGGGTATTTCATATTGAGAAGTTGATAGCACGTCAGGCCAAAGGTGACAGTAGTAATCAATGACTGTTAGCGGGAGGATGGGAAGCTGAACAGATAGGATGTCGGTACGAGAGGGGGAATATATACTAATTGTATGTCAAAAATATTGATAGAGAAGTCAGAAGATGAACTGATTTTACTGTCAATTGCCTTACTAAGCGCACAAGATTGCATGCAACGCTTTGAGACGTCAACAACTGCGTGTTCGATCTCCTGGCAAATCATCTACATCACACACTCAGCCAGGGCTGACCGCCACGGTTTGGGATTATAATGTCGCCAGGTATCAGATGTCGGTAAATTTAGTCTGAAGTGATCTTCAAAATTCTCCATCTCGTTCTTTTGTATCCATTTCGATGTATAATTTAGAGCCAAGGTTTCAGTTTCCTTAGAAGGCGTTCCTAGCTTCAGTGTATCTCATAAGTTACGACTCGTGGCGGCCGCCACGGGCCGCTTACTGGAGGCAATCCGGGAATGATGTACCGAAACAGGCATGATTCACCCGAACTTCCACCTCTGCCGAAATGTCTCAACACTGACAATGCTGGCTCTTTGCTGATTGTCAGCAGGGGCGGATGTGCCTTGAAACTCAGAACGGCCATCATCCCAGGGCACGTCAAGGTCAAAAATAGCATAGTATCGCGTGCCGGTGAAATTGGTTGGTCCCGACTGGCCGGAGCTGATCGAACTTCTGCAACAAGAATTCTTAAAGCAGACGTCATTCTACACAAGCCGTTTGTTATTGTGATCATTCCTTCACTTCTTTTAATAAGATGACAATTACTGTAAGACAAAATATGGAATAACTTGCCAAGTTTGGTTAATATTTCACCGAGGTAACCCTACAATGATGACTTTTGGATCATTCGAGACTCAAATTTATTCTTATGTCTATTCAAATACAAAGAAGTAAAATTGGCATTACTTGAAAGAATTAAGTACTTTGCCGGAGGGACATAATTCTATCACCAACCTAATGGTAAGAACAGTTTCGTGATATCCGAATTACAGCTGAATATAGAGCTTTCAAGCCCTTTCATTTCCATTCAAGCGCTCAGCTGTACCAGCCGTTGTATTGGAGCTTCACCTATAGAGACAGTGAGCAACCTGCAAATCAAGTGGAATGAAGAAGATGACTTACAAACGATGAGTCGATCTGCTTCAGATCCGCAACCCCAAGATTCGCAGCATCAATCGCAATCTCATGCTTCAGAAGCTGCGCAGCCCTCGCCACACCCTCAGCACCGTACGTATTCGCAAACATGAATGGGCGACCCAAGCCGACGGCTTTGACACCAAGCGCAAGCAGCTTCAGTACGTCGGCACCGTACCGCACACCGCCGTCGGCAAATACCTCAGTCTGCGTGAAAATTTCCGGGGCCTCTTCATGGATTTCCAGCGCCACTTCCAAGCCTGACGGTGAGCTGTCGAGTTGGCGGGAGCCGTGGTTTGAAAGGATAATACCGGGTGCTCCATGTTCCACAGCTAGCTTAGCATCTTCGACGGTGCCGACGCCTTTGATGATAATAGGAAGGTCGGTCATGGACTGCAAATGCTTGTAGTATTCCCAGGTGTTGAAGGTAAGAGCGGTATCAGCGGAGCCAACGCCGTAGCGGGCTGCTCTGTGGCGGTTGCCGTCCGCGGCCGAGTCCACCGTGAATACGAGGGCTTTGTGGCCCAGAGCCTTGGCGCGATCAAAAATCTCCTGGGTTGCGGTGTCGTTGTGTTCGAGGTAGACTTGCTGGAAGGTCACCTGTCCATCGACCCTGGCGTTGGCAATGTCTTCGCCGGAGCGTGTAGTCCGGAGGGCAGGGATGTAGAGAATGCCTTCCTTTCCGGCACCACCGACGAGACCGAGTTCGCCGTCAGCATGTCCCAGTCCAGCACGGCCACAGGGGCTGATATAGAAAGGGGCAGAGAAGTTGTGACCGAGGATGGTTGTCGGCATCGTCGACTCAACCTTAGTGATGTCGACCATAACGCGGGGACGGAAGCGGAGGCGATGGAAGCCTTCAAGGTTGTTGCGGTAGGAGAACTCGCCTGCTGCGCCATTGCGATAGAATGTGTAACTTGACGCGTTGAGGTAGTGGCGGGCTGCCCAGTCGAAGTCCGGCAAGCCGACGAGTCGGTCTAAGGGGGGCAACTCGCCAGCTGGGAGATCACCAAAGATTTCCCCGATTCCAGTGTCGGGTTCATTGAGGAATGGGCGAGCTGCGAGAGCGGCGCTGACAAACAACAAAATAGTGAAGGATCGCATATTGAAACGAGTTCAGCGTTAAATGAGTGTGGTAGTTGCTGGCAGCTGAATGATCGGAAACACCATTTCACCAGAACGTTTGACGATGTTGTATAGCTTTATAGCTTGAGTCTCAGACTCGCCAGGCTTTAGACCGTACCTACATATGCTGTAGTCATTGAGGCCGAGACGGAGCTATCCCGACGTCTCTTGCTTCTTTCCCGGTTAGCTGTCTAGCTTGACGATGGCCAAGGATCTCATCCAAATTGTAAAGTATCACGATGTTCCTTGGCAATCCTTCGCAGACCAATCTGATAGCTTGTTGGACGCTCACGTTTCCCAGTGGGGAAGGTTGATGCTGCATGGCCGGGGATGAATTTACCAACATGAACCTAGCTAGATTTGGGAGTTCGGAGGAAACAACCTGAATGAAGTACGACTGATCCACGTGCACACCTAGGAGAGCTTGTTATTGGACGTTAACATCAAGATCGGTACCTGATAAGTCCCGGCAATGATTTCAGGTGGGTCGTTTATTGCCATTCAACCTACCGTCTCAGATCGTAAGGAAGACGACGATCAGCAAGGCCATGATGATATCTGATATTGGGTCAGCAATCAGGCACTAAGACTGGACTTGGCCGTGGCGTAGGAAACGTGATCTGGCGGCCTGCAAGACCTCGACGTATTCAGATATGACTGAAGTTATCTTGACAGTACTAGTTAGTAAACCAACTGTCATTCCTGATGTGCAACTGTTACTTGAGATCGGTTGTCCCGGTCGCCGAATCATCCATACCGGAGCGAGCGCCTGCTGCTTTCGGAAATAAGTCAGAGCTCGCTACCGCAGAATCAGTTGGCGACATGATCAGGGTGTCAGCCATGCTTAACAGGGATACCCTCCCGATGCCCCACGACGGAGTAGTCCGGACGTGGGGGTTTGTTGGCTCACTGGACACTTTATTCAAGAAGCTTAGAAGTCTATGAGGGATAAATACGGAATGAACACCTTGATTCGAGTTTCTTTCAATCTGGAGTATTGTCCACAGAAAATGGGTACGCCAATTCTTGGCAGAGAGAAAAGGGGAACTTCATCATCGGCATCATGCCGTCATATCGGCATCAAGCCGGTCCCACTTCAACTCGACAACCACTACAGGCTCAAGTAACCCATCATAAACACCATAGGTTGGAAATTAACCGTTGCACGGTATTTGACATCAAGAAGTCACGATTTACCCGACGAGTTCGGAGTGAGAATGCCTTAAGGTAACCTGCCACTAATACCTTTGCCTTAACTTCAGCCACATAAACACAAGAGCTCCAAAAAGCGCCAGAAATACTCCAAACGTAGCATCCAGAGACGTGTCCTCCGTTGAACTTTGAACCATGCTAGGTTTATAGATGATCCTCTCCGCCAACCGGTGAGCTGCCTGTGGGTCGTGGGCAGGGAGGAGTACAACCTTTTCGCTACTTGCAAATTCTTTGACTTTCCTCAGAGAATCGATTGCCAGCGCTGGATTGTTGTTGACGCCATCCGTGAGCTCCTTGTCAAGTAGATCTTGATCATATGTAGCATCTCCAAGCAGGAGATACGTAACGTCATCGGCGTATACAATCACCGATACATGTCCTGGCACATGACCGGATGTGTCAACCGCCACCACTTTCCCATCATTGGTTATAGGATAGCTCCGTTTCCATGGTCCAATGGGGCCACCGGTTGGCTGAAGAAGTAGAGGCTTGAAAGTTTGTGGCCATTGGTTTGGAACAGCCCCTTCGATTGTGGCGTGAAATGGCTTCTTGTATGTCTGCCAATGTTCTTCAGTGATCCAGACTGGTGCTCCAACAAGGTCTGGTAGCCCATCGCCGTGATCATGGTGAAGATGAGATAACACGACTGCCTTGAGGTCGGCGGCAGCAAGATCCTCCTGCTTGAGAAGAGAGCCGATGCCCTCGTCCTTTCCGACATTGATATCGACAACGAAGTGGAAAAAGGGCATCCAGAACGGAAAGTATCCCGGTTCCATACTGTTCGGAGACTCACCAGAGTCGAACAGGATATGCCCCTCAGGATGGTCGATTAGGTACGTGTTGATGGGCAGTGGCGGCGTCCAGGATCTGTCAAGAAAGACTGATAGACGACGTAGAAGTACAGTTTTCCTTGCAGGCTGATGGCGGTGGGACGGGCGGATTCGTATGGTCCCTGTCTGCAGAATCTTGATGCCGATGGCCATCTTGAAGTTTTTATCCAAAGGTATTGTCGAGTTCTGGCAAGAGAATGGCACTTGGTTTATTCCCAAAGATTAACTAGTAGTGGTGAGATGAGATGGTTATTTATCTACGCCCAAAGCTATTGGCTTTGGGTAGTTGGAGGCAGCGGTGATAATGTACTAGGTAGCTACTGAGCCCCGGCCTACAACTTGTGAAGTGGCTCAGATCAGAATGTTCGTGCCGGTGGGATATTTGCTCTGGGCCTAGATCTTTCAGTGATTGTGGAGAATGATGTCTCCTACTCCGGGGTTCCAAATGCCTGATCTTTAGAGAGCACCGGTAGCGCGGCGACAGACGTACGCCGTTTTCCGTGGTCGGGGGCGTCAGCTACCGACCCCTGACTTCATACCTTTAGACAGCAGTTCCTGTTGAACGCCTCCTACTGCCACCCATCACGCCGATGAACCCACGTCTGAACCTCATCAGGTGTACAAGAATGTAAAAATGAAGCTATGCGCCTTTTGGGTGAGCGATTGTCGGAACTGCCATTCTCCGCGACCATCCATGTGGTGTTAAACTGGACTTCATCGCCGAGAGCCCAATTCGTCAGCGACAGCGAACGCAGCGCGACGCCCCTGCTCAATAGCCCCATCTATATAACCAACCCAGCCATCAGCCCAGTCCGACCCAGCAAGAGTAAGCCTTCTAGACACATTCTTGTTGTCCATGAGTGTACCGAGGGTTTCCGAAAGGACCTTGGCAGGGTAGACAGGCCAAGCTCCTTTGGAGAACTGGTCGTTCCGCCAATCATGCCAGAGATACTCGTTAATACTGCCCAAGTCCACTGACCCAGGCTTCAAATCGTCGAGGGCGTCATCCAGAATCGTCAATGGTGGCCGATCGGGTGCTTCGAGACGGGCGCTTTTGAAAGCAACTATATTGACACCCCCAGTTTTGGAAGCAGACTCGGTAAAGCCAAAGCAGGCAGTTCTGGAAGGAGTAGTAACGCCAAAGAATTTAGCCGCTCCATTTGGCGAATGCACATGAAGCTTTCCGCCAAGATTATGGTGTTTGATGGAGGTTACCGAAGGAGGCAGGACAGGTGTGAATTCGATATCGGCGAGACAATGTACTGGGACGGTGCAGATAACGTGACTGGCAGAGAACTCTTGGCCACCCTTGACCTGAACTGCTGCACTGGTCGAATGCGAGGTGATAGAAGCGATATGGCGATTAAATAACGACGCACCCTTGAATTCGGCGAAAATTACTTCGGCTAGCGCTGTGGTTCCTCCGGGGATCTTAAAGGTTCCGTTAATCTCAAGATATTGCTGGAAGTTGTACCCAGAGAGTGCATAAAGCCGTAGCAGACTTAAGAACCCAATTTGAGATACGTCAGTCAGGCCTGAGATCGACATCCATATTCTGAGTAGCCCTTTCTCTTGCTCCGTGACATCCATCTGGTTTATACGCTCTTCGGCGCTGATATCCCACACGGCGATTGCTTCGTGGTTGAGGAGAGGTCGAGTCGGCTGAGGCATAACAATTCGCCCGCCATGGCCATCGACGTCGAAGAAAGCAGCTGCGAGAGGGGCAAATGACGCGCCGGCCTCCTGCATGCTTTGGAGGTTGCCATCGATTTTCAATGGGCTGTCCTGCTCCATCCCGGAACTCTTCTCGGTCGCCGTGAGACCATACCGACTCATCTCACTCCACACATGAGGTTGCAGGTGGTGGACCCAGCCACCGCCCATTTCGTAATCATCGTTCTGCCCTTTTGCAGTCCATGTACGGCCGCCGATGCGATCCCGAGCTTCGAGAACGAGTACGCTCAAGCCTTGTAGGGATAAATCTCTGGCGGCTGTTAAGCCTGCGAAGCCAGCACCGATGACGATGACATCGTGGAATTGGGAACCGTCATTAGTGTCGAGCTTGACGGCTGGAGTTGGGAGGCCCGTGTTGACAACGTTACGCTGAAAGTCCCAAGAGCAGCCTTCTCTAGTTCGAGACCACATATTGAATGTTGACTTGAATTGTAACTTTGATGTGCGTTTTATTGCTTTATGTTCGGTGACTGACATTTAGGTAGGTAAACGTGAGGATTGATTAACCTAACTATATAGCGAAAGCGGACCATTTGTGTTACAACTATGCATGGTCTTTGCTGTAAATTTGATCACACGTCATGGCTCAAGGCTAGAATCTAAGAAAGTCCGAAGGTCCGAATGGCCGCGTCTAGGCCTCAGATCCACGTCAGTTGTGATGAAGGTTAGCTTTGCATGTTCAAAGGTGGGATGCCGAATTTTAGGTCCAAACGCCAGGGCTTTCCGGATTGCACGGGCGGCCGAAGCATTTGAGCAGTTGATCAAAGACCGGACAATAAGACAAACTCAAAGAACATCTGATGCCTAAGCACGAAACAGATCATTGTTCAATTGGAACTCATTACCCGCAACATCCGATGGCCAAGACTTCGAGAGACGACTTTTCATCGAAGAGGTATGCTTGGCGCAGTACTCCCAGTAGGGTTTACAAACATTACCAAAATGAAAGCACAGTTTCTGAACTCGGATTCTTCAGTTGTCACCTGTCAAGTCCAAGGAATCTGACTATGGCGACATAAACATCCCTTGTTTAGTTATAGGTAGCGAAAACGTCAATCTCATTGTGGTAGTAGCTACGAGACATGCTTTCCAGACAAGCTCTTGATCAGCTTTGATGAGAACCAGGCCCGACAAGTTTCTCTGTAAGCTTGATGAACTGGTAAACTTCCCCCAGAGAACTAGTGTATCCTGCGCAAGGTACGGCATGGGGAATTGAACCTATCTCAAAGAGCGGCTTAAAGTCCATTGGTCCGAAAACCTTTCACGCCTCGATCAGAAATTGAAAAGATTCATGCTTACTCCGACCGACAAGAGAATCTTGTCGGGTCTATCGCATCTTCACGGCCCTGGTAGCCAAGTCGTTGTACGGAACGGGAGCCCCAGTCCCGAACTCCTTTAGAAGACTAGGAGTAACGCCGGCGTAGTCCACCAGTGGCTTTCTGCTAGCAAAATCGGAAGCGGGAACCTTGGAAGTAGGAATTAGCTGCGGCATCGAAGAGTTTTCGTACAAAGTGAATCGTGTCCCTCATAAGGTAGGCAAAAAATATAGGGGTTTCCGTTTCAACTCACCCAATTACCATGTACACCCTCTCGGATTCTGAACGGAAGCTGGATTATGCTCACAGGGCCCGCCGGGATATCTCGCGTGTCCAGGATCACCAGGTTTCCGAGGGTCGTGGTGTGGTCGCGGCAGGAGACGACCAGGAATCCGTCCGCTTCCGGAGCATCCGCCGAGCGGGGGACAAAGCATGGCTCTCCGACCGTCACATCCGGGCCTGCGTTCCACATCTTCGTGGTTCCGGCGGCGATGTCAATGTGTAGGACGGCACCGAAACCCCGGGGTGTGGGGCCGCCGGAACCGAAGGCGTGGTTATAGGGCTTCGTGGTGTAGCGGTCGTCGCAACGAGCCATCTCGCCGGCCACATCGCTGATGATTTTCGGTGGCTCCATCTCTGTGGTCTCGGCGGTTGGGTCGATCTTGAACCTGACGAACTTGCCCACGGGAGGACGGTGGCCGGGGTTTTGCGCAGACTCGAGTTCGGGATGCTGGGTGGGGAAGACGCCGAGTGCATCAGTGTCGTGGAGGAAGGTGTCGATATAAATGCAGCCGTCGTTGCCCTCGTAATGGTTACTCACGTGGCCCCAGTAGTGGTTCTTTAGCGAGGTGAACCATCTTACGTCCTCTGGTTTCGGGCCTCGACGAGGAAGAACACCAAAGTGATTGGCCTTCGGGATTGAGGGAATTAGCCTACGGAATCTTTTGGCCGATATGGACGGGTCTAGAAGCTGCTTACAAGGAAAGGGTTCCGTCGAAAATGAGTTCCGTTGGCCTCCTTCATGTGCTTCAAGTCGAACTCGTGCGGCGTCATCCCGAAGATAACATAACTGGATTTTCATGTGAGCATACATCCTTCGTTCAAAGCATTCCAAATCCAAAATCTCAGGGGAAATGGGAGCACACTTGTCAGTTGCGGCCATGTCATGGGTCCAGGTGACGACCGGAGTTTTGATCCAACACTCATCCAGCAATTTCCCCTCCTTGCTGAACCTGTAGTAGGCAAGGTCATTCGAGCTGAGTGGGCAAGGTCAATATCTGCCTAAGAGAGTCCACGTTACAGTCACGCACCCAAGCCCAGCAGCTTCCATACCGAAACCGAGCATCTCACCAGTGGAAACATCCGTCTTGGGGTGGGCGCAAAACGTCTTGGCCGTCATTTGGCCCTCGAAGTCGTAAACCCCTGTCGGTTTTCTTCTTTCAGCTTCTCTTCCTTTTTCTCAATTTCAGAGAAACAGGGCCGCGGGTAGATTACCAATCGTATCCAATGTATCAGGGTCCACGAGCAACGGCGGGCTATCTTCCTTGAGGACAAGCAACTTCTTCTGCCACCACTGAACATGCGTGTTGCCCGTGGACTGAATCTGGTCAAAGACGCGCGGATCTCCAGCGTATGGATTCCGATACGTCCCCCAAAGAGGCTTCCGAGCCGCTCGCTCTATGATGAACCGCGGGGTCCGAACGAACTTCTGCTTGAAATCGACCACGCCGTTCGAAATTCTCCAAGCGTTCACGGCACCATCGCCGTTGATCCAGATGTCATGTCCATTACGGTTGGCAAACACAAAGTCGCAGATGATGCGGTAAAACGTCCCGTCGATGCATTGGGGGATGTTTCCGTGGACGACGCACGAGGCGATCTCAGCGTCAAAACGGCCGGGCTGGTTAACAGGCTGAGCGCACAAGTGGTCGGCCACCGCAAATTGTAACTCGCTACTAATGGGCAGAGTATGCCTTTTCTTGTCAATGGTCGCAGAGAGATCCGATGCAACGATTTGAGTGTTGTGGCATAGTCGCTGGAAAGTGTCCCACTGCGGAGGGGTTGGTGTTTCTTCGTCAGACATTGCTGATAATTGCAGATGAAATCTCACATAATCAACGAGCAACTATCATCAATATGCCCAGCCAAAGATCATCTCAATGGTACTCAATGTTGCATTTAAGTACATCATGAAACAAATTACTCAGCGGGCAGTCGTTGAAATCGCCGACCGTCTGGGGAAACAATAAACTTCACCCGTGAACTGGAAGAAAACACATCGTTGTCGCGGGCCATGATCAGTGTCGCAGATCGCGCCCCCAGCTGACGTGGTGTTGAAGCTCTCGCCAATCATGATGCCATACAAACTTGCGGCGACACCCATTCTGCTGACTCCCTATCTCCCCGCCGAGCCTGCGGTCTTCGCACAGGCCCGGAGGCCGGGAGCGTCTGTGCGCTCGGAAGAAATCTACTCCAAGAGGACTCTGAGTTGAACATGATCGCCGCAGGGAGGTCTTAATCAAGGCTGGCGTCCCCGAAACAGGGCCAAGCAATGTTACGTGGATTTGCATTCTGGCGCAGTCAATTGGATCACATACACATGTTTTTGTCACTTATTCTCAACTTATCCATGAACAGCTGGACGAAGTCAGCCCGCAAGTTCAATCAAGTGGATTACGGAGTAAATGCTACGCCACACCATTCCAGTAGACCTATGTCGCGGGTAGTTATGGACAACTACAGATGAAGCGTTCATATGGTAAGCTAATCATACATTGGCATAAAGAACGCGTCATCGTTCATCCGGAACAAATCGGTAAACGCTGAACACTCACGAACTTTGTCAATTATGTATCCCCTACAGCAAGTCGTTCTTAACATGGCAACTTATGATTAATCAATAGTAGAACACTAACAAGCCTGGGTAGAAAGCCATCATGTTGCTTGATTTTCGAGGTGTTATCCCAGTTATATCGCGCTGAGGGTTTCCACCGTGTTACGGCACGGAAGGGGAAGGGGGAGGGGCCGGAGTGGCGCGGGCGGGGCCGCTTGTAAGGAACCGGGAGATAGCCGCGCGCAGAAAGTTCAGCAGGGCAGGTTTGAATGCATCGAGCCCTACACCCAAAGGGGCATTCCCTACTCTAGAACTCTGTGCGACACTTGGACTGACACACTAGGTACGTAGGATCTAAACACAATCAATATCACAGATTGTAGTAAGATCAACGTGCTCCTGTAGCTGAAAGGCCTTTTGACAGGACAGCACTGCTGTTGAGCACCGAGTTCGTCAACTTCATTGTCGCTAATAAAACGTCACTTTTGTTAGGTGATTAATAGTGTGGTTCTCATTTTGCTTCAAGTACCACTGTATAGGAGCACTCGACTTTGAAGCAGTTGAATTGTTCATCAACTGCCTCTCCGTCTTCGCGTTCGGTTTGAATGTTGATTGATCACTTCGCAAGTCCGCCCACAGAATTTAAGATGACCAGCCATACTAGCGCCCGTGTTGATTGAGATTCTCTCCATAAGCCTCACTCTACAATCTCAGCCCCTATGTATCTTGTTTCGTATTCAAGCAGTGAGATGATGGTCGTTCTCTCCTACTTGTTGCGTTTATTTCCCTGTCTAGAACCTGAAAGTAACTGTTGAATCAAATGTGTCAGGTACGCGAAACCACATTAGTCCTGAGGCAGAATCCATACAGGTCTTCTGTTCACTACCGAAACCGATCTTTACATCTTCGCCAGTAAGCCTCGAAATAATGGACCTTTGACATCCCCTGGAAGTACCATCGCCCTCAAGCAATCGCCAACCATAGCCCGCCATTCTAAACAGATTCGCGACTCATGCAACAAACAGTGCCGTTTTGCCGACAAAGGCGCTACCAATAGACTGTCAATCGCAATCTGCAGGACGTCGCACTTGACAGCAGCCGCAGCAGAATATCGAATGTGATATTGTGATATCGAACGCATAGCCATTCTGATCAAAAAAGGGAAACTCTGAATTGCATTGGCCTTGCGCAGCTGGTGCCCGCCCCCGTTTTTTGAGTCAATATCCCAGCCCCTAAAAAAGCCCCAGAAAACACGACGAACCGCCGAGCCCCAAAATTAGCATGGTTCGCCAATCAGGGGCCCCAACAGTGGATCGTCCTCAAAACTGAAACGAGACAGTCGACTTCGGTCTCGTGAAAATCGTCGATTGGTCCTTCTGGAATGGCCGCCTTTCACCCCCCCAAACCACTCAAACCACCCAGACCACCCAAAACTCGCGGCTTAGCCCGAGGCGTTCTACATCTGTAATTATGAAACTAGCGAGATGTAGTATTGAGCAGCTCGGTATCGAGAAAGCAATGATTCTTGTTAGGCGTTTTTTGCAGCTCCCTGTCTGGCCTTTGGGTGAATTTCAAAGTTCTTTATCTCTTGGTATCCCCATCAGAGTAAATCCTAGGATGAAGTCTACATCGCTCTCTGTTTTCCTCTGTATTCGACTGGCTATTTATCTACATCCTCTTGGCTAAATACTCTCCTTTTTGTGGAATTTATCAAAAATCTGTGTTGAGTTTTCGTTTTCATCGTTTCGATCCTAAGCCCCGACGACGACCCCTCCCGACGACCCTCCCCGAAGGAACCAAACCGCCATCATGGGCGCGAACTTGGGAGCCAAAATCGCCGGCATCGGTGCCGGGTTGAAGAAAGATGCCAACTTCTCCCGCGTCGGCTCGGGGGCCAAGATTGGAGTAAGGACTCTCCGTGCTGGCACGGGACGCTACTTCCTCAACAAGGTTCCCGTCTTCATCTGGATCTCGTCATACGTGCCCGCCTGGCTCCTTGGGGATCTGGTCGCCGGTGTGTCGGTTGGGCTCGTCATGTTCCCCCAGGCTCTCATGTACTCGGCCTTGGCTGGTGTTCCTATCCAGGTTGCACTCACCTCGTGTTGGCTGCCGAACATTCTCTACGCCGTGATGGGAACTTCGAAAGGTAAGGACATAAACTTTTGCTTCATAAAATTTGTGGTGATTGCATCTTTACTAATCCTAATCTCAAACCAGATGTCTCTTTTGGGCCCATGTTCTTCCCCTCCATCATCATCGGCGGCATCAACGCCGCCATGCCCAAGCCCGGCCCGCCCCCGGCCCTCGTCGCCGCCGTCCTCTCCCTCTGCGCCGGCATCTGGTCCGCCCTCTTCGGCTTCCTCAACCTCGGCTTCCTCTTCGACGCCCTCTCCGTCCCCATTGTGCTCGGCTTCGGCTGCGGCATGGGCATCATGGCCTACATGGCCCAGGTCCCGCACCTCTTCGGCATGGTCGGCGTCAGCCCCATGCTCTCCCACCTCACCGGCGAGTTCATCGCCAACCTGCCCAAGACGAACCCCTTCGCCGTCGCCCTCGGCTTCGGCACCATCGTCTTTCTCGTCGCGCTGCAGAAGGTCCAGAAGAAGCTCGGCGCCAAGAACGAGATCGTCCGCCTCGTCACGAGCAACCGCAACCTCTTCATCCTGCTGCTCACCCCCTGGATCACGTACATGGTCAACAAGGACCGCGGCGACAAGCCGCTGTGGCTGTCCGTGTCGCCCGTCGAGACGGAGGTCTCCTTCGTCCAGGGCATGAGCTTCGACCTTATCAAGTCGCTCTTCTTCCCGAGCTTCATGGTCTGGTTCGGCATCGCCCTCGAGCACATCCTCGTCGCCAAGGGCCTGGGCCGTATGCGCGGCTACAAGATCGACCCCAGCCAGGAACTCGTCCACCTCGGCATCTCCAACATTGCAAACTCCTTCATGGGCGGACTTCCCGTCGGCGGCGGCGACATCACCCGCGCCAGCGTGGCGGCAACCTCGGGCGTCAGGAGTCCCATCTCCGCGCTCTTCGTCGCGGGAATCGTTGCAGCCGGCATGTACCCCCTGAGCAGCTTCATCGAGTACATCCCCCTCCCCGCCGTCGCGGCCATCATCATCGTCGCCGTCATCGACACCATGCCCTCGCCGGGCGAGATGGGCAAGTACTGGGCGTGGTCCTTCGCCGACTTCATCACCTTCCTACTCACCTTCAACGGAGCGTTGATGGCGACGCCCCAGATCGGCTTCGAGCTCGGCGCCGGGGTGCTAGTCATCTACACCCTCTGCCGCTTCATGAGCTCCCGCCCGAAAGCCATGCTGGGCGTCGACCTCGAGGGCCAGCCGGGTGTGTTCTCGCTGCCGTGCTGGGAGGCCGGGGAGAACGTGCCGCCTGGCGTCTGTGTGCTGCGCCTCGAGAGCGATCTGATGTACGCCAACGCCGAGGGGGTGCGAAACCGCATCGTCGACACCGCCATGATATGGCACGCCTCGGTTCCCTCGACTGCGAACAAGAACGACCGCGCCTGGAGCAACTGCCGCGACAAGAGGGTGGAGTACCTCCGAAAGCGCGCCAACCTGACTCAGCCCGAGTACCTGCTTCCGGCCCTCCGACTCGTCATCATCGACATGACCAAGGCGCCCTTTATCGATGCGTCCGGTCTCCACGCGATTGAGGATGCAAAGGCTGAGCTGCGGGCTTTTGCGGGCAGCGGCGTCGAGTTCCGGTTTGTGGGGGTGAGCGATGCGGTGAAGCGCAGGTTCGAGCGCGCGGGGTGGAAGATTGCTTCACCTTACGACGATGATCAGGAGCAGCAACAGGAGCAGCAGACGCAGGCTGAGGGTACAGAGGCTGCTCTCCCAGACTACATCTTTGACCATTTGCCTACTGCCATTAGAACGCCTTTGAGAGCCAGAAATGCCCCAGACCAGGTACCCCTGACCCAGATGCAGTCATGGGAGGGGGATGATTACAGCTTTCAGAAGGGGCACACCATGTAAAGCGGTTGGAGGTGAAGAAGACACAAGGTAGATAGTTGAAGAGATGTAAGATAGCACCGGAAGACATGGGTATGCGACTAGTACTTGGCGTATATCAGTCTGTAAGGTTCATATTTACTTATACATCTGACTCCATGGGTTTCCTTTGTTCATTCTTTTCAAATGTTCTCGGGATTTTATAGACTACATAGATCACCACAGGATGCATTCAGCCCTGTAGATATATACAGTTGGTAAATAATACACACATACACAACGCCGCAAGAGGCGCCAGGCTCATGTGCCGTCAGCTTTCATCGTTCCTCGTCTATTACACGTTCACACACTACTACCTCTCGTAGCTAATCGACAATATTCCTTTGCGCAGCGCAACAACAAGTCGCCCCCTAGCCACCACGAATGAAATGCGACAGAATAATTCATACCATGGAACCTTAAGTGTTCACCAAACTTGGTGAAATTCTGTTCTCTAACAAGGAAACCAATCTTGTACTTACAAGTCTCTTTATGTACATGGCAGAGTTAAATAAGAGGGCAAGATTATACCTAGTTATCTTTCGGGTGTAAAGAAACAGGTATAAAATAGTGGTAAAATCAACGAAATTTTAGCTAACAATATGCAATACTCCTCGGAATGGTAATGTTATTCTGAGAACGAGAATCCTACTGAATGACTAATATTACATCTATCAACAAGACGATCTGTGAAGGAAGACGTGCTTAAAACCGCCAATGGGCAGACTGAGTAGTGGCCCACCTCAGACCTCCTCGTCCGCACGGTCTGTCCAGAGCGTATACACTTCTAATAAGTACAATATGTGTTGCGAGCTATTCACTGGTGGACACTTGACGGGCTGGATGCGAAGATCCGTAGCTGCCGAGGATTGCATTCTGTTCCATCAAGACAACATGTCGAAGAGGGGTTTGATTTCCGCATCACGAAGAGACACGGCTTTAGTGCTGCAGTTCCCAGGTTCAATTTGCTTGCAGTTTGTTTATATAGCACTTCCGTATCGGCAATGGCGAACGAACTATGTCTACTCCTTCTGGACAATGATACCGAATTTTTCAGAACCAGTTCAGCATCCCACACGACTTCAACACTTCATTCTTCTCGTCTCTGCTGTGCTTTAAATATCACTCACCCGCCGAAGCGTTCGAGATTCCTACGAAAAGAAAGCCCAAATGATCGTATGTTGCTGCAATGCGGCAGCACCTATCTACATTGGAAAATAGCAAACACGCTGACAAGCTGAAAGTCCCCAAACAAGATCAAGTTTGGTGTCAACCCTTGACTCATGGTGTTTGCACTTGAGTTCCAGCTCGCTCTTTCGAACCCGAATACTCGCAAAGAAAAGACCAAAGACAGAACCACGGTACCCAACCAACCACACAAACGTTCCTCAACCTTCAACTTCGCCTCCCACCCCTTGCCCTACCTCACGATCTCGCAGGAAGATGTATTGAGATGCAAAGTTCGCCGGATGTTCTAGAGCGACATTTCTTGTCCTGCGAAAGAGCCAACAACTCAAACACAACCGCCCTTTTATCCACCAATTCAAGCCCCGTAGAACCTCATACCACCACAAAACTTCAGAAACGGCTAGGTATTAAAAGCACATACACTCGTTGTGATTCAGCACCCATCAGCCAAGTCCTTGACCTCAGCTCGAAGTTCTTTCACGTCTCATAGAACCGACGATGTGGATTCTCCACAGATGCCGCACGCCACATCCGTGACAGATTTCCCAAACCAGCCAGCCAGCCCCCGGTTCGTTCGGATTCGGTTCCGCACTCGCCACATCCCTGCTGTTCATCATCCTTGGACTTCAGCTCGCGATTATCCGTCTCACCTCTTTTTTCTTCAGCCTCCGCCGATCCTCATGCTTCAGAATTCTCACCTGAATGGTCGCATGGCTATCGCGTCTTCACGCCACAAACAAGTCGACCTAGCTATTTGGGCCTTCTTGCCAAGAAAGAAAAGGGGTTTCCCGCCTCCGTCGGAGATTTTAAGCCCCAGGCAATATCCTAGTCACGATCACTTTCGAGTTCCATCGGCCGCAGGAATTTTGATGTAAATCTGGTATCAAGTCTTCATATTGACATAGGGACTAACCACCCCCCTCATTAATAACCCGAGAAAAACAAGCCCTCCTTGCTGGATGCCCATATACTCATAAATCGTGCTGTCCACCTCATGCAGCCCATGGTCTCTCCTCCTCCGTCACCCTCCTCTGCTGCACGACCAACTCCTCATACGTATCGGGTAGTCTCGGCCACTGCGGCTGCGACCACTCGTCACCCGCCGGTACGGCGGGATACCCGCTCTTCATCGTTAAAACAGCATCGACCGTCTCCTGGATCTCGTCGTCGTCGACTTCGGAGTCCGCCTCATCGAGAGGGGTGCACGCTTGGAATGGCTGCTCTCGTCTGACGGCGTCGACAGCGTCCTTGATGACCTCTTCCCACCAGTCGACCTCGTCCCAAGCGGCATCCGCTTCTTCCTCGTCCAAGACGAGCTCTTTTACTTCCACTTGGCCGGTGGTATCGACCTTTTCCAAAGCGTTCTGGTCCTCATCCACTTCGTCGTCGACTTCGAGAATCTCGGGCTGCGTCGGTTCGGGTATCCTTCGGCCTGGCTGCATCGCATGGACAGCCTCGACGGGCAAGCCGGTGATGATGGACACCGCCGTCTCAACACCCCTCTTCACCGCCAAGGCGCTGAGAAGCATCTTCAACGCATGCTCCCATCGCCCTTGCAACATGAACATTTTGCCCCGACACCACTCGTACTTGATGAAATTGCGGTGTTGACTTGGTCGGGCCCAATACTCTCTTTGAAGCTGTGCATACGCAATCAGCGCATTCATCTTGTCGCCCGCCAGCTCGTATAGATACGCCAGGTACTTGAGAATATTCCTGATCTGCGCCTCGTCCCTGTAGTCGTCGGATGCTGCACGCTCGATCTCGAGACACTTGCGGTATTCATATGCTGCTTCCTCGTGATGTCCTGCGGAACGGAGTGTGTGTGCGAGGTTGATCCGAGTTTCCAGGGTCTGTTCAACTACGCGCGCGACGTCGCTCGCTTCGCGCCTGCACATGTCACGTAGAATAACGATGGCTTCGTCCCATCTGCGAAGCGCCTTGAGCGCCGTGACATGGTCCTCCATATTCCTCAAGGTCACCGGGCTGCAGATGCCGAACCTCGCCCTGTGTTCGTCCAGTACTCGTTGGAATCTCCTGCACAGACCAATCACCTCATCATACTTTTTGAGTCGTAAGCTCGTCAATCGTGCCAGCTTGAGCGTCCATTCACCGTTGGCGTAGTGCAGCAGGTCGGCTGCCAGATCCATATTCGCAATCTCGTCCCTCGCTTCCTTATCTTTGCCGCGCTCCGAAAGACACATGGCGATATTGTAGTCGATGGCGGCCTTCTCTTCATGTCCGAAAACCGGGACGTCTTCGTTCCAATCCCTGGCTATTCGGTAGGCCATTTCGGCCTCCTCGTATTTGTCCTGGTTGACCAGCATGCTTGCCAAATCACGCTGCGCTTCAATGGTTGTGACGTGGCGCTTGCCCCTCCTTTTCACGAGCGTGGGAACCAATTCGCGCAGCAGCTTCTCGCCTTCTGCCCAACGGCTGGTGTAGTAGTAGATCTCGCCCAACTCGACCATTGAATGCAAGCAAAAGTCGCGCCATGATCCTGTGAATAACGTCCAGCGAAAGGTCTTGCCAGGTCGTTCTCTGCTCTTGCGCAGTAACCTCTCCGCCAAGTGGGCCAGCTCCTCCGCCTCGGCAATGTCACCCATGTCCTCGCGGCGCACAAGGGTGTCACCGAGCAGCAGCACGGCGCGCATCAGATAAAATGTCTGGTCTTCGCTTTCCGGCAGCCCCTCGAGAAGTAGCTTCGCCATACGCAAGTGGTGCTGTGCCGAGATCCAATCCTCCGGGGTTTGGTTGCGGTAGGCATGGCCGACGCTCAACAGCGCCAGGCCCTCGGTGAGGGTGCCCAGGCCACGGGATTGATTCAAGGCAAAGTTTCCCAGACGCAGTGCCAGCGACCATTTCCCGCGAATCTTGAGGAGCTCAGAGATGCCCAGCAGAGTGAGGACGGAGGCCTTGTCCGAGTTGCGGCTCGCCGCCCTCCACCGCGGGGCCTTGGTGAGGCGCATGGCGGATGGGGTTGTTGGGCTGGCTCACCGCGTCGGGGGTTTGAGTGGGGGAGATCGCCCCGGGGATGGTGCCTGTCTGCCGTCGGAAATCGTGGGAGTCTGTTGGGGTTCGTCGGGGCTGTCGTCGATGCTCGGCGGTGTCGATTGTGGTGGTTTATCGTGGAAGTTTTTGAAAACGAAAAAAAAAAAAGTCGGTTGAGTGAAACCAGAGATCGCCGAGAAGCCAAAGGACGAGATGGAAGGGAATGCGACCGTTCGAATCGGGTCGGTTGGTGAGATGAAAGTGAGTCAAAATTTGATGAGTGACAGGTCGACAACGAGGGGAGCAGAACGCAGCTGTGGCCGACGCTCCCTGATCAGCCAAATCCAGCCAGTCCGGAGCTCTCGCAGGCAACCGGGCCGGGAAGTTCGAGGAATGGAAGAGAATGAAGAAGTGAGGATGAGGAGAATGAGTGTTCTCTGCTGGAGTTTGGCCACCACATCAGCGAAACCGTTGCGGTGGGTGGACAGCAAAGGCAGACGGCTGCCAGGTAGCTAGGCCACCTCAGGAAAGGCGAGGTGAAAGTGTGTGTGTGGTCGAGCAGAATTCTCGTCTGGTGTCTCTCTGGCTTCTGGCTGGCGCCTCGACGGGCTTGACGGGCGGCGTGATCAAACGAGGCGAGACAAGGCGAGGGTGAGCGGCGGCAGGACGGCAGGGCGGCAGGACAGGACGGAGCTTCCTCCTGCAGGTTGCAGTTGCAGGCCACAGGGCGACCGATCTCCCTTGGCCGTTTGCCTTTTTTCGTCCTTTGCCTGAGCGACATGAAGGAATATACCTAGCAACTTAGCATAGTGCGATACTCCATTGGGGTACTAATGGCGGTGCTAAGGCGGCAAGGAGGGGGAATCGATGGAGACGGGGGCTGGACTGGACCGTCAAACCACGCTCGAGCTCTGTCCCAAATGTGTACCGTGTCTTGCGTGTCTTGCGTGTGTGTGTGTGTGTGTGTTCGTTCGGAGTACCAGATGGCAAAGACAACACGGCGCATGCAGACCAAAACACCCCCGGCAGGTCCAGTCAGGTCGAAGCACTTGGCCTGCAGATCACGGCGTGCCAGTGGTCGTGCTTCAGCGCCGATGCCATCCGACGCCCAATCAATCAACGACGACGGGCAACGGTCCAAGCGGTGGCCGGTACTTGGAGCTGATGGATGGGTTGGGTAGGATGGGATAGGGTGGGAGGGGGACTGGCGACCCCGAAATCCAGTCCAGTCAGGTTATGTGTTGTGTGTGTGTGTGTGTTGCGTTCCAAGTGATTGAGAGATCGACATTGATGGGACTCCTGGAATAGAGAGCTGTGAGATGGAGAAACCTGCAAAATGCATCTGATGGGCGTGGGAAGGAGTCGGATTGGCCAATTCTGATGGCTCCTTCCGTTGGTGAGGTGGCTGGCTGGCGGGCAACAAAAGACGGAAGGGACCAACGACTGGTCGTGGTCCGGTGTCTCCTTCTCTCCCTGAGCGGCAAAAGCATCGTTCTTGCTTGGATGGAGTGGAGGGAAGGAGCACCCGCCCACAACTGCCCCGGGTGTTGCTTGCGTGCTGTAAGGTAATATTACTTAAGCATCCCCAGGCCCAAATGAACAACGCCATTGGCAAACTAAAGCGCCCCGTGCTTCCCAACAATGCTCCCCCAGTCTCTATTCTCTCTCTGTGTAGGGTACGAAGTATCTACAGCATCAAAAAGCATGGAGAGATACATTGCCTCTACTCACAAAGACACGCAGACAGCCGGGCCACAGCTGGAACACAATGTTGCAGTGCAGCAAAGAAAAAAGCACCACGCAAGGAAACAACGTTGCTTATTGTCAGGGGACCAGCTTAGTGCCTTCTCTCATCTGCACCACGCATTCCAGAAGGAACCTGACCTGAAACACCCCATCAACGGGCTTCTCGCCATGGTGAGACTGAGCGCACCTGTTCGTACCTTAGTCCCCTAAATTGCCTGCTCCCTACCTGGGTCTTCTCGTTCCTGCCGAGTGTTTGTTTGCCAGCCACTGCCGGAACAATTCCTTCTTGTCTCTTCCACGTCCCCACTGGATGCAAACAAATACCTAGACCTGCAGCACGCGAGACAAACAGACAGACACCTCCCGCCACACAAACACCGCTCCAGTTCCCCGTCAAGGTGCCATCGAATTCCGATGCTCAGACACGCGCATTCCAAGCCCGTGGTTTGGCGAAAATGACAAATGACGTCGACCTCGTCCACGCCATCCTCCGCCACGCCCGACGCCCGACGCCCATATGCGCTAAAGCACCCGAGATAATATGCTGTCGTCAATACATATGTACGCCGCGGTGTCCCTTCGCTTTCCTCAAATTTGCCAGGGCTGGATACCTTTCTCCTTCCGGACCTTCTCGGTCCTTTTACGTCATGTCCCGACATTCGATCCGACGCACATTCGATGGTCCAGAACAATGCCATCGTCCGCCATGGTACAGGCACCTTTACCCCAGATATGTCGCGATAAATGTCTAACAGATTGTGCGGCTTTCAAAATTCGGTCCATTGGAAGCCATACATTTCCTCCTTCCACTAAAACATAATTAACGTCTACTATTTCATAGGGGATAGCTTCTCACTGATTCACTCCATGGCAGATACGTCGCGCAGGCGAACCCATCCGGGTCCGACGTGTGCCCCACCCCGAACCCCGAAACGCTACGGCCTCGGGCTCGGCCCCAACATGTCCTTCCCCCGGCGCATGCTTCGGCCGCTCTATCGCACGTCCCATCCCACTTAACGTGTTCGCGTTCTGACAGGTACCATGATGCCCCGATGTTGACCTCTTGCCATGATATGGATACGCTTGAAACATCTTCCCAGCGGGGCCAATGGAAAACATACCCAGACACGGGGTCTGCTAGCCTTCACAAGTAAGAAGAGACCGATACCCTTGGGTAGTCGTGCAGTCTTACTTCAACTGTAATGGCCACCTGGCAGCTTCCCAACTCATGCAGAAGTTTCCCGAGGCTCAAAGACCTCGAATCTCCAGTCGTTGTGATGTGATTATCACGTTAAATCGTCGCCACGCACAAACGTATTTAAGCAAGTATCGTTGGTCCTGGTTTGTCTTGGATCTTCGCGCAAATAATCGGTTTCTTGGTTTCGTCGCACTTCTGACAGTCGATGTCGGCATAGCTTGCAGCGATTTGGCCCAAGTCGTGCCTCGGCAAAGTGTCTCTCAAGCAAAGTCTGTTGCGGTTTTGACTTCATGAAGAAAAGTCCAATAATGGAAGAATATACAACAGCCAGTCAGGGAAGATGACGGAGTATTGAAGATGTACTCACATTGCCCATGGCTTGAAAGCATATTTACCTTGGCAGACACTGCTTGAACTAGGTTCGGCTTCATTACAGGAACAGAGTGAAGAACAAATTGCGGACAACGTTGGCTGTGCGGGGGAAGAACAACATGTCGCACACCCGTATTGATATAGAGAAATGCAGCATCATCAGGAAGCTCTCACCAGAATCATTCCATGTGGCCTTCGCAGTGTCAGCAATGGCCGCCGTAGACCTTGAATGCTCGTGCTTGAGGTCACCAGATCACCCTAGAAGTCTATAGCTATCAAACTGATGGCCTACATAAGAAGATTTTCATTCCTCTTTTTCATCGAACGGGCTGAAAGCCCCAGCCAATGATTTTATCTGCAACATCTAGTATATATGATTTAAGATCTATCTGAGATAAACATCACTCCTATGGTTAGGCCCGAGCTGAAGTTCCTCGGTGCAGGCCATGCATAATAATCTATTGTGTATTCACGATGAATCACGTTGCGGTTAAATCAATAAATGAAGGATTACGGCGATATTGTGGCCGTCGTCTGCAGTCTCCAAACAACAGATTAACTTCCACCACATGGATCGCCCAGCTCATAGACGAGATGGTCATCAAGATATTTCATCCAGGCGATCGATCCATTCTTCTGTTGTTTCGGTTCATTGTGTTTCTGGTTGTGGTAGTTGTGGCGCATTCCCATTTTATTGATGACAGTTCGCCTAACAAGACTCTGTATCGCGTTGCCAGCGGTGATCAGAATCCCCGCGTGACTTTTCTCAATATAAAGAGTATGATCTTTGCACAAACTGTCATCTGGTCTCCCCAGGGAATGCGTGGCCTGTTCCTCGCCTAGCCTCAACGGAGTCATCGCTGCACAAGATAGTGGTCGACTCTGCGGAGTTCTGACAGATGTGAGATTTCTTACGTGTGAGTCTCGAAGTTCCTCATGCTTGATGCTTCCCACATCATCCCTTTCCGTGGACTATCGCCATTGAATACGAAGACACTTCCAAATTCAAGAACCGTGGGCCGAGATCTGCGGTTCACCGACCCACCGGATCTGGTCTCAAGTATTTGCAATCGAAGCGCACTGTATCAGCGTTCTGGGTTGTACCCCGCCATTGGCGCTGTTGAGAGAAACCAGACCATCAAACACATGAGCGTGTTTATAAAGGATCTCAATCTGCAATAGCACACTGGGAGCTGTTCTCGTATAGAGCTAGGGTGTGGAGGTGAGTGTATGATTGTGCGTACACCACCAGAGCTCTTGTAGTGCGCTACTTAAACTATGGAATGGCTTGCATTTCCGGTCTTCTAACACACACAACAATGACATTCAACTTCATTACACCGATGTTTAGAAAAGATCCCGTGGTTTCGGCTGAGTCTAGTGAGTTTGTCCCGTTTGCGCTTGCATATCAGTGCGATAGCTCTTCGTCCGCGAGATACTTAGGTTTTCAGGTGTCTCTGATGTATCATGGATGCATAAATACCTTACGTTGACGTCAGAAACCAAAAGTGACGAACGGAGATTGCCGTGTATGGAAGTGACGCTTAGAAGTCTCGGAGGCAAAATCGACAATTTCTCAGCCGTGCAAACTGAACAACAGGAACAGCCAAAGTAGATCCGGCATACATGGAAGGCTTGTTCCCGTACATTCTGTGTACGAAGACGAAGAGGAAGATGCCTTGTCTTTTTTTTAGGGTAAATTGTTGAATAAAAAGTGTTATCGGCTAGGATTGTTCTAGCATGGCAGTAACGCCATGTTGTACATATCAATGTCGACAGTCTCGTTGGCAAACTATGCTGTCTTCCGACGCATCGAGTCAGACTGATTCTTAAGTAATACCCAACAACCAAGGATGCCTACCGGACAACAGATTACAGGAGAGCTATCAACACATGCAACGGTCGCATTCGACTGGATTGTGAGTTCGGGGAATGTCGTTTAGACGGCCTAGTTTCAATCCCGCGCATGTGAGATTCAGATGAATTAAAGAATCAGATCGGCTAGCCGTATGAGGAGTTATAAATAGCTCACTTTTAGAATCGCGAAAGAAAAGTGGCTAGCTATCAGCTGAATCGGCCCAGCACGCCTCCAAAAGTGAGCAATTCCGCACAATTTGGCACTTAATCCAAGGGAAGACACTGAAATACACGATGCGTCAGATCCCAAGGTCCCCCAACGTACAGGCTTTAGTATTTAAGAAGCGGATCAATTCTTCCGCTCTCAAACTCTCACGGCCAATCTGTGACCCGCCAGCCATCAAGGCATTCAGATTTACCAGTGGCAGCGACCTCCGGTGTATCTGACCCCAAGCCGATTCTCACGCTTGATGATTACTGATGAGAACGCTCCCAATGTGTATTTGGCATGGATCCACCGGTTTCAAGCGCATGGATGACGGAAGTCAATCAAGTTGCTGCTAGAGACTTGTGGAAGTCTTGAGCCACAACACCCGATCATCCACGTGGTGCCGAACGGAAAGGTTGCCCACGGCACGATACTGAAGTCTTTACAGAACGACTGGAAGAGGCACAGGATCATTGTTTGAAGAGAGCCCATGATGGCCGGAGGACGTTGAAATTATAGGCATAAATTCCCTGTAAGAGTCTCCCCCGTGGTGCCGCCCGAGTATAAGTCCTTTGAACTCCATCATAATGCATGAATGCGGTCTTTCGTACAAGTAAATTCCAATCTCTCCAGAAAATGGACACCAATGGTCGGATATGTTTAGGCTGGATTGATTATACCGAAACAGAATTGTGGACGGTTCTCCAGACTACCGGCAGACGCTAGGTCTCTGGTCTCGCATGGGAATCAATGAGCACGCATTAGGCTCAATTCCTCCTGCGATATTCCTTTCTGCAGATTATTTTGGCTGAATACGAAAGGCTTTACAGGATGATGAGTCTTATATAGACATCCTCAACGTCTCGAATCTACCAGTTCTCTTATGAAAGACAAACTAAGGCTGGCAGCACGTGCGATAAGAGAAGCGTAATTTCCCTGGCATATTCTTTTTGCCTGCGCGTAGGTTAGGCACTTCAAAAAGATACTATCGCACGAGACATACAAACATTTTAAATAGGGGCCCTGTAAAACAAGATACCTCAATCTCAAACATGATGATGATCTCGAGCATTGACAGAGGCTAGGCCCCAAAGGGTGACCGTAGGTGTAATTTTGTGCACGCGCGGGTGTGTACGGTAGTGGTGCTATGTTGGCAACAGGCAGAGCGGTGTTTGGTCATCATTCAAATCGTTGGATCGTGTGCGAGTCTGGACCGAACCTTCACCGAATGCAGCGATGAGTTGAGCTGATTGTTTCAACTACACGTTCTCGTGCAAGTCCAAGGACTTGGTTTAGTCTGTGGATAGGAATCCACCTGCGCCAGCTTTGCGACGGCAAGTAAGATACAATGGCCCCTGGGGTATAATGGCGGATAAGCTCATGCGGGACGACAAAGGTGACTAGCAGAGAGTAATCATGTATGTAACGAGTCGATAAAGGTTCGGAGTTAAGGGTAGACAATATCCCAGCGACATGAACGCAATGATGGAATTACCCGACTTAAATCAGCCAAGACAGCCTTCAATTTCAAAGAACTTGCAGGGCCCTAGATCTGTTCTGAGATGACTAGACGGCTAATCTCTTGACTATTTATACCTGCGGGGCTGCTTCATGCCCAGAGAACTGCGAGATCCGTTGCGTGGACATGCAGCACTGCGGCAAATGTCTGGTCCCAGGCGCATATAAAAGGGTGTGTTTGGCGAGAATGCGACAGTAGTCTACACAGCCAATACACTCGCATGGTTCCCGGCATCTTCACAGCTGAAGACTCGCCTCAAACGTGACTAGTTCTCTCACCTTGGTAGCAACACTTTGGGGCGAGAACTTGAAATATACCCTAGCGCTGAAGTTCTCAAACAGTCCGTCAGCTGCTTGCGCAGTTTATTTCGATTATACGAAAGCCTCGGTAACAGAGACAGAGCCTAAATATTCTGAACTAATCACTCAAAATTTATGACTACGCCGGTGTTGCGACTCGCGTGCGTAACGAGAGGGGAATTGACATATAGAATGCAAAGGAAAACACTTCCGGCGAACCCAGCAGCGACTTTTGACGCATTTGTAACGGGCTTTTTAGTTGGCGACTCGGTGCTTAAAACCCATTCAAAATGTATCGAAAGCTTTGTTCTATTACGAGACGCAAATTCTCCCTTAGGCCGTGGGGTTTGGGTGTTTCTGCATAGCTTCACATTCAGCTACCTGAAGGGCTGGTGAAATTGGTCAATGAGAAGTAATTCCGATGTGGGTACACGCGTTAGATTTGACTGTTAAAACTGTTGCTTAGCTTTGGATGGAGTATGATCACTATTTGGGAGGGATATGGGCGTAGAGCATTTTCGTCTTTGGGGAGTAATGCCAATCAAAGGCCGTAGACTCGTAGCGCATTGATGTATGAATCTTTCTCATCCCCGGCTTATCAGAATCAAATGCCTAGTGCATATTTCCCCCCTCTTCATATTCTGCTGTCTTTCATTGCTGTTGCATCAATCAGCAGTAAAGCTTGCCCTTCAGCACCATGTAGCGAGGTCACGTTTTGCCCTGTTCTTCGATAATGTCAAAACGGGTAATGGGATTCGGCTGTCTGGGTTGTGATCGGAACCTCGTCCGTACATACAAATGAAAATTGAGATACTTCTAGTCTTATTCCTTGTTTTTGTCGCAGGAGTACCGCCCACCAGAACCGTCGCCTGCCGTGGCCCGAAGGATGGGATCGCCGCTCGGCAGTCCCACCCGGGGCTCCACACCGGACTTAGCGCCCGTATCACCGGCCGCGGAGCTCCGTGGAAGGATTTCATCGCCGCTTGCAATCTGCTTGATTACGTACTCTCATGGCGTCGCTTAGGTTGGGTTGAGAATCCTTTGGACGTCATTCAGAGTATTTCAAGGCGGCGGGTTGCACTTCATTCGAACCAGTTTTTTAAACATCGTGGCTACGTCGGATTCAATACTGATTCGGAGTTTCCAGCTGTAAAACGGATATTGAACGAATTGCGTCTGGCAACATTTCTAAGAGTAAACATTAGCGCCGCCAACATGTCTGTTCTTATTCTCGGAGCCGGCGAGCTGGGCTCCGCGATGCTCAAAGCACTCACCTCACACCCTTCTCGGCCAAACGACGCCAACATCTCGGTTCTCCTGCGGCCATCAACCATCTCTTCCACCGACCCATCGAAATCCAAGAGTGTCTCGGACATCAAAGCACTCGGTGTCTCCGTCGAGGCGGGCGATGTCGTGAACGAATCCATCGCAGACCTCGCCGCACTCTTCAGCAAATACGACACCGTCATCAGCTGCACCGGCTTTGTTGGTCCCACAGGAACCCAACGTCGTATTTGTCAGGCTGCATTGCAGTCCAGCGTCCGCCGCTACATTCCCTGGCAGTTCGGCGTTGACTACGATGTCATCGGACGCGGGAGTCCGCAGGTCTTGTTTGACGAGCAACTCGACGTGAGAGATATGCTACGCGCGCAGACCAATACGGAGTGGATCATCATTAGTACGGGGCTGTTTATGAGTTTCTTGTTTGTGAAAGAGTTTGGAGTCGTGGACTTTGAGGAGAGGAAGTTGAGGGCGCTGGGGGGCTGGGATGTGGAGATAACAGTGACGGGACCGGAGGACATCGCGAGGATGACAGCGGAGGTTGTATTTGAGCCGAGGGGCATTCCAGGTAATGGGAGCAATGTGGTATTTGTAGCAGGGGATACAATCTCTTATGGGAGGATTGCTGACTTAGTGGAGAAGAGGTTTAACGAGATTGAGTTCACGAGAGAGGAATGGGGTATGCGATTGATAGAAGCAAGTTTGAAGCAGGACCCGGGAAATGTGTGGAACAAGTATCGGGGGATCTTTGGAGCTGGCAGTGGCATTGCCTGGCCTATGGAGAGGACGTTGAACTACCAGCGTGGCATAAAGCTAGAAAACTTAGAAACATGCTTGAGAAGCATGAAGAGCCCGGCAATGTCGGAAGCGTAAGGAAACGTAGTTCGAGGTTGGGAAGCTCCCGGTAAGTCATCCCAAAGATCCGGGCGGTCTATTCGTTAGCGAAGCAAGAACAAGTCTTTATATAGGCAAGTTGAGTAGAACCAAGTCCTTCATCCAAACCTGTGGAGCCAAACAAGCGGCCTCAAAAATCGTTCTTACCACATGATGCTATGTGCAAAGTAGACTTGACCTTATCCTGATCCATGCCAGCTAAAATCAGGCTGAGTCCAGCTGAACCGAACGTGCATGCATAACTGTGCTCTACCCACTTAAGTATGACCACATGCAGCAGTGCTATGTACTAATCGGCCAATCCCATTGGTTACTTCATCTCACGGTGTCAGATTTCAACAAAATCTCGCAGCCTGATTTCAACCCCGCTCGTCTCACTCCTCTTAACACTCATACCTGAGGGCCGAACTCCTCAAATATTGACCACGGCCCTATTTCAAACCCTCAAAGTCAAGAGAAGCAAACTACAGCCGGCAAATTCCTCATCTACTTTCGTCTCCTCTTCATGCTATCATGGCTGGAAGATATAGGGATCCGCGACTGTCAGACGATTTCGAGTATCTGGCAGTGCCTCAGTCGAATCGAGGTTATCATTCGGACGATGAAGCTCGGCAGAAGAAGCGGACAGTCTTTGTCGATCGCAGAGAGCCTCAGGTATCAACAGAGGCGAGAAGACCATCCCCTCCGCCGAGACTGAAGCGTGTTCATGTCGAACAGTACTCAAGTCGTGTCCCATCTCCACCTCCCTTGAGGAACGACCATCGCCGGTTCTCTTCGCAGGATGTGCGACCACCCCGCGCCCTCAGCCCTCCGCGACCAGCACCATACGCTCCAACCGGCGACTCTTCGTACCCTCTGGCTCCTAGGAGGAATGGATCTCGCGATGCTCGGATTCCTCAAGTGAGTGTTGAAGTAAATCCACGCCATGAGACGGTGGCCTCCACACCTTCGAGACCGGATGCCAATGTGTTGTTTCCGAAAGTCATGCAACAGAAAGAGCAACGCTCATGGCATAAGAGGTCAAGCTCGGCTGGCCGGTCAGTCGCAACATCGCCGTCCCTCGCAACATCCGGGCAGTCATTCCCTTCATCCGCGACTGGCACACTCGGCGACAGACTCTATCGATACAACGCATTAGGAGAGTCTGAAATCAGATTGATCAGACTACTTCCGGCGCGAATGTTCAAGATCAAATGCGAAGTATTCCATGCTCCAATTACAAAATTACCGGAGTATATCGCTATATCGTATGCGTGGGGCGACGCAGGGGACACGCGACGTTTGGAACTTGAAGGCACTGAGATTTCGGTATCTGCTAGTTTGCATGGCGCCTTGCAAGCTCTCCGACGAAAGAATGAGATAGTCACCGTATGGGTGGACGCGCTCTGTATCGATCAGCACAACAGGGATGAAAGAACACAACAAGTTCAAATGATGACAAAGATCTACTCGAGGGCAGAGTCCGTAGCTGTCTGGCTTGGCCCAGAAGCAGACCGAAGTTCTGACGCGGCCGACTTTCTCCTGAGAATGACTCAACACTCGGGATCACCAGACAAGATTACGAAACTTCTTTCCTCCAAAAGTAACGAGAGAGACATCGCAGCAGCCGTCTCTCTTTTCGAAAGAGACTACTGGAAGAGACTGTGGGTGGTACAAGAAGTCTTCAATGCACGCTCCGTCACTGTCTATTGCGGCTCCAACAAGCTTCCGTGGGATGTCTACAGAGAAGCGTCCAACGTTTTCCAAAGACACAAGGGTGACTTGGACTACTACTTTCCTGGAAATTCCCAGGGCCGGACATACGCCAGAGCAGCACAGAACCACTTCACCTACTCCCAGATTTTGACTTATCAAGGTCCTGGAAGTCTTCCAGACATCCGGGCTTTGAGACACTATGGGGAGGATTCTCTTCTGGAGGTTATGCGCGTCTGTCGACGGAAATTCTCCGCTGATCCGAAAGACAAAGTCTTCGGAATCTTGGGTTTGCTCACGGAAGACGTGCGCAAGGACTTCCCAGTCGACTACAGTCTATCCGTCAAAGAAATCTACACGGACGTGGTAGACTTTCTTATATCAACAACTGGACGTTTCGACGTGATTTGCGAGGCCATTCACTACCCGCCTCACATGAACACTGCAAATCTACCCTCGTGGGTCCCAGACTGGTCTCACATTCCCGACACCGTTGCTTTGGGCGCTATGGGCTTTGAGCCGCCCTTCTCCGCATCGCAACGCAAAGAGATCAAGTTTTCCTTCAAAGACGATCGTCGAAACAAGATTGAAATCACCGCTCTTGAGATTGACACCATCCGCACTCATGGCATTGCCGTCGGCACACTGTGCACACTGGCAGACTATGTCATGGCTTTCATCCACTGGAGAGCGCTTCTGCTGGCGACGTACAAGGCCGACGACCTCGAAGCTCAACACCTTTTCTGCAGGGCACTTTGTCTCAACCAAGTGCCTCGAAAATGGGCCAATTCATTCGACTGGGTGACGGCCTGCTTCCATGTCTTTGCGTCGTTGATCCGAGAGAGGTTGCCGCATCTGCCTCTTGATCAGGAACTTGAGAAGTACATTGATGCGAAAACTGATATCAAGCCTGACGCTCGTCGGAGATTCCTTCAGGAACACTTCGGCTCTCGGATGATGGGTCGATGCTTTTACGTAACTGAGGGCGATCGCATTGGCATCGGATCTGGATTCATGGCTGTTGGAGATACGGTCGTCGTCCCGCTTGGCTGCTCCACGCCAGTGGTCCTTCGCCCTGAGGGGTGTCGCTCAGAGTGTCGCTATGTTGGCGACGCATACTTGCATGGGTACATGTATGGCAGAGCCATAGACCAATGGCGTAATGGAGACAGGAAGGCGTCCAAGTTTGTCCTTCACTAGTGTCGCTTCATAGGAAGGTTTAGTTTTCAAGTCATCTGATAGCCAATAGAGGCGTTGAGCGGCCAGTAATGAGAGCACTATTCACGATGGAGCGCAAAACGCGCAAGCTTTGGGTGACAACTGCCCACAGGGCTCATTGAGTCTAAATACATACACGCTATATGGGCATGTACAGAAGGAAGAATATCTACAAGTAAACAAGCCTATACATGAGTGCCTTTTCACGGAATGTGGCACTGTTGAGTCTCTCGTTCGGGTCAAAAAGTGCCCGAGCAGATCTCGCGATTTTGTTGAGGAGCTTAAGAGCTGGTGACGTCGGAGGTAGAGTACTTGCAGGCGGTCGACGGGCCGCTGGAGACCTCGGTGGGCTCATCACCGGAGTCGTTGCCCTTGAACTCGGTGCAGACCTCGCTGACGCTCTTGGCAACAACGTTGGTGAAGGTAGCAGTGTCACCGTAGTTGGAGTTGATACCTGGAGGGACAGATGTTAGATGGGGTTGCAAAGGAGACGTGATGAAGGAGCAAGTGACTTACCAGCAAGGAGCTTTCCAGAGGAGGCGTTGATGTCGTCGAAGATAACGTGGCGCTCGTACATGGTCTTGCAGTTGCCGCAGCTGCGGTAGAGCTTGCCGAAGTCGGAAACAGTGAAGCCAGAGACGGAGAGAGTACCGGCACCGTTGTGCTGGAGGACCTTGTCCTCGGCACCGGTGGCACCACCGCCGGTGATCTTGGTGGTCTCGCCGGCGTCCTGCTTCTTGATGGTGAAGGCATCCTCGCAGACAGCAGACCACCACACGTTGGTGAGCGTGCAGCCACCGTTGCAGTGAATACCCTCGATCTGGTTGGGTCCGATGATGACGTTGGAGATGGAGGCACCCTTCTCGAGGATGAAGACAGAGTCGGAGTCACCGCCCTCAGCCTGGCCAGTGCAGGAGACGCCACGGTCGAACATCTTCATGCCACCGTCGAAAGACTCGCCGGCGGCGATGGTTTGGGCGGCCTTGAGGACGGAGGTGCCGGAGGCGGCGGGGATGTTACCGCCGGAAGTGCCGTTGTTGGCAGCGGCGATGGCGAAGGAAGCGGTGCCGTTGCCGGGAGCGGAGGTGATGATGGAGCCGGGAGAACGGGTCTTGGTGGCGTGGGTCTTCTTGGGCTTCTTCGCGGACTTGGTCTTGGAGGGGTTGGCCTTCTCAGCGCGAGCGAGCTTGTGGATGAGGTCGAAGTAGCCGTGCTCGGCGCGGGCGAGGTTGTGCTCCTTGGGAGCGGCCTGGGCGGCGGGAGCGGCGGCGATGCCGAGCACCATGGTGGTGAGAGTGAGGGCGACGGAATACTTCATTTTGATGGTTGGTTGTTGGATTGGTTGGTAGGTAAGGAAGGCGAGATAAGTGAGAGAAAAAAGGCTTGTCTACTTGAGAGAACGAAGAAATAGAATCAAGCCTGCTTGAAAGAGTGTAATGAACAATGAAGACAGAAGAGTTGTGAGTTGAAAGTGATGAGAGAGAGAGAGAAAAGGCTGCTCTTGGCTGGATATCACGCCGTTACTTATATCAGGTGAGCTGCCAGGATGGATGGTATCTTCCCACGTCCATGTCTACCGTACAGTTACACTACAGTTACCAACGCCAATATTAGATGTGGTCCAGACTAGAACGGGAACTGGTCCAACTCCAGCCAAGGCCAAGAGGCTCCATCTCCTCCGCAGACTACACAGGTATCAATCAACAAGCGACGCGGAGGAAATGAAAGCGTCGATGCAGGTACTGAAGATCGCACTGGAGCCACTAACCCACCGTGTTCCCACAATGTGGGCTCATCCCAAGAGATCCTGTCAGACTCAGCGCCAACTGCCATGCAGCACCGGTAGTAGTGGACTGGCATGAGTTAGGCGTTGGCCGGTGGTGGTGGCATCCCTCCGGCTGTAAGCTCCATCGGAAGACGGACACAATTCCCGGTTCGGGACATGGACTCATCCCAACTTGATTGTTTGCTTGCAGGTCGTTGCCCGAAAGAGAGGTGTGATGGCCGCTCCCGCATCGGAATCTCGACGGGGGACCCCCGTGTCCTGACTAGCCAGTCCCGCCCTTTAATTCGATCTCCTTGGCCCCAAAGCTTGAACACAGACGAATCCCAGGTCTTGAATAAAGTGATGGCCCAATCCGGTTCACGGGCGGGAATCGCCCCTGGGCCCTGCTCAGCCACGCGCCCACACCAGCATCGCAACAGCCCCGACTTTCAGTCTGTCAAAACCGTCACTCACTCTCGGTCTGCAGACAACTCTCGCTGTATCCCTGGCTCTTCAATCACTCCCACACACACCACAGGCGGCGCCATCTTGCTGCCCACTCCCCCATGGCGTCTGCCAGGGGCACATCTCAATGTCGCACCACCCCTTGCAGGTCGTTTCGAAACAGACGAGCAGGATGGCCAGGGTCGCCGTCCAGTCAGCCAAGCCAACCACCGCCAACGTCTCTATCGTAAGACTCCACTCTCCCCAGTTTTCCAAAGCAATGCCAAGACTGTCTCAGACGAAAAATCATGATGTCCATATTGCCATCCCGCGTCACTAGTCGCGGCCGCGCGGATTGGGATTCCAAGATGCGTGAGGGAAAGTGCTCAGGGTCTTGGCGGGCCAGATGATGACGGCCGCTGCGGTGACGAGAACGAGGCACCCGAGATTTGCTGCCCGTTGTTTCCTCTCGCGCATACGAGCCTGCAGACCGGCCCCCTTCGTGGCCTCCGGGCGCCCTCGTCACGTCAGTTTAGGCCGGGCGCATCGCTTGTCGGCTTGTTCGGTCCATTTCAGACGTTTTAAGGTCGCTTCAATGGAGAACACCCTATCCGATTCCTGCTCTGATCGCCGTCCATAGTGGCATGGAGAATCTGTCTCAGCAGTCTCCGTATCGAACCGTATAATCGGTAAATCATAAGACTTTGCCAGCACGAAAGTTCGAGAATTAGTGCTCTGAGAGCTATAGATCATCGCATATACGCCAAGGATAGCCTGGTTGGGAACAGCCGCAAGTTGATACCGGTGATGCAGCCGCATATATTTGGCCCCTATTATGGGGTGGTATGAGGGAGGATCTGCCGCGGTGAGGATTTGCACTGGCCATCGGAGGCGGCCTCGAAATCCATGTTGAAAATTTTGAACGCCACGATTACCATGGAAAATGTTGTTTTCCCGTCTGCGCGCTGCTGTCATCCGTAAGTTTGTCTCGTCGTTTGCCTGCCGGTGAGGCCGGGGCTCGTCGCCCACTCTTCCGGAGGCCGGGCCTCTTCGTGAGCAGAGGGTCATTTACAGGAGACCGGACACGTCCCGGCCTCTTTTCTCACAAGGTGGGGTCGGTCCAATCCTGTACTAGACGTTGATGATGTCTTAAGATACGATTACAGTCGTATCTACGTCTTTCTGTTGAAACTGAGCTTGGCTTCCCGTACCGCATGTCGGAGGTAGAGAATTAAGGTAGAGCTGCTTGTGCTCTCCCCCCAATGCAACGTCAGCGTCCATGGTCGTGTTCGGCTTGTGTGCAAATTGACTTCGTCTGATGTTTTGATTCGTGGAACATCGGATCGTACATGCGATGCTGACCACCTGGTGGCCTGGCCGTTGTCGATTTGTCTTGGACATATGAGTGTCAATGCCGCTTTTCAGATTTTCAAGACGATGTCGCCACGGCTCAGCTCACATCGCCCCCAATATGTTTCCTACTAAGAGCCGCGGCAGACTTTGAGACGGAATCGATATGCTTGAAGCTTCTCCGCGGTCTACTTCCGTTAACCTCATCACTAGCGCTGGAGTTGGCTTCATTGTTGGCCCGGAATCAGGAGGCCTGCATCGACAGTGGGCAGCGTCTCATCCCTTAGCTCCAGATGTATTGCGATCATCCCTTTCTCCCGTGCCCCTGGGTTCCAATCGTAAATGTCGCATCACCCGCCCGAACGCTGCTTAAATGCCGGAAATAGATCGCTATGGGAACCGATGTAGGTCTCTGATTGGCGAATGATCTTGGCGCATCTGCTCAGCGGCTCTTTTGAGGATGCACGTCGCCATTGTCCATCGGTCTCAACCTTCCCGATCTGTCCGCTGTCTGCCCGAACTTTGCTTTTGTCAGCTATCGCCTGGCAGCATGCGACGAACACCCAAAAAGCTTAGGCAGCATAACGAATTCTTGTCACACCGGAGTCTCAAACAAAGCCAAGTTTGCAGGTGTGCGCGTTCGCGCCTCCAGCCTACTTGCTGATATTGACGTGTCTTGGCGCCGAGCCTTGGAAGCAAACGCTCAAGAAAGGGGGCAGAGGATTATGGTGTTGGCCGTGTTAGCGACCGCTGCGTAGCCCCGGAAGCACAGGACCGTTTGTTTTCAGTGTGATTGACTCAAGCTCTTCCTTCTTCCCGAAACTCTGCTAGTAATGTCATAGCTGCCAATAATTGCACTCTGGCCAAGGTCGGGTTCGTGCGACTCAGCATCGAAACGATGCAAAAACTCAATTCAAGTCGTTTGGTGCGAAAGACACGTGGTGGGTGAGGTATAGTTCAATCATAAATTCAATGCCGTCCGTGGTCTACGACGCCCCTGTTTGCTCAATTGATCGTAGTACTACAGCAATTGGACCAACCCACGATGGCCCAATCATGTATTTGCGTAGATCTGCGTAGCACAGCGAATTGATGCAGAATATTTCCCCTTCGTTAGTCTTTTACAGAGCATGTTTTGACTTTACGGAAAATTGGAGATCATCGGGCGGTGGGATATCTCCCGGCTATGCGACACAACCAGCCCCATCGAGTCCTATTTTCTCACGCTCAAGGACCCGTTCATTAGATACCTTGGCAAGGGTTTTGTCTGATAAATCATGAGGATGCAGTTGCGGATAGACGCAGAATTCTAGACCTCTGTACGGATGCTCCTGGCATCCATGGTACGGTATCCGATGAACTGGGGGAAATGAGCAGGACCGGTCCCGGCGCAAATTTGACTTACGCGGTCTCCCTATCCGCGTCATCAACGTCACCCCGTAACCGGCCGTCTCATTGCTGTAATCCCGGAACTTCCGATCAGAGATATTGAGTGCAGTTTGCGGCTTGCTTCTTCGAGTGAAATGATGCAGCTGCGATATTCCTGCGATCGGGTCAAACTCCCGCCAGCATCCAATGCGCAACAACATCGGAGACGTGGATCGCCCCTTGCAAACAATTCTTTCTTTCTTTTCTCAGGGACTGGTTTACACGACGTTTAGATTTTTTTGCATTGATTTTCTGACCCAATTCTTCCGGTGCTTTGGTGCCTAGGTGACGGAAACCTAAGGTCGACCGCAAGTAGACTCGCATCGACCTGATGAAAGCGCCATGTTCCCAATCTTCCTCAATTGAATCAAAACTCACAAAAGAAGAATATATATTGAATGTGGATTTTACATGCGTAACAGCTCCTCGTAGACAGTATACTCCGTAGACTTCTCAAATTCCATTCAGTATCAAGTTTTGCTTCGGCGAGTAAGCGGCGTCTTCGCAAACCAATGGCTGCTGTTCTCGCCTCTTCATGGTGAAAGCTTTCCAAATTTATGAACATTCGACTCTCATCCTGTCCGTTCGTTCCCTTTTGGAGTTGAAGGTGTCTTGACTTGAAGTCACCAGCCTTGGCGAATGCTGCGTCAGCAGACGTCTTAGCGATGCCGTGCCGGCTAGGACGGCACAATTGGGCCACTTGGTGGGCTTCAACTCAAAGATAAGCTTAACATAAGATTTTCTGCCCAGCTTTGGTGTGCATCTTGACAGACGCACGATCTTGTACCGGTTACCCAGGGTCGGTCGGCTCGTCGGCATCTTGGCTGCCACTTCTCCACAGGACGCATAACAGGCCCATCGCCAATGCTGAGGCCGTCGTGATGATCTTTTGCCAAGCCCTGAGAATTCTGAGCCCAAGGATCGTTTCTCCGGCGCGAAGAAGGATAGAAAGCTTTCGCGGATATTCTGGTCTGGCCGTGCTCGTATGCGACCGTGGGATTATTATGATCGTTCGAGTAGGACATTGATGTCAAGAACAAGAGTAATCCAGAGCAAATATTACATCAGACGTGAGATATTCTGTTGTTTGCTCTGAATTTTGACTATTATCTGGCTACGTCTCCGTTGCTGTCGTTCTGCGGCCGCGAAAGGTGTCTCCCCTGTCCACATACTGCCATGCCCGCATTCATGCCACTCCTACATCCTCATCGCCTGCCTTCCTTGATGATGTTCTCTACCATATCCAATTTGGTCATCTTCTTGAGCATCCCTTCAAAGAGTCCCGGCGGCAGCATTGATGCCACCCGAGACAAGAGTGCACTCTCACCTCTCCAGATGACTCTCGGTGGGTTCTTTGCCAATAACGCTGAAGAAACCTCCGATGCCCACTGATCCGGCGAGATTCCTCTAACTCGGAGTTCATCTTGGCTCATAGCCCTCTCCACAATTTCCCGGGCTGGCTCATAAATCGAACCTTCCGGCAGCCGTTCGCCAGTGGTGTTGAACTTGTTGTTCGAGATCAGGTTTGTTTTCACACCAGCTGTCTTGAGCTCCACGACGTGAATCCCGAAAGGTGCCAGCTCGAGACGCATGGTGTCGGAGAGTGAAGCAAAGGCAGCCTTTGAAGAGTTGTAGATGCCTTGGAACGGTATCGCAGTGACTGATCCCACCGATGTATGGTTCACAATCATCACCTGAGCTGGATGGCCATCCTCAGACGGGACTGCCGTTCCCTTGAGCAGGAGAGGCAGAAACGCTTGGGTGACAGCCACTTGGGACCATACATTGACGTTGAACATCTCTTTTGCTGCATCTAAAGACGCGTCTGCAATGGGCATCGTGTAGCTTCCGGCAGCGTTATTGACAAGCATGTCCAAGCCTTTTCCGTCGGGCAAGGAGGAGGCAACAGAAGAGACAGCTGAGGCGATGGACGACGTTGATGTAATATCGAGAGCAACAGTTTCGATTCCCAGCTTCTCGAGCGGCATCATCTTGGACGGATCACGCGCTGTGGCGTAGACGTGATGCCCCGCGTTGTGGAAGGCAATTGCTAGGGCCGCACCCGTTCCGCCCGGTGTGCAGCCCGTGATCAAGATTCTGAGTTGCCGTGAAGCAGACATGTTGAAATTGTAACCGAAAAGTAGTCAGATGATATTGTTTGTCGACGGCGGTAATTGGCAAACCAGATGAGGCGTGTCTTTTATGAAGTTGGCCCACAAGGAAGCGTCGAAATGCTTGTTCAAGAACTAAGAGGATGACGGCAAAGATTACAAGCGCAGCCAAGAATCGGAATTTTGGTTATTTTTCGGGCTATTTATACCTTCGAAGGCTTGTAGGCTTCCAGTGTCCTGCGTTCGTGTCGCTATCGTGCGCATGCGGATTTGCGGAGCGGACCGGCGGACCGGCGGGCTTAAGTGGATCCTCACCGGCGCCGCTCACCAAAAATCAGGCCGCTTCCGACCAAGTCCCATTCAGGGACGGATTCTCCGCCACGGGTCCGCTCGGAGTCCGCTGCTAGAAAATTAGGCAGCCCCCGTGTTGTACGAGCCTCATTCGGCAAGGTCACATGCAATAGCAGCAATCTCAAGTTGGTCTTGATTGAAAACGCGAAATCAGTTTTCGGTCGTCTTAGAGGTCCTGGGCACATTACCTTTCAAAGCCGCTACGGCACCAAAGCCTCTAGAGAAATGTGCGAGTACTCGAATAGCAGTCTCAACGCCATCTGCAAGTCTCTTTTGTGTCTCCTGCGACACTCCATCATGTGTGCCTTCTGCATGTGCCGATGAACCAAAGTGGGAAATCATCATGAGGGTGTATCCTGCAAGCAAACCAGAGCAGAAGCAAGGAGTGACTAATCGAAGTTGAGCGAGAAGTCTAGGGATTTGATATGCGTGACTTACGAGCAGACCCTGAATTAAGCAGCTGATTCAAACCATTCACAATATTTGATGCAGACTGTTGGCATATAGCTTTAGACTGAGCCGCAGAGAAAGGGAATATCCTGGCTGCTTTTTCAGCATCCAACGATGTCGCACACTCCAAAGCGCCATCAGAAGTAGATAATCGAGAGCGATGGTTGGTGTCGAAACGACTTAGGATACGTAGGTTATCCATCATGGCCCGATATCTTTGCAGCTTGATGCGGGCGCTGTGGTAGGTCAGCGTTTTGTCGTAATCTAGAAGCAGTAGTCGAACCTGTTTAATCGAATGCGGGCTGTGGTGCGGAAACAATCAGCCAGTCTTGACTCGGAACCTTCTACTCTGGGTGTTCGATGGTGTCCATCTTGTCTGCTGTCATGCAGCAGATGCACAATGACATCGTCCATGATACGGATGTTATGATGTAAGGATTGTGCTACTGTCTCAGAGTTGAATCCTTTTACCAAGGCAACGAGCAAGAGTGTTGCAGCAACCAGCGTTTCTTCGGCGCGTATTGTCTGCTCCCAGATCTATCTCAATCAGCTATAACGTCAAAGACTATCGTACGTAATGAACATTGAAAGCTCACCTTTGAGCTCCCGGCAACGGTTGGATATGGTATGGTGACTTTACTAATATCGATTGTGTCGTCGGGAGACTGATTCAAATCAGCATATGGTGAGACGCCAGCTCTTTCTCTAAGTTCCTTGATCTCACCTTGCAACTAACAATGGATGCATTGCATATGCACATATACTGTGTGGTTTACCGTCAGATGTGCGGCCTTCAGCGAGGACTTTGGCGACTCACTGTCATCCACCAAGCTCTTCGAAGGCTTTCCTCAAAGCGCACTTCTAGTCTCGAAGCTGTTGTATTTGAAGACAGTTCTCTCAAAAGGCCAAAAGCCTTCCGAACATAAGACGTCATTTCCTCAATGTCTCCTCTGCACAGATAGTGGTAGAGACTCAGCACGCAACATGCCAGTGGTCTCTCAAGTTCTCCGGGTACGTTTGGATGAAACCTTGACGCGGAGAACGCATGAGTTTCCGAGGCTTTTATGACCTCCCAGCTTGTGATTGCGTGCAGTGCATGTTGAGAAACAGATGTGCTCCTTTCAAGACTGTCTTCGTCTCTTACTTCAGGGTAACTGTGGTGACCGCGCAGTTGCGGTACGTGAATTAGTATTGATAGAATAGCCAAGATTACCGGAGAAGTAGGCGAGTATGTGTTGGTCGTTGGCATTGAGTGTGAGACGTTTTCCATCATGCCGTCAACCGGTGGTGGCAGTATTGGAAAGGCTGGATGAAGAAATCTGTAGTATGATCGCAGACTGAGATAATATCATTCAAACAGTCAGTTTCCAGCTCAATTACGTGAGCCACGGGGCAAAAAAATCGTCAAGTGAGGCAAACATACACATCATCATCGGAGGTATAGGCCCCTACAAGGCGTTGGAGGGCCGAGACGACGGTCGCCGGTGGACTTTCATAGCCAGCGCGCGGATAAGTAGGAATACTAAAGATATCTGCAAAGAACTCGTTTAGATCTTCCTCTGTGCCGCCGTGGAAAATGTTGTTAAACTGCAATGCATCGAAATCATCCTTGAAGAGAGGAGGGAGTCCAATGACTGTGTCTAGGTTGAGATCTCCCTCGACAGCCACCGCGCTCTCTGTAAGATTATTATGTGCTACGGTTTGGTGAGCCGTAACACAGCTTCTCGTGTTCAAGGCGGATGACTCCTGGCGAAGATCTTCATGGCGACTCTTTGCCGGCCGCAAGCCTCGAAGGCTAGGAAGGAAAATGCACGAGTCGCCCTTCTGGAGACACTGAGTCGTTCTTAACTCAGAGTAATATTCATGTACATGCGGGAGGAATCTACTCACCCGGGTGCATGGGCGATCGCCACTACATCGTACACGAGATGCTCTGCTTGAAGGGTTTTAGAAGAGGCCCTTAAAGTCTATGAAGTGGGAAAGGGCGGGCGAACCATGAGGTACAGGCAGACTTCGCGGGTGGAGTCGCAAACTTCCGAGTCCCTGGCTTTCTTCCGGTCATCCCCGTGTCAGTCCTTTGACAGTTCACCGTGAAGAGACCTGAAGTTAGTGCCTGCTTGATGAGGGCAGAGATGATTGTCTCCAATTTCGGGATTTGGCAAGGAGAAATTTCAGGTAGAGGCCGAGATCTAAATCCCGAAAATTGGAGACGTCATAGCGTCACAGTAGTACTTCAGGTAATCCTGGTGTCATGACTCGTCGTTATCGCAGCAAAAGGCTGCCCTTTTGGAGACACCGAAGTCTCCAACACCTCACCAACAACGCACACATCCACATGGAGATGCAAATAGACAGGCCGCATATCTGTACATTTTGCAGCAGGGGGTTTCGAAAGCCCGAACATCTCCAACGACATATACGGACTCGTGAGTAGCACCTGCACAAGGAACCGCAATCGTTACATCTGTAATGCTGCTTCTGATAAAGAGACCATGCTGATTACGTGTCTGTTTAGATACGAAGGAGAAGCCATATGTTTGTGAATGTGGTTCATCTTTCGCTCGGAGAGACTTGCTACAGCGTCACAAGCGACTTCATCATAAGTCAAATAGCGATCCTTCCTACCAGGAAGATCACCTTCCACCGCCGAGTCGTGTCTACGACTCAGTATCCGAGGGAACAGTGCGAAGATCTGTTTCCAGAAATGTTGAGACACTACCGTTGCCCCCAGAATATTGCAGCCAGCGTAGGTTTCAAGTCTTAGATACACTGCTGGTCAGTAACTGAGTCCGGTATCAGGGCCAGCTTTCTTACACTCGGCAAGAAGCGAACATGTTCTTCATGATTTCGAGGACTTCTTTCGTAGCAGTGGTCTATTTCGGATTGCTGCTGACCTCGTCTCAAACAATAATAGTCAAGCTGGGAAAGAAGACCTGGCTCGCGTCCCAATCCAAAGGGTTGCCCCGCCCGATCTCCTAAACTTGGCTGGGCAAATCACAGACCTCAACACGGAATCAAGAGACGAAGATCGTAAGTCTTTCTCCGCAATTGCTTTACCTTTCTTTTGGTATAGATACTCGGGCTGACAATGCATATATTGCCAGCCCATGAGACTCCCGAAGCATTATGGGAAGAATACCTAAAACACAAGCCCAGCTTTGCTATCCCATCTATCCAGACACGCACTCGATATTACAAGTCTTTCATGAAAAATGGGAGAATTGCCTTAGTACACAGTAGTGTCGACCCTGAAAAACTGCACATCGGTTTTCAGGCGGCGATGCTTGCACTAGGAGCGCTTTACCTGTTCGAAAGCAACAGTGGGAAGATGCTCTATGATGCCAGCAGATTTTTCACTCGTGATTCTATTGCAATCAGGTATAGAGCGACAGATCACTTCGGCCTATCGTGAGTAATATTTGAGAATCCTCTGCGTCTGCACCCTTTCCACGAGCGCATCCATGGTCTAACACTTCGGAAGAATTGAGCTCCAGCTTACAAGCACGTTTCTGTTACTATCTGAGTACGTCAAACTAGCACAGCCGAGTGACCTCGTAGAAGAGCTACATTTTCTCCATTGCAAACTGAGCCATTGGTTCCACCTCAGCATTGCCTCGACTGTGGCACCTTGGGAAACCGAGTTGCAACGGCATATCACGACCGAGATGGCCCAGCGCAGCTTTGCGTTTGCGTTTTGCGCCCTAGCAATCCATAGCTATCTCTCGGAGTCTCCCATGCCGTCTTTTTCGGCTACTCATCAACTCAAACTGCCATGTCTGCGAAGCCTTTGGGATGGCCTGAAACATGGTCCTGCTACTCACACAGCGGAAACTACAGCTGTGTCGGTATACGAAGACCTGTTCCAACATGAGGATGAACTCGATGAGACAAGGTCGAGTCGTAACCATGTTCCCCGATTTGCCACGGAAGGGGTGTGGGTTTTGCTGGGACTTCACCTGCAGCGTTTGCAGTTCATACGAGAAGCTGCCCACCTTCAACCTTTTGAAACCCTGGCCAGGTTAGAGACTGAGCAACTTGAGTAAGCCTACTTCAGAAGTATACGATGGACAACGAATGTAACTACTGACTAAACGCAGTAAAGTGACATTGCTTCTTATTAAACAGTGCGATGCCGCAACAGACTTGTCTTCGAGGGATGTTGCAGACCAGAGATTGCAAAACGACTGCAGGAGTCTCTTGCGTCTCATTTACTCTCGAAGGTTGTTAGAAAGCTCAGTTTATACATCCTTGGCGCTGAATCTCTTTGATCCCAAAGGGATTGCGTCCAAGTTGATGAACCTGCGTTCCGAAACACAACTATCCTCCTCACTTATACTTCCAGCCATCGAGGAGTATGTTGGTCTCATGGAGGAGCCCGCAAACAGTGGTGTTTCATTCTTTGTGCGTATGTCTGCCAGTACTTGGGGTTTTGAGATGGCTCTATCAGCCTTTTATTCCGCCATTCTTGTCACGAAATGGCTGTCACATTTAATTTGCCGCCAAATAAGGAGCGAAGGTCAGTCCCCACGTTGAATTTACTCCCAAATTATGACTGACAGAGTCAAGCTGAGCGGGAACTTCTTGAGAGGGTTGAGACACTTGTCACGATGATATTATCGTCCCTCGGCGATCTCCGCGACTCATATACTCGAGAAGAAATGGATTCTCTTCCTTACTCGATCTTGAAGTTCTGGTCTCACGTGCTACAGACACTCGGAAATAAGCCTTTTTCACAGGCGCTGGGGAGATCTCTCGAGCTTCTGACCCGAGATGTAGGTAGTACACAGGGCTAAGGGTTTGATGAGGAAATCTACGGCCGGAATTAAAGATTGCGCTGTAACAACTTCCAAACTTGCCAGGAAAATATAGATGACAATGAAGGCGGCCAAGTTGAGAACCACAACGCGATTTTCATTATCAAGCCCAGAGGTGAGACGCATGATCGACCCCCTGTACAGGCGGTAAACCTTTCACGAGAGCTGTCGTATGTCTGCCCAATATTAGGGTATTAATTCACCATTTGGTTCTACTAAGGAAAGTTAGATTCAGGCGAATTTTCAACTGCCAAATGCTACTCATGGGCGCTCGAACAACTAGTGAACTGGTGGTGGGCTACTCTGTCGCGCGGGGACCTCCCCGTGGCGTCTCCAAAGTCTCCAACTTCAATCGGGGTCCAAAAGAGTAGATCCCGAAATAGTGGGGTTACGGTGGCATCGCCGCGAGCATCACGTCACTGGGCACTGCTGTCCGGCTTTCCGTCTTCTTGAGTCTTTTTGTGTGTCTGATTATCTTTCTTGTATTTATGTGGAGGAGACGCGAAGTACAAGCCACAAATTTCAACAAATATTTCAGCATCCCATACCATCGACCGATTGGCTCTACGTGCCACCATACCGTAGCCAGAGCTTGCTTCATCAAGAGAGGCATCGCTTTGCAGGTGAGTTCAGTAACTCTTGTCTTCAAATCTAGTCAAAGCTTCCGGATTTCCCATTGGATTTTGACAGCGTGGCGAGTTGTTAGACAGGCGCTCTAGTCCCGGGTTAGGCACGAACAAAGCAGTTATGGCATCCCTCAAGTTCAACAACCCGCCCGGTGCCGCACAAAAGCACAGTGATCTTGGGCAATACTCCCAGTCCGTCGATCTTGGCAACGGCATCATCAAGTGTTCGGGGCAAGGAGGCTGGGATCCTGAGTCTGGGGCCCTCGACGCGAACGACAGCAAGAAGCAAGTTGCGCTGGCCATAGAGAATGTCGACATCGTCCTCAAAGCAGCAGGTCTTCGCGGGTGGGAGGATGTTTACTCGCTTCGTTCGTATCACTGCGACATTCGCACGTCATGGGAGCAGACGGCTGAGGCCCTTAAGAAGCGCATTCCCAACCACCGACCGATTTGGACAGCGGTTGCTGTTCCGCATCTCGCTTTCCCGGCAATGCTGATCGAACTGGAGGTCGAGGCTAGGCGCCAGGAGTAGGAACGGTAGACATGTGCTGAAGGGGCTCTAAGTCGCCATCATAGGCCTTGTTAGACCGTCTTTCACACCTCAACCTTCGATAGGCTCTTCAATCTAATGGATTGTTCATCGATTCGATTCGGTTCGTTAGGGTTCATATCGGTGTTCAAAATGCCTCGCGGATGCACCAATGGGCTACTGGCATGCTATCAAAGATTGTCACTTCATGGAAGATAAGGATTATGATGATGTATGGTTTCCTTCTTTAGGCGTGGAGGACTCGGCCTTCGGCGACGGCTGGGGATTCTTGACGTGTTTTGGGAAGTCTAACTGCGCATACCAGAATCATCAGCATCATCTTCAACCATACTCGAATCGAAGGGATTTACTTACCAAATGGACTGTAGTGGTGTTTGAATTGATCGTTCAGATGTGGAAGGTACTTCTCATGGAATTTGCTGTCTGGTCTGCGGTAGGTCGTGCCTGTAGGCAAAGACACAGCCCAAAGGCATCTCTACCCCTACACCTGGACTTACCTCGCGACGGAAGTCCTGCGAAGTGTTGAAGCCAACCATTTGACACTTGAGAGTCAGTTTCCTAACGCAAATCTCCGTGTACGATGATTAAAGGCGTTATCGGAAACATGATTCTCAAAGATGACATTGATGGGTAGCTATAGAGGACGCGTAGTGAGGAGAGGCAGGACTGGAAAAACGCCAAGAGATTTCTAGACTTTATATGAATTGTTAGTGTAGGATGTACGTACCTATCATTGACAGATTTTCGGGGACGTGTAGTATGGCAGTCACGGTGCGCATCCTTGAGTGGGCTGTCACTGGCGACCCTCTCCCCCTGAAACCAATCCTAGGGCACCAGGCATCTACTTTGATGTTTTCCAGCCCTCATCACCCAGACGCAAATCCATTTTCATACGCATAGCTTGCTCCTCATCCAGCTAAAACATCGATCTACATTGTTCGTCTCATCTTGTGGTCTTTCCATTTAGTGCATAACATGATGATGTATGGCATAAATTGAAGCTTCTTTTGCAAGCTCGCGCAGAGGCAGAGCACAGAGCCTGGGATACACTGGATCAGTACGAACGACGTACCTTCGTGCCTGGCCTGCAGCCATGGGCCAACAGCATCCATGTCAGAAAGGCTTTCAAGGAGTCATCCCGAGGGCATCGGAACTTCGGTTGCCCAAGCTTCGGTTTGAATGACACATTAGGTAGCTCTACATCATAGAACATTTGAACCTCGTCACCTCAGTACCAATGCCCCTTCAATAACGTGGATGTTGAGGCGGGCCACGGATTCATGGGCGGCATCCCGGTAGATCCAAGAACGTCCCCGAGACGAACACGATCACCTTATGGCTCTCTGTGGGGTTTCATATCTAAAAAGGTTGACTCTCTCAATGGTCGCACGGGTCACGGGCGGTTCGGCCTTCTGGACATTCGGAACATCTTGTCACGTTTTCGGGATTGTCGCCCATCAAGTAGATCTGGGAACATGACCCGAACCAAGAGTTGAATGATCGGGGTGCCATCGACACGAGTTGACCAGATCGTCTGATCCTTCTTACTCGCATCTTTCTTCCAGCCTCTTCTAGGTTCGCCCGGGACGCTGATAGGACAAGCTGGGACGGGGTTGGGCCGTAAAAGTATGGAAATCTTCCCCTACTAGCGTCTGCAGCCTGGTCCAGCTCGGCTTTCTTTCATCAATTGATATCATCGTGGCAGAAGACATCTTAGGTATTTTAGTTTACATGAAGGGCTCCGTGGCATATTGATATTCATTGGTCTTCGCAAGATTGAGAAAATACAATGACCTCGTGTGTTTTGGTGAGTTTTCATGACCATGAGATCTCAAACAATTTCTCTGTCATACCGACAGGTACATGGTTTCGATGCAATGGATCCTAATGAGTGCAGGCTAGCATGGCTGGGCCAATTCCGTAGGCGCGACGCCTAACTCGTCACCCACAAAAGTCCCCGAAGCTCAATGGTAATTTCGTCGTCTTCTGCAACGAAGAGTACTGCACTATAGCCACGCAAATATTCTCCATATCCATGGCTTTTCCATCAAGGAGGGGTCACTGGTGGTGGGTGTATCAGAACTCTCGTCAACTGGAGACGACCCCGAGATACGAATACGCTTCCTGACCAGGCCAAGAGACAGTACTGGTACCACGCGCACCGAGAGAGGCCGTCAAAAGCTAAGAATTAGCGCTATTACAAGTTCGTCATCCACACCAAAATGGCCTGGGTTATCCTGTTGAGCATCATCACACAGTGAAGACTTCTGCTTTCAAATCCATCAATGGCGGCGGCAGGTTGACTAGGCCTTTCGTGTGTAGTCTTACTGCTCTAATTCCTTCAATCATGTTTAGTGGGTGTTCTGGACGCCTTTTACCAGAAGATGGTGAAGTCACGAACAGACTCAAGCGTCTGTGCTCGCGACAGTAGCCTCTTCAGATGGTAAACACCCCAAATGGGACGTTGTCCGAACTTCAGACGCGCTTGTAGAGAAGGCCCACCTGTCACGCGAACCACGTTGTTTTGGTTCATCAGTTCCACCCCGTCCATAGTAAATTTTCAGTAGCCCTGCTCGGTAAGAGTTGCCGCCTCAGCAATGGGCCAGTCTCTAGTACACCTGGGTCGTAGCACCCATAGCATGCCTTTCACTTCTAAGATCGTCGTACATCTGCTTCCAATTTACCCGTGAACCAAAAGATGAGAACTCGAACGAGCAATGCTCTCTCTCCAAGCACGTACAGTTTCCACGGTCGCATATTCTGCCATTGTCGCCTTTAGTCCCGCCGCACATTGAAGCTCCAGCTTGGACAGCACGCAGGAGCCTGAACTTTGGAGCTCCAGGGATCAGAAATCTTAGACGGCACCTACTTTGGCGTAGTCACACACGGCTCGTCCCGAACTTTACGACCGGTTCGTAGTTCGGTGCTGTCCCCGAATACGCCACGTTTATTAGTCTGTAACCGGGCTATCGGTCCACTGTCCAGCCGCTACTTCAAGAATACAGGGCTCTCGCATATCACCCTACAGAATTAAGGAGTCCATATTTGTGTCAAAAGAGTCTAGTCGCCAAGAAAAGAGATGTTTGATCTGTCCGAGATTCATTTGTCCGGGAACTCTTGTCGATGCGTTGTCATTTGATGACGTACAAGGGCAGCAACGCCTGATTCCGGGTCTAGATACCTCATGTTGGCACGCAAATCGTCATCCGTTTGTCTTGCTTGAGTGAGGTGAGAATCACTTTGTTAATTTTCCGTTTAGCAAACACAGCTTATGGTATAGTTCAGTGGTACTCGCCGGAGTCACTGACTGGAAGCCTCACTCTATTTACCGCCAGAAGTTGGAGGGTCAAGACGCCATTACCAGGTCAATTACTGGTGGAAAGATGCAGCGTTTGTCGATACCATTCACGGCCCACTAAATGCGAATGGATCTGGGTGGATGATTCAAGTGTTGGTCATGGTGAACGCCGAGCCCAAACAGGGATTACCGGCAAGCAGCCGCTTGGCAGGCGAAAACATCCCGCTGAGACTAGAGCGGGCGCTTGAAGGGCCTTTTACCATAGGCAAGCTACCAATGTTATGCTCGCGGCTTCTTTCGATGGTCCGCGTGGAAGGAGCTCTATCAACGATGCCGAATGGGGTACCATGAGAAATTAAAACTGATTGAGGTTGTCAAGGACTTACCAGCAGATGACGGAGGTCATCCTGATTTGCTGACGTGAATACGTTTAGCGAGACTGAGGCAGTCCACATTGGCATGGCCCAACCACCCCTCCGATTCTTGTAGAACAAAACCTTTAAAGGTTGTCCACGTAGACAACCAAAGAGTCGGGACTCAACTACCAGGATCAGACGATCTTTGAGAAATGATCCTGATCCTGTTCTATGCGCCGGCGGGAAGCCTAGAACACGAAGTGACTTAGGGGCGAAGAGTTTCAGGGGGAGTCCCCGTGCTACCCCACAGACAGCGGCCTCGAAAATGCTGGTGGCCTGGTCAGCGTTTAGATAGACAAAGCTCGTCGCTGACCTACACACCAATGGGATTGGGGCAAGCTGTAATCTGGGCTGATTGTATTGGACCAGGACTTGGGCCCTGCACCCAATCTATCTCGCGCACATCAGGGTCATCGAGCGAGGGCGATTAATGAAAATGGCAGTTCGTGGGTTCCCTTTAGACAATATTGCGAGATCTAGATGGGTCAAGGGGGCTCAAACTGTCAAATTAACTCTTAGAGTTAAAGCTGTTGGCCTTCATGGACGATGTATTTAAACAGCACCACATCCGTCCGTCTAGAAGCTCATGATCAAGTCAGCTCGACATCAGCTTCCAGACACTCTTTGTTTACCATTCTATTCTTTGATTCTACCATTCACTCATTCGACTTGAAGTCGCTTCATTCTTTACACTTCACCTCCAACCAACCATCAAAATGAAGACCACTGTCGTTCTTTCCGCCCTTCTCGGCCTCTCCTCCGCTCACTACACCTTCGACAAGCTCCTTGTCAACGGTGCTCAGCAGGGTGGTGACAACACCTACATCCGCAAGCACCAGAACACCTATATGCCCACCAAGTTCAAGAGCATCCCCTCCGGATCCATCGCCCCCACCGATGCCGACTTCACCTGCAACAAGGGATCCACCGGCGCCGCCTCCGTCATGAAGGTCAAGGCCGGCGACAAGGTCGGCCTCAAGCAGGCCTTCGGCGGCACCGGCATGCTCCACCCCGGCCCTACCCAGGTCTACATGAGCCCCGTCACCGACGCCAAGACCGACAAGGGCAGCCAGTGGTACAAGGTCAGCCAGTCCCTGCTCTGCAAGGCCGGCGACGCCGCCTCCCTCCGCACCACCGCCTGGTGCAGCTACGGCGAGGACAACGTCAACTTTGTCGTTCCCTCCACCATTCCCAACGGACAGTACTTGGTCCGCGGTGAGCACATCGGCCTCCACGGCGCCCACGACGGTCAGGCTGAGTTCTACTACGCCTGCGCCCAGCTCGAGGTCACCGGCAACTCCGCCACCAGCATGCCCGGCACTGGCGTTTCCATCCCCGGTGTCTATAAGCAGGCCGATGCCGCCGTCAACTTCAGTCTCTGGGGCTCTTCTACCTCCTACAATGTCATTCCCGGCCCTGATGTCATCCCTGGTGGTACCACCCGCGGCAGCGCCAACGGATCCAGCGGCGACAAGATTGCTACCGTTGCTGGCGGCAGCAACGCTGCTTCTGCCGGCAGCGCCACCACTGCCAAGGCCGCTGCCGCCGCTGCCACTCCTGATTGCTAGATGTTCATCGCAGTCAGTCGTGCTTGATATCAGCGAGTGTCGCTGACGGGGAAGTTGGTGTTGGAAGTTGTTTCGGTGGATGAGCAAGACGGTTTTCTTCAAATGTACATAGTTCGCTGCTGGAATTAGCGGATGCAAATACTATTCGAATTGACTTCGTCTCTCAAAATTCATGCCTTTGGCTTGTGTGAATGACTAAAAAAATACAATTCAATACCACATCTGCGACTGCCTAATGGCGAGATGAAAAAACGAATACGACACCATCATGCGTTTTGATTTCTTCTGAGGAGGTCTAGCATCTGGCTCGATATGAGGTGAAAATTCTCATATTCGACTTAGAAAAGGAGAATGCCAAGCTTCCCAGTCTCTGCCTGGATTTCAACCTTAACTTTCCATTTCTTTGCCTACCACATACCTCACCCCCCCATAGTCCTCATCCGGTGGGGGCTGAAGCAGACGAGTGACAGTTGGCGGGGTCTGTATCCTAAAGGTGAAGCCTTGGCCTGCAGGCACTACGGGTAATGAGGTCTTCACAGGCGACGAGATAGATTTTGGTTTCGGGTCCGGTGAAGGCATTCGGAAATCGAACTCTTCCACTTCCACCATTGCCAACTTCGCACGTTTCGGCGTATCGGAATCTTCGATGCTGGGGAGAAAAATGTCTGATTGCGCGACGACGGTCTCCTGAGCTGGCTCAGCTGCATTCGGCGGCTCAGGTGATGAGCTTTTGCGCTTTGTGGGTGTCGTAGATGCCTCTGGCGTGTTGGCTGCCTCCTCAGTTGGTTCAGCTGCGTTCGGCAGGCCGGGTGTTGGACTCCTGCTCTTTGTGGGTGTCGTGGGCATCTCAAAATAGTGCGGTACTTCGGCTTCGGGCGTGGTCGCCACCCTCTCGTTGTCCACCTCTCGCCAATCGATCTCGCCAATGTCTGCTGCGACTAAGGCCGTAGGCACACTTGACTCCGACATGTTGATGACAGCAGCGACGAGCTGGATCTTCCGGTCCACCGCGAATCCACTCAAAGTGAGTCTTCCAGTTGAGGGATCACTCATCATCCAGGCGAAAACCTGTTTTGGGAGATTCATGTGATAGCAGACATCCTGTCGAGCCGGATCACGCGGAACGTACAACGTGTCATTGTCTGCCCAGAAGATGCCATCACTTTTCTCGATCTCGGAGTAGTGGGTCTGTCCGTCTTGAAGAATGGACAGTTGCCGACATATACCATCTGTCTCGTAGGTTTCCAAGTTCGTCAGGTCTTGGTACATCTTTCGCTTATCCGCAGCCCAGCGTGGGCTACGACAGTGCGCAGCAATTCTTGAAAGACATTAGAGGTTTGCACATCATCATGTCAGCATTCATGGGGGTACTCACCGGCACAACGCATACGCCCGACGCTTCATATCTCGGTATGGTTGCACGGGGCTTGATGAATAGACATCCAGGAGAAGGCCTTGATCTCGTACGAAGAATGACAAATAGCGATCACCCATGCGAAGCCATACAAATACGGCTTCGAGGGCCTGGGTTTCTTCGACTGTAAAATCAAGAAGCTTTACCTTCGACGCGAACTTCAAACCAAAGTTCTTTCTGTCCACGATGAAGAACTCAGTTGTGATAGGCTCAAGAGTCACCTGGCCGTTCGGGTGTCGGACCGGGAAAATCTTCTCCTTCAAAAGAGGCGCAGGATCCAAAGTGCTGTGACGTCCTCGGAAGTCTCCATACGTGTTGAGCGCCAACATAGCTGCTTTGACGTTTGAGAGAGTAGCGGAAGTCAGTTTACTCGACGATAGGAGAAATTTGTAAACCATGTCGAAGTCAGGCTGGTGAACCCCCAGGAATTTGACGAATAAGTCGTTGAAATCTGGATACATCGAGTTGATTGATATGTGGTTCAGGGGACTAATCGTGCCGAAGGACCAAAAGCAGTAGCCAGACGTGAGCCAGATGCTACGACCGGTGCGCTTGTCTCGCACATAGATGAGCTGTTCGTCTGTGAAAGTCTTTCTGCGAGAATTGTCACCCACGTCTGTAAAATCCACTGCCAAACCAAGAAAAGATGGTGCCAACCTCAGCCGCTCTACTTCTACCTTCCGAGTTGTTCCTTTTCCCAGGATATCATCCATTCGCTTGTAACAGTATAGTGCGCTGCTCTCCCGAATATCTTCTTCGATAGATTCTGCCCGCCGAAGCTCAGACAACTCCACGATCATGTCGTCAATGGCAAAGCTCCAATCCGCGATGCCGAGGGTAGTTTGGAAAAACTGTTCCAAAGTTGCCAATCTTTCATCCGCGCCTTCGAGCTGGGTTCTGTAGCGTTCCTCGAGGTTGTGCTTGGAAAGGATATGATGAGGGGCCTTCCACACGCATTCCTTGAGGGTAGCCCAGCGCGGCATGTCTTCATCAGCTACGCTTTCCCCGGGCACCCAGACTAAACGATTGTTCTGGAACTCTTGCCTGTAAAGTTCTTTAGTTTCTTCATCTCCAGTGGTCTTAACACGGATACTAGCACCCACCATAATTTTGGACCGTTCTGTTTTGGCCCGTTCTGTTTTGGCCCGCTCTGAGCTGCTGCCGCTAAGCGACAAGAAGAGAGCTTGTATTTTCTCATACAGCCGTATGATTGTTTCGCCAACCGCATCCGGCTTCGCAAAGCCACTCTTGGGAAGCGACGAAAGCTTTTTGAGGACATCAAGATAGAACTCCATGCTTTCGAAGACACCGGTCTTAACGCGTAGCTCCAGGACCAAAAATCCCCATTTGAAAGAGTAGGAAGATGCCGTAACCTCCTCGTCAAGATCAAGGACGGCAAACGGCGTAGCGACATATTCCAAAACTTTCTCCCTCACCTCGGGAAGTGGAAGGAACGTCTCTGATAGACGGTACTTTTTCCCGTCGTTGCAGATGACCTCGCGGTTTCGCAGATTCTCGATAAACGCCGCGTGATTGGGCGACCACTCGTCACAGAGATGCCAGTGTCGCTGCAGCGCGCCGATGAACCTTTCTGGATGGTGCGTGTACACGTGTTCGAACTCTGGTGAAAGCTTTGCGGTGTTTTGCGGGTCGACTAGTGGAAGGTGTGTGCTGATGCTCAGGTAGCGGTGCAGCCACGCAGTCCAGGACCCGCCGCCGTCTTTGGCAGTTGGCTCGTCCTTTGTATACATCTCGTGGAGGAAAGAGGCATCGAAATCGGTGCCTTCGCCACTCGAGGGACCTTTGAGAAGCTCCCAGGGGCCGTACGGATCGGTTGTTTTCAAATATGTGCGATGGTGGGCTGAGCCGGCTGGACTTCGTATGCGATTCTTGGTGTCCAGCACAACGAGGTTCTCGGCTACCAGTGATGGGTCTTCACTCTCGACACTCCATTCATCAGAAAGAAACAGGTATCTCAATCGTTCGACGGCCCGATTCTTCTTCGACGACCCCGACTTCAATACTTCATGCATTGGGGAGCTGAGAATACGGTCCCGTACGAAAGTCGTATTTGCCATTTGCACCCCAAGTCTGTTGAACAACTTGTGCCGGTCCTGGTCGTCAGGACCGAAATCGGAGACGCCGCTCAGATCCTTGAGGACGAGATTGAGCGAAATGGACGTGGGTATCTCAAGACCTTTGTTGTCAAATGGGAAATAAATCGGCTTGACTTTGGCCGCCGTAACCATCTGCGTCGTGGATAGCGGAATCAGCGGCATCTTCCGCAGCCGCTTGACGGCCTCTTGAGGAATGTTATGATGAATGTGAAGTATTGCTTTCACAGCAAGGCAGCGCCACTTCTCGTTGGTTAGGAGATTGTTGGGCGACCAACGAGGGGTATGCTGGCCTGCCCCTCGCATGTCGAATTTGATACGAGCCAGCAGATGGTCCCACGTCATATACTTAAGACCGTAAGACGAGAGAAGATCAAGATCCGAGTTTTCGTATTCTTTCGCGGGATAGACGGGGTCATCTGTATCCGGGAACAGCGGGTCGCCGTTGTCATCGAGCCAAAAGTCAGGTATCCGTCGAACTGCAGAGAGCATTTGGAATTCATCCGGCGTCCTCGTTCGGAAGACTTCCGCGTCATTTAGAACATCCTTGATCTTACTGTGCAAGCGGGCTGGTGTGATCATGGTGCCTGAGCCGGCGTCCTCCTTTTGAGGTAACCAGCGAGCCCAGTGATAGCCCAGTGATGTCTTGGAGAAGCTTTCGACTATGTGGACGAAGTGGGTGGCGATGGCATCGAGAATTGCCTGGTTCCGCTTACTTGGGGCCGGGATGCCGTCGCGGACATCGAAATCGGCTTGGAGCAGGAACTAGATCAAAGTCAGCGCGCTCAACATCTTCTGACTATTACTCCGTCCTTTGAAGCACTATTCGTCATGTTTGACGCACCTTGAGACCCAAAGACTTCAACTGCGCGTGGTGGCATCCCCAAACGGGCTGAGGTCCGCTTCGTGGGTCATGTGTCAGTTCAAACGCAATGACAACGTCAGTTTGCTCCAGAGCAGTACTCTCATCATCGATCTTCGATGGAGCGTCAAAAAATGTGATGTCGTGGATGAAGACCCGCTCGATTATTGCCTCCTCCGAAGACCTGCTTCTGGTTATGGTGAAAAGGTCTTGTCCCTCAACCTTGTGCCGCTTAAGCGTGATTATAGTCGACTCCAAGGTGTTCCCTTCAGAATCGTGTGAAGACACAGTAAAGTTCTCCACTTTCGTAGTAAGCAGAAGCTCGCAGGTGCTGTTCTGGAGAATCTCGAATTCCCTAAGAATATGACATGTCTGCTCCAAGTCGGCCTGCGGGTCATCATGCTTGTGTAGAAAGAGCGTAATACAAGTACCTCCACTGGTCTCTTGTTCCAAAGATTCGTCTCTGGGTTCGTCCTCTTCCCAGATTGGTGAGAACATGCCAGTACCGAGATCGCCGTCACGATGGACGAAACTGAAAGAATACCCGTTTGATGCCCAATGCATTTTCCAGGCAAGTTTGAAGAGAAACTTGTGCTGCAGCTGACTGGGTATTGCTGCTGTGTCGGCGGTGTCAACGATAGAGCTGGTATCGCACAAGTCATCAACGCTCTTGGGTGTGAGACCATTGTCGTTGAATCTTATAAGGATTCTGCCTGGATGGACTTCGAATTTGATCTCCGCAGCTTCACCTTTTGCTTTCGCCTGACCGTAATCTTGGTTGTCTGCATACTCGACCAACTCCCAAAGGCGATTGACTGTGTCGGCCCTGAATTCTTCCAAAAAGCTACCAGGTCAGGGATTAGCTACCTTGGTCGTTGAAGCTCACTGCATTGTGAAAATATACCTGATGATGGGAGACTTCGTCCTCCGAAGAATAGTAGCCTCCAACTTACGCCGGAGGGCAGGGTCCAGGTCCCCAAAGTCCTCGAGTTCAGAGTCTGAGAACACGCTGTTTGTCTTTGCCACCTGCTCGATATGCTCCCTGGGCGTGGGCGCCAGGGGCACGAGCTCCGTCCCCATCTTGCCTAATCAGGACGCGTCGCGCTACAGTCGTGGAGCTGTTCACAGAATCGGCTGGCGTGCTGTGATAGTGCGATATATAGCGTTGGTCATATTGAACAATCAAATGTTTCAGATGAGTTTGAATATTGGATTGAAGAGCGAATGAAGGTCCAAGTGTTCGTTCACAAACGCATCATGGCGCGGCGCGATGAACTCTCTTCACGCGTCTGTCTTGGGGCGGATGTGGTCTCCAGTTTCGACCAATTAAATGCTCGTTTGCTAATTGAAAGTGGGGAAATATGCTCCCTGTCAGACCAAAAGTGGGACCCACAATTGCGGAGCTATTGTGGCGCCTTATATCTGACACACCCCCTCAGGTTGAGGGCTGTTTTTCCCTGTTAAGCACTCAAGCTGGATGGCATCGAAGTAGGTAAGCGCTTCTACAACT